CACCCGCCCTCCCCCAAACAACCACCCATTCCCCAACCGCCGTCCCCGCCGCAACCTCACACCCCGCACAAACCCGCGCATGCGCCCCCACGCTCACCCGCCGATTAATAACAGCAAGCGCATCAATCGCAGCACCGGAATGGATCTGCGCGCCTGGCGCAATTGACACAGCCGGACCGATGACCACGCGCGGCGCGATCCGGATGGGGAGGGCGTTGGTTGCGCTTGTGCTGCTTCCTTGGTTCGATTGGGCTGTGTTTGTGCTTGTGCTTGTGGCAGCAGCTGAAGGAAAAGGTACCGGGCTGGGCGTGCCGATGACGGTCTTCTCGCTGATGATGCAGTTCTCGGCGATGAGGATCGGCCCCTCGTGTGAGTAGAGGCGCGCGCGTGGGTGGATGATTGTGTGGGCGCCTATTGAGATTGGGTGCGTGCCTTGGATTATGGTTGTGTCGGAGAGTTGGGCTTTTGGGTGGATTGTTAGGGCGGGGCGCTGGGGGTGAGATTGATTTGGATTTGGGGTTGAGGATGAGGGGGTGCGTTGTTGTTGGTGTTGTTGTTGTTGCTGTGCGGGTGGTGGTGGTTTGAGGTGTGTGGGTTGTGGCCGTTGCTGATGGGGGTCCATTGGGATTTTGTGTTTTTAGCTCGTTGCGTGGTGTGGGATGAGGACAGAATATATGTGTTGGAGGTTTGTTTGTAGTGTAGTGTGTGGGTGGGTGGTAGGATTTGAAAGAAGGTGTTGGAGTTGCGTTGTTGTCGGTTGAAAGCTAAAGAAAGATAAGATTGCGGAGATCCGGAGTGGGTTCCGGTGGTATGCGGCTGTCCCGATGCAGTGTGTATACTAGCACTTTTCTTCCTGCACAAGCGCATAGCAGATCTGAGTTATTTCTTTCGTGTCTTCTTAATTGTGAAATAAAGTAATCCATAACCGTCCCAACAGGGTATCTATTTATCTATGTATCCATCTATCCATCAACTCATCATCATTCCATGAACAACCCCATGGAACCTACTCCTCCGCCCCATCATCCAGTTTATTCTCCCCCTTCCGAATCCCATTCCTCTTCCTCCAAGCCCAAACCCCCCGATCGACCTCCGCCCTCGTCGTCCCATCGCGCACCAAACAAAACGTGACGCCCAGCTCCGTCTCAACATTGCGATTCCGTGCCTCATCATCAAAGAACAGCATATCCTCGTACGCGATCCCACTCGCCTGCTGGATCTTAGCGAAGTGCTGCGTCTTGCTGGCGGGGAAGATCTGGATGTAGTCGAAGTAGTCGAGCGCGCGCACCGTCTTGGTCTTGTTGGCCGCCGGGTTGTCGGTGAACGAGGGGATGATGTGCAGGGCCTTGAGCATGTCGCGCGCGAGGTCCGGCGCGTGCGTGCGGGAGGCGATCGCCATCGGGATTGACTTTGTCTTGCAGCTGTGGATGATTGACGGGACGCCTGGGTAGAAGGTGAAGGATTCGTTCCAGCTTTTGGTTTTTGGTCGGGTTAGTTTGGGGTTCTTGTGGGAGGGGAGAGGGGGTATGGGGAAAGACGTACCGGTCTGTGCAGCGCGAGTTGTTGTCGCGGGGCTTGATCGGGGCGCTGACGTGCGTGTCTACCCAGAATGGCCAGAGCGTGTAGTCCAGGTCGAAGACGATGAGTTTGGGGAGAGGTAGGCCATCGCTGAGGGTTTCGGGGGCGACGGAGTTGTCTTCCACCGGTTGCGTGTTGGTTCGTCGGCCGCGCATCTTGGTTGGACTTGAACGTGGGATATGGTTCGAGGATTGAGGTTGTCTTGTAGAAAGGCAGGTTTTAAAGCTGTAAATTTCTAAATGTGGCGAATCGGTCTTCTAGGTCTATTTTTTGAGTACTGTAAGAGACCCCAACTAGATGACGTTGGAGAAGCTGGTCGAAAATGGAGAAGGATCACGTGGGCGATAAGATGATAAGCTTGAGAGAAAGACACGCTTTTGTCAGCAATCGATGGCTGTTTTTTTTTTTTCTTTTTTTTCATTTGTAGTGTAACTAAGTTAGTTGAAACGAAATATGGACATCAGTATCAGATGGAAAACATCAGGTCAAATACATGCAACAGCACCAATCACCACCCAGCATGTCCGGCCTGCAAACAAATCCGAGTAATCCTAGCACATCAGATACATTCAACCGCGTGTTCTCCGAACTCCCCTTATCGGCTCATCCCCGACTCTAATCTCCTGTTCCATTCCATCAAACTCTGAGGTTGTCTTATCGACTATCTTACATGTGAAAGTGAGGTATCTGCGGATGCAGACAACTCACGCACGGCGATTCAAGCTCACAAGGGGCTGTAGGTGAAACAACCAACGGACTCCAAGAACTTCCAGAGCTGCTGGTGAATTTCGGCACCCTTGATCTGCATTCCGTAGGCAACGACATCCCAATCACTTGCGTAGTGCATGATGCGACCCTGTTGCTCGAGGTCCAGGACGCCATCTGCCCCCACCGCTTCAGCGATGATACGACGCCAGACCTTGAAGGGAAGATCATAACGCCAATCCAGCTTGCTGCAGCCGCGGACACGTCGACGACTGGCTGTCGCAGGGGGCTGAGGAGGTGAAGGGCCCTTTCTGGGCTGGTTCGCTTCAGCAATATCGCTAGAAGGCACACGTCGGGTTGTAGAAGCACTCTGGGTGGTCGATGGTAGATTAGGAAACTGCTGGTCGAAAGCAACGGCACTGGGGTGGAAGGGGCCCGAGCTCCCAGAACGAGAGTGGTGGCTGCCTGCGTTCACTGCAGAGAGCTCCGAAATGCTCAGATTGTTCCGCCTGACGTGAATGAAGCTGCCCAGAGGCGCCGATGTCACCGGCTGAGCGATACGCACGCGAAACGGCATGGCATCCTCGACATGGTAGTACGTGGGCTCTCCCGATGAGCTATCTTCACTGTCGTCAATGGGCAAAGAGACGACTCGACCTTCACGTGGCTTGGGCATAGGCATGCGCTCTAGGGCGTCGTCGTCATCGCCGTCCAAGGGACGGTCCTTATCCTCCAGCAGCAGAGCGCGTGAGACTAGCATCATCTTCACAGCGGTGGACCAGATCATGCTACTGTGGATGCCGTCGGCCTTGATAACTTCAAGACGGACACGCTTGCAGACCCGAGTGAACTCGGTTCTCAGCTTGCTCTGCAACATCATTTGGGCAGCATTGTCGACATCTCCGCTGGCCTCACTCGAAGCATCGCTTGCCTCTGCGAGATTTCCGTTATCACCCTGACCCGCCTCCTTTCGCTCAGTTCCACCGTTCGACTGCTGAAACTGCTGAAGCTCTTCGGCTACCTCAATCATTCTCAGGACATGAGGAGCTAGCTCGTCATTGGGTCGCCAGATGATGCTTTTGCTAGATGTGGCGGCCTCTGGCAGGGTCACGGCTTTTCCGACAACGGGGAGGAAACTCAGCAACGGCTCGGGGGCACGTTGAATATCAAGCATAGGCACCAAGTGAATGGCACTGTTACTTGTCATTGAGACATTTGTCAAGAGCAAGTGGGGGATCGAACGCAGGCCGCGCGTGCAGGCGTACTTCTTCAACTCTTCGTAAGTGTGACCTAATGCATGAAGCGCCCATTAGTTATGGTCTTACCTTTCCACAGCGGAACTCTGACTTACCGTTCTTCAGCTCCGATTTGAGCTTGTAAGGGGACTTCTTCGAACGAGAGGGTTCGTTCTCCTTTCCAGCCACCAGCTTCATTCGAGCGACACCTTCGGCAAGGGCATTCGTTTCGGTTGACTCTTCCTGTTCGTCATACTCACTACTAATGACTTCATGAGCATCATCCTCAAGAAAGTCCAAGTCGCTTTTCATGTAGATGCGTGCAAGATGCTCCATGCCCGCACGACCCAGAGCATTGCCGCCCAGGTCAAGCTTTCGAAGCATGAAACACTTCTGGAATGACTCCAAAAAAGCCACCCACTTCTCGATCTCCTCGGGAGTCGCGATCTGGATGTTGTTATTGGATAGGTCCAGCTCTCGAAGATCTCCGGCACTCAGGGCCACCACCTCAGCCAGTTTGGGCAGTGAATTGACAGTCAACAAGTTGCCTTGCAAATGGAGCTCAGTGACTCTGGCCAGTCCGGTTGGATGGTCCTGGTCTCTGAACTCGAGGCAGTCCACCAGATCGTCGATGAATTGCGCCATACCATCGTCTGTCAAAGCCTTGCCGGTCACATCGATCTCGACAAAGGGGTCTCGTGCGGCGGACTTAGAGCCTGTACCGGGAGGGAAACGCTTTTTCTGCGTCCCAAGTCAGACTTATGTTGATGTTCAGGGTTGGCATATTCTGCTGTATGGGGCCAGACTTACCAGGTCTTTGGACACGGCTTGGCCTGCCTTGAGACCACTAATGCGTCTCTGTATGTCTATCATTAGCTAGCCTGTTTCCCAGAGCAGTGCTGATATGATCTTCTAGGGGGATGGAGAGAGTCTCACCGCGAGATAGTTGAGCTTTCCCATCTTGGGGGCTCGGATCTCTGATCTGAATCTGCCATGTTGAGCCTTGGTCAGTACAAGTGTATCCCGCAAGATCACCCATGAGCAGCCGGAAGAAGCCAGAGAAAGAGATGTGGTGGGACAGGAAAGGAAAGACAGATCTGATGAGAAGTCATGCTTTCACTATCGGTGGTGTTGCTGGACACGGTCGCGCTCTTGTCCAGAGCGCTTCCCCGTCAGAGACGTAGGGCATCAAGATGAAAGGTGAAACATAGACCAGAAACATTACAAAAGAAATGTGGGCTAACACCTGAAACAGTCATACGAGTGGAGCGCGCTGCTTCTTAACTCTTCCTGATATGTTGTGCAGCTGGTCACGGCAGTGGGGACGAAGGATGAAGAAGGTACAGAGTGGAAGGATCGGAGACATCAATGAAGAGCTCCACCTCAACACAGCCAACAAACACAACTATACTAAACAGAAAAGGGAGAAAAAGGAGAAGGAAAGCTTGAGGACTTACTTACCTTGCCTGCCTAGAACAAGAGGTCTGCCTTCAAAGAATCTGTCCACAAAAGATGTTGTTGACTGAAGAACTCTTTATGTGAGTGTATGTTGAAAGAACGCGAAGGTCAAGAACAGTGAGGATTGAGGTATCACAGGCCTCATATTTATGATACTCCTCGGTGACTAGATATTCCTTACCATCACCTTCGTTCATCTCACAAATTCACTGGGACTCTACAATCAGCTACACCGGTGACGCCACAGGGAACCCGTGATCCACCGCACGGATTGAGAATCTCCGAAAGAGGAAAGCCTGCTATCCAGATGGTGAAGAGACATCATATCAAATTCCAGCTGCCTGGTAACTTCCAGGCTGCAGCGAAGAAGTTTCGGTAATCTACCACACGATGGCTGGATGACGGCAGGAACAAGGTATCACCGGAGCTACTCAACATCTGGTAGCAAGTCGCAGTCTTCCTCTAATCCTCCTAGAGCAGATTGATTATATCTTTGAACTCCTCCAGCAGTGCAGGGTCAATGTCTTCCCAGCCTTTGGGCACAACGGTGTCCTGAACGGACAAAGCTCCTTGAAACTCTCCAGGCTGACTATTCTCCTTGTTGCCCTCGCCATCGAAGATCTGTCCGTTCAATTTGATTCTTTTCATGCTTCTAACATCTGTCAAAGACAGCTTTCTTTTCTTCTCGGAAGCTGGTTTGGAGGACAACTCTTTCTCACTGCTAGATTGTGTCAGCTCAGCCATGTGTATTGTCTATTCAATTCATCTGCCACCCTACCTTTGCTTGGATTTACCATTGGACGATTGTTCGACATGACCATGAGTTATCCGTGTGCTCTCCTCTTTAATCTTCTGTGTGAGAGCTGGACTCTCGAGCGGTGACTGAACAGCAAGCCATATATCCTCGTCAGACCAGTTATCTTTCAAGTCTAGCGTTTCCTCGACCATGCCACCTTTCTTGCAAGGTTCGCCGCTCTCGATCTTGGTATCAGTCTGACCTCCAAGCAACAAAGCAGAAGGTGAAGGGAAGTCACTGAAGGTGTCTTCGCTGGGCTCTCTCCGAAGCTTATGTCTGGACAAGCTAGCCGACAAGACGTCACTGGGTTGTTCATCGAGGTCAAGTTGCTCCGGTCTGTCCTTCAGAGCAAGCTCTGAGGCTTCCTGCCACTCAAGATGTGTCGAAAAGGAGGATTCTCTGGTCGCCTCGCCCAAGCTCGTATCACTGATCTTGTCTCTAGCAGTCCGTTCATTTTTCTTCATCGTTTGTGCCAACAAGGTTGTTTGGCTGAGCCCCTTTTTCTTTTCGGGGGCGCAAGGCTGTTTCTTACTTGCTTTGGGCGGCTTATCAAGTCCATCACGGCAACAAAAATGCTTACAACTGCCCTTGTTAGCATCACGGTTTAATAGCATAGACTGTACTTCTTACATTGTCTTGTCCTTGCATCGGTGATTGCATGCCCACCGACCATTCTCCATTGGTGCCAGTTCCTCAACTTCGCTGCCCTTAGCCTTGCTATCGTAGCTTTTGCTCTTACTCGAGCCTGTCTGCTTGGTCTTATCTTCCGAAAGCACTGGCAACGTGCTCAGCGCTGACCAGTCGGGGTCTTCTGTCACCAGAATGTGAGCCGTTTCGAAGATAATGTTGAAGACAAACATACCTTCCTGCAGGAACTCGTCGAACAACGACTCGTCACTATCAATAGTGATTACACTATGTGGACTGGGTTGCTTGCTTTGAGATGCATCATTGCTACGACGGCGCGAAATATTCATCTGGGGCTTGGCTGCAACAGTTCCTGGCTCTTCGTTCGGACGAGAAGAGAATACCGTCGTGGGAAGATCGGGCTTTAAGACCGCAGATCTCAACGTCCCAGCTATCTGATATCAGCGAAGGGGTAGCTATGTGACGGAACATGGTCTTACCAATATCGTCACACGAGACATAGCAGGAAACGAATTGGTCCTTGTCCTTCAGCTCCGCACTGAGCAGAATTTCTTGGCCGTTCGCCATTTTACTCGCACTATATCCCGTCAGCTTGGAAGAAGATCATGGTATCCGTAGCTTACCTGATGCGCCGAAATTCGAGCAGACGACCGTCTGATACCTCAGCCAAGAAGCAAACGTACACGGGGCGTCTCAGATAGTAAGAAGGGCACTTTCCGTTCATGAATGCGATTTCGGCCTTGAGACGAATTCGCACAAGTACTCCTGGCTTAACTTCCTACTTTCCTGTTAGTCAAAATTGAATAGTTCTACTGTTCAAATTACCTTCCCAGTCAATTTGATGGCAACTCGAAGCCTGGGGAAGCTCGCAACACGCTCCAACACCTTCATGCCAAACGGAGAATTCCTGCTCAAGATCATATCAATACGGTGCGGCTCGCACTGCCCCAGTGCTTCAATGCTTGTTATGTCAGCCGAGGCCAATTTCCGGACTGCAACGATTCCAATCTGCTCGATTTGCTTCATCTGGAGCGGAGAGGTATCCCAGACCTTGGCGCCAAAACTCCTCGCCAGCTCTAGCGCGTTCCGCAAGGTTACCGCGTCTTCAAGAGAAATCTGGCAATCTATGATGCACCGGATTAATCTGTTGATGTGGTTGAAGACAAAGCTCTTGTCCTGCTGGAAAGCAAACTTGTGCTTCTGAAACGGTTCGCCATCTGGGAAGTCCACCGCACTTAATTCAGATTGGATCAGGAGCGAGATCTTGTGGGCTGAAAGCGCTACATCGACCTTGATGGGAAACCGTATCCCATTGGCACGGTTGATCTCTTTGTACAGTGGTTTCTCCCCTGCTTTGAGACGAATCTCTCGAAATTCTTCTGCTTGAGCGAGGACGGAAAGCTGCGCATCTTTAGTAACAGCGATGAGGTGCCCTCTTTAAGGCTCTTTGACTTACTATCTGAGACACAGTGGACTGTGGCTGCAAGGTGAGCAGCGTTTTCATAGTTTCGAAACGCACATAATAGCGAGCCATTGCGTCTCCGAAACGGGTGGATCGAAGGCCGTTAGCTGTGACAAGCCCACATTCCTGTAGTGACGCGATATCCTTCTCGCAGATCTGTCGAAGCAGCTCTTCTTCCCCATCTTTATCCGCGTTCTCTTTCAGTTGGTAGTGTGCTGGATTCCGTCTGAGTCTCACGAACAGGAAGGTCCCACCCAGCCATCTGATTGCAGAATCAATGTCCGTCACGTTCCCTAGTCCAATTTCGGCGTTCAGATGATCGATGAGGTTCAGATGGAGGCAACTCTCGAGACTTTCAGATCCTGAAACAAGCTTCTCGTAGTGAGTCTCGCGTTCCTTCCTGGTCATGATCACGGCGGTGGCGCTGTCGTCGAACTGTGGTCGACCCGCACGACCGAGCATTTGCATGATTTCCAAGTCAGAATATTCTTTGCATCCACCTTCTTGCCAGCCCACGGTGCCTTTGATGACGACAAGATGGCAGGGGAGGTTGACCCCGACTGCGAGAGTAGAGGTGCAGCATATGATGCTAATGTGTCCTTCAAGGAACCCAGTTTCAACGGTACGCCGGTCATTCAGGTCAAGACCAGCATGATGAAAAGAGACGCCAGCACTCAAGGTGTCTTTTCAATAATTATGGTCAGAACTATGTAGCCCTCATGCTAGAGAAGCGGAACTCACTCTTCAAGTCTGCATTCTGTGCCTCCAAAGGTCTGCTCGCGCCCTTCCATAGTCTGGCAGGAGGGTTGGACGTTGACCACAACCTAGCAAGCTCCTTCGCCGTCGAGACGGCGGAGTTCCTCGTGCAGCAGAAGACGATGATCGGCTTCTTACAGGAATGCGCGGCTATAACGTCCGAAAGTCTGCGTGATAAAGTCAATAACATTCCAACCGTGATAGAGTCGACGCGGACTCACTTAGCGTTGCACATCTTGTCGAATGCGAAGTCATTTCCTTGTGATCGGTAGCCGTACACGAACTTCTGCAGTCTTACGGGCCGAAAGCTTTCATCGAAATACTCTCTACGCGCCGGCACATGCTGGTTCGTGGCGTCGCGACCCAGCCAAGTCGCAATGTCCTCCGAGTTGGGCACAGTGGCGCTCAAGGCGATGAACCGTACGTTCGAGCCATTAGTCTTCATACGAGATACGACGGCCTCGAGTGTTGCGCCTCTGGCTTCTTTGAGAATATGGACCTCGTCGATGAGGAACAGCTTGACGAGCTGCATCAAGCGTGCATGATCTTTCCACTTTCGGGTCATGCTGTCCCACTTCTCCGGAGTGGTTATGATAATCTGGCTGTTTTGTACGGTTCTCAGCTGTGTATAATCGGTATCGCCCGTCAGCTCAGCACACTGTAGCCCCAAGGTATGGAACTTCCCATTCCAATCCCGAAATCTCTCCGAGCACAGGGACTTTGTCGGCGCTTGGTAAACCACCTTGAATCTTTCGTCCTTAAGGGTTTTGAGCAAACGGCATATCGCAAGCTCCATGATGACGGTCTTCCCGCTTCCTGTTGGGGCTGAAAGGACGATGTTGTGGTCGCTTCGGTAGACCGCCTGGAAGCACTTGGACTGGACTGCGTTAAAGACAGGGAAATGGAATATCGAGCGGTAATTATCAGGAAGCTCATGCACCGATACAAGGACAATGCCCCGGACAGACGCTGGGAAGCGGTGGGAACTAGCGCTCTGACCTGGCAGCAGTTGCACTGAAAGCTCAGAAGAAGTAGTGAAGGAAGATAACAATCGATCCGCATTAGGGCTAGCATGGTATGGCGATTCACTATCAACGCGAGCGTCTCTTGGATGCTGTCCGAAATGGGCCACGGATCCTCTTGGGGCTTGAAGTCTAATCAAGGGGCTGGAAGGTGTGCCTATCCCCACGCCTGAGGAGCTAGACCCTGCATCGTGAGGTGATACCTGAAGCACGTCTGCCATTTCGTCAGGTTACCACATCTGCGTTGGTAATATATTGTACACTGACCTTGCGGGGTCCGGGATGCCCAAGTGGGAGCAACCGGCTGTAGATGATTCAGAGCTGAGTAATGATCAGTCCGTGAACTGGGACGAGAAATGCCCTGTGTCTGTCCATTAGACTGCGCTAACAATTCGAGATCTAATTGTACAATCACTGAGGTCAGCTATGTAGTGACTGCGGTGGATTTCATGTCAATGACCCACCAAACGCATCAAGCTCCAAGGCATTGTCATGGGAAAGCCGTTGTGTCTCAGGAGGATAGTTCCCAGCATGTTGATGGCCCTGTTTGCTGAAGTACGGTGAGACTCGAGCACCTTCTTCTAGTAATTGATTAGCATTGTGGTTGAAGCGGCTTGGCGTCCGCAATTGTGACTCGGCCCTGCGTTTGTACAAGTCGCGCTGGTTGGGGGAGAGTTTGAGCTGATAGTTTTTGCGCTGCATGCTGCCTAGGTATGCATTGCGGTGAAACAAAGATTGGTTCTGTTGGTGGGTGGAGGGAGGTACAGATGGAAGGTCGACGGGATCATGTGGGATCCCAGGAGGAAGATGGGAACATGGTGAAAACCATGTGATCTCCAAGGGAGACAACTAGGCAAACACCTTCTCGGTGAGAATAACGTTCATTCTCCGAAGAGCATTGTATACGTCTTGGAACCCACAAGGCAGACAATAACCTATTTCAGTTTTGCTCTGTATAATACAGAACCATGATGTATATTTGGACAGAATCTGCGCATCCTATCTAGCTATAAGAAATGATGGGACATAACTATAATAAAGTACAAGAAATCGGGGCATATCCCATGAGGAGCATCAAAATATCACCGCTTCTAACCATCCATATTTACTTCCTGGAGACATGATACAGTATAGCAAAAGCCAAAGCTACTATCGAAGCATCGGTAGTGGCATCTTCGGCTCATTGGTCGCGAGGGTGCTTTTCAAAGTATCCACCGCTTGGAGTGCGGCCAGCACTGGCACGTACATGACCCGGGGATGTAGGTCTTGAGGTGGAAAGTCCGGCATCGGACAAAAATGGTGTTCCAGGAAGCTTGATGGATATCTCGTTCGGTGACGGGGAGGCCGGGGAGGCCTCGCCACTCTTGTTGCCCTTCTCATAGCGGTCAATGCGAATGGGAGGAGGACGCAGCGTCTGGCGTTGCGTCTTAGCAAGATTGGCGCTCGACTCCTCACAAAGGCAAGTAGTCACGAGTACTGCAAAGGACCCAAGGAGGAACTATAAGCATAGCCATTAGTATTTTGTCTCAGTAAAGTAAAAGGTGAATCGCATACATTGGCAGTGAGCTCAAACTCGAAGAGCCAAGTGCTCGCTAGCGTAGTGAGGACGATGCTTGCAGCTGTAGCAATATTCTTTGCGTCTCTGTAAGCATAGCCAATGCAAAAAGATGTGGCAATTCCTCCAAGAGCTTGTACGATAACAGTGGACCAAACGACCCAGTTGTATCCTTCAAAGAACCCATTGGCAGCGACTTTTTCGCCATCCAAGAATACAACCCCGATGAACAATGCAGGGAAGATGGAGTAGATAGCGAGTTGAACGTTACGGACCCAGATCGATGTCGCTTTTGCGCTGTCTTGGATGACCTTCTCAAAATACACTCCTGCAAGACCAGAGGCAACGCAGGCGCCCACAGTAGCGAGGAGCCCAATTGTTCCGTTCAAGCGCGGATTGGCAGTCAGAATATCCTCCTCGATTCCTTCGTAAGTCGCAGAACGTTTGTGAAGATTGTCGCGTCCCAGCTTAGCAGCTTTCCATTCCTCCAACGATCGCGGGAAGGAAAGATGAGCGGTTTCATCAAAGTGGGCTTGGTCGACACTGCCATCGTGTATTTGCACGAGTGCTACCCCGATCACAAGCAGTACCAGTAAGCCCCACTTGCGCAGAGAGATCGACCTTCTGAAGACGAAAAGGCTAAATATGGCTGTCACTAGGAGTTTAAGCTGGTATGATACTTGGAAAGTCGCAGCCTGCAAGTTCGAGAGTGCAATGTACTGCAACGAATTGGCGATTGTGTAGAGACACGCCGGGATTGCGAGCTTCCAACTGTCTCCGGAAAACACGGCGGAGGTAAGCGAGAAGAACAGTGATGTCGCGGGAACTGAAGGAGGCGCCGTCTTCGAAACTTCATACAACGCTATGGTCAAGGAGATGGCCAGTTTCGCAACCTCGTTGAAGAACACAGCTGTAGACGTGAGGTATCGACTACCGCCAGCTGGCGGCATAACCCTAGAGTAATGTGACAACTATGAGATAGAATCAGCTTTTTGTTATCAAGGTAGAGGGATGTTAGAGACAATGAACGGACCAACACAAAGGCAGTATACTGCACCGTCAACTATACCCAAGCGCACACGGTCAGCAAGGATGCCAAGAAGTTCGACGCCGAGCGCAAAGCATGGGCGCACAGCAATAATCTTTTGTTGGAAAGCATCAAGATCTTACTAAGGCCCAAGAAACATTCTTCACGGTTGCTCCCAGTCCTGCAGACCGGCGCGATGCGGTCTCTCCCATGGTGACGTCGGTGAAGTCGTCCTCAATGTCGCGTTCGCTGTCCCTTGAGAAGTCCCAACCCAAACACTAGGCAGTATTATATAATCAACGGCTGTGATGCCAGCTCGTTCGATATCTATGGAGACTTGGGGATTGTGGTTGCTGATTTTGTCTTGGGCGCTGTGTGTGCGCGTCGGTCGGTTGTCGGAGGGGGAGGGGAGAGCGGGTGTTCGCACTGGGCCGTGAGTCCGCCAGCAAACCGAGGCCCGATCGATCGAAGGAGTCGCGAGAGGCAGGGAAGGCGAGAGGTGACTATTTGTTGAGACGGGAAGGAGGGGGGAGTATTGAGGAGTAGAGCTCGAGTTAGAAAGGACCCGCAAAATAAAGCACGGAGGGAGAAAGGTGAGAAAAGGCCTGAAGGATCAATCGGAGAGAGGATGAGAGCGTAAAGAGAGTCCGGGGTATTGTCGAGACGCTTGTTTGGGCGGTGTGGATCACGGGGGTTGGAAGGAAGAAAGCACTGAGCAGGTCACTACTACCTGTGGCGGTCTAGTCCCTCTCTTTCAGTCCGTAGTTCTCCATACCTACGTAGTTAGTCTTCCTTCCCACTTCCCACTTTCCAGCCTTCAAATCGATTCCTTAAGTCGACTTTCGCTAATTTCTCCCCCTGAGGAATGGCAGCTGACGTCAGACCTAGACATAATAACAATGTGGTTGTCGATCCATGCTCGTCACCACCCCTCCCCCCCAAATGCTGCTACAATGTGAACAAACACACCTATTCATTCTAGCATCGACTGACGGAGAATCCTTCCGACGAACAAATCCTGCCTTCAGCACCTTGGCAAGCCACCAAATCTTCAACCCAGGCACCGCCACTCGCCCTGCCGTGGTACTTTTCAACGTGCTCAGTTACTATTCGATAAGCCCGGCGGGTATCATATGTCGGCTTCAGGGGCTCCCCTCTTTTATCGTCACGGTTTTGCATGGATGCGACAAGCGGGCGGGCCTCATGCACACTACAATAAGCTCGCACAAATTTGGAATCGCAGCTTTCCGTTTTATACGCAGCCAAAAAGGCAATAGTACACGGGTACGAATAAGTCATGGTTCAACAAAAGTATTTATCGGGTGATACGCCGTACCACATCCTCTAATATCGTCAAAGAAATATATACATGAGTAGGTAACGAGCCAGCGATCAGTGTTTTGAGAAAGGAATATTGTGGGGTGTCATGTTGCTGAAATTTCATGCCATGACAGAAATCAGGTTTCAGTGAGAAATGCAATGAGTGTTTAGTTAGGTAGGTGGGTAGACAGTATGAAATGCGTCAAGTGAATGAGGTTGGGCTCGGTTCTGGGCGTTATAAGCTGCCAAAACATGGACTTCATCGTGATGAATAGACACTCCATGTCAGCTTCAAGACAGCTGTGCCTTTAATGGACAGCTGTCATGTTACCATTTTCGTTGTTCCACCTGATAGCCCACAGGGGAATCTCGTCGGTTTGTTGTGTTTCGTTTGACTCCTCTAGAATTATCGCTTCACTGCTATCCGTACGTCTTCTAGAGTGTCGGCGTTGTGCTGGGGGAACGGCGGGAGGCGGGCGTACAGGGGCCGGTTTCTGCGACGGAAGGGCCGAGAACCGATGTGAAGGATGTGTGGGTGTCAAAGGAGAAGCTCCGCTTGTGACTGGAGATGGAAGGCTCTCAGAGTACGCCAAGCTAGTGCGAGGCGAAGGAAACGAGTAGACAGTCCTCTGCTCCCCTTCAGAGGAACTGCTTTGGAACACCAGACCCTCCCGATCGCTCTGCTGTGTGCTTTGGTCGCTCTGCCCCGACCTAGCTGAAAGTCCAGGGCTCAAGCGTAAGAAAGACATATCCGTGCCGTAGAATGAGTCGCGTGAAGGTACGGAGAGCATGGACCCCTGATCAGGTTCCGGAACCCGGACTTCGTTGAAGAGACTGGGCGTGATTTTACCCTGTCTCTGTCTCATCGCTTCGAGAAGATTTTCTTCCTGCCGCGTCACCGCAATGACTCGACTTCGCCTATTCGTCTCTTTTTGTGCCGTCATTGAGCTTCGCGTGCGCGGAACAGGCTTCGACTGACTGAAGATAGGATCGCCATGAAAGAACTCTGGCTCGGAGATGGTGGGGATACCACTTGATCGGCGAGACTGGCTCTTTCGAGTGGCTGTCGATGATCTTCCCGCTGACGACATGGAAGGGTTGCGCCGGAGAGAATGATTTCTCTGTATGGATTGTGATCCACGACTGATGCTGGAGATTGGCCGGTCGATGTTCTTTAACCTGCCTCTAGTCGTATGCGCTGCAGAAGCTGTGCAGATTTCAGGTTCAAATTCGCCATAAGTCGCTACACTGTTTCTCGCGCTTGCCTCGGAATGGCCTTTGGGATAGTCTTCCACGTCGTCCTCTTCGTCCTCCGACGAAGACAGACAAAGAACGCTTAAGTTGTTGAGATCCGCTGTCTTTAACGTACTCTTGCTGCTTTTCTTGGGCATTGAATTCCTCCCATGTACATCATTGCGCCCGGCAGTTGAGGCACGATAAGCTTTGGGTGGAAGACGGCTCTTGGGAGACAAGTAAAATTCTCTGCTCCATTCGCTCACAGAACTATTGGACGAGACATCTCGCGACTCCTGCTCGGTCGACTTCGAATCCCGCTTCTTGAATTTGTCGCGGCCTTGAGATTGTACATGCAACCGCTCAGTTCGCTGGGGTTGATATTCCATCTCGCTATAACTTTGCAAAGCGAGATCCATTTCGTTGGTGCGTACTGTTTTCTCAAACGAAGGATTCAACCAATCTGGGGTTTTCATCTTGTAAGTAGTGGATGGTTCTTGGATGTGGTGATTGGTAGATTTCAGGATAGAGGCTTTTGGACGAGGGGGGGACTTCGATACCTTGCGATCAAGGTCATTGGTCTGTGAGTCTTCCGGTGTGTCGGCTGTCTGCTCGAATATTACCGAGATAGGAGACGGTGAATTGACCATGCGCTGGGGGGACAGGAGCGGGGCATCATTTGCCCGCGGCTTGGGGAACAGTAGAGAAAGATCAATCCGAGGTGGACGCATTTTCCTTCTTGAGTCCCACATGGTCCCCTTGGGCTGTTTGAGTCCCTGGCGTGATTCTGCCTTATGCCGCGATTGTGATCTGTGGTCCTCACTCTTCCCGGAGTCGGTGGTTGTCATCCCGATGGTCGGATTCGTATCTGAATTCGATTCCTTGGAGCTGAAATAGGAGAACAGGGTCGACGAGGAGCCGGTGAGATGAAGTCTCTTTGACGTTGTTGGTACAGTAGGCAGGGCTGAATCTTCCAATCTGTATTCTTGCCCCAGCAGAGGTGACGAGGCTCGGATACGAAGATGAGCTGGTGGCAGAGTGGCTTCTGAAGCGGCGGTCGGAAAAGGCACGAAACTCCCATTTTTGTGTGGCTTCGCATCTGGAGATCGTCTGAAGCTCGGCTTTTTGGACTTCCTCTTGTCGTCTCGCTTCGAGAATTCTTCATGTGAAGAGATGTCGGCGGCTCCCAAGATCTTGTAGGCTTTCGAGGAACCCTCGTTCCTGAGATCGTCCTGACTCGCTGTTGCTGGAAGTTTTCCGCCGGTAGTCACATTCATTTTGGCGGTTCTTCAAAAAAGGACGTCGGAAGTCTGCTGTCAAGTATAGAATGCTCCACTCATAGGTTCCGTCCGTGACAGTTCAACCACCCGCTTGGCTATGCTGGCAGCTTTGGCTTGAAATGAATCCCACACAACGTCCGTCAGGTCAATAGTGGAATGATTGGCAACCACCGAGAGTCAAAGCGTCGCAGGCAATGTTGGGATTTGCGGGAGGCCTCGAACCCTTTTTAGCTCTTGTCTTGTTTCCAACTCCGTTTGTGTCTTCCCCACACAACCGTAAGTCGGTGTGCCGCCAGAAACTCCTTCGTGTGTATGGGTACCGTTTCGGTCAGAACGAGCGCTGGAAACCAACGTCTACCAATTGCTATAGCTCGAACAGGCGGTCTGGGAAATGAATATTTGTTGGTACCTGACCCTATGAACGCCACAATATGTAGAGGCAGGGGTCTGTGGCATAAGGTTAGAGAATGTATGATCAGAAGAGAAAAACAACGGCAGTCGACACACGAATCCGACCACAGAAGAGCGAAAATTTTCGGATCGAGGATAAATGTAAACGAGTGAAACTATTGTCAAAGATGAGCAGAGGCACCAAGAAGAGGGTCCTCAACTGCTTTTGAAGGGATGTCGGTGCAGAAGATTAACCGGGCGCAGGAGGGTTCCGGCCGTTCAGAGCCTTTAAAAATTAGTAGGCGCTATGAAAGAATGTTTATTAGAACCGTATATTTAAACTGTTAGATCACGGTGCAGAGGACAATGTAAAACAGTAGTTGAAGGTTACTATCGGTAAAAGGGGTGGACACTGAACACAGGATACTGGAAGGAGGCGCCAGTAGTGTCTAAATCTAGTAGTAGCATGGGGCAGCTCGGAGCCAGCAATATCGGGACGGACAGGAACCCAAACAAAGATGTCTTGGAAGGTTCTCTTAGCAACTCAAATCCAAGCTGTGGAGCATGAAGCCCGACGACGAACGTCAAGAACGGGAGAAGCCTTGTCTGTTTGTGATTGCGCTGTCCAGTGTTTTGCCGGGCAAGGAACCGCACAGCCCTGGGCCATGGCCATCAGGATCAGGGGAGGGCGAATGATGACATTCGAGCATCGTACAACAGCAGTAACAATCGACAGGCACCCCTCAACCATGGCTCCATAGATCGTACCGCGGCCGCTGAGAGGCCGAGGGGCGTGGGTGACCCATCGGGTGGAGGGAGTCCGAGGGGTGGATGCTCGGTGGTGATAATTTGATAAATCATGATGGGTCCCCTGGGGCAAGCGATGCCCCATTGAGGCAAGTACAAGATTCAGAAATGAATTGGTTTCTCATCTTCAATTTGTTATTGGAGGCCATTTAAAGCCAGTACGAGGCATTGTGCCACAAATTATGTCTGGGCTCTGAAGACTGGTCACCGTTCGGTACTTATGGGCCCTAGAAGGTCCGTGGGAGACTCAAGGAGTCAAGGCTCCGAAATCCGAACCAGCGCATGAGGCATTATTCTTATACTGTATAGTCTAATTCTCTCCTGTCATCCAGTCGGCAATGCAAGAGATTGATTGCCTGGAAATGACATGGTCGGTCAGGGGTTCCGGACGGGGCGACGGGTAAAGCTTCCATGGAAAAACTGTCAGCCAAGTTGCATGTGAGAGGATAAGAGGATACTAGAAAAGAGGAACCTGAAAGAAAGATCATGGATACATCTCACAGGACTAAGGCAGTAGATAGTGACAAGTACCACCCCTTGCCTTAAAGTTTCTCTTTCCCTCCAAGGATGTGTTCCTTCCCGTCTTCTGCACTTTTTCTAGGGGATGTTCTAGAGGTCAATAGTTTGTTTCCTTCCCACTGGGCAGGAGAATTCCGTTACGTTTAGGCGCGCGGCTGGACACGTGCCTTCCTGGATTATTTGCGAGTAAACAAACGAAAGCCCGACCAGATTGTCCACTTCATTGTTCCTTAAGGAGGGAAGTCAAAGTGTGAATTGGCCAAGACAACGTGCTGGTGTATCCAATATGGCGACTCAGAACTCACCCCTCGTTTGTCGTGCTGTCATGCCGAGTTCGTATCGGCAATGGTGAAAAGTCCTCAGGGGCTAAAGCAGCTAGCCTTTCTCCACGGGTTCTGCCAACCCCTCGACGATCGCTGATCCATGAAGCCTTGACGAACTAGATTACGGAAATCCCTCGCCTGTCCTCGACTTCTCAGCCGTCCCTTAGCTGGACTTTTTCCCCAATGGGAGTGGCAGTTGCTGCTGATCACCGTCCCGCCCCCCAATGTCATACCCCAGCGTCATATCGGTGGGGTCGTCGAAGTTCCAATTCAATAGCGTTCGATGATATCGATCTTGAACAAGCACGAACCCGTCCATCCCTACTCCAAACAGTATACCCAGGGGAGCCTTCTGATTCATACTACTTATGCTATCGACATCGTGCGCCACTACCGATCGGGAGGCAAGATAGTGCCGAACTAGACATCAGTCGTCCGTCATTGGGTAGCCAGAAGCTTGATCTCAAATCTTAGATGCAGGACGACTTCATAACCATCAATAATGGACGGCCTTCCACACAAGCTTCCATGGAACGCCGTCCCGAATGATGCCTCAACAACCCGTCGACTGATGTACTCAGTACACACAGCGAGACAATGCGCCTTTCGGCTTGAGAAGAGGGTAGCTTACAACGCGACAACGCCAGACAGTCAGCCCCCCTACCACTAAGATGGACTTGATCTTACCGGATCCACTGTGGCATCTTGAGATACGGCCGGATAGATCTTGTCGAGATTGTACGGTCGAGCTGATCATTCCGGGAGCTGCAACGTGCTGGAGTGCAGACCTTACAGTGCTCTAATTGATGCATGCCATCGTTTCCACGCTATTAATTCTTTTGCGATGAGACCACAGGCACTCGAATGCATGCAGATATTTCATGCACCATCCCTTGTTCGCTGAAAGTTAGTATGCAGATCGATCATTTGCCAAGCTGCCGTCCGCCTGTCCGATCATCTTTTACACGATTAGTCCCCCTTTCCATGCCACACAATTGCCGAACTAGTCCGCACCTTGACAAAAATAAATGAACAATGATCGCTTGGCATATGACAAATTCAATGCTTGCTATGGATACGTTACCTGTTCACTGGGCCGGGGGTCTCGTGCTGATATTCTTGTAGGGTAGCTAAGCAGACACAGGAGCCAAGCGCCATATTCCCCACAAATTCAGAATCCGGACATGGAGCAATAACCCGAGAAAGTAAGATGCAGCTCGTTTCCCCAGGAAGAGGTAACTTTAATGCGCACGTCAATGAATTTTGATAGTCAATAGTCGCAGTTTCAGGCACGATTGGCCATTGGGAATATTCTCTGACTAGGCTTTCGAACCATCGGGACCTTTGGATATAGACCGCTGATCAACGAGCCCTATACCAAATTCTAATGACTTACGGAGTATTTTCCAGACTGTCAACCCAACCCCTCACAAAAGGAGACTCGAAAAGCAGAGCAAAAGTATTCGGACGACTCCAAGATTCGGGTCGGTCAGCCAGTCGTCCACGTACAGAGTACTTGCAACATTGCCGATTGTCAGCGGATCACAGAAACTCGGCCCAGAGCACCCAAGTCCTCCGATAGAACCATGTATTTTTCCGCCTAGAGAGATTATCAAGCTCAACTTTGCCGTTCATCCCTATCCCAAAAACAATCCTCCCCCGAGTACCTTATCCACTATCCACCCCCGTAGTCCCGCTGCCCGCATGAATCTAGTCCCCCTTCTGCAAATGCTCCGAATATGACGGCTCAGGCCAGCCTCCCTTCGTCGGCGGGAGACCAGATGCGCCGGATGGATGTAAAGCTATAATCACAGCGTGTTCTCATCAGTCTGTGCTGTCCACACAACCAGATAGGCGTCCCAGATCCACCTCAATCAAGGGGCAATTCCAAATCCCCCTCAGCTTCCTCATGAGTCCAACTGACGGGACCCTGTTTTTGGCTTCTTGCCCCGCCGACTCCCTGACTGGGTATCGATCGGCCTCCGGGGTTTTGGACCTCATGCTTTTCCAGGAGTATGCGAACTGATGGCGTGTGCGACAGCACAGCGTGGTTTCAGAATGCAAGATGCAGGGGGCAGGGTGCAGTATCCATGTGTCTGGTTTTTAGGTCCGGGCTTCGAGGACTTTCTTCTTTGTGTTGGTGGGATCAGTTTACCTAGAATATGAGCTCCAGGTCATGCAGTAAGCCTTCTGAGAGCGGATGGCGCTGTCTCAGGCGAAAGCTCGCGTGCTTCGATCTCTGCCTCCCAAGGTGACTAGCTGGTTGGTGGGAAGCGGGCTCGCCTATCTATGACAGCAGTGCCGCGCTCGGAGATTGATCTTGCATGTTGAAAAGAGGCATAGATGCTTACCCCCCATAGTGACGGAAGTCTGGTGACTGCATCACATGTGAAGGGTTCCGGTCGCTGTTCCCTTCGTACTTATTTGTTATTTACCCTCTTCCTATGATCAGAATACCTATCCCCTTGATGTCAGAGATCGACTATGTCTTTTACCCTCATCATGAACCATGGCTGGTCTAGCTTTGTATTCCGTCCAGAATCAGATACTACAGTAGGAACATCTTAGCACGACTACACTGACACACGCACGGATAGCACAGCCCCCTGCTCAACCCCGCTACAGAATGGAGTCCCCGACTCGCCTGGGCATTGATTGAAATCGGACAAAGTCCCCGAATATATTATACTATTGCTAATATGTCGATGCTAGCTTCTGAAACAGAACAAGTTTTTTTGCCTGCAAGGTGGTGGTAAACATGGGCCATCTTGCGAATGGAGAATCAGCACCCCCGTTCCCATCTTTGCGTCTCAAACCGTGTACGTTTCATGCGATGTCAGTTTTGTGGCTTCCCTTTATTGCGAAGGCTTCGCTGGCCCTCCTGTTTGTCTGCGTGGTGTGGGTTGGTGAGACAGGGAGGTGGGTACAAATAACCTTATTTCGAAACGTCCTAATCGCAACCTGAAAGCTAGATAACTTGAGGACCCTTGATCCAGACCCTTGAATGAAAGGCTGTCATGAGTCAGGGTCCTCGTATTACTTATTTATAACATGAACGATGGGTAATACTGCCTTGAAGTCAAAAACTAGTGGCGGCTCCTAGGAGCGGAGGGGCCATCCAGCAGCTCGTTAGTTGAGACCTCGCAAGTCGCATTATCTCAGACGTCGAACTCGTCGGCCCCAACATCGATGAGCTTGGAGTAGTTGCTGATCTTGCGCCGCTTTCTGTTACTCCGTCGGAGACTGTTCGGGCTTTTCTGTCGTGTGGTTGGTGTCTCTGGGCGCGGGGCTCTGGTACTAGTCGACTGAGAGCTCTCCTTTCGGCTGCTCAGTCTGGTGACTCTGCCGCTCGGACGGTCTGGTGTGGACTGTTTGGGCTGCGCAAGGTCTTCTTTGGCAGTGGCCAGAGACTGCTTTCTCTTGCGACTCCGAGTCTGACTGCCAATCACTGTCACGGTTTCTTCGACCGGTTCTGTATTGCGTTGTTCCTTCGGCTTGGGTGTAGAATCCATGCTGTCCTTCTCCTGGCTGGCCGCTTCGATGCTTGCTTCCCGCTCCTTATCGATCAACGACTTAGTCGCTTTGGTAGGTGGCTGTGAGTCACCTGGCAGTATATACTGCATTGTACTTAGCATGCTTGCGGGTGACAATGGTCACAGACGGACTTACATGGTGTCGAATTTTGAGCATCGGATCCATGATTTCCTCGTCAATCGTCTGCTGGACTTCCTCCGAGGCAGGGATGAAGAACTTCGGCAAGCCTTTGCGTACAAAGCCTTTACTTTTATATCCTGGCGTTCCTTCCAGCAGCTGACGCTTTCTGAGTAATTCCGTCAACTGAACGACGGTTTGGCCATTGCAATCTGCAAACAGTCAGGTCACTGCTCGAGAACAAGAAGCGGTTCACTTACGAAGCTTCTCTGTGAATGTTGATGTGTGACTCGGATAACCTTCTGTCTGTATGATATGAATTGCTTTTCTCAAGAGAACCAGACTAGTCATCTCTTGAAGGACTTGGTCTTCCTTGGGTCGCAAAAGGCATCGATAACAAGCGTGGACGTCAGGTAGTCTGGCGTCGTCACTATCAGTGTATCCGTAGCAAGACAAATGTTGATACGAGTGGCAAAAAGAACATTCGATCTAAGAGGTTTAGTGTCTGTCATATTTTCTTATTATATAGCTTACCACTCACCATAGCTTTAGCCTTTTCCTCGCCGTCCCAGCCGCATTGGCACTTCACGCTGCTTTGACCTCGTCTAATTCGAGAAACAATCAAGCCTTGAGCTTTCAAATACTCTGTGATCTGACGAACACTTTCTTCGGTAAGGACTGGCTTCTGGGGTTGTGCGGGTTGGATATCGCTTATGTCTTCGGATATGCGACGTTCCTGAGGGATGATAGGCTGGGTAGGAGACAAGTCACCATTCGGCAAAGAGTCTGGCGCTTGGGTCTGGGCTGGTCAGTCGCCTTGCCGAGACTAATTCTCAATTTATAAGCATATTTTACTCACATGCTGCATCTCCTGCAATTGCAGCCTTTCGGCGACATCCTGGGTCGGCTCAATGTAGGCATCGGCTTTTTGCGATGGCGTAGACGACGAAGCTTGATCTTGGGCTGATGGAGCGTCTCCATTCGTGCAGCTGTACTGTTCGATCACATTTATGGCGGCCTCGTTCTCTTTCACTTCGAACCCGACATCATCCATTCTCTTAACCACATCCGTGTATTCAAGATCAGGTGGGATCTGAGGCAGAGCTTCTGATCCCTCTGGGTCTGGGCCAGTCCACTTCAAAGATGACACTCTAAGTCCCACACTAAAGACAATCAGCTATACGGGCAGCACAAGAGTTGAGTTCGTTCTTACGTGTGCCATCCACTATCCATTACCCCGCATGATTGCGATTCCTTTCTCCAATTTTCTGTGAGTGGGAACCTGATCGTTTCATCCTTTGCTCCATTGAAACCCGGAGGCTCATAATCAGGAGGGCAATCATCGGTATAGAACAAATGAATTCCCAGGTTACGTTTGTCTGGATCAACCCTTGTTAGCGAGGATTCTTTCGGAAAGAGATAAGCATACTAACTTGGCAGAGCCGGTAGGAAGGCACTGAGGGTGATCAACCGTCTCACAATCGTCTCCAGGCCTACTCGGGCCGATTGCGCAGTCTTTATGTCAGCGACTAGTCCCACTGGATCGATGGACAGGCTTTCAAGACGGTGGTTGATGTCTCCAGACTCTCCAGAGTATTTGAAAGAGAACGTGTAAGACTCGAGGACGTTCTCGGGAGCATCCTTGTCGACGAGGACCGTCAATTGAATCGCTTCCAGCACGTTCTTGCTCAAAGCATCGAAGATGCCGTTTTCCTGCGCATGTCAGTAAGCCGCACTGTGCAACTGCATACGGGATCATACCAATATGTCGAGGATCATATCCGCTTTGGGATCCGAGCCTCGATTGATGATCTTCAGCGGCTGGCCCCGTTTGCCTGTTCCAAAGGGAATTTGCGCGTTGGAGTCCAAGGTAGGACATGGCGTACTCCGATCGAGAAACTCACGGTAGGAGAATTTCTTCTCGCGCTGAGCTTCCTTCAAGTCTCGGTCGTCGAAGCAGGGTAGCGGTAAGAACTCCCTACGAGATAACACATCTATAAGACTAGCTCTGAGGTGAATCGAGGCGGAAAGCCGACGAACCGAAGGTAGAACAAGGTGCCGAACTAGCCATGCATTGTCAGGAGGATGTTGATGGCAAGGCCATACGGATCAAACTGAGGCCTACCGACACATGCAGCATGATCTGGACCATTTCCAGACTTTGTTGCTGCTGCTGCGATATACTTTCTTTAAGCACTAACCTCGGGGGTGCTCCAATGACGGTTTGTGTCTGGCCATTGGCAGTGGGCCCGCTATTCGCGGCTGAATCATGAAAGATGCGAGGAGGCTGTACCTGAAGGGAGGGGGAAAGGGGATTGGATTTTCTGATTCTAGCCATGCTGGGATGGTGCAGCGGGCGCGATGTATGATATGAAGAATGCAATATGGTACGTGTGATCAATGAAAATAGGAAGGGGGAGTGTGGGTGTATGGGGTAAAGCAGAGTAGCATTGCAGGTGAGCGTTCAAGCAATGTTTCGGGGAAAGTAGACCAACGGCGGGTTGACGACATCAGAGCCGACAACCCCCAAGGAACAAGTCACGGGGAATGTGAGCGCCGTTTTTTCCTGCCAGCAGAACCCGCCTTATGATCTATCAATGATCGAGAACTGGTACAGTACATGAACATCCCGTTTGGAGGAGCAACTTTGGATTTCAAAGTTTCCTTTTTTTGATTTAGCCTTCGCAGTTTTCAGTGATGGTGCTTCTGCAGCAACGGATGCCTAGGGTCCAGTTTTACGAGGTATCTCAGCGGGAAATATATATGCAGGCCCAATCTAATACTATTCTAGAGTCTAACTTATCAATGCAGCACTATGTTCGCAATTACTACTCAGTGTGCTGATGATTGCTCAAAGATCTAGATCCTGTGACCATGTGCGCATAAAACCAAGGACATTGGTATTATTGAAAAAGTAAATCAAGCAAGCGCGCATTGCTCACAAACTGCAATGCTTAAATTTGGCCTCCACATGTCCAAATCTAGACTCTGGAACTGCCACTGACCCGTGACTATTTCTACGGTAGGGCTGGAACCAATGGATCAGTGAATTTTCAGCGCAGAATTTATCTCTGGGACCGGCAACCGAATGAAGGTAAGGTAGGTAGTACGAAGTACTTTCGGCAATGGGATAATGGTCTGACTTTATCTGGCACTTCCCCGCAATGCCCTCCTGCCCTCTGGCATGTCTTAGACCCTGATTTCCTTTCCCTGATCGAATAGACATCGGGCCAGCAAGATCGTAGAGAACATCTCCTGTCTCGTCATGCTCCCCGCTACACAACCAGTTTGTTCCCAGTTCAATCAGGTTCAACCCCCGCCAGGGTGATCACGTGTACGGTACCGAGAGTGAGTGGCAAAATCTCATCGCAAGTCGTGCCCGGCCAGAAAACGTGCGATAGTCAGTGGCTGGTCAAATCGTCTCCAACACTGCATCATTGTCATATATGCACTGATAGTGATAGGGCAAAGAGGTTATTGGTGGCGCTGGGAACGGGAACCTACTGTAGTAGCATTCAACTGTTCTGTCCAGAAGGCATGGTCCGACTTTGTAATTTGATCATGTTGCAGTATGAACCTGCATGTCTCGAAGAAATGATTGGGCTCCGGGTCACAGAGTGTTCCGAGCGCTGGGCAAATTGAGTCTGCAGGTCAGCCACACTCAGCAGCTAGCCGCCTCGCCTCTGGAATTTTTTCTTCGTCCTTCTCTTACTTCTTCGGGTTTTTGCATATTCACATATGTCTGGCCTTTGTTCATGGCATTCGAACTCTGCAAATGTTGGAAGACACTTACAGTAAGTCACCCTCTTGATAGCATCATGACCTACAGTCACTGGACCATTTTATACTTAGCACATTCCTTTCCTTCCTCTACTGTCACTGCGGAGACCGAGACTGACGATTTCGCCCCAACGAGGGAAGGAACCTCGGGAAGTCGCCAGATTGGGGTTAGTCCGTTAGATTAAGACTGGAAGAACTTCTTTTCCCCCCTCTCTTTTTCTCCATAGTAGGTAGGGTAATAGTAAATAAATTAGGTAGGTACAGTACAGATCTTGGACAGGTAGACAGCCCAACAGACCACTACGTAGGTTTTACAACTTTACGTAGTTAGCATGCTAGCCTTGTTATTTAGTTGATTAGAAGAATACTAGGTATGAGTAGTGAACGCCTAGTTACCTCTAACTAACTAATTAATTAATTACCTAGTTCTGACTACTGACTAAGTAAACTTCCAACCAGAAAAGAAGGCACGACCCAAACTCGCCCGCCAACCACCTCTAAGTTCCAACGCTCCTCCGATTCCCTTCCTCCCTCCCTCTCCCTCTCCCTCTCCCTCCCTCTCCCTCCCTCCATCCATCCATCATCATCCACTCCCGCCGCCCAACACCTCCTTGTCCCGCAAAGCACGCCACGGCCATTCGCCTTCCCTCAACCCACTCCTTTTTCACCTCTCTCTCTCTACTCGTTTTTCTCTTCGGTTGACCGCTTCGGTACGGACATGATCTAACGACCCTCTTTCCCAATCATCTTGGGCCCTCAAATGGTTTTGACGGGCGTGTATCGTGTTGGCGACCCTCTTTAATACGACTTGTTGCTTCGACTGGAGTCTAACCGACTTCCGCACAAAACAACGCTCCCTCGCCCTGTTATAAAAACCCCGTGGTTTATCGCACTAGCTCTGCAAAGAAATAATCGACCCAACTTCGATGCCGCATACTCCCTCTTAGCATCGACCCTGAGCCTGCTCTGATCAGCTGCGTTGCGCGACGGATCCTCAGATCGGTTCCCCATCTTGCATCCCCGCCCGTTTCATGCCGCCCGTTCCTTGCAATCATCTCGGACTTCACCAACACACCATGGAGGATCAGGAAAATAGTCATGATCTTGGCCCTGGCTCTCCCGGAGCATCTATCGGCCAATTCTCGTTTGCTCCTGCCACTCAAACTACGGTTGTGACGACCACTACGACGACGACCACCACCCTTCCACCAGTGCTTATCAGGCCGCCCCTCGCCGCGACACGAAATCTTGACCCCAAGCTGTATCCTCTGGCATCGTCTCCTACACCGTCATCACTGAGAAACATCGAGTTTGAACTTGGTGGGAAACAGGTTATATTCAACGAGCCTGAGGACACGGCTGCCAGGCTGAAGGAGGTATGTTTTCCTGGTTTCCACTGTTTGTTTGTGATTTTGATCTACCTCACATGCCTTATCTCAGACTGGACGTACCGAGCTAACAATCGTAGTTGAACGAAAGAGCGGTTGCGTTGAACGCTTCGAACGGTATGGTACGATCCGTGACCTCTTTCAGTTCAGATGATGCCCAGCTAGCCCGACGTTCTCAACCCATAAATCAACTGTCCATATCGAAACGTCGTGTGACCGAAAACAGTCACCGAGGCAATCATGCGTGCTCCCTAAGAGTCCCATCCGAGCCCTCGGTTCGTTCGTTTCGTTCTCAAGGCCCGACATCAACGCTTCCTGTGACGGCTGGCCTCGCTACCCCGGAGACGGAAAGCAATAACAGCGCAGGTGAAGGGATCATTCAGAAGCGGAGGGTTTACAGTCTGAGTAATCCTCGAAGAGAGACACTGCTACGATCCCCGTTATCCTCAGAGGTCGAGTCACAAGGAAATATCCCAGCGAATAACATCTGGAGAGAACCTTCCCGCATGAAAACTGTGGTCTCAGACCGAAGCAGGCCGGTAGCTCGGTGTGAAACGGAATCAAGCCTGAGTCGACCCCAACCAGGGGCGGCGGCAAGTCAGGATTCCGGGTATGGCGCTCCAGATGACGATTCTCAACAGCCTCCAACAGAGACTACGTCACAACGGACCTTTATCGATAATCTCATGGCTCAGGATATGTGCTTGCCTAGCCCGAGCCTGTCCCCAGTCGCTGCTATGAACGCCATGAACGTTGATTCCTCCTTCGACTCTGCCGAGGACCCCGAAGCTGACACGGACTCAAGCTACGATAATAATGACACCAACCCCGTTAAACCTCTGCGAAACGTGCAGACCAACGCAACATATCTTGAGCAATCCAGCAACAGCTCATTGGGTCTACTTCAGCGGCGGTCCGCTTCGCTGGCGGATATTCCTGCAGTCCTGGACTATTTCGACGCTGTCCCTGACGAGATGAAGACGTACGTCATGTATCAGTTGCTCAAGCGGTGTTCAAAACCCACATTGCAGTTCGTTGCGGGTGTCGTAAACCCGGCCCTGAAGTGTGATTTCCTGTCTGCTCTTCCGACCGAGCTGAGTCTCAACATTGTCAAATACTTCGATGTTCAAACTATGTGCCGAGCTGCGCAGGTCTCCAAAAGATGGCGACACATTATCAATTCTGACGAGAAGTCGTGGAAAGAGCTCTTTGACCAAGATGGTTTCTATCTTCCCGAAGGCGAGCTGGAACGTGCGATCAGAGAGGGATGGGGGTGGCAGTTTCCCAACGGCACTGACGATTCCGAGAAAGATTTGGGTGCATTGCCTGCCGTCCAATCTGATGAGGAGTCAGGCCACAACAAGACGGTGGTCCCTCTCTCAGAGCCGAGTGATAGAGTGTTGGCTTGGAATCGTCGGCCGAAGAGGAAAGCTGTAACACGTGTTTCAAGCCGTAAACTCTCAAAGAGGAAGATATCATCCAGTGGAACCGATCATTCTGAATCCTCAGATTGGAGAACGGAGGTGTCCAACTCGGAAGGACCTTATGCTGCCGCGACTGCTGCCGCTGCCGCTGTTCCTTATCCAGATATTGGATTGCCAAGTCTGCGAGGCCTTCACCTTTACAAGTCGTTGTATCAGCGTCATCATGGAATTCAGAGAGCTTGGATGAAACCGGATGTTAAGCCGAGACATATTGCATTCGAAGCTCATGGTCGCAACGTGATCACCTGTTTGCAGTTTGATACCGATAAGATTTTGACTGGAAGCGATGACTCGAACATCCATGTTTACGACACGAAGACTGGTGCTCTCAAGGCAACTCTCGAAGGACATGAAGGCGGCGTCTGGGCTCTTGAGTACATCGGCAACACTTTAGTGTCCGGATCCACCGATCGGGCAGTCAGAGTCTGGGACATAGAAAAAGCGAGGTGTACCCATGCCTTCGTTGGGCATACTTCGACTGTACGCTGTTTGCAAATTCTCATGCCAGCGGTAGTGGGGAAAAAGGCAGATGGCTCTCCCGAAGTGATGCCTAAAGAGCCGCTCATCATTACTGGCTCCCGTGATTCCAACTTGCGAGTTTGGAAGCTTCCAAAGCCTGATGACCCGGAGTATTTTCCGGCCAATCCTCTTCTGGACGACCCGGATTGCCCGTATTTTGTTCGTGTTCTTACGGGCCATCAACACTCTGTTAGGGCGATCGCAGCTCACGGTGACACGTTGGTGAGTGGCAGTTATGATTGCACAGTGCGGGTCTGGAAGATCTCAACGGGAGACCTTGTACACAGACTTCAGGGTCATACACAGAAGGTCTATAGTGTGGTTCTTGACCATAAGCGGAAACGCTGTATTAGTGGAGCCATGGACGTCTTGGTCAAAGTTTGGTCTCTGGAGACAGGGACTCTCTTATGGAACCTCGATGGTCATCAATCTCTCGTTGGACTCCTTGACTTGAGATGTGACCGGCTGGTTTCGGCAGCTGCAGATTCTACTCTGCGAGTCTGGGATCCGGAAACCGGTCAATGCAAACATAGGCTAAGTGCCCATACAGGGGCTATCACATGTTTTCAGCATGATGGACAGAAGGTCGTCTCTGGCTCCGATCGAGCGTTGAAAATGTGGGATGTTCGAACTGGAGAGTGTGTCAGAGACCTTCTCACCGACCTGGGTGGAGTGTGGCAGGTCAAGTTCAATGAACGTCGTTGCGTGGCCGCAGTACAGCGTCGTGAAGTGACTTACATCGAGGTCAGTACAAATTATCAATACTTGTTGGGGAAGCATGGGTCGCTAAATATTTTCCAGGTTCTTGATTTCGGCGCTTCGCGTGACGGCGTACCCAGTGAGCAGCTGGGCAAACGCATAGTTGTCAATCGCTGGGGCAACGAAATCACTGATACCGACGAAGAGTACGATTTATCAGATATCTAGATCTGACGGTCTTGCTCGTCTGCTGGCCCAGTTCAGACGAGCGACCTGATGCAAGCGTTGTTCACAACCAGACAACGGCAAACGGCCGCATCATCCTTTCGTTTTTCCTCGACATACCCAACCATGAAACATTTACGATACCCCCTTCATGGATATTTCATTCCTATCATGAGACTTTGCATAGCGTGGTTAGCATAATTTGACATGCGGCATAATGACAGGTCGGCGTTGTGGCACTTAAAACATCATGTTGACCTCGGGGTCAATCTTATTTTCGCCTTGATTACATCCGTTCGCGCTATGTCTCGCATATTCTGTGTCCATATGCATCTAACATTATCTCAAGCCCAGGACCCTGAGACCTCGGTCTCTGTTCATAATATATCTTCTCGACATTGCGGTTGCCATTATTGCTTGCCTTAGAAACCAATGAACACGTCCTGAATCGGCTTTGAGTTGGCTCCCAGTAGAAATAAGTCTCACAGACATTGACACTATAGGACAAATATTGAACAAGTATCATTACAACGTGCTCGCCTTCGATATTAACAGCGCCACGGGCGGCTTGAACATGATCCCAGAATGCTCCGACTAAATCTTATGACCAGGACGTAGCATGGAGTTGGAGATTAAGTCCAGGAGAGCACCATAGCTGGAGAGAAATCCAGGAACCCGCCCTGACTTGACAGACATATGCATATCAATGAGCGAGGACAGCCGAGCTCAACCTTTAAAGTTCCAGCATATGTAGTCTAAATAAGTGCCAATCCCATCAATGGCAGCGGAGAGTGCATAGTTGTCACTCGAATGACACAGGAGATCGTCGCATTCACTTCGACCGATGATGAATGAAAAGAGAATGCCGAGCCTCGGATTAGGGCACATCAACCGTGCCTGGCTTCTCGCTCTCGTTGTACATTCAACGAGACTTTGCTTTTTGGTGCGAGCTCAGAAGAGGCTGCGGTCTTTCATCAGATCCGTGACTTGCGTTTTTTGTTCTTTTTGGTCGGAGCTGGATCATCGGGATTCGTGAACCACTCGTTCACTTCCTCCTCCGCTTCCTCCACCTCCCTCTCCGCTTCCTCCACCATCTCATCATCTACCACCTCCACCACCTTCTCCGGCTGCTGCTGCACCTGAGGAGAAGGGGGAGGGGTCAGCTCCCCACTCGGCTGCACCTGCGGAGAAGGAGGAGGAGGAGGGGGTGAAGCAAGGGAAGCCGACCTCTTAATCACCTTCCCATCGGCGTCGAGATTCGCATCGTACCCAGCCGCCTTAACCACCGCCCACCGCAGCGCCGAGATCCCGATGTACTCGCCTTGGGTGCGCTCGACCTTAGAACAGCAGGTCAAGGTTTCCCCCAGTGGCGGGGGCCCTTTCCAAAACTGCAATGCTCCCCGGGCCCCGATGCGCAACTGCCGATGGACATCACGGACCGTTTCGAAGCCTTTCTCCGTAACGCCGGTTCGGATCTGGGCGGGCTGCTTGGCCAGGAGCTTGTCGATCTTGGCGACGACTATTTGATAGGGGATGCCGTATTGGCTGAGGAGCTTGAGGACTTCGATGTCCCATCTCTTGAGACCGTGAAAGCCGTCTATGAGGACGAAGACGCGGCGGAGTCTGTTTTTTGGTCGTGGTTAGTGTGCGTTAGTCTGACTGGAGCTGATATTTTTGGAGGGGGGTTTATTTAGCGAACGAACGTACTGCTTCCTCTGTTTCAAATACTTCATGATTTCCACGCCCCAATCCCACCGACCTCCGTGTCCGTACCCCGGCATATCCAGGAGCACGATCTTCGACTCCCCGCCTTTCGTGCCGCCGATGCCGAAGGCGTTCATCTCGCGCGTGCGCCCCGGTTTCGACGACGTGTAGCAGATTTCCTCGCCCATGAGGCGGTTCAGCACCGAGCTCTTGCCGACGTTCGATCGGCCCAGGAAGCACACCTCGGGCTCCTGGGAGGACATCGGCGTCGTGCGGAACTTGCTGGCGGACCAGAGCTTGATCGGGGAGTGGCGCGAGGGAGCGAAGAGTTTGTCGGCGTAGGCCAGTTGCGCTTCATTGGGACATTGTGTCTCGTGGTAATCGTTCAGCACTGTTTTTGGGAGGTCGGAGAGGAGCGTCTTCTTGATGGGTTGGTGCCCGCCTTGCTCTGCCGGCGCGAAGGGCTGTTCATCCTGCTCTGATGGCGATGATGATCTCGTCGGCAGGGTTGAGGAGAACGTTCGATGGAACTGTGTTGGTGAGGATCTTATTGGAGTTAGGAGGGCGCGTAGTCGGGGAATCATGGTTGCGGTGAATATTGTGTGTTCCATCTTGGGAAAATGATTGATTGAGAATTTGTTTGAATTCGCAGACAAGCTTTCGTCCTCCGCGGCCGCGGCAATGAGGAAATCTGCCGGGCGGTGACATTCTAGGTCGGTCTGTTGGCTCCACCGCCTGAGCGATAAGAGGTGAGAGAGATCGGAGGGGTCGGAGAGCTTCGGAGTTACTGCAGGTACTACTAACTACTGCCAGTAAGTACGTGTGCCTGAGCTTTATTCAACTTCGTCACTTATTCTCTACAGCCAAACCTCTCACCCTGATTCTGTACATACCTGCACTTAGAGGGAAAGGGAACGTCATCTCCTGCCCAAAATGATCAACGCCGTCCTCGTGTTCAACAACAACGGTCAACCCCGTCTGACCAAGTTCTATACTCAAATCGTGAGCTCTCCAGGCCAGGCCGCACAACCCCCGCTTCATCATGGCTAACCTCCCTTCTCCTACAAAAAGGACACGCAAACCAAACAGACCCTCATTACCCAGATCTACAACCTCGTCTCCCAACGACCCCCCAGCGCCTGCAACTTCCTCCCGCTCCCGCCGCTGCTCTCGCGCGGCGCCAGCTCTAAAGCCGCCAATGGCCCCTCCGATGCGCCCACCCAGATCACCTACCGCACCTACGCGACGCTCTCCTTCATCATGATCTCCACCTCGACCGAATCGCCCCTCGCGCTGATCGATCTGATCCAAGTCTTCGTCGAGGCGCTGGACCGCATGTTCGAGAACGTCTGCGAGCTGGACCTCATCTTCGGGTACGAGACGCTGCATGCGGTGCTGGGCGAGATGATCGTCGGCGGGGTGGTCGTCGAGACCAACATCGAGAAGATTGTCGCCGGGGTGAAGAGTCAGGAGGGCCAGCTCGGAAAGAAGAGGGCGATCCAGGCTGCCAGTTCAGGGATTGGGAGGGGTGGATTGCCTGGATTGGGCGGGTGGAGGTGGATCCCCTCGGAAACGGATGGTTAACTCGGTTGGCTATGTGTGAAGTGAAGGGAAATGTGATACCATAGTTGGATGGAATGAGTGTTATGTGTAATGATGTCCTTGCGATATGAATGTGCTATTTGTATGAATGCTGTTTCTACTCTTGGCGTATGGTTATGTGATTAGACTAGACTTGGCTTTGATAGAGAACCGAGCGCTCTAATAGGGCAGCTTAGGCACTGTGCTTAGCGCTATGATTGACTAAGTCATAGGGCCAGCTCGAGCAACCAGCAATAGATCGACGAGGTTTTATGAATCGAAGCTGCATGCCTGAATACTCTATAGAACACGACTTCACCGCCTAAGGCAGGACTGAAGGGCTGTACCCTACACACGTGACGTACCACTATCTCCCATTCCGGCACGCAAGTTAATCCGAGGGCGGCCCACAGAAGCCGCGGCGGCCTTTTCTCCGCGAAAATCAAATTGCTTCCCTCTTGTTCCTTCTTTTCTCTCGATCGTCAATCCCGTCACTCAACGCCGCTGCGGATCTCAGTCGACAACAATGGTGGTAAGCATTTGAGATTTTATAACCCAGTTTGGATTGCACTCCTCTATATCCTCTAGAGAGAGAAACACCTTGTCATCGACAATCGCCCACACGACATGTTGTGTGAGACACCACAACTGTAAGAACGTCGGTGGGCTTGCATCTCGCACAGTCGAGATAGCAAATGTTTCCGCTGCATCCGCCGGCTCTCGGGACCTCTTGATTGAGCCGCTCTCGAGAGAAGGCGAATCAGTGATGATTTGGCTGGAGTCGCAAAGTTGCAGTAGATCCTTCTTTTCTTCTGTCACATTGAGCTTGGAATAAAGTTCGTAAATATGGGATGGAACGAAGAAGGAAATACTGCGACTTTGCGATCTCTCTAGAGTTCAAAAAGAAGAGTTTCAGCAATGAAAAAAAAAATGGGTGGAGCACACAGATGCTGATTTCTTCTTTTTTTCTCAATGACAGCCCCCTAAGTCCGGAAAGAAGGTTGCCTCCCTCCCTTACCCCCAGGGTAAGGCTGGTTCCAAGAAGACCGCTAAGGTAAGCACTGACTGACTCTCCCCTGCTTCGTCCCGACACCAGGCGATGCTAATAAGTCTTCCGTACAGAACCCTCTCATCGAGAAGCGTTCCCGCAACTTCGGTATTGGCCAGGACATCCAGCCCAAGCGCAACCTGAGCCGCTTCGTCAAGTGGCCCGAGTATGTCCGTCTTCAGCGCCAGAAGAAGATCTTGAACCTCCGCCTCAAGGTCCCCCCCTCCATCGCTCAGTTCCAGAGCACCCTGGACCGCAACACCGCTGCCCAGACCTTCAAGCTCCTCAACAAGTACCGCCCCGAGACCAAGGCCGAGAAGAAGGAGCGTCTCCACGCCGAGGCCACCGCCGTCGCTGAGGGCAAGAAGAAGGAGGACGTCTCCAAGAAGCCCTACAACGTCAAGTACGGTCTCAACCACGTTGTCGGTCTCGTCGAGAACAAGAAGGCTTCCCTCGTCCTGATCGCCCACGACGTCGACCCCATCGAGCTGGTCGTCTTCCTGCCCGCCCTCTGCCGCAAGATGGGTGTCCCTTACGCCATCGTCAAGGGTAAGGCCCGTCTCGGTACCGTTGTCCACAAGAAGGTATGTTCTTGAGCCTGTTCCTCCAATCAATCAAATCCCACAATCATCTAACACCTATCTCAATCTAGACCGCTGCCGTCCTCGCTCTCACTGAGGTCCGCCAGGAGGACAACTCCGAGTTCTCCAAGCTCCTCTCCGCCATCAAGGAGGGTTACACCGACAAGTACGAGGAGTCCCGCCGCCACTGGGGTGGTGGTATCATGGGCGCCAAGGCTGTCGCCCGCCAGGAGAAGAAGCGCAAGGCCGTTGAGGGTGCCATCCGTGTCTAAGCTAGTCCCGTGTCACCAGATGATCCATCCCCCACCAGCTTAGTTACTATGTGAACCGAAAGAATTTCACAATGCACTGACGGGTTTACCACGAACAAAAAGTTTATACCCAAAACGAGCAAAATTCCTTGATTAATGACGCGGTCCACCCCCTCTTACTCTTCTTCTCTTCTTTCCATGTACAACGTTGCAGATACCCATGAATGCTATTTTCTCTCCCATCAAAACAAGACTCCAATATGCTCCTCGCTCCCCTCAAGCCCCTCTTGCTTTAACTGTAGTGTTCTACTAGTTGAGGAGATCCAAATAGCATTCATGTGGAGAGCCCTGCACCTCGTATCTTGTAGAGTCCATCAAGGATATCAATTAGCGTATCTTATCCCCTTGGCCGGCCTAAGGAACCTTTCGACTATCAAGGAGCAGTAGGGCAGGTCTGTCAGAATGACGTCTCATCCGCAGGCTTTACGCCCAGAAACCTGATATCTCAGGCCTACAGACACCATCGATCAATGTATATCCTTGTCGGCATCACAATGCAATCGCGGACTGCCATTCCTAGTTCCACACCACCCCAAAAGTGAAAAAATAGAATACAAAGCCCATCGAATCAAAAGCATAGTACAAGAAAAAGGGGGCAAAGAAGCATCTATACATCAGAAACAAGCAAGCGTGGTATGCTGGCGTGTGGTATGGTACTGGCAAAGCTAAAAACCCAGCAGAAAGTGAAAGTCAGAAGAAAAAAGCGAAGATCAATGTAACCCCCCAACCAACCCTGCTTTCCCTTGCGATCAACAATCCATTTGCTCCATTTCCCTCAAGCAATGACAAGTGCCGCGCCGTTGATTGGGGAGAGGAAAATCAAATCCAGTATACAAGGACGACAAGGAGTACCCACGCGATAAAGGAAAATAAGGAAAATAAGAAGCGGTGAAAGAATTGTTAGAGGGCTCTGTGCACGGAAGGCGTGCAGCTAGAGGCTGTGATATCGGTTCGGAGCAAGGGAAATATAAGATTTGATGGAGGGGAGTCGAATAGAAGTTGGTTTTGTCGGTCATTCCGGGGTCATTAGCGTTGAGCGGGTGGTCTTGTAAGGCCTTGCCTTGCCTATACCAAGTATACCTCGTTAGTCTCCCGTTCCTGGCTAACGGTGAAACGGCGTTATGCTTACCTTCATCTGTTCAATTCTTGCTTTGAGTTGGCTGGTCACTTCCGCAGCTCTCTTCCAGTTTTCAGCGGGTTCTGTGGTTCTGGCAGGTTGGTCCTCACCTGAGGCACTGCCAGAGCCTAGCACAGATGAACGGGTGGGACTTCCCAAGCCAGAGTAGCCCGTGCCGAATGAAGGGCTGAGCTTCCGCCGACCGAAACCTCCCTCTCTGGTGCTTAGCGCTGGAGAGTCCAGGCCGTTGTTTTCCTTCTCCTCACTGGGGCTAGTGGATGCATAGCTACGGGGCCTGGAGCTATCGAACCTGGACCCTATGTGGAGACTAGCTCGAGACATTGGATTGTAGCTGTTGTTGCCCGGGTCCTGGTAGACCGATCCGGCCTCCGAGATACTGATATTGTCGGGCAAGGCATTCGTTGGGCTGATAGCACTGGCGCGCAAAGCCCGAGCTAACTCGCGCTTGAGACGCTCAATCTCTCGTTGTTGCTTCTGGACCGTTTGTTCGGCTGCCTCTGCATCACTGCGAGCTCGGACCAATTGTGTCTCCTTGGCTTTGATGCTCAGAACATCCCTAGTGTGGTCTTCGATGAGTTGCGCGTTTTGATTTTGAAGTTCTGTGATCTGAGAATTCAACTTGGTTCTGTCGTATTTCAAATCGTCAATTGTGCGCGTATATCGTTCTTTTTCGAGACGCAACTCTTCCAACTCCGCACGTTCAGCGGCAGACATCCCACTCATCTGAGGTGCGACTGGAGCTGGAGCTGGCTCCGCCGGAGCCGATGGCCTGGCGATGGGTCGACCAGCAAGGCCCCTTCCAAGAACAAGCCGAGGAGGTGGTGGCTGATCCTCCGAGGGAGGTGACATAACGCGCCTTTGAGGTGATGGCAAACCAGCCTGACCAGCAAGCCTCTTCTTTAAACCGCTGGGAGCAGGAAGGCCGCCAGGGCCGCCAGGCTTCGCAGGTCCGCCCAACTTAGATGGGATTGCTCTCGTGGCGGGCTTGGATGGAGACGGTGCTGGTGCTGGCTCCTCGACAGGAGGCGGTGCAGCTGCAGCTGCGGGCCTCTTCGTCCCCAGTGCCGGCTTCTTGCCACCGAGAACCTTCTTGCCAACTGCAGAGGTGGTCTTTGGCGGGCCAACGATGGGCTTGGGTCTTTCCTTCGCTTTGACTTCGGCCGTCTCGTAAAACTCCTTGATCTTCGTCTTCCGGATTTCGTCAAGACCTTCGAGGTAAGGATTCATCGCCCGTTCACCCAGGATCTTCATCAAGGTACCCAGAATCTCCGCTCCTCCAGCACGATTGACCTCACTTGACTCAGTAAGTAGCTTAGTTGCTGCCTCTGCGATCGACTTGATCTCTGGTTTAGCCGGCACATCTCTGGTGGTCCGAAGACAGCGAATCAAGAACTTGAGCGTTTCTTGCTTGACTTGCGGGTTCTTGTGCTTGAGAAATTCGAGAATCTCCTCCAGACATTCGCTCAAGCTAGTAGCGACAAAGACCGAGTCGAGTGCCTGACCGAGGGCGTCTGCAACGCTCTGCTTCTTCTCCTTCAGACGTTCCAACATCGGTGCCATTATACTGGCGCGGTACTTCAGGAACCCACTACGCAGGCCCTTTGCAAGTAGATCAACACAATTGGCGGCGACAGTCACGACGGCAACATTAGCGTCTTTCATTGACTTTGCCAGTAACCGAACAACCTCGTCAAATTGCCCATCCTTAATCCTGGGCACATTCAGTACTGTATAGAGCGCATCCAGGGCCTCTTTCCTGTCCTTCCATTTTGATGATGAAAGCTGTTCCGAGAAGTTACCGGGGATTTTGGACGCCACATCTACCGGCTCTGCCAGGTCGAAGACGTCGACTTCGGCCTCTTCCTCTGCGTATTCCTCGACTCCTTCCATCTCATCGTCGCCAACTTCTGGAGCGGCACTGGCAACGGCCATAGCATCCTGTTGTGCTTTTGTAAGCCTTTCCTGCTTTGGTGGCGGTTCCTGTTTGACGTTTTCAAATAGCTTCTCCAGATCCGTCTGTTGAACAGGTTTCAACTCGCCCCAGAAAAGGGGCTTGATGGCCTCCTTCAGCCACCGGTAAAGCTCCACAGTGAGGTTCTGGGCTTCTGCGCGAACGTTCTTATCGGCGTGTCCAAAGACCTTGGGCAAGGCTTTGAGTACCGGCTTCGGATCCACGATCTTACAGCCAAAGTTGTGATAGATCGTCTTCAGCCCCGCCAACGCGGCCGCAATCACCTTGGGTACTTTATGTGACAACGCGGGCAGCATCTCTTCGATAATCGGATCGGCCTTGTCCAGCTCCACGCACAGAAGGAGGGCCTCGATCGCACTCGTTTTGGCGGCGGGTCGAGTAGATATGAGACCTTTCTCACAGATAGGAAAGATTGTAGTTGCGCGCGTTCTAGCAAAGTCGGACTCGGTCAGCTTCTGCTCCCATACACATAAACACACCAAGCCAGTGATCAAAGCACTCCCCGGCGCACCAAACAAAAAAGGAATGATAGAGACAAATAAATACCTGGTACAAGCCTGTACACCACCAAACTTCAAGAACGCACAATAAGCCCCAAGACCTTCTTGTTGAGCCGCCACATTGGAATCCGCCACTGCTCCTTTCCAGAGACCAGGGTCTTGTATGAATGGTGTGAATACTGGTGCCGACTCGTCGGGCGTTTTCTCGAATTGTTGTTTCGCATCCTCGTATCCTTCCTTGCGGACTTTCCAGTTCTATGGAGGGTGTCGCAGTCAGTACAGGTCGCCAAGCCACACGAAGAGCTCGTTGAGAACAAGAAGGGCGGAAGATTATCGGGAAAAGGGTCAGCTAACCTTGTGCGCGAACCGGTCGGGCAATGGCAAGGAAGAAAAGTCCTCCTCTCCGTCAGCCATTCTGACGGTTCAGAAATCGAAAAACAAGTCTCTTTCTAGATGTTGGGAAGGAGAGATGGGTCAGCGATTGCGATTTCCATGCAGCGGACCAGATAACGTCAACAGCGCTTGTTCGGGGACTTGGTCCTCGAAATGACGGGCTTCATCGCGTTAGAAGAATCATGAAGCTTGATTCCGTTGGATGCCCGGAAAAGAGGGGCAGTTTCGAACAAGACTTTGGTTTCCTCCAAGAGCGACTACGTACCTGAAATTTCGCAGATAAGTTGCAGATCTCGTGCACGGGCGAACAGGTGCGAATACAGACAGGGCGTGGTTCCGGAACTCACAACCAGCACACAGTATGGAGGGGCGATTCGAGCTTAGGTGAAATCTGTCCCAGAAGGTAGGGCGATATACAGTTTGGAGTATAGATAATAGAAAAGTCCTAAGGAGGGAGAATGTCGATTGATAGACGATTACAAAGAGAGGGAGGAGGAAGTGGAGGGAAAGTAAACAACGGCAAAGTCACTGGGGTGACTTCGCGACCCAAAGAGGGCTTGGCAGCCGTAATTTTGCTGCCCGCACCAGCAAACCGGGGGGGGGGGGGGGGGGGGAGGCACAACTTGTTATTGTCAGGTATCAACATTGATTTTGGAAGTGGGTCAGAACAAGTGGAATGAACGGAGTGACGTATCTCTGAGAAACATGTCAATACTCTTCTGAACTGTTAGTGATACCCTATTATCTAAGAGTTTCAACAGTATGCGAGACTGTTCAGAAGTATACGCCGTCTTGGCTCTACTATCAGAACGTAGCGTCGCGTATGCCTTCCTCTTTACCCCGGAATTTGGCTTACAGACTAGCTTGACAAGCGACAATTGTGAATTTCGCAAAATGCTATATGGATAGTAGCTATAATATACACAAGTGTTACATGAAACCCATACACAATCAAAGGGGGAAAAATAAAATAAAAAGTAGGTCAGAAACACTCGACCAGTTCTAGTCAATCCACTCATCTCGCTGTTCTCCTTCTCCCGCGTAACGAAGCCAGCCCAACACGAAGAAACTCCAATCCATTAGTTCAGGTTAGCCTTAGCAGCAGGTGCAGTCTTAGCTGCAGGTACATCCTTAGCATCCTGAGCAGCCTCGGCAGCCTCAGCAGCAGGCGCAGCCTTCTTCGGTGTCAAAGCCGGCACCTTCGACTTGCGGCGTTGATGAATTAATTTCTGGATGCGCCCGATGTGCTCACGGCTGGGGCTGTGCTTCTGCGTCTGCTTCTGCAACTTCTTATCACCGCCAGCAGCCTCTCTCCGTTTGGTCTCCCTGCGCTGCCACTTGGCCTGCCTCTTGGTCGCACGCTCGGCGTCTCTCTCCTCTCGCGTCATCACGGCCGGTCGGTCCTCGAGGGGCTGTCCGAAGGGCGCGATGATGCGCTCCACCACGTGGTTGACACGCCGGCCCTTGGGGGCGCCGGACGAGAACTCAATTACGTCGCCCTCGCGGAGCGACTCGCGGGGGTCCGAGACCTTAATGTACACCTTCTTGGGGTAGTACTTGCGGAGGTGGGCGTCCCACTCGATGTTCAGGTGCTCGACCCGCACGGTGCGCTCCATGCGGCCGGCGGATACGACGGTGCCCTTCTTGAGCTTGTAGGGGTACTGGCGGAGGGAGGGAGGGACTTTGGTCTTGACGCTCTTGGAGGCTTTCCGGGTCCGAATCGGTGGCTGCTCCTGCTGTTCCTTCTGCTCCTGCTCCGGCTGGTGCTCGGATTGTTGCTCCTGCTGCTCCTGCTGTGGCGGCTGCGGCGGCTGCTCTGGTTGTTGCTCGAGGAACTTGGGAGACGTCGAGGCGATGGATCGTTGGAAAATTGTAGGTCGGGAGAGGTATTGAGAAGCGGGGGCGGAGGTGCGGAGGACGGACAATCGCAGGGGCTGAAATGCCCGGACTAGGTTGCTGAAAGACATGGCGAATTTTGTGTGAGATAGAACTGGTTCAATTGAAGGGATGAAACGGAGGAATCGTTATTCGATCACGGCCGACTCGATCTGCTGGCAAGGCCGCACTGCTCGTGGGGGGCGCGATCGTGCGAGGCTTCCCTGTAAGACGGATCCCTGTCAAAGGGCGGTGTTCAAGGAGGGAAAGGGCGGTATATGGGTACCGTAGAGCCGAAGCCAGAACGCGACAAGTGCTGGCGTAATGCTCAATTTGGTGGATTTTAGATCGGAGCAGTATCGCGGTTGCGGAAGAGTTGGCCGAGAATTTCTGAAATCTCGGGCCTGTTTGCACGGTTTGCACCAGCTCTCTCCGCGTCGCATCTCAAGCCATCATCAAAGTCCAGCCACACGAGCACACGATTACACAACTTACGTCAAAGCAAGAGCACCTGATAAAACTTATGTCCATAGCTCCCGATAATAAAGCATCAGAGCCGAGAATTGAGAAGTAGGCAGTTGAGATTATTCTAAACAATGCACCCTGTACATACACAGCACCCCAACACCTCGAGTCTCCTTTCCGGACAAACCATGAAACCTGTGGCCTAAACGCAACAATGACTCTTTCAATGTACCCCATTCTACGGAAGAAGAAGATAAATGAATCGACTAGGAATGGAGCAAGGACGCCATATAGTCAAAGATAAAAATAAAAAGAACCCTAGCTACGGACTTCCCTCGGATCCGATCCTTTTTGCATGACGGACATAGGGCTGGCTATCTGCATTTCAACGTCATGCCTATGGTTGCTGCGTAGCCTGGATGCCATTCGAATGTTCCGAGGTTCCAGCGGCCAGAGAAGCCTTCCTGGCTTGGAACTTTTCCGCCGATTGGTTTGATATCCGAGTCAACTCGGTGACAAAGGACTGGCCCCAAAATGCACTAGGTTGCATTAGTTACAAAACTCGGAGGATTTTGTCAAAGTTTAAACCATACCTCGTGTACTTGTTCACGTATTTGTCCAGTTTCGAAAAGTTCAAAGCTCTCTGCTCGTCACTCATCGTGACAGCCTCCTGATAAGCCGCCGCAAGCTCTTCTGTGTTCCAGGGGTTGATAATGATACTGCCGTTCAAACTTTGCGCCGCGCCCGCAAACTCCGAGAGTACTAGGCTGCCGTGACGCTTCTTTTGGGTGGCAATGTATTCGTAGGCAACGAGGTTCATGCCATCACGGGTAGATGAAACAATGCAGGCATCGGACACCGCATAAAGGGCAATCAGCTCATCAAAGTTGACTGACTTGTGTAAGAAGTGAATCGGCATGAACTCAACAGTGCCTGTCATTGAATTAGCGACGCCTTTTGACGAGCACTCTTGGAACACTTACCGAACTTGCCGTTGATTCGACCCACAAGTTCGTTCACCACGGCCCGCAGGTTTTGGTACTCTTCCACATCTTGTCTACTAGGGACCGCTACCTGGACCAGTACAACCTTGCCAACCCACTCAGGATGATCACTGAGGAAAACCTCGAGGGCGTGCAGTTTTTGGGGCACGCCCTTGATATAGTCAAGACGGTCGACGCCCACCATTAGCTTCACGCCCTGGAATTTCTGCTCCAGCATTGCAATGCGCTTTTGAACCTTCTCCTTCTTAAGGCCCTCCTCAAACTTCTCGGGGTCGATACCAATTGGAAAGGCGCCGCAGGCAATCAGTTTGCCCTGAAACTCGATTCCGTTCGGCGTAGTAGGCAAGCCTCTGTGGCTGAAGTTAGCACCTCTTGGTATACCGAGAGAAAGACAACGATCCAAATACATACAGCAGACGAGAACAAGCGCTGAGGAAGTGTCTGGTATAATCATAAGTGTGGAAGCCGATCAAGTCACAGTGAAGGACACCGAGCAACAGTTCATTTCGTACAGGAAGGATTCTGTAAATTTCACTGCTTGGGAAGGGAGTGTGAAGGAAGAAACCAATCTTGACATTCTCCTTGCTGTTACCGATCTCCTCGCGAAGCATCTCCGGAAGCAGCATCAGATGATAGTCATGAACCCAGATTAGATCTCCGTCTTGGACTTCTTTTGCAACGGCCTTGGCAAAGAGACGGTTGGCTTCTTTGTATGCTTCCCAGGCAGATTCATCGAAGGTGATCTCGCCGGGGTGATAATGGAAAAGAGGCCAGAGAATCGAATCTAGAGGAGTGGAGAAAGAGGTCAGCCAAGCCGATCATGGTATTGGCTTTCTAGTAAATTGCGCTGGCTATGCGACGCAATTGGGACAGGGACGAACTGACTGGAAAACCCGTTGTAGTGGCGATCCGCAAGCTCATCATCGATAAAGACAGGAACAGCACCGTACTCGTCCTTCAAACGTTGTTTTACCTCGGGGATTTCCTCCTCTGGGACTTCCAGACCGGGCCAGCCGTACCATTGGAAAGTGGTGGATTTCGACAGACCGCTGAGTCCACTGACCAACCCACCGGAAGACATGGAGAAGTCATATCTGCCATCCTCGGATCGCTTGATGGTGATCGGAAGACGGTTGGAGACTAGTAACAACCGCGCCTCATTCGGGACGGGGTTTTCGAGACAAGGCATGATGTCGGTGATGCGGGGGGCGGCACAAGTGTAGATAGTCAAAGGTGCGCAGTCGGTTTAATGACCAATGATCTCAATCAGCACACAAGCGGAGGATATCGGAGCTCGGAGCAGATAAGAATGTATGGAGATGTCGTAGAGATTATAATGACTTAATTGATAGGAGGGAGAAAAAAGATTGGCAGAAGGGCGGAAGATGGAGGGGTAGGACAGGAAATTAATCCGGGCCAGTCTGAAGATTGAGCGGAAGATTAGGAAATTGGCAAGTTCGGAGAGGAACCTGTACTGGGGGCAAAATAGCCTCTTTGAAGATGAGAGTGGAAGGAAGAAAATGGAGACAGAAAGGGAAAGCACCAACAAGCAAGCAGCACCTCTCAGGTGGTGAGGGAGAAGAGGGCAAGTTGAAGACGTCTAGGAGTACTAGTAAAGGTAGTGAGTGGGTTTGGCCGAATGAAGTGACCTCACCGCAGCGGGCAGCGCGCGGACCAACCGACCCAGGCTTGGGCTCGGGCAAGAAGATCAAAAGAACCCAGCAACTTCACTAGCAAGTTCATCGACTGAACCAGTGATGGGGTGGGGAACAGATGCACATCCAACAGAAACTCTCGCACTCTGTTGTTGTCAGGTTATTTGGCGACAAAGTGTTGCGGGGATGTTTAAATAGAGTAAGAGGGAAGAAGGAGCATGGAGTACTTAGTAGTTTAACAGATAACTGAAGAAGAAGTGGAGGAAGAGAACTTAAGGGATGAATGGATGGATGGAGTGGAGGAGGGGGAGGGGAGAGGAGGAAAGAAGCAGGTGGGGTGGGGAAAGAACTACTCATACTACTCATACGAGGACTTCTCCTACTTCTCCCACTACGAATACTAAGGATTGCTTGCTGTCTGCCCCAAGGCTGATTGATGAAGTCACAGCCCGGTTCACAGTCAAAGAATCTCTCGGCGCGGGTTTCCTGCCAGCCACTCATCCGCCCCCCCATTCTTCCCTTCGCTTTTCAGAAAGAGAACTAACTAACTACCGTAAGGGGACCACAAACATGATTCACTCAGCAAGTTAGTTGAAACTACAGTTGGTCTTAAGCAGGAACTTGCCATGCCATGCTATGCTGCCAGAGTGCTGTCATTCTACTTCAATCTGAAGTCCGGGCCTGATTCGCCCCGCCCAGATTCGGACATGATGACGGCTGGACGGCGTAATCGCATAAGTAACCATGGCCACTTTACCACAACGGAGCAGCTTCCGTACATTTGCTATACACCGGTGGGTTTGTCAATCTTAAGTTCTCAACTGCTACAATTTCCCTCTCGCATTGGACCAGTCATCAAAACAATCTCAAATCAGCCCACATCACCAAAGTATGAACACGAAGCCTACAAGCCCAGAACTCACTTGGGCTCAGTGGCATGCCCGAATTCGTCCCAAAGAAGTCCCGGCAGTGGATGGCCCCGGGGTCTAGCCCATCCCCCTCTGAGGAACGAAATTAACTTCCTTTCATAGTAATATCTGGTTCCTAGAATATCCGAACAAGACTCTCTTACTTCGTGTCTCTCTATGGATCTAACTTACGGTCATCCTGCAGCCACTCATGAGATAACGAATTCCCGCATCCCGTTTCAACGGGCTCAAAGCGGAGACTTGCCACGCTCCACGCTCCATTCACCCAGATCCCTGTCATGAACCACTCTACCTTCATCCTCCAGCTTCTGTAACACCAACTGGACGCCATGGGAGGCCGGTAAATGCAGGTTCTCCGGGACGTCTTTGTAGATCACCTTCACCAGCTCTAGGGGCGTCCAGAATGTTTTCTGTTGAGTAGCGAATAGTTCACCTTCTGGCCCATCAAGCCGACCATATCGAAGAACCCGAATGACTTCGTCCTCCCTCTGTTGTCGATGCTTGATGTACTCGGAGATCTTGGACGTCGCATTCTCAATCACTGCGCCATGACCCGGGTATCCGCGGCCAGAAACCCGATGCTGCATCCTGTGTAGACTACTCACGTAATCTCGGAGGTCCTCAAAGACACTGGTACCATGCCCCAGGACATCTGACGCGTTTGAATCAGCAACGAGTCAAGATGGAGCCAATCAACAACCACTACCCATCGAAGACCACTTACTATCCCCCGTGAAGACGGCATCCTCCTCCTCGAGCACAAACATCATATGGTCGACCGTATGGCCAGGCGTATGATACGCCCGCAGGGTGGCACCTTCAACCCTGAAAATCTGGCCATCTTCGATGCTGCTCTGTCCGGGTCCCGGTTGGTGCTTGTAGACCGTCACGTTGGGGCAGAGCTCCAAGAGGTCCGGTATACCTTTGACATGGTCATGGTGCCAATGCGTGAGCAGAGCCTGCTGCACCGTCGCGTTTTCCTGGGCAAGGACGGCTTTGAGGTGGGATGCCCAGGATGGTCTGCCCTCTCCCGTGTCGATGAGAATCCGCTGGTGGCCTCGACCGATCAGATATGTGTTCGTGCCTGCTCAGCCACGGTTAGAGTTGTGCGATGGATGCCGAATGATTGGCCTGCAGGAACGCTCAGCACAACCTACGTACCTTGAAGGGTGAACTGTAAGCAGCAGTCAGTGATCAGATTGGAGAACGGAGCGTTGCATATGCTGGATGTATGCTGGAGTCTGTGTAGACGAACCTTGCCCGGATTTCCGCCCAGTATCCTAACCACCGACGTGCTTAATCGTTCCACCTCCGCCAGGGTAACAAGCTGCGTGGCCATGCTGCACTTGGCAGTCGCCGCAAATTCTCAAGCCTGGGGAGTATTAGCGGCTTCGGCGAATGGATTGCCGTGCAAGATTCACAGTCTGGGAAGTAACGAGTGGGTGCAGTGAAAGCGAGCGGGAATCTGCTTACAAAAGCGATTATGATATGAACCCTTGAAGACGCGATCCTCGTGCCCTATGATGAGCCAGTTCTGCAGGTATACGCTAGAGTCAACCGAATGGTAAATGATCAATCCCCCGCGGCGCGGAGTAATTGGAATTGGAAAGCCAAAGATCAGACACGTCACGTGCGGGTGAGTGATACTCTCTTATGGCCAAAGTCGGAGTGAGAGCCCTGTGGACCGATTGAGCCACCGATCATGGCAGAGACGAGGTAAATCACATGGAGAGCACACGGCATAACTACACTGCATGGGTTGTTGCTGTACGGCTATCTACCAAAGCGGGGTGCGCCGTGCTGGCCTCGGCCTCATCGGCATATTATTTCGTCTTATGTCAGCATACTAAAGAAAAAAAGGCTGAGGGTAGGGCAGGTTGCTGTTTCATGCATGCTACGAGGGTGAAGAAGTAGTCAGGTTACGAAGATGCACGGTTGGAACAGAAGGAAAAATGGTATGCACGCAGTCCCTAACATACAGTGTATGATATAAAACAAAACAAAAAGAGTATATCCATGTAGTCCACCCTAATTCTGAAGGGTACAAATGAAACCAGACCCAGATGGCAGAAACAATTCGTTAGATTTTTCGGATCACCACTCCGCACCTCTTCAGCAGCCACCCCCGTCACCGACGCTGCTCCTTAACATCCACGAAGATCACTGTTGCACAGCACGCCGAATTACCGGCTATGGTGCCCAGATGAGTCTTCCAGATATCATCAGATTTCATCTCAACGGACAGAAACCAGGAGTTGTAGTTTACAGATGAGCTGAACACTCATTGTGGCCGTAGGCCCATCTTGTCGGGTTGCTTGGATGACTGGCAATTTAAGCCCTGCCAGCCTTGCGGGCCATGGTGTTCAGGGCAGAACCATCCTTGAACCACTCGATCTGAGACTCGTTGAAGGTGTGGCTGAGCTTGACGTCGAAGGAAGAACCATCCTTGGGGTGGACACGGAGGGTCATGGGCTTGCCGACCTCGAGCTCGGTGCAGAGGAGGTCAACCTTGTCATCGGGCTTGATCTTGTCGTAGTCGGCAGGGTCAGAGAAGGTCAAGGGAAGCATACCCTGCTTCTTGAGGTTGGTCTCGTGAATACGGGCGAAGCTGCGGGTGATGATGGCAAGACCACCAAGGTGGCGGGGCTCCAGAGCAGCGTGCTCACGGGAGCTACCCTCACCGTAGTTCCAGTCACCAATAACAACCCACTTGACGCCACGGGCCTTGTAGTCACGAGCAGTAGCAGGGACAGCATCGTACTTGCCAGTGAAGGCGTTCTTGATCTTGTTGGCCTCGCCGTTCTCGGCGTTGATGGCACCAATCAACATGTTGTTGGAGATGTTGTCCAGGTGGCCACGGTACTTCAACCATGGGCCAGCCATGGAGATGTGGTCAGTGGTGGTCTTACCCTGGCACTTGATCAGGATAGGGATGTCGGTGGCATCCTTGCCATCCCACTTCTCGAAACCAGCAAGGAGCTGGAGACGGTCACTCTCGGGAGAGACAGCGACGGAGACAGCCTCGCGGTCCTTGGGGGGAGCCTGGTAGGTGTCACGGCCGGGGTCGTAGCCCCGGGCGGGGAGACCCTCGCCAGAGGGAGCCTTGAGCAAGAACTCGTTGCCGTCCTTGTCCTTGATCTTGTCGGTGAGGGGGTTGAACTTCAGGGTACCCGCAACGGTCATGGCGACGACAAGGTCGGGGGAAGCGACGAAGGCGTGAGTGGCGGGGTTGGCATCGTTACGGCCAGTGAAGTTACGGTTGTAGGAAGAGATGATGGAGTTAGCCTCACCCTTCTTGACGTCGCGGCGGTCCCACTGGCCAATGCAAGGTCCGCAAGCGTTGGCGAGAATGACACCACCGTACTCCTCAAGAGTCTTAAGCTGACCGTCACGCTCGATAGTGGCACGGATCTGCTCAGAACCAGGAGTGACGGTGAAGAGGGACTTGGACTTCAGACCGTGGTCGAGGGCATCGCGAGCGATGGAGGCGGCACGGGACATGTCCTCGTAGGAGGAGTTGGTGCAAGAGCCGATAAGACCGACCTTGAGCTCCTCGGGCCAGTTGTTGGTCTCAACAGCCTCCTTGAACTTGGAGATAGGAGTAGCCAAGTCGGGAGTGAAGGGACCGTTGATGTGAGGCTCGAGCTCGGACAGGTTGATCTCGATCAGCTGATCGTACTCGGCACCCTCGTCCTCACGGAGCTCCTTAGCGTAGCTTCTGGCGAAGTCGCCGATCGGCTGACGCTTGGTGGCCTTCAGGTAGTCGTACATGCGGTCGTTGAAGGGGAACAGAGAGGTGGTGGCACCAATTTCAGCACCCATGTTACAGATGGTGGCCATACCAGTGCAGGACAGGGAGTTGACACCAGGTCCGTGGTATTCAATGATGGCACCAGTACCACCCTTGACGGTCAGGAGACCAGCGACCTTGAGGATGATATCTGTGCAAATCTGTGAGCAAGCCGTCTATGAATTTCTGCGTTGCCATCTCAAAACTTACCCTTAGGGGTAGTCCAGCCGGACATCTCACCGGTGAGCTTAACACCGATGACCTTAGGGGCCTTCAACTCCCAAGGAAGACCAGCCATGACATCGACGGCATCGGCACCACCGACACCAATGGCAGCGATAGCGAGACCACCAGCGTTGGGAGTGTGAGAGTCGGTACCGATCATCAGACCACCGGGGAAGGCATAGTTCTCAAGGACGATCTGGTGAATGATACCGGAACCGGGCTTCCAGAAACCGATGTTGTACTTGGCAGTAGCCGAGGCCAAGAAGTCGTAGACTTCCTTGTTGATCTCGTTGGCACGGGCAAGATCCTTGTCTCCACCAAGCTGAGCCTCAATCAAGTGGTCACAGTGGACAGTGGTGGGGGTAGCGACGGAGGGCATGCCAGCGGACATGAACTGCAGAATAGCCATCTGGGCGGTGGCATCCTGGCAAGCAACACGGTCGGGGCGCAGCTTGAGGTAGGAGGTACCGCGCTCGATGTCCTGGCCGTGAGGATCGTCAAGGTGAGAGTACAGAACCTTCTCGGCGTAGGTGAGAGGACGGCTCAAGCGACGACGAACAACGTCGAGGTTCTCGGACATCTTTCTGTAAAATTGAAAAAACATGACATTAGCCTGCGATCAATTGACACTAATGCCGTCTGCATCGCTGTGCAGTCCGAGACTGCTATGGTGTCTGCATACTTGTAGTTGATGTAGTTACCCTGCGGAGCGCCTGTTAGCAAATCTTGTTCCAAATCCGGTGTTCGCATTACCCGAAGCCAGCCGAGGGCACGGATGCGTTCATTGAGGGATGTCCAACACTCACCTTCTCAAGGTTGGTCATCTCGACCTTCTTGTCGAGGGGAGAGTCGCTGACGGTAGCCAGACCCCGAGTCCCGAGGAGCTAAGAAGAAATCATGATTAGTATTCCTGAGCTCTCTAGATGTCACCTCTTTCCTACGGCTTTCGCAGCGAGGATTGTCAAAGTCATCGAAGAAAGGTCCAAAGGCTTACAAGACGGGACTTAGGGGCCTATCGACGATTCAGTTAGCATCCATCGAGGCAGAAATGAAATCAGCTGGCAGCCATCGCATCTCACGGTAGAAGCGATGTCTGCCTCACTGAATAAGTGAGTACGTGTCCGGGTAGAACTTACCAGCGCACCCATGCGCGCAAGCCTTGTGGAGATCATGATGGAAGCTCTCTATGCGAGGTGGGCAAGGCCGCAACACATCCAAGGAGAGACAACCCAAATAGGTGTGATAGAGTGGAGTGGGAAAGAAAGAGAGGAGAGAAGGAAGAGAAGAAGAAGAAGTAAGAGCGAAGGGAAAATGGAGTAGATAAAAGGAAGCTGTCTGAGTGGGAAAGAAATCAATTCTTGTTTCCGCCAGACGACCAGACAGCGATTTACTAAACCGGAGAAGAGGACCCGTAACCGCTCCTTGACAGTACAAGCCCCGTACGCATTCGTAGCGTGCGACCGGAGAGAAGGAAGTGGCTGGTAGTGGTTGTACCCCCTTCTTACCGTAAGCATACGGTAATTTGGACGAAATTCCGGTCGACCTTTTCAGACCTTTTCAGACCTCCCTTTCACTTGCGGACCCATAATGGCTTCTTTGCCTTTACCCGGCCAACGGTAGGTTGCCTGTCGATTCGAAAACGCTGCGCTGTCAGTGGTCTCTGCTTCTGGAGGTGTAATCGGACTGCCGTCAAGTCCGTGATCTGAGAATTGTACATCCACCCCCATGGCCTTCATGATCCCTCCAATAACTCCAGTTGCTATGCTTCTACTACTATTTTGGTCTTGGTTCCGGGGTGGCCGTCATGCGTTCTGACAGTACATGCATGTAATGAGAATTACCGGCCACCAGCGCCGCACAGCTCGTGCACAGGGCATGTGAGAGGCAGCAATGACCCAATCATGTGTGACCGATTATATGCTACATCAAGGGCATTCCTTTCGACGTCACCTTCTTGCAATTTTCTACTAGATGCTAGAAATTAAGATCCCTAACTCTCGCCTTGGAGGAGGGTATAAATTTGTCTATTATGCACCACAAAGGACTTCCGCATCAATGGAAATTGCCGCACCTCCTCTATCGATGTCTTGTTGCTGAGGGGACAACTAGAGAGGGGGTGCAAAGTCATTGGTCCGGTGTATTATTTCACCTGAATCACCAGTGGTGGACGCAGCCAGACTGTTCAGTTCCGGAGGCAACATGCCGAACGCATAGTAACGTCATAAATTACGAAAACCACGGGGAAATGGCGGTACGGAACCTGGAAGCCCAAGCAAACCAACAGCTCTCTCTGCTGAGTGCTGGAGAGAGCCGAGCGTGAGCCGAGGCCTGCCGATGGGAATCCCGCGGCCCGTCGCCAAGATCCTGTCCCCCTTCGCCCAATAAGGAGCGAGACGTTTGAGGAATTTCTGCTCGCGCGCACAAAGACGGAAATTTCAAGGGCGGCGACCCGCTCTCGCAACCCCCTAAGGTTTTAGTTTCCTTCCGTTTATCGGTACTAACTCACTCTACTGTACCGGGCACGATCGACTGGGAAAAGCATTCGTCGGGCTACTATCGCTGCTTTGGGCCTTCTGTGATATCAAAAATGGGTGCTGTCAGGAAAATTAAGACCAAGCGCAGGACTAGGTGAGATTCTTACCATATGTGTTGCGCAGGTCTGGTGCATACAGGACTAACAGTGTCTTCCATCTAGAGACTATGATCAAGTCCGCGCCGACATTCAGACGCCCAAGCATCTCACGCAATACAAAGCCACCAAAGATGCAGAGGACCTTCCCGGTCTAGGAGAACACTATTGTGTTGAATGCTCGAAATGGTTCGAGAGTGAATTCAACCTGGTCGGCCATAAGAAGGGCAAGAACCACAAGAGAAGGTCAGTTCATTGACCCTGGATGCTTCGCGCCATTACCCCGGATTTGCGATCGCAGCTATAACCTTGTCGCTTTACTCCTGGGTTCTCTATGCTAACTCGATTGATTCGATAGACTTCGCATCCTGCGTGAAGAAGCCCACTCGCAAAAGGCCGCCGAGGCCGCAGTAGGCCTGGGTACCGACAATGGCGTGAGAGTGCAGGAAGAGACCGTGATGGCCATGGATGATTAAATCTTGCATTCGATCCTACACAAGCAAGCAGCCTCTCGAAAATTGCCAACGTGAAGCCGAGCTGGTTGATATTGCATTGGAATGACCCTTTCCAACTCTGCAACAGGCCTCTAGAGGGCTCGAAAATTTTTACCGCATCAATGCAAATTTGCAGCCGCTTGTCGTTGTCACCAAAGTGATATGATTGGCTGTTTGCGGACAAAAGCTTGTCGCCCGATGCATGATTCGCCAAGTCTCACACTAAGCACGTGAAACCATAAGGTGCCGAAAATCGCCAGTTTGCTGGGCAAAGGGTGTCGCCGAGCGCACTGTTTCCGTCTTGCGGTGACCCCCTGCAAACTGCCGGTTCTCGGAGCGCCGTACAGTGAGGTCCCCACTCGGATCGGATCCGACTCCTCTTGCGCGAGAGTAATTTACAAGCTGCAATTTAATTTACAGTACGTGGGGGGAATCGATCATCGAACTGTCTTTCGTCGTCCGCTCTTAAGCTTTCTTGTTCTTGTATAGGGTTCATGAACTTTGTAGGTATTTCATAAGCCATTCGTATGTTGCCCACTAGAAAAGAGATCGTCAGTCAACTTTGTCGTTTGCGACAAGATCCACATACCTGAACTGCATTGACGATGAACGCCCTGAAGCTACACACCCCCAGACCGCGGTAGAAGGCCTTTAGCCCCTCGGTCTGATAGACTTCTTTTGCAAGTTGGAATGAGGTTGCAGCGCGTGTCTGTGAGCAAGACGACAACAGTGGACGATCTTGAGGGGATGTCTCGATTGTCCCGGCCTGCAGTCTCGTCTTGATCACATCTAGAGGAAAGACTGAAGCCCAGGTCACCACGCCAGCAATGCCACCGCAGAGGAGGATCTTCAATGCAGCCAGGTTCGCACTATCATCCTCGGAGTTCATGAGGCGCTTGCAGTATTCGTAAGACCAGAAGCTGTGGTGGCGTACTGTCAGCGTATGTCCTGCGAAGAGCCGCAAAGGTAACAGCGGGGAAGATCTGGAGGGGGCAGGAAGATCGCATACTAAAATCCATAGCCAATGGCATCTCTGGCGCAAGTGATCCCTCCTGCGTAGTACAGGCCCTTCCAGCCTCGGGTACTAATAATATCTCTGGCAACGTTCCAGGAGGAGACACCGGGCCGAGTGTCCAGTTGGGCTCGACATTTGATGAACTCGGTTGGAGACGATACAGTCCAGCTGGCTACTCCACCTGCAGCACCGGCAAGCCATACCTTGTACAGAGACGTGGCTTGTGGATTGGTCGGATCTGTGATGGTGGTGTCCAAGGCCATCAATGACCGGTTATAGGCCACGAAGAGCAGAGCGTTTAGGGCTCCATATCCCAGTATCGGAGCGGCCGAGCCTGGTCCAAGAGTTAGCTTCTGGTGTTCGATATTATCCTCAATTCGGGAAGTCTATTGTATCTACAGACCTCGTACAAGCGATGTAATGCCTTCTAGGCGGCTCAGTTGCTGGGATGTTGAGGATGCAGCGACTTCTGCATGCTGTCCCGCCTGTAGTCTAACCTTGATGATGTCGAGCGGGTTACCAATGATGATCCCAATGGCACCGCTCAGGTAGCCAGCCCAGAAATCGGCGGACATATCATATGTGAGAGTGCTCGGGGATATCTCTACGCCCAGCAATAGTGGTGCGTCGTGGTGCTTGACTGGGTTCAAGTTGCTATGTCATCATGATTTGAGACCGCTGACCGGCGGCGTGAATATATTATCTAAACCGTCCCGCACTAAGAAGTGACCCGAAAGCAACTATCCCCAATGAGACCTTACTAGTAACTGGTCTCTGCGGGGTACTTTCCGCTCAAGTGTAGGTCTGATACTTAAGCCTCGGCTCAGATAGTGATGTTCCAAGAGCCCTCAAAGGCATTACAGCAGTCAGCGGTGGCCCGAACATCACGGTAAGGTCGCCCTTTACTGCAACCAAACTGCATACCCACATTGGGCCTCATAATTTCCGACGATTTACTTTCGGGCTGTTGTACTGGCGTTGCGACTCGTCAACAGGATACACAACCTCAGTGTAGAGTCACTGGCACATACTATGACTAACTTGTAAGCCATATGTAGCGGTGTGGCCGATAAGGACACTTCCACCGGGTAGCTCTCATGCTAGCCATCGCATATTCGGCCAAGGACTATCAAAAGTAACATCAAATTATCAAAAGCAACATGAAACGAACAAACAGCCTGCAGATGCACGATGAGTTGATGCAATGCCAGCTGAGCAGCATTGGTATTACCTTAACAGGCTAGTGCCACTTTTGAATCAATTGACATTTGGCATGGATAAACAGTATGGCATCCAGCCAGTTGACGAATGGCCGGTACACCGTCACAGTTATTGTAGCTCGCAAGTGAATAACTTCTAGCAGAAACAATGACCGTGGCAGCCATTGACCATCCCAAACTTGTATGTCTCTGGTCATTGAAATTTGGCAGCGGCCAATTGTTGACAAGATCATGTGACCACGCGATACTTTGGTGTCCAGGCAGTTGTAGGCAACGCGCTAAGATGTGGCAAGCGCGTCTCGATGACTAGGTAGACGGCGGTCTTCGGCGAACAACCACCGCCACTCAGTGACTATCAGAGTGCTCAAACGGATATAATAACATGTGAGTCGTTCAATGATTCACTGTAGTCCTTAACTGACACACTTAGGTATCGCCCACGACCAATCCTAAAAGAAAATGCCACGAGCACGCCGTCGAAGCCCCTCCAAGCCGGCACCCCCGGAAGCTCTATCGACCGGCTCTCGAGACCTTTCAAATGCCCAGGGTCGGCTACTCCTACGCGTACATCAGACAAGCCTGCGAGAAAGAGAAGGAAAGTGAACTATGCAGGGGCAGATGGAGCGGGTGACGAGGACAATGAAAAGCCGTACACAAATGAGGATCGTCTCGCGCTCGCCACCAGGGATGTGAACCGATTCCCTGTCTTCAAACCCAAAGATAAGGATACAGCGTTCCGACAGAGATTCAAAGTACCTCTCATCAATAAGCAGTCCGACAATTTCGGCGCTCGGCCGGCCCCGACGCTAGGAATGAGGCAAGGTGCTACGTTCGTTGTGAAACCGTTACATGACCCAAGTGGCGAGTTTGCGATAGTGCTTTACGACCCGACAGTCGATGCTGTGGAAGAGACAGAGGCCAAAAAGGAAGAACAAGGGGATGCAGATGCTGAGAAGCCTCAGCTGGACGAACCGCTGGTGCACAAGAGCCTGGCGGATATCCTTGGGCTCAAGAAGAAGGTTGAAGACAGGCCAAAGGTGCCCGTTGTAATAGATCCGCGGCTGGCGAAGGTTCTACGACCGCATCAGGTGGAAGGTGTCAAGGTGAGTGTCATCTCTGACGAGGTATGCCTTGCGACTTCTGACTAACATCAATCATTATCCAGTTCCTTTATCGATGTACAACCGGAATGGTAGACAAAAATGCGAATGGGTGTATCATGGCCGATGGTATGGGTCTGGGTAAAACGGTATGATGATCGTTCTAAGTTAGGTTCAATGACTGACAGTAGCAGCTTCAATGCATCTCATTGATGTGGACATTGCTCAAGCAGTCCCCGGAGGCCGGGAAGACCACTATACAAAAGTGCATCATCGCCTGCCCATCCAGTCTGGTCGGAAACTGGGCTAATGAGCTTGGTAAGCCCCTAGGTGATGTTTCTAGGCACGTATACTGATGACTTTACAGGGAAATGGCTCGGAAAGGATGCAACCACTCCATTTGCAGTCGACGGCAAGGCCTCGAAAACCGAGCTCATTGCTCAAATGAAGCAATGGGCCATCGCCTCTGGCCGCTCGGTCGTCAGGCCGTGCCTGATCATCTCCTATGAGACTCTACGCTTATACGTCGATACACTGAGAGACACCCCGATTGGTTTGCTACTATGCGACGAAGGTCACCGATTGAAAAACAAAGAGAGTTTGACTTGGACTGCACTCAACAGCTTGAACGTACAACGACGGGTAATTTTGTCTGGTACTCCAATCCAGAACGACCTATCAGAGTACTTTTCACTTCTTCATTTCGCGAACCCGAATCTGCTGGGCTCACAAAACGACTTCAGAAAGAGGTTCGAGTTACCAATTCTCCGAGGAAGAGATGCCGCCGGCTCAGAAGAAGACCGGAAGAAAGGAGATGAACGGCTGGCCGAGCTTTCGGGCATAGTGAACAAGTTTATCATTCGCCGAACGAACGAATTATTGTCCAAGTACTTGCCAGTCAAGTACGAACATGTCGTGTTCTGCAACATGTCTCAATTCCAACTCGATCTTTACAACCACTTCATCCAGAGTCCAGAGATCAAGAGCTTGCTCAGGGGCAAAGGGAGCCAACCTTTGAAGGCCATTGGACTACTGAAAAAGCTTTGCAACCATCCTGACCTTCTCAACCTCTCCATGGACCTTCCGGGCTGTGAACACGCATTTCCTGATGACTATGTTCCTCCGGAAGGCAGGGGACGCGATAGGGATATCAAATCTTGGTATTCAGGCAAGATGATGGTCTTGGACCGTATGCTGGCACGGATCCGCCAGGATACAAATGACAAGATTGTTCTGATTAGCAATTATACCCAGACGTTGGATCTCTTTGAGAAACTCTGCCGATCACGGGGATACGGTTCCCTACGATTGGACGGTACTATGACCGTGAACAAGCGGCAGAAGCTTGTCGACAAGTTCAATAACCCCGATGGGGAAGAATTCGTTTTTCTACTGAGCAGCAAAGCAGGTGGATGTGGTCTGAACCTGATAGGTGCGAATCGCCTGGTATTGTTCGATCCCGATTGGAATCCCGCAGCCGATCAACAAGCTCTGGCCCGTGTTTGGCGTGACGGCCAGAAGAAGGACTGCTTCGTTTACCGCTTCATTGCAACTGGCTCAATCGAAGAAAAGATCTTTCAACGTCAATCACACAAACAACTGCTTTCTTCGTGCGTCGTGGACTCCGCCGAGGATGTCGAGCGACACTTCTCTCTTGAGTCTCTGCGTGAGCTGTTCCAATTCAAGCTGGACACTCGCAGTGATACACATGATACTTTCAAGTGCAAGCGTTGTCGGCCGGATGGGACACAATATATCAAAGCCCCTGCCATGCTGTACGGTGATACCAGTACTTGGAACCATTTTGTGAATGACGGAGAGAATGGTCATCTCAGCAAGATCCAGGACTTGCTGATACGACAGGAAACGGGAGAAAGAGACGTATCTGCGGTCTTCCAGTACATCAGTCATTGATAAATACCGGTCTCAACTTTTATCTTGGTATGCCTTAGCGTGCATTGGTTTCTATTGATTGTTGATTGTTGGTTCTTATTCATTGGGCGAAGTTCTTGATCGGCGCGAATTTAGGGAGGGATTTGGTCGCATGAATAATTGAGCACCTCATATAGATGATCAAATACTACTACAGTGAATATTCGAGTCCTGTTGTCTGTCACTGTAGATCGACTTGAATAACTTAGCTGTTGTATTGAGCAAGGATCAACGCACGGGGTGGATTCCTTAGGCGGTAAGGAGTCGGTGCTGACACTACGTCACATCGCATCCGCTATCCACATTGTGCCAACGCATCTCGCTGTGAATGCTCCCCACATGGACATCGTGCCTACCGCTGAGCGACAAGGCTAAAGTTGCTAGCAAAGTGACTGAATGGGCGAAATTTGAGGAGCCAGCGTTCTGTTAACTCATTAAGGAAATCGTGCCATCTGCTGCTGATGGCTTCGCGATAGCTACAGGTCCTCTGCGAGCCCGAGTCGAGTCACCATCGCCTCACCGCCCAGCCTAGCCAGACGACGCTTGCACACCATGAAAATTATCTAAAAATCGGCCCCCGGAGCTTAATCAATCGGTTTAATTTTATAATGATCTGAGCGATGGATCACTCAATTCAACGTTCGCTGAACGATAAGCTCTATGACCGGAGGAAGCAAGGAGCCTTGGAGTATGGATTTATCGATAAGAGGCCAGATTAGATGGAATTACGGATGAACTAACTGATATGCGATCTCCAGGCTCGAGAAGGTTGTTCGCGAAGCCGCATTCAGAGGCGAGCACGAGGAGATCCAGAAGATCGTTGACCAGCTCTGCCACGATTATGCCTACGCCGTGCATCAGCCTCATGCCCGAAATGGCGGGTTGATCGGGCTGGCTGCCGCATCCATAGCTTTAGGATCTGTGAGTTACACCTTATCCCCGCATCTCGACTGGATGCCCGCCGGTGCTGACATATTGCGCTCTTAGGAGGGTGTTGCACCTTATTTAAAGGAAATCGTACCGCCGGTGCTGGCTTGCTTTACAGACCAAGATGCGCGCGTTCGGTATTATGCATGCGAGAGTATGTACAATATCGCGAAGGTTGCGAAAGGGGAGATTCTGCTCTTCTTCAATGAGATTTTCGATGCATTGAGCAAAGTGAGTGCTCCATGTAATCGGGCTGTTGTGTCTTTCTCTTACCCCTTTTTCTTTTTGGTTCACAGCTTGCCTCGGATTCCGAATTGTCGGTCAAAAACGGTGCAGAGCTTCTGGACCGACTTGTCAAGGATATTGTCTCCGAATCCGCTGCCTCTCATGTCTCCGTTTTGCAGCTCAACGAAAAGCAGCAGACAGATCCAGAATCTTTGGAGGATGCGGATCTACCTACTGCATTTTCGCTTCCGAAGTTCATCCCCTTGCTGAAAGAGCGCATCCACGTCACGAGTCCTTTCACACGAACATTTCTGGTCTCATGGCTTACTCTCCTGGACACGATACCTGACCTAGAGTTGATTTCGTTTTTGCCGGACTTTCTCGGAGGGTTGATCAGGTTTCTTGGAGATCCGAATCGAGACGTCAACGTCGCGACTCAGGCACTTTTAGATCGCTTTTTGTCAGAGATCAAGAGAATTGCTCGTCTCAAGAAGGGCATTGAGGAGAGCCGCAAAGATCAAGGAAGTGACATCAGGCAATCAACTACCAGCGACGGCCTCAGCGTCACCACGACGACCGATCAGACTCTAGCCGTCGAATCGGAGACAAATGATAATGCGATAGAGGATTCTGAGGTGGATTCCATCACCGACGAAGATGGATTTAATGCGGATGGGGACTGGATTCCAGGTCAAGACGTCCAAATCGACTATGCGAGAATATTGGAAATTCTAGTAGGATATGTCGATACATCATTCGGTAAGATTTACACGCTGCAATAATTTCTTGCTGGGACTTACGCGCATCTCGTCTGCTAGTGGAAGAAATGCAATTGACGGCCTTGCGCTGGATCGACAATTTCTTCGAGATCAGTCCTGAAGACATTCTTCCTTTTGTGCCTCGCCTCTTGACACAAGTACTTCCGGCGATGTCCAGCGGCTCGGATCAGGTGCGGCAGGCCGCAAACCGAGTGAATACATCTCTACTGGAGTACATCGTCACCTTATCAGAAGACACATCGGAGGAGACCCGGCAACCTCTGCCTAAGCCCAGTAACACAAATAGCAAAGACATCGTGGTCGAAAGGAGGTCATCCACACCCTGCAGTAGGCCCAACGAAGGCACGTCCAGCGACACCAAGAAGCAGGCTTCGCCAGCCGAGGGGTCTACTGAGCCGACTCCTAGGAGTAGTATCATTTTCACATCCGTGCCTCCTGCAGATCTCGATTATGCCGCTGCTGTCAACTCTCTTACTCTGCAATTCCTGAATGAGAATGAAACTACAAGAGTCGCTGCGCTGTCTTGGCTAATTATGCTACACCGCAAGGCCCCAAAGAAGGTGATCGCATTCAATGACGGGACGTTTCCTGCGCTGCTGAAAACACTGTCCGACCCGGCGGAGGTGGTGGTGACCAAAGACCTGCAGCTTCTCTCGCAAATTTCCCGGAATAGCGAGGATAGCTACTTCAAATCTTTCATGGTGAACCTGCTACAGCTCTTTTCGACCGATAGAAACTTGCTTGAAGTTCGTGGGAACCTTATTATTCGGCAGCTCTGCATGAACCTTAGCCCTGAGCGCATCTATAGGACTCTTGCTGACTGTCTCGAGAAGGAGGAGGTGAGAGACCGTATCAATGACCCCAGCTGAACTTGACTGACACATCTTTTACTGCAGGACATCGAGTTTGCCAGCATCATGGTGCAGAATCTCAACAACAACCTCATTACCGCGCCTGAGCTTTCCGAGCTTCGTAAGCGTCTGAGAAACCTAGATAACAAGGTAGGACTTACAGGCAGCACGTATTCCAAGAAACTGACCCATTGTCAGGATGGCCAGGCCTTTTTTGTTGCTTTATTCAGGTCGTGGTGCCATAATGCCGTCTCAACATTTTCACTGTGTCTGCTCGCACAAGCGTACGAGCAAGCATACAATCTGCTTCAAGTCTTGTATGTTTCTTCATGCCAAGGTCGAGCTCAGTCTACTAACACACTCACCAGCGCCGAGCTCGAAATGACCGTCAACATGTTGATCCAAATCGACAAGTTGGTGCAGCTGCTTGAATCCCCCGTCTTCACCTGTCAGTCTTCCCTCCCCATCGATTAACCCCGCAGAACCTAACAACGATCCCCATCCAAACCACAGACCTCCGTCTCCAGCTCCTCGAACCAGAGCGATACCCATACCTATACAAATGCCTCTACGGAGTCCTAATGCTCCTCCCACAGAGCTCCGCGTTCGCGGCCCTGAAGAACCGCCTTAACAGCGTCAGCAGCATCGGCCTCCTGCACACCGGCCCGCGACTGTAAGTCCACTCTCCACATCCAGAAATAGCACACCCCAGGAATCTCTAACACCCACCCCCTTGGACGGGGGCAATCTAGAACCGCACTCCCCTCCTCCCTAACCACAAACTCCACCTCAACCTACGACCGCCCGACCGGCAGCAGCCGCCTCAAACGCGAAGACTCCTCCAGCTCAACCTACACGACGGCCTCCGCCGCGGCAGCAGCAGCAGCCGCATCATCCGCGCCAACGGCCTCAATCCGCTGGGTCGAACTCCTCGACAAATTCAAATCCGTCCAGGAAAAAGCCCGGCGCGCGCAACGCGCCTCGCAGCGCCCACTGGATCACGACCCATTGCTCCTCGGCACCGGCAGCGGCGGCCCCGGCTCCGCAAGGGGCCCAGGAGCAGGCGATCCCCGCGGTAAAGACCGCAGCAGCGCTATTGCCGCAATCCTACCTGATGTCCCGCGAGGCGGCGCCGGGGGTAGCACTGGTCTTGGTATTGGTGGTGGAGACGGGACACGTGGAACAGGTGGGCCCGATTCCTCTGCGGGCGCGGCCGGCATGGCTGGCGGGCCTGGGGGTACTGGTGGTGGTGGTGGTGGTGGTGGTGCGGGAGGACCTGGCGGAGCGGCGGCGGCGGCGGCGGCTGGGGCTGGTGGTCGCGCTGCGCTCGGGCATCGGCATAAATCCAGCTTGCCGAATCTAGGGCGTCTGGGTATCGGGAGTAGGAAGTCGAAACGGTGATTGTTTCAGGCGGGCCGATGGCGATTTTGGTTGAAGGGGTGGAGGCGTCCGTTTCGGACGATGGGGGAGGATTGTTCGAGATCGGTTGCTGGGTGGTTGTAGTATACGCTGGTCGCGTGGAGGTGCTGGAGCGCGTCTGTTGACCTCCCTCCCTCCCCAGGCACGGGGATATACTCTGGCTATGTCTAAGGCTTTCCGCTAGATCCATGAATATCATTAGACAATCGCTATCCGAGTTACAGACCACCGCCTCGCCTTGATTGGCGCTCGCTTGATGTGTTTGAAAGACAGGTTGAATGCTAGTTATAATTGTAAATTCGGGGTAGAAACCGTATAATGTATGTACAGTAAGGGCAACAGAAAGAATCGAAAAGAAAAAAAGAACAGAGAAATGCGCCGTCGAGGTCACCAACACGACTCGCTAATGGGGCTTGAGTATAAATATGCACAGTTAGAAAGAGATACGAAGCGTAGCATCGCTTGAGCCGAGCACAACTCCGAAGCAGCGTACAACAATCAAGGCTAGAACCAGCGGAGCATGGCCCACAGGCGGAAGCGGATCATGCGTAGAAGGCGTCAATAGATGGTACCATATGACTCCGGAAACCAAAAAGCCACAAGATGCAGTGGTAATTGCAGCCGAACAGGGCGAGATGATAGTTGGACATGGGCCATGAAATAGGACTTTCGTCTGCGCGAGAGCAAGTCACAGCTGCGGTTCTTGGAGACATGATCGATCAAATAGTTGGGGGCTTCGATCGCAAATCGGGACCGATGTTCGAGGTGAGCTTCAAGATAGAAGAAGAATCATGGACTTTTGTGATCCCCGGCTTTGGGTGCTAGACCCGACGAATGGAATAAACAAGGAGAAGTCGTCACATCCTCCACACGGACATTATGTCGAGGATCAATGGGTCGAACAATGAGGAGGGAACCAAGGCAAAAACGTTAAAGAGGGTGTCAGAACAAGCAGCATCGTATCACCGCCAGCGCGAGTCGCCAGATGAAGATCCCCATGTTGGGGGCTTCCAGTAGCCGCCTGTCGATTGCTTGGAGACGGTGCCGGTGGAGGAGTTCGATCCGCTCGAGTAAACGTATTCTCCGTCGACGTACTGCACCCCGGAGAAAGTGCTGCGGTGCTTACGACGCGCATACCGCTGCTCTAGGCGGTAGAGCTCCAGCTCTGCGGTCATCCTGTTAGTATGTGGGTTATTTTGCGGGGAGGGGAGTAGCGCTGATGCTCCCGGGACGACCGGGGGGGGGGCTTCCACCGAAGCGCCCCCAGCACAAGAAATTGGGAGAAAACGTACTTGCTTGCAACTTCTCGATGAAGCCCATTTTGTATGTGTAGTGTGGTTTAAAGTGGTTCGGCTAATTCGGAACCGGGCCGTTGGCGGTTGGGTTGGGGGCGGAAGCAGGAGGATTTAAAGGAATGGAATGTTGGAGGTGGTCAGACTGCGATTGAGCGATATATCTCGGCTCTGGACTGCACGAGAGGAGAAGTAAGGCTGTAATATGCGATCGTGCGATAGGAAAATGCGGGAAGGGGGGGGAGGGGGAGCTAAATGCAAGTCGAAGCAAAGTTGCCGAGTGTGAGTGCGATTGGAGGGTTAATAGCTAATGGTAGGGGGACGCGGTGGCTCGGAAGGTTTTCACCCAAGGAGAGACGGTGCTCCGAGACTAAGGCGAAATCGATAGTTGAGGGGACAGTTGACAGAAGCAGACGAAAGGCCAGGACTGTGGAGAAGGAAAGCCACCGGCAACCTCGTTGACTTGCTGCAGTGACTAGAGAAGGGGGCGGGATTTAAGAGAGTTGTAAGACGGGAGACTCGGGCAATTATTGGCAATACTATAGAACGAACGTAAGAGGAACCGAAGGGAAGGAAATAAGCAGAGAACGAGCGTGGGGTGGAGAAGAACGAAGCCACGAGGGATGAAGAGGGGAAGAAAAGGAAGGGAGAGAAGGAAGAAGATTGTGGGAGAGAGAGAGAGAGAGAAAGAGAAAGAGTGGAGTGAGAGAGAGAGAGAGACCTGCAGGAGTCTCGACAACTCGAACAGAGTGAAGCATTCAGTAAGAAACAGGCTGAGTGGGTGAAGGTTGAACTGCAACGTGGGTTGGGGGTGGAGTCACGCTCACACTAGCCCCAATGTAGTCTAGCCAGGGGTTGAACTGGGTTTAGCGTTGACTCGCTCCGGCCACTGGCCGGCCACTGTCCGGTCTTAGGCTGCCTTAGGCTCTTCCACAATTAACCACAACCATATGGCAAAAACAGCACTGCAGTCTCACCACACACGGACCGCGTCCAACTTCTTCAACCCCTGACTAGCAATACACTAACTGACGCTATCACTCTTCGTTCCAAACTACCCAACTCACGTCCTCCCGAACTCCCAGGTTCCCAAGATTATTCTCAACAACACAAACTCAATCAATCCCCTCGCCATGCTTGTCTCCCGGGTTATCGTTGCAACGCACGGGTCAAGCGAATCGCCTTAGCGTGACTTCTCCTCCCCTCTTCCCCCAACTGCAAACGTGTGGGTTGGTTGACACCTGGAATTCCGTGGACGCAAACGGTCGGATCTGCACAGCAATAGCTCTCTCGGGTCTCTCGAACAATTAACTCTGCTAGTGTCACCCTGCTAGCAGGAACACGCGACCAGAGAGAATAGAATACCTAGGTATCTAGATAATTGCTTCCCGACCGGAACGGAACCACCCCCCAAGAAGCGGTTTCCATGGTCAACGACTTCGATAGCTGTGCCTCAATTGTCTAGTCTAGTTCTACCTAGCCTCTACGCAGGTTAGCTTTCATCGGGTCCCCGCCGGTGGTTTGGCGTAGATGGACGGGCTGGCTGGTTGGCGTCAACGGGATGTGATCATGAACTCGTTTCCATAAACTACCTATTTCCAACGCCCGCATCTAAGGCCGAACTCTTGCGAGTCGTGTCTCGAAGTCTAGGTTTGACTATCTCGAAAGTATATTTACGTAAAGCCTGTTATGCTCTTCGCCGCCCAATCTCTAATGTGAGGCCCAAAACCCAACAGAAAACATTCACCCAAGACAAGCGTAGGCCGTCTTTCCTCCCTTCGATCCCACACATTTACTTCTGTCGCTGGTGGGAGGACGGGCCAGCGTCTTGCTCCACTTCCTCCTGCTCCTCGGTGCCCTCCGGCCCCTGCTCGTGCGCGAGCGACATTTCCTGCGCTGTGGCGGACGTTAGCGTTCAATGGAGTTCGTATGTCTAGCTGGTTGCGGGCGGGTCAAAGAGAAACATAAAAATCCACTTACCGTTCCATAGCTCGGAATAAATGCCATTTTGTTCCAGAAGTTCGCGGTGCGAGCCCATCTCCGCCACACGGCCCTCCTTCAGCACCAGGATCTGGTCGCAGTCGTAAATCGTCCGCAGGCGGTGGGCCACAAATACGCTCGTGCGTCGCTTGTCCTTGAGGATACTGTTGATGTTCTGTAATAGGGCTTGTTCCGTGTAGGTATCCAATGCAGAGGTCTGGCTCGGGACGTCCGTTCAATTAGTTTTTCGGCCTACAAGCGCAGAGCAAAGGACTACGACTTACCGCCTCATCGAAGAAGAGAAGCTCGGGGTCCTTGAGCAATAGCCGGGACACAGCCAGCCGCTGCTTCTCACCACCTGAGATCATCATGCCTCTCTCTCCAACAGCCGTCTTGTACCCATCGGGAAGCCTCTCGATCAGCTCGTGGATATGGGCGCGTCGCGCAGCCTTGCGGACTTCCTCGTCGGTCGCTTCGATCCGCCCGTACCGGATGTTGTGTTCAATCGTGTCGTTGAACAAGGGAGTGTCCTGGGGCACGACGCCGATGGCCTTGCGCAGACTCTCCAGCGTCACATCGCGAATGTCTTGCCCATCAATGAGGATCCGGCCCTCCTGGACGTCGTAGTACCGGAACAGCAGGCGCAAGATAGTAGACTTTCCGCAACCACTGGGTCCGACAACAGCGAACTTCTGACCCGCGGGGATGGTAAAGCTGGCGTTCTTGAGAATAGGACGTTTGGGATGGTAGCCAAACGTGACGTTCTCGAACCGGATCTCACCCCCTTGGTTCAACGACAAGGGCTTCGCGTTGGGCCGCTCAATGATGTTGACGTTAACCTTCTGCAAATTGAACAGTGTTTCCATGTCCAACAGCGACTGACGGAGCTCGCGGTACACGGATCCGAGGAAGTTGAGCGGAACGGAGAGCTGGAAGACAAGCTGGTTGACCATGACCAGGTCACCAACAGTCAGGGTACCAGTGGCTACTCCGTCGGCTGCGAGATACATCATGGCGGCAAGCGCGCTCGAGAAGATCATGTTCTGGCCAGAGTTGAGGAACGCAAGGGACGTGGTGACTTTGATCGATGCATCCTCATAGGATTTGAGCGCCTTGTCGTAGCGAGCCACCTCGAATTTCTCGTTGTTGAAGTACTTGACGGCCTCGTAGTTAATCAGAGAGTCTACAGCAACGGTGGCACCCCGATTGTCGGCCGCGTTGGCCTGCTTGCGAAACCTGGTTCTCCAGGCGGTGGTGGTTATGGTGAAGGCTGAATACGCGAGCATGGTCGTGGCCGTTATCGCCGCGAATTTGAAGCCATACTGATAAGTCTGGCGTCATAATTAGTGAGAACCTCAAAATGAAGCCTTTCCGAACAGACTGGGTCATCTCATACCAGAATACCACACACGAGGGAGATTTCCAAAGCAGTAGGCACCACATGGAACACCATGGAAGTCAGCAAGAAGCTGATACCCTTAGTACCACGGTCAATTGCCCGCGTTAATCCTCCGGTCTGGCGCGTAAGATGAAAGTTGAGATCCAATCGTAGTAAGTGTTCGAAGACATTTCGCGCGACCTTGCGGATCGCTTTTTGGGCAACGCTGGCGAAGACCGCATTTCTAAGTTCCTGGAAGACAGTGGCTCCGATTCGGGTAACACCATCTAGAAAGTCGAAGTTAGGCCTGCGCAACTGCAGAGGTGGATCTTGTCTTACAGGCTATGATCATGGAGCCCGCGACTGTGTAAGCAGTGCCACCCACAGCAGCAAAATCCACGTTCATCGAGTCGACGATGCTTTTGAAATAGAAGGGTACCTCAACGTTCAGGATCTAAATGCGCACCGTCAGCATGATGATCTGAAATACCTCGCGTCCTGATAAAGCCTACCTTCGCCCCGATGAGCAAGGACAGGGCGCTTCCAACGCGGAGCTTCGTTCCCCAATCGTCCTGCGCCGCACCGAATTAGCACATCCTTGTATAGTGCGGTACCATCCTCGTTCGAGCCTCCCACCTTGGGCCAAAGGTACTTTGCCATCTCCTTCATTATCGCCCAGTCCGCCTTCCTTTGCTCCTTGGACGCAACGGTAGCCTCGCTAAGCAGGTCCTTCTTCGAAATTGTGGTGGCATCTTCCTTTTGGGTAGGTGTGGTGGAGGCCTGAGTCGCATTTGCTGCCCCGGGTTGTGCCGCGGTTGGACTGGTAGGGTTCGCGGTCTTTGAGGCGGGGGACGTGTTCTCGGGCACTTGTCTCCTCAGAGGTCCGCTAGGAGTCGAAAAGGCTCTGAGCTGGACTCCATTTGGGGCAGCGGTCCATGAGGTTGAGCGCGTGACGGGCTGACTCTGGTATACGAAGCGCCCCGGGACACGCCAGCACGGCGATCGGGCGGCCCTGGGCAGCATGGTGGCCGGTCGTCAACCTTCACAATGACCGGTAAACGTTCGAGGTGCACTCGAGTATCAATGGTGCATCGTAGGCTCGAAGGGAGAAGAAGGCGCGAGGCACTCCGCGTAAGATGCCGGCCTGTGACTTGAGGACCCGCCGGATTCGGAGGAAATCGTCGGTGGGGGTTGCGCGGGGAGATCGGTAACGCAAATACTGGGGAGCCGGACCAGCGAGGTATTGACAGCAAGATCGAGTACTGCAAAGGAAAGCTGACAGTGCGTTTGACGGCAGGGTGTCAAGGGAGCATATATTGGGAATCGCAGACTCAATGACACGAATGACGGGCAGATCTGTCGCCATCGCCGATTTTGCGCTGTTGGATAATCGCCGGTAATGGAATTACCATTTCGTCCCGCGGTTCGAGCCAACGCATGCGGTGGCTTATCCTCAACTTCACTCGTTGTTTGTTTGACTTCATAGTGGCTTGCTCATGGTTGAGATGCTCGTTAGCTCCTGTCAGAGAAGTACCACCGGATCTATCCACCTGTGATTGCAATTGTTGAGGACAAAACGTGGTGTTGATTGCATGGAAGCTATTGTATGCACGATTGTCTTATTCTGAGGAATCATTTGAGATCGCTAGTGTAAACACGAGGCTACAGGTTGACTCTGTACAAGAGACAGTCACAGATATAGATATCTGAGAGTGTCTGTTAATACGATGGGAGGAATAATAACGCAACTAATTAACCACCTTATACTAACCACCTGCTCGTATAATTACAGCTCAATCCACGTGAGAATGGGTATGACATCAGCGGAAAGCTGTCTGGCGCACAAAACCACCACTCCACTTTCTGGCGTGAGTGTTGTGATTTGCATCTGAGAGAATTCTATCTAAGCATCGCATTCTATCCTGAACTATCTCCATCTGCTTCTACTCGACTTTGACCTCAGAACAGGAGGAGAGCGTGAGGGAAAGTAGCTGGTCCTTGTCCTTGAGTGCCAAGCCGCAGCTCAACGCTTTTCCCGATCAGGAACCGCGAATCCGACGGGCGAGAAGAAGAATTACCGCGGAGGACGAGCAGAAGAGTATCTGAAGCATCCTCGTCTCAGCTCCCGGCCTTCTGCCCTTCTGTCTGCAGATTCCACCCAAGCTATGGCAATGGGTCAACCTTTGAGGGGAGCTGTCCGGACTCTGTCCTGGACTCGTGTTCTTCCCCCTCGGGCGCGACAGGGAGCTTTGCTGCACCGGGCATGGCAGACCAGAGGCGTCCAGATTCGCGCTGCGCCCGCGGAGCAGCCTGCAACGGTCAATGGGGACAATCTTCCGGTGTCCAGTACTCCCACGACCGCTGAATCTGCTGGTGAGTCTCATCGCATGACTTAAGTCAATAAAGCTGCAGGCAATGCCGAGCTCCACGGTCGCCGCTGAGAACTCCTTGCTAATACACCTGCGAATATAGATGCTCGATTCGACGTTATCGGCGCACCCTACTCGCTCCTATCGGTTTCACTTTCCGCCTCCCAGAATTTGTACACTCGTCGAGGAACTCTGGTGGGACTGAGTGGGAAGGCAGACAATGTATGTGGCTATTGGACCTATCGCGACGCGCTCATGTACGAGCTATCTCTAATGGCTGAGGTCTCTGTTACCAGGTGGTTTCCACGCTCAGTGTCCTCGAACCTTTCCGAAGAGCTGTTGTCGGCGTGCCCTTTCTCTACCAGAAGGTCTGATCTGTCCTGTCCTTATAAGCCGAGCGCTCTGGAATATTAATTCCCGTGCAGATATCTTCGGCCAGTCCGGTGACAGCCTTGGTCTCCGTCCGTTCCCCCAATACCTCCTTTGCCGTGGTACACCTCGATGGCTCCATCGACTGGATGGTCGCTCAAAGGCGAGCCTTGCTTGCCTGGACGGGTCGCTCGCTCGCGATTCGACCCACCATTAACACAAACCTGGTTTGTCTCATCCCGAACCACGCATGTGCCCGATGCTATGGCTAATTCGCGAAGAGCTTGGCCCATTGGGGTAGCTCGGAAGTCACTGGGAGAGGATTGCTGGCATTGATCGGCAACGGCCAGCTGTATTCGGTCGAGCTCAAGGCTGGCGAGCAATACATAGTCCACCCCAGGTATGCTTGTCGACAAGCACTTTTAGATGCGCAGCTGACTGATGTCAAAAAGCAACGTTGTTGCTTACACTATCTCGTCCCACCCCCCTCGTCCCTACCGCTTCAAGTCGACCACATTGAAGTTCCAGGTCCCAGGCCTCAAGAGCTTGCCCAACTTCATCCAGGGTTCCAAGTTCCTCCAAGCTATGTCTGAATCGGATACTTGGAAATCTACGATGAAGCTGGTGCACAAGCTTCGCACTTGGTCTCGCATGACCATTTGGGGAGATAGGGTATGTTTAATCCGCCTGATCCCGGTTGCGCAGAGTACTCATATCTCCTGCTTCTAGTTGTTCCTTCAATTCGACGGCCCTACAACCATCCTTCTCCAGACTCGCGGTCCTCGCATCAACGAGGTCCTGACGACACACGAAGTGAACGAGATCGCTAGTGCTCCTCGTGGACTGACCATCGGGCCAGCCAAGCCCCAAACGTCGGCGGAAGACCCAGTCCGAAGAGCAGCGGAGGAGGCGGTGAATGCTGCCCCTGTGCCTTCCCGGACGGTGGACGAATTGTTCCAGGAAGCGAAAGGCACGGCGCAAAGCATCGCCAAGCTCACCAAGGACGGCAAGGTGATTTTTGAGAAGCTGAAATAAGCCAGCTGAGCCGTAAGCAATTTGTTTCGATTATCATTGTTATGCATAAGTGCGAGAGTCTATGTTGGAAGATCCATTTTCATTGCAGGCTCAATGTACTATAGACAGCATGCGTCCGACTGTACGCCAACTTTCTTCATGAATTCTTCATTTATTAATCCTCTTATTAGGACCGGCTTCTGCTTGTCCTTAGCTTCTGCCTCTTCAATGGACTAGGCACACTATCAGTCACAGTAGATCAGACCTGCGGACGAGCCAAGTATAGAAAGTGGTGAACCCCATTCCGGACCAAGGGTCCTGCAAGGGGCTTCACTAGACCGGGCACGACAAGCTTGCTCATCATATCTGACTTCTCCATTGCGCCAAGCCCCCTTGGTTCTGATTGTTTTGAAAGATCCGTTCATTAGCTGACCTACCCGTAAGGGATAACACAACAAACCATGGCGACGAAAGGCCCCCGGGTGATCTCGTTCGAGTTGAAAAATTATTCACGGCCCGTGCCGGCACCTCGTTCTCATCAAGAACCATCCTATATTACGGCATCATCGAGTGGCAGTCCTTGACTAGGAGTGTGGCAGAGTTGTCTTGCCCCTGAAGTGACCTGTCGGACCGCACGAGTATACAAGCCCTCGGCAAGATGACGAACAGCATGCGACGGCCGGAGCTTGAGTTTCCCTATGAACTTCCCAGCGAACTTCCCGGGGAGGACAGCAATGGACTATCTCACAGCCATGGATCGACTTCAACTACACAAGTCGACGTTGAGCCGGACAAGGACGAGCGTAACAACGGGCTACAACCGCTTCAAGCGGAGCAAATAGGAAACAATAACTCGAGGGATGCTGCAGAGAAAACTGTTGCTGCTACGACACAGCTGGCACAGGGGCCTGGCGCACCTCCAGATGGTGGAATGAAAGCATGGCTGACCGTTCTGGGTGGCTTCTGTGCCATGTTCGTCAGTTTCGGCTGGGTCAACTGTGAGTTTTGGCGTTTGAGGACCTGAAATCTTTCCGCTTGGGATGCTGTTGCTAATTCGTAAACGCAGGCATGGGCATATTCATCGATTATTACAAGACACACCAGTTGAAGGACGAGACTACTAGCACAGTGACATGGGTCACCTCGCTGATGACTTTCATGATGTTTTTCGGAGTGCGTATATGCATATGCCCACCGAGTTCATACCCTTGATACTGATCAGAGGCATCCATAACCAAAAGGGCCCCTTTGTCGGGATACTTTTCGACAACTTCGGCCCCCGATACATCATGCTAGCCGGCACATTCTTCCACGTCTTCGGGCTCATGATGATCTCCATCTCATCGGAGTACTATCAATTCCTCCTGGCACAAGGCATCTGCAGCCCCATCGGCACCAGTGCTCTCTTCCACTGCAGCATCACCTCTATCAGCACCTGGTTTGGCCGGCGGCGGGCCCTCGCCCTGGGCATCGCAACCAGCGGAGCGAGTCTGGGGGGCGTCATCCTCCCCATCATGCTAACCCGGCTGTTCGCCCAGCTCGACTTCGGCTGGGCGGTGCGAATCTGCGCCTTCCTGATCCTCTTCTGCCTAATCATCGCCAACTGCACGCTGCAATCCCGGCTCCAACACCGGCGCAAACCATTCCACTTCATCGACTTCGTGCGGCCCCTCCGCGAGATCCCCTTTCTCCTCACCACAGCGGGCACATTCTGTTTCTTCTGGGGCATGTTCCTCCCCTTCTCGTTCATCCCAAGCCAAGCCCAAAAGAACGGCATGTCCGCCACTCTAGCATCGTATCTAATTCCTGTCATGAATGCCGCAAGGTTCGTTCCGCCCCTATCCTTTCACCCCTTTAGCCCCCCTCACCGTCCCGAACAACCCACCTGACCTGCAAATAAAAAAAAAACAGCACCCCAGGCCGCATCATACCCCCCTACCTCGCCGATCTCTTCGGCCGCTTCAACCTCATGATCCTGATGACCTTCTTCTCGGTGATCCTGGTCCTGGCCCTCTGGCTCCCCACCCACGGCAACGTCCCCTCCATTCTTTTCAGCGCCCTCTACGGCTTCAGCTCCGGCACCGCCGTCTCCCTGGCCCCCGCGCTGGTCGCCCAGATCTCCGAGATTCGCGAGATCGGCGTCCGCAGCGGCACCTATTTCTTTATCGTCTCATTCGCCGCCCTCACCGGCACGCCGATTGCCGGCGCCCTGCTCCCTGACCCCCTGCATGGCTCGTATCTGAAGCTCAATATCTTCTGCGCTGTGGTCATGTTCTCTGGGGTCGTGTTTTATTGTCTTGCTAAGGGGTCGATTAGTGGGTGGAGGATTGGGAAGAAGGTTTAGCTTTATTTGGTCTTTCTGTTTGGGTCGTTGATGGCGGGGAGAAGAATCGGTTTTGGAAGAAGGATGGAGAGAGAACAAAAATGCATTAGGATAGAAGTATCGGGTTGATTTATAGACTGTTAGTATGGGTTTTGCACTTTTTAGAATGAGGTTATCATATTGACAGTTATGTGTGTGGTGTTGTGTGTTGAGTGTATCTCCCGATTCAAGAATGGCAAAGTAATTTCAATCATGAGCAACACAATTCACATCCAACTCCGAGAACTCCCTCGCTCAGTAATCAAGTAGTGGTTCACACCACCCATGCATATTCACAGTCGCAACAAATCAAGAAACAAGAAGAAAATGCTGCAGAAACACGGACATCAACCAGTATCCAAAATTCTAAACGGAACGAAGAACAGACTGCCAACAAAGCTTGACATGAGTGCCACCTCGCAAAGCTCGCTTTCTGCAAAACAAAAAGGAATGCAGACAATTATACCAAAACGCCATTACGCATGCTTTGCACACTCTTCATCCCTACCCCCTTCAACTTGCTCAACTCTGCGAGACTGTGGATGTGGACCTGGGCTTCTTCGTGTTCGGCCTCTGGCTGGCCTTCCAGATGCTGGTCCATTTCGCAGAGACAGTCGACGATGGCCTCGGCTTTCTTGGCGCCCACACCCTTGAGGAGCCGGATCTGGCTTACGTCGCGCGAGTTGATGATGGAGAGGAGGTGGATGGTTCGTGGGGAGGGGGCCTCCAGTTCCTCGACGATGTCGGTGGGGGTTTTGGTGCGGGTGCGCTTCCGCCGGCGGGAATGGGCGATTTCCTCGAGGTCGAGCTCGATTTCTTCGAAGTCCTCGTCGTTCGTGGCCTTGTGCGTGGTGACTACGACGGGCTCATAGTCTGCGTCGTCGGAGTCGTCGGCGTTGTGGCGTTTGGGGGCTGGTTTGGCGGTGGGTTGTTGCTTTTTGAGAGAGAGCATGCTGCCGAAGTCTCGCTTGTTTCCTCCTGCTCCTGCTCCTGAGCTGGGGTGAGAGTTGATGGTGCCGGTGGTGTCGACGGCACCGGGGGCTTCCGAGTGGGATTTGCCGTGGATACGCTCCTTCAGCGTGGCGATCTTCCGGGTGAGCTTCTCGTTGTTGGGGAAGAATGGGAGCGCGAGTTGGTACATCTTGAGGGCAAAGCTGTCCTCGCCGCGGCCTTGGTGCTGTTTGGCCATCAGGAGGTAGGATAAGCCCTCTGCTCTTGCATCTTCCGTCCCCTCGATGCGCTGCTCGAGAAGCTCCAGGCGGCGTTGTACTTGCTCGTTGAGCTCGCGGACCTGCGTCTGTCGCGACTGTTCGCTGACGGCTCGCACGGCGAGGATTTCCTCCACTTTCTTCTCGACCATCTCCTCAATCTTGGCGGCCGAGAAGTCCTCGAACTGCTTCGGGGCCTGCTGGTGCGTGGCATATACGGGGCGTGTAGGCTGCTTTGAGAGTCGGGCGGTGGTGTCGGCGCTTAGAGAGGTCCGTTTGGGTATTTCGGGCTTCTTGAACTGAGTGGAGTAGCGGGGTTGTGACTTGTCGGAGTAAACGTGGAATGCTTTCAGGGGCTTCTCGGGGTTTGCAGCGTCTTTGGTAGCTGTTGCGGTCAGGTTGACATTCACAGAGGCAGTCAGCGGCCGCAAGGGTTGGCGAAGTGTGCCAATGGTCGAGGGTCGTGCCACGGGTCTGGGAGGTCCTTTGAAAATAGGCTCATTCTCTACCTCGCGCACTTCGATCTTCTTCGTTCGGTTGGCGAAATTGAGGGAACTGATTGTGTCCAGGTGATAGGATTTAACAGGAGCGAGGTTTAAGATCATGACGGTTAGCCCGTTATTTTGGCCCAGCGAGAGAATCCGGGTCATCTTCGATTCGCGGTATGGGATTCTGGAGTGTTTCTTGCTGATCGCTTCTACACACTGGGCCAGGACAAACAGACTCTTGTTGATACTGGCGGATTCTACCATGCGCTCCTTGTCATTGTCCGTCCGACGATTGTCCTCCGAGCCGGCAAGGTCAATGGCTGATGCGGTGCTGATGCAGGTTTTGTCTCCAGTGCTGACTGCCACGCGCACGCAGAGGATAGCGTGAGAGCGTGATGAGTGGGCGTTTAGCTGTAGTGACGTGAGCATTTAGCTTGTTAGAGAAGGACCAGGGTACATACCTTGGTCGCAGACGTCGATCTGTTGATATTCGCCTGGTCATACAAACTTTCGAACTCCTTCAGATTGTGACATGGCCTCTCCGTCAGGCCGACGACTACGGTCTTGCCTCCGTTATCACGGAGGGGTAGGCCTGCCAATGTTCTTTTTTCTGGGGGCTCGAACAAGTCGAACACCTTGTCGTTGTAGATCTCGTAGTAACTCAAAGAGACCTTGACGGCAGTCTCACCGTTGCTTTCTTTCTCCATCTTTCGGCTGCGCCTGTATATGCTACTGAGGAGACGAGGGATGACGCCTCTGTCGACTAGGCTTTTACCGCCTCGCATAGTATGCGTCTTTCCCGTTCCTGTGACTCCGTATGCGAAGAGTGTGACATCGAACCCGTTGAAGAGGTGTTTAACGGTTGGTGCGACTGGGCGATCAATCAGACTGGTATACCTCTGGCTTTTAGTTTTGGTACTCACCCTCTGCCTCGTATAGCTCCTGCTGTGTCGCTTCTGCCTCGTAGACGGCATTGAACTGGAAGGAGTATTCTTCGCTCTCATTCTTGGGATTGGGAATCCGTACTACAGTATCCCTATCCCTCAATGCTGCTAATGATCCCTTCTCTTGTGCGCTAGCCTTTTTGTCGACGCTCTGAGCAGATGGACCAGTACGAAGAATGATATCCAGGTCGCGCTCCGACTTGAGGAGCGGCCGAACACGTGCAACAACCCGAACACTCATTATGTATTATTGAAGAAGATGATGTGCCAGCACAACCAAGTATCCCTATCGTCAAACTCAAAGAATATATGGTCCCACCAAATCAAATCGGCCGTGTGCTTGGGATCGAGCGTGTTGACCAATTGTGCTTCGAAGCTTAGAGCGATGGCGTTGAGATCATTAGCTTTTGGGTAGATGTAAAATTCGGGAACTGTCGCTTAATGTCGCAATATTAGGATGGTACCGGACTCCGATGAAATGGACGCTCAATTGACTTTCATGGACAATACCGAAGTGCGGCGAACCAACAACCGAAGAATTGGCACAGATGTCGAGGGGCAGTTGACTTTGCGGAGAAGACAGACGATGAGGTCGAATTGAGAGACCGACAGGGATAGCCTCGTTGTGGTGCGACTGGTAGCGGTCAATGCTGTTGGCACGGCAACGAAAGCCACGTTCTCCGTATCTTCTCCTCCCACCTGCCGCTGTGGGCGCCATCGACTTTCATTTTCTTGTCTCTTGGGACTCGTCTTTTATTTGCTAGAGATATAATTCATGTTGGATATATATGTGGTATCATGTCGACTATGGTATCCCACTTTTGTCTGTCATACTATCTGCAACGGTCAGCCGATCGTAATTTGCACCTGCAAACTCTTCAACCTGCGCTCTAAATATATAGTTCCAGTGCACATTATAATTGGAGCTCTGCCTACTGACAATCTTCCAGAGAACGACAAAATTCCAGGGCATCTCACTTAAAGCGACAAGAGAGGCCAACGATCCATGCGACTGTGCTGGACCTACAATCCATGGTAGCAGGTCAGCAATACCCCGTACCCCGGCGGGAGTCCTATAAGTATAGGTTAGTGAAGGTAGCTAGTATGAGATCATTAGTATGCCACAGTCTGCAGGCAACCACTGTGGCTTGTTCAGCACCACCAATTACCCGTGGAGTATCCCCTTGAGTAGATACTACACAATTTAGATTGTAGAGCACCTTGAAGATTCGGATCCTAGAGGAAGCAATTGACTGTGCCTTGTACAAATCAACATGCATAGCAAGCACAGAGCAGGCCTCGAATTCAGGCTTGGATGCGGTGAGGTGCTGATTGGCCGGTTGGCGGCAGCCGCAAAGGCCACCGTACACCATCCACCATTCATCCTGCCCCAACTTTACCTGAAGCGTGCCCTTGACTTGACCACAACCTTCTACTCCTGTTCATCAGGAAATTCCCCCCCCCTTTCGCTGGAGCTCACCTTGACGTGTCCCCCTGCTTGACTTCTGACCCTGCCTCCCCGTGCGGTTTGGTGAATCTGTCCCGTGGTTAGTACACCGTTGCTCCTCCGTTCCCCTCCCTCCCTGACTCTCCCACTTGTATCAATTGTTGATCGACCATCCTACACCCAGTGACCCTATAGCGATTCACATACCATCCCGCACATCCCTCCAAACCGCCTCTTTCATACCTGCATACGTCTATAAATCACAGTCAACCTCCATGGCAGCACCGCAAGGGGGCTATCCTCCCCAGGAAGGGTACGGTCAGCCTGTCGGCTACGGAACCCCCGAACAACAGCCCGCCGGGCTCGCTCCCGGAGCACCTGCCCAAGGCCAGGCTGGCGCGCGAAAGAAGAGACAATATGCAGGCGAAGCCTTCGATTTCGGCTCCGGTGCCAATGCTGCTCTCGGAGGCCAGTTACCTGGGGGTGGCAGCTATGGAGCTTACGCGCCGCAAGCACCAGCTGCTGCGGGATATCAGCAACCGGCCTACGCAGATCCGACTCAGATGCACGCCGCTGCTCCTGGATATGGGGCGCCGGCCTCCCCGCCGGTCGCACAGATGACCCAGCAATTCGGTGCTATGGGAGTCACCGATCCACACTACTTGCCGCCACAGCCAGCGCCTCAAGCTCCCCAGGCTCCGCGGGCTGTTCCCCTCAATCAGCTTTATCCTACCGACCTCCTCACTCAGCCGTTCAATGTTGCAGAACTTGACTATCCCCCGCCTCCGATCGTTCTGCCGCCGGGGGTAAGTCGCCATGATCACATGTATCTGCACGGACTGGATACGCTGACCTCGCTCATTAGACCAGCGTTTATCCCTCCCCCTATGCCAACTGCCCTCCGAAATACGTTCGCTCCACGCTGAATGCGGTTCCTACGACACACTCGCTCCTGAAGAAGTCCAAATTGCCCTTTGCGCTCGTCATCCAGCCATATGCAGCCCTCCACGACTCAGAAGATCCTATCCCGGTCATTCCCGACCAAGTCATCTCCCGTTGCCGACGCTGCCGTTCTTATATCAACCCTTTCGTCACATTCCTCGACCATGGACACCGCTGGCGTTGTAACATGTGCAACTTGACCAATGACGTACCTCAGGCCTTCGATTGGGATACTGCTCTTCAGAAGCCTGCGGACCGGGCCTTGAGAGCTGATCTGAACCACTCGGTCGTGGAATTCGTTGCCCCTCAGGAGTACATGGTTCGCCCTCCCCAGCCGCTCGTCTACCTCTTCTTGATCGATGTAAGCTATGCGTCTGTCACCAATGGTCTGCTGGCGACGAGTGCACGGTGCATCAAGGAAAGCCTGGACCGGATCCCCAACGCCGACCGTCGGACCCGACTTGGCTTCATCGCGGTCGACTCCAGCCTTCACTACTTCAGTATTCCCCGAGATGGATCGGACAACTCTGACCCTAGAATGCTAGTCATCAGCGACCTGGACGAGCCTTTCTTGCCCATTCCGGGCGATCTTCTGGTGACCTTGAGCGAATGCCGCGAGAACATCGAGTTGTTCCTCGACAAGCTGCAAGAGATGTTCCAGAACACTCAGAGCAATGGCTGTGCCATGGGATCCGCACTGCGCGCCGGTTACAAGCTGATCTCTCCTGTGGGCGGTAAGATGACCGTGCTCAGCTCCTCTCTGCCCAACATCGGCCATGGTGCCCTCACCATGAGAGAAGACAAGAAGGTCCTTGGCACCAACAAGGAGAATGCGCTCCTGCAAACAGCGAACAGCTTCTACAAGAGCTTTGCCGTGGAATGTTCCAAGGCCCAGGTTTCTGTCGACATGTTTTTGTTCTCTTCTCAATACCAAGATGTTGCGTCTCTTAGCAACCTGCCTCGGTACACTGGTGGTCAAACGTACTTCTATCCTGGCTGGAACGCTGCTCGTCCCGAAGATGCGATCAAGTTCGCCCGAGAGTTCTCCGACTACCTTTCATCTGAAATTGGACTGGAGGCTGTGCTCCGTGTTCGCGCTACCACCGGCCTCCGCATGAACACTTTCTACGGAAACTTCTTCAACCGCAGTTCCGATCTCTGCGCCTTCCCCGCCTTCCCGCGCGATCAAGCGTATGTTGTCGAGGTCGCCATTGATGAGACGGTCACGAAACCTGTGGTCTGCTTGCAGACCGCTGTCCTCCACACTACCTGCAATGGCGAGAGAAGAATTCGCGTATTGACTCTGGCGCTTCCCACCACGCAGAATCTGGCCGACGTCTTCGCCTCAGCCGATCAGCAAGCGGTTGCAACCTACTTCAGCCACAAGGCCGTGGAGCGGGCTCTGGGAAGCGGTCTGGAACCTGCCCGGGATGCCCTCCAGGCCAAGGCAGTGGAGCTGCTGTCCACCTACAAGAAGGAGTTGGCCGGTGGAAGTGTGAGTGGAGGCGGTCTCCAATTCCCTGCTAACCTGAGAGCCCTCCCCGTCCTCTTCCTTGCCATGATCAAGAATGTAAGTTTCCTCTGCCTATGTAATTGGCCCTCAACATCTGACTCGCGATTAGCTCGGTCTTCGCAAGTCGGCGCAGATCCCTACTGATATGCGCTCTGCGGCTCTCTGCCTGCTTTCGACGCTTCCCCTTCCCCTCCTCATCCAATACATCTACCCGAAGATGTACTCCCTCCATGATATGCCGGACAACGCTGGTTTGCCCGATGAACAGACTGGCGAAATCGTGCTCCCTCCTCCGGTCAACCTGTCGGCTGAGCGGGTAGTTCCCTATGGTCTTTACCTCATCGACGATGGACAGACGCAGTTCTTGTGGGTGGGACGTGATGCCGTTCCTCAGCTGATTGAGGATGTGTTTGGGTTTGCGGACCGGTCGCAGCTCCGGGTGGGCAAGCAGAACCTGCCGGACGTGGACAACGAGTTCAGCCAGCGGGTGCGTGCGGTGATCGAGAAGAGTCGGGACCACCGGTCGAAGGGGGTGGGTAGCATTGTGGTGCCGCACCTCTATGTGGTCAAGGAAGACGGCGAACCGGGTCTCCGCTTATGGGCGCAGACGATGTTGGTGGAAGACCGTGCGGACCAGAGCGTCAGTCTGGTGCAATGGATGGGTTCTTTGCGGGAAAAGGTTTGATTGCTCCGTTTCCTAAGCGCTTTGTCTCCTGGCAGTTGATCCATTACCCTTTCTGCCGTCATCGACACACGAGTCTATACTTGGAGTCACGCAGACTGACGAGCTTTTCGAACACACCTACAGGTTGTTCAGTAATGATAGTTCTCTTTTCCCTTATTGGTAAATTATTTGAAAGATACATCAATACAATTTCCGTGGTTATGTCATGTTCCGATGTTTTTTTTTTCTTCTTCTTCTTCTTCTTTAGCGCTCCGGATGGTGGTCTTACCTTCTGGTTTGGTTTTCATTATCAGGTGGCGATCAGGCGACAAGAAGAGATACAAAAGTACGGGAGTGTGTTAAACGTATGGTTGAGGTTGGATGATGTTGGAGTAATACTACTACTGTGTATGGATTGGGACGACCTTTGGGCATCCCGAGTCGGGCCATGTGTTTTCTAATCCAGTGTGCCCTCATGGGCGTTGAAGATGTGCATTGTACCGAGTACTGTGCAGCAGCATTTTTGTAGATTATCTTGTCTGGTGTCATTGTTCCACGACAATGCTTACCAAAAAAAAACAAAACCACGAAACTCAGTCTGAATGAGCAAGGGCGTTTCGCCCGACGGGGTGTGTTGCATGGGCCCCGGGGTCTGCCATCCCTCGCGCTCCGTCACGTCACTTGCCTTGCCCTTCCGAACAAGCGTGTCGATGTAAGCGGGCAAAGCGTATCGCATGGAAGGTTCCCGGAATGATACGATGGGGGATGGAGGGGTCCAAGTTTAGTTGGTGACGAACAGACGTCGAATTGAGGCTTGTGATTCGATGGACCGGGTTGTGATCATGTAGGACCATCGAGCAGTAGCGGCAAGGTCAGTACTCAGTAGGTCGTACAGTATGGTAGGGTTAGTGCAGAGGGCAGCAAAGCACTGCGCTCTTCTCCTGTAATAAGACGAGAGTACTAATCTATCTGTGCGGCTAGGTCAGGGTGATGGATGGATGGACCGCGGATCCGTGAGCAAAGCAGCGTGTGATGGATTGATCATTAGTACTCCGTAGTAAGAAGACCCTCCCCCCTTGAGTGGAAACTATCGACTAAGTCGGACTAGTTCTGTAGCGTGGGCCAGGGTGTGTTGAGAAGACGGAGAAGTCGGTCGTCACGCCGTCACGGTGGTGAAACTGCCAGAGATTGGCGCCGTGGTGGGTTGAGGTGCGTCGCGTAAGGTTGAAACACTGGTCCAGACGGTGGTTTTTCTTGGGGTTTGACCGTTTGGGTAAGCTATGAGATGACAGGGTCGAAAGAGGATCTTCGACTGAGACGGGCTTTGATTCGGGGAATGATGATGTCTGTGTGTCTACCTATGTGTGTGTGTCTGTTGTCTGTTAAAAGTTGCTCATTTGCGCTCTCCACATAACGTTATTAAGATCACGTAGGGTCCGTAGGTCCGTAGGTCCGTAGGTTCCTATTGAGGGATGATCACATTGTCCGCTTGGGGTTATTGTAGAATATGGGCCATATCCGCTGAGGGATGAAGTGAGTTTGTGATTGATGTGGCAATTTGAATTGGTTTGTTGAGGAAGAGGAAGCGGAAGAGGAGGAGATCTGATACCGAGTATGGTATGTTGAAGAAATGGAGGATCTCTGGATCAGGAACCAAAACGGTGGTGATTTCCACTGCAGCGGCCCCTCCCCTCCTCCGTCTCTTCAACCAAGGTTCCTTTCTTTCCTTTCATGCTTGGGTATTCTACTCTCTGCGACTGTCCCCCTTGTTGCTGTTGTCGACACGGATTGATTATTCTTAGAAGATTCTGGGTGACTTGAAACTGTCAGTCAGTCAGTGACAGTGACCGAGCTGTGTCTTATCTGGCTTTGTTGCTCTCTAGTTATCGATAACTAACTGACTCTCTCCCCCTCTTGCTCCACGGCGATTCAGGTACAGTACACTTCCACTTTCCACTTTCCACTTTCCCACTTCACCCCTCCTTATTCTTCTCTCTCTCTCTCTCTTCCTCTTCTGCTCTCCGTCTCTCCGGTGGTATCTCTTGATCCTTCCCTTCGTTCCTATTATTAGGAATTCAATCTACACAGACCCTCTTTCCCATCTCTCTTTGTGCTTGTTGTTGTTCTTGTTCACTAGGTGGTTGACCTGAATTCCTTTGGTTTTCGCACTCCCCACTTCCGAGTGATTAACTTTCCCACTACGGACACTAGTTTCCCCTCCACGACTGGCACTATTTGCTTTTGCTCTGCTTTCTCTCTCTCTCTGTCTCTCTCCCACTTACTCCAATCCCTCCACCAGCATAATCAGCTGCTAGTCTGTCGTTCGTTACCTTTCCTCGCCTGCTCTTACTCCTCCCTCCCCCCCCGTTCCCCCTCCACACGCGCCGCCCCCCCTCCCTTCCTCTTCTCTGTCGAAACACCGTGGGTTGGTTGCCATTTTTTTTTTTCTTGCTTCAAATGTATTTTAGCCAGAGCAGCTCGAAACTGACCATTGTCGTCGATCTAGAACCAGGGCAGAAGACACCTGGAAGACCAACGGTCCCAAAAATAGAACCGACCTGTGAGACACCCAACAACAGTACTCCAGTTTCCTCACCACAACTGGTATGCCTTCTCCTTTTTCTCTTCTTTCTCTATTCTCATAAGCTCCTCCTCGGAACCTTTAATACGTCCCAAATCTTCAATCTTTCTTGTCGCCGTTGTGGATAATTGACCAATTCGTCGTTTTGTGGTCCAGGTCGTCATCAGTGACGTGGTTCGATCTAAGCGCCGTGTGAGCAGTCTATTTGTTCCTTTCATCACCAACTGCGCCCCTGGATCGTGATTCTACCCGGACTTGCTTCGTCTTTTCGAAAAATCAACAGACACTGCGTCGGAACCTTTGCAGCCAACGTGCGTCTTCCTTTTCCGGTTTGATTGCAGACACGCGCTGTACCCCGCTTTCGATCTTCGACCGTTCCCCGACAACGATTACTCGTCCAGCGCATACACCCTGGCATGCGCATTTGCTGTATTTAGGCCCCAACAGCGCTCAACCCCAGGCTCTTCATGTAAGCGCTATGTCTATGTCCTGTGTCTGTTGCTTGATTGTGTGATGGGCCCTTAGCGGTATCTCGTGGGCGATCCGCTACTTGTCCGCATGTGACGAACCATGCCCACCCTCCCCTCAGCGATGCTCAGGGATTGTTGGTCTGCTGTAGTCTCTCCCTTATCGTTGGGCTGGCAAGTCGGCGATGAGCTGGACTACCACTTGGCGCGGGGTCCGGGGTCCATTACACAAATGTCTGCCACTGTCGACGTGAACTGACTCTTGTTTAGAACTCTTATCATAAACGTCATCATGGTGCAGCAAATGCCTCCTCAAGGGGGATCACGCAAGATCTCCTTCAATGTCTCGGATCAGTATGAAATTCAAGATGTCATCGGAGAGGGCGCCTATGGCGTTGTCTGGTGAGTCCCGTCAGACGAAACGAGCGTCATGGCTCATTGCTAATGAGCCTCAGCTCCGCTATTCACAAGCCTTCCGGCCAGAAGGTCGCTATCAAGAAGATTACCCCGTTCGACCATTCCATGTTCTGCCTGCGAACACTGCGTGAGATGAAGCTGTTGCGATATTTTAACCATGAGAACATTATTTCCATCCTCGATATTCAACGGCCTCGGAACTATGAGAGCTTCAACGAGGTGTATCTGATCCAGGTATTTCCAGCGCCCGAACACGACCTACAGGGACGGGAAACTGATCGAAGCAGGAATTGATGGAAACGGATATGCACCGTGTCATTCGGACCCAGGACCTTTCCGACGATCACTGTCAATATTTCATCTACCAAACCCTACGCGCGCTCAAAGCTATGCATTCCGCGAACGTTCTCCACCGTGATCTCAAGCCCTCCAACCTTCTTCTGAACGCCAACTGTGACCTGAAAGTCTGTGACTTCGGTTTGGCCCGGTCCGCCGCATCGACCGACGACAACTCGGGTTTCATGACGGAATATGTCGCGACCCGGTGGTATCGTGCACCGGAGATCATGTTGACATTTAAGGAATACACCAAGGCGATCGACGTGTGGAGTGTGGGCTGTATTCTGGCCGAAATGCTGAGCGGAAAGCCCCTGTTCCCCGGAAAGGACTGTGAGTGCAAGTACGAGGGTGCTGCGAAGACAAGAAATGCTGATACCTTATAGACCACCACCAGTTGACCCTTATCCTCGACGTCCTCGGAACGCCAACCATGGAAGACTACTATGGGATCAAGTCCCGCCGGGCTCGGGAATACATCCGGTCCCTCCCATTCAAGAAGAGGATCCCTTTCCGTGCCATGTTCCCGAAGAGCAATGACCTGGCTCTGGATCTGCTGGAGAAACTTCTCGCCTTCAACCCGGCCAAGCGCATCACAGTGGAGGAAGCGCTGCGTCATCCGTACTTGGAGCCGTATCACGACCCCGAGGATGAGCCGACGGCGCCACCGATCCCGGAGGGATTCTTTGATTTCGACAAGAACAAGGATGCATTGAGCAAGGAGCAGTTGAAGCGTAAGTGCGCATGTGCTAATTGATGTTGGGTTTTGCTAATTTGTCGTGCAGTCTTGATCTACGAGGAGATTATGCGGTAAAGAACTTGACGAGCGTATGATTGCGGCTAAGATACCAAAGTACGGGGGAACGAAACAAGGCAGTGCCTGGTTGCTGGGTTTGGTCGGGATTTCATTCAAGCACATAATAACATGGATGGATAGAAAGAAAAGGATAGGGACAATGCTCGCGCGGTTTGCCCTGGACAATATGTTGCCATTTGCGATGGAGTTGAAGTGACGAATCGAGCATTTATGCTTGTTTGATATAATGCGAGCAGAGTAACTTTGATAGTAGTACAGTACATATAAGATGAACTACCTTAACCAACAGTGTCTTTCTTGGGTATATACAAGGTATTATCCTTATTCTCTCTGGGTATATACATACAAAGTATTGTCCTCAACTTACTATACATACAGGCACCATTGAGCCCAGTTGAGGGAACTAGATTACTTCCTTCCGGCCCTATACTCCTCCATGAATTTCTGAATCCCCATCCCCACCCCCTCAGGACTCGGCTTCTCCGCACAGACATCAGGCTCGAACCCAACGCGATTCTTGAGATAATCCCTAGTCGTAGGCCCGATCGTGGCAACGAAGAACCTCCTCGTCTTCTCCTTCCCCCTCCCAGATGTCAAGTCCGATAACGCACCCGCGGAATTAACCTTCTCCAGAACCCGCACCATAGCCTCACATCCCGTGGGCGAAAACACAACCGTCCAGACCACTCTATCCTCTTCCCCCTCTGCTTCCTCTCTAAGAATCCGTTCCGCAAACGCCCCCTCAAACCCCTCCATAACCCCCGTCTCATAAACCACAACCTCATCCACTTGAATCCGTTCCGCGACAGGTAGATTCTCATCCATGAGCGTCTTGGGAATGATATCCCGTCGCTGCTCGCCTACCAGGAAGAGAAGCGGTTTTCTTGGTCTCTGCCCTTCCGCCTCTGTACTCCCACCGGAGGGAGAAGGGGAAGGATAAGGGTAATGGGCAAGCATAAACCGCGCCAACGCCTCGCCGGTCCCTGAATCTTGGCCGTGGAGCGTTGCGTTCGGGAGGTACGTTGTTGTTAGAGTCGAGAGGGAGCGGTGCGTTGCGGGGCCGACGGTGTAGAGGGGGAGGTTTATTTCGGGGAGGGGGTCTATTCTCCCATTGGTTAGTTTGTGGGTTTGTATGGTAGGTTGGACTTGGGTATGGTAGGTATGGTGGACTGGGTTGAGCTAGGGCTGGACTGGCTGGGTAATAATTAACATACGACCAATCCCCTCCAACACCGTCGCGAAACCCTCCACTGCGCGCTGGCTGGTGAAGATTATTCCGCCGTATTGCTGGGTCGGAGTGTCCGGATCAAAGCCCCCCGACACTAAGAGGTCGTGGACTTTCTGCAGGTTCGGCGTGTGGAAGTTGTGTTCTAGGACGGGGATGAAGGTTGGGGCGTAGTTGTTTGTGCGGAAGAAGTCGTCGTAGCTGTCGTCTGGGGTGGAGCGGGTTTTGAGGAGGAGGATGGGTGTTCGTTTTTCTTTTTCTTGAGGCATTTTGGAAGTCTTGCTTGTTGGTTAGGTGCTTGTGTGAGAACAAGGAGGGGGGGGATTGAGGGGTTGTCGTTTGTCTGTATGTCTGTTGTTGCTGGATGCGGAGCGCGGGGCGGAGCGGAGATGCGCCGCTGCCGCTGCCGCCGAGGTACATACTTCTTCTAATTCCATAGGCTTACGGGCCATGGGTGAAAATGAATTATGCGTAAACCAGATACTCAAGCAGACCAATCACTTGTAATGCTTACAGAGATTTCACAGTGACGACTACAAAATCAATAATGGGTCTAGGTTGGTATGTACACTAAAGAAACAGACTACTGGTCGTCGAGAACGTGCAGGTACTTCTTCTCCTCCTGTCTCTCCCGCTCCGTGGCAGGAGGCAGATCGTAGTACGAGGCGCTACGGTAACCCAGCTACATTCGTTAGCCATTACCCCAAAAATCTTCAGAAATCAACTTACCAAGTAGTGGAAGGTCAGGTTGCTGAGCTCAGCAGGCTCGATTCCGAGGTCCTTGAACGTCTTGGCGTTAGGGTCGATCACCTGGTCGATGAACTCGCGCTCAACCTCGTCGGGGGAGACGGTGGGCCACCAGAGGAACTTGTTGAGGTAGTGAGCCATGGGCTTCCTGATTGCCTTGGGCAAGTTCACGTGACGGCGGTGCTTGACGATTTCCTTGTCAACCAGCTTGGCGATCTCGGCGGTCGAGTAGTTCTTGGGGCCGTAAAGCTCGAAAGTCTGACCGACAGTGCTGTCATCGTGCAGCATAGCCTCGAGAGCAGCTCCGACATCAATGGCCTGGGAATTGTCAGCACGGCCCAGGACAGAACTTGCTTCGAGAATCATACGTGCACGGGCCAGTAGCGCTCCTGCATGTGGTTGGAGGTGAAGATGTTACCCGCGCGAGCGAGCTTGTGGAGAAGGTTGTCCTCAAAACCGAACATGGGTGCGGGACGGACAATGGTGGTCTCAGGGTAGACGGAGCGGGCAATTTCCTCACCCCAAGCCTGCGGCAGTCAGCAACATGTAGCGGCAATACACCCGATTAACGGACCTTGGTAGCAAAGAACTCGGAAGGAGAGTCCCGGTTAGCATTGTAGGAAGAGACGTGGATGAAACGATCAACATCGTACTTGGCAGCAGCCTCGACAATGCGCTCCGTTCCATCGACGTGCACGTCGGTGTAGGTGAAGTTCCTGTCTATGGGTCAAAAAGGCGTACATTCGCAATGGACCACTGAGACTAACTTGGTAGGATATTGACGACCGACAAGGTTGTAAACGACATCGGAGTGTCGAACAGCCTCCTCAATGGACTGAGTGTTGCGCAAGTCGTATTCCTGCCGAACCACCGAGTTAATGACCTGCTTATGATGCACGGATGGAGGCGTCATACAATGAAGGTGACACGTCCGAGATCACCAGTGACCTTCAAGTGTCTCTTCGTCATCTCCTCACGGTAAGGGATAACAACGTTGATACCCTGACGAGCTATACCGGCGTTAATTTATGGCCCTTCCCAATCGACCACGGACCCGACCTACCAAGCTTGTTGACAATGTAACGACCGAGGAAACCGGTAGCACCGAAGACGGTGGCGGTGTGACCTAGAATATATGAGCCTTTTGAAACCGACGCGAGCAGATTATGACAGGAGGAAAGGGCGATGTACCTCCCAGAGACGACCTGCGGAGCAACCAGTTAGCATCATAGCACATCCATAGACCCGGTATATGCGCTCTTACCGTCCACCCTGAACCTTCAGAATCGGCTTTCCGGTCCGAGTGATAGCGACATCCTGGAGATTCCGGCGCTGGACTTGGAATTGAACCCGAGGGGCGGGGACGAATGCCCTCGACCCCAGGGCGGAATTGGCGGCCCGGCAGCTCTGCATGGTCTCAATTCTGCTTGCGAATCAGATGAGACCACCGAAATGCGTCCGGATCGGTGTTTGGCGATGGACAATGGGTGGGTAGAGGGGAGAGAGCCAAGCTCGACGTCAGGACTTGTGCTCGCAGCTGGTAGATGAAAGTCGCTGTCCAGAATAACCTTGGAGCGGGCACGGGACTCTGGCGCTAGTCCCCTTTCGGTCCACTCCCTGGCCGATTTCGACCTTCGTTCAATTGTCCGATCCTTTTCTGCTCCTGACAATTACCTGGTGAAGACGGTCAATACTCTCAATTGCAATTCTAGGTTGAGATTACTCAAGTACCTCGACTATGTCTATCATATTGGTCGTTTTGAACAGCTCCAACACCGAACAGTCGATCTCATGCCGGATCGCGTCTGACTATTCACGAAACATGATTGGTCGGATATCTGGCAGCGTCATGCTGTAATGCGACGCAACACTTTTGACTACGAAGACATGAACTGAATTTAAGAACAACAATCGCATTACTATCTTGACCGCACTATATCGTCAACGATGCTCAAACTCGCTGGCCCCGAGCAAGGAACAGGGTTTTCGGCAGCTTTGCATGAACCTTGAATGCCATCTTATGCTCCAACAATTCGCTTTGGAAGTCCCGACCCAACCCGGCATTTTCGTAGAGCTGTTGGATCCCCTCCAATGTGAACCCATGGCTTCCGACTGTGTGTTCAGCCTCGCCAAAGTCAAGCTTCTCATGAGCTGAGTCATGGTGCTCACCATGGTGATGGTGGTGATGGTGGTGATGCTGATGATCGTGGTCTCCGTTCGCAAGGATCTCCAAGATCAAAAATACACCACCCTTCTTAAGCCGCTCACCCAACCTGGCCAAGGCCAGTTCGGGTTTCTCGAAATGGTGAAGTGCCATACTGACGACCACAATGTCGAAGTTAGAGTACTCCTCTCCAGAGTACTCCTCAGGTACAGTCTCGGCAAGGAGATCAGCTTTGACTCCAGTCATCTTGTCTCCCAGACCTGCTTCCTGGGCGTTCTTGTTGAACTGACCGACCATGCCATCCGAAACATCCATGCCGACTACTTTTGTGACATAAGGTGCCAGAGTCTTCCGATTGGCCAGGTTAGCTTCGTCGAGACACCGGACCAGCCAGGGCTGGGAAACTTACCATGGAGACGGGACCAGGTCCGCAGGCGTATTCGAGCATCTTGATCTCCTTACCCTTGCCCGACTCAGTGTCGGTCCAGGTATCACTGATCCACGCACGGTGATTCAGGATCTCTCTGCAGTTTGCTGCTATGAAGTCCTTGAATTCGTCATTGTAGGTGCTAGCCATCTTGCTGCAAGTTGTATGAGCATCCTTCAGTATTAGTGGGATCTCATCACTTACTCAAAGTATTGACGGTTCTTCTCAGCGAAGTCAGACATGATGGCGGTATTGAAATGATCAATGTACAATCGGCAATAAAGGCAGGGTGCCAAATAAATGGGTTGAATGGTAAAGAGTAGAACAGTGAGATTGATGGCTACAAGAAAGACTGTTACGAAAAGGAGGAGAAGAAGCCCTTATTTATACCTTACTTGGAGCCAAAGAACTATGAACCACCAAGGTGCAGATGATTCAGAGGGCTGCTCGGAGAGATATCGGACACTTATTGAAACCAACCAATACAGGGTTGCTGTAGAGACTCATGCCTGGATTGGTGCAGCCTGATAGTGTTCAGCTAGCACATACCAGAAGCTACTCCTGATCTTATGAATCAAAGCTCATTCTGGGCAAGAGAAAGCAATAAGAAGTTCGGGAAATACTACTACTGATGATGATGTAGTTGAGAATCGCATCGATGTCATGTGCCTCACCGCCCGAGCTTCAAGGCGGTCGTTCACCTCAGCTCCGCTGCCACCTTCAGATCAGCTTCCTTCTATCTTGCCTCATCTCCGATTGACGTCTCTCTACCTCTCACGACCCTAATCTCTTCCTAATCCCTCTCTCCTGCCCTTGCCTCACATCTCACCATCCCCGGTTCCACCATGGAGAACCAAAGGATCACTGATTTCCTCGCCGACCAGCTCCAGCAAGCTCCCGAGCAGAGCCAGGCCTTGTTCCTGACCTTGGAAGACTACTGGGAGCGCAAACTATGGCACCAACTCACCGATTCCCTGATCGAATTCTTCCAGCTACCAGAGAGCGGTCCGCAGCGACTACCAATATTCAAGAACTTCGTCCTCAGCTTCGCCGACAGAATCAACCAGCTCAAGTTCGTCTCGCTGGGGTTGATGGCATCGACGGAATGTGCAGGTCTGTAACTGCGCCCAGTGGGCTGTGCTCGGAGAATCCCTGCTGACGAACCCTGGGGTATCATAGATGACAAAGAACGCCTCTCTTTCCTCACATCGCTGGCCGACAAGGTCAACAAGCCCGATAGCCAAGATGCTTACATCTACGCCCTCGCAGACGTCGCCAACGTCAAGCAACGACTACAAGATCTGGACGGTGCACAGAAGGACCTGGAGATCTGTCAGAAGGTGCTAGATACGTTTGACTCGGTCGAGACTGTTGTTCACGCCTCCTTCTACAAAGTCAACGCAGATTACTACCACGTAAGGATACCTCGTGCTCATCATAATCCTCCGCATCCAACCCCACCACCCAACCCAGCCAGCCATAAGAACAATGAATTCCAATCCGTTCCCCATCGGCTAATAAACAACCCTTAAAATACCAGACCAAACAAGAATTTGCCTCCTTCTACAAGAACGCCCTCCTCTACCTCGCATGCATCGACCTGGAGGACCTCAGCGACTCGGAACGGGTATCGCGGGCGTACAACCTGAGCGTGGCGGCGCTGGTGTCGGACACGATCTACAACTTCGGCGAGCTGCTGCTGCACCCGATCCTGGACTCGCTGACGGCGACGCCGCACAGCTGGCTGCGCGACCTGCTGTTCGCGTTCAACCGCGGCGACCTGACGGCGTACGACGTGCTGGCGGGCAACATCGCCAAGAACCAGCTGCTGGAGCAGCACCGCATCTTCCTGTACCAGAAGATCTCGCTCTCCGCGCTCACCGAGATGGTCTTCCGCCGCCCGCCCCACGACCGCAACCTGACCTTCGCCGCCATCTCCGCCGAGACCAAGGTCAAGCCTCAGGAGATCGAGCACCTGATCATGAAGGCCCTCTCGCTCGGCCTGCTCAAGGGCGCCATCGACCAGGTCGCCCAGGTCGCCCAGATCAACTGGGTCCAGCCCAAGGTCCTGGACATGAAGCAGATCGAGGGCATGCGCAATCGTCTCAAGGACTGGGATGCCGGCGTCAACCAGTTGGGTCACTGGATCGAGGGTGTCGGTAAGGATGTATGGGCGGCTTGAGAGAAACACAGATAGATTCATATACCTTTTTCGAACCTGCCAATTAACAGGCCACCTAAACAAACCACGTTTTATGTCCGTCTTCTTTTTCAACTACAGCATGTTCCCAAACTTATATACCTCGTGATCTGAACAGAGTAAATCCACCTGCGGTCCATGGATGTATTGAGTACTAGACTCGTTTGTCTTACCAAGCTACTATAGTCGAAGCATACGGAAGATGAACTCTTGCTCTTCTTAATCAAGTCTACTATGTATGAGGCATCGGAGTTCGATAGGAAACAGAACTAAATATATTTATTACCCTAACAATAACTCTATGAAACATATTGACGTTGTCAACAAGAACACTATGTATCTATCATGCAACCACGCAGACACAATAAGTCTAGAAAAGAGAGAATCCCAGCAGAGCACACCCGATCACCCACGCGGGCCACCAGACACACCAGACGACCACCTGCGTCCACATGCCCCAGACGTCCCATCCGAAGGCAGCTTGCGTGAGAACCGTCTCGACGTCGACCCCGAAGTACCAGCACGCGCCGAGGAGGACGATGGGCGGGGACAGCACGTTCAGGAAGGCGAGGCCGAGGACGGACAGCACGTACCGGACGGGGCCAGAGGTGGTCTGTGGGTCGATGCGGTTGACGAAGCTGAGTGGGGTGCAGAGGAGGCCGATCATGAAGGAGAGGGAGAAGTTGAGGGTGGCGAGCGTGGAGAGGAAGAGGCCGAGGACGAGTAGGGAAAAGGACTTGATGAGGAGGTACTGATGCGGTTCGCGCGGAGTGGTTAGGCCGTGGGTGAGCGAGGCGGCTAGGACGACGGGGAGGACGGCGTTGAGCACGATGCTGGCGTAGGTTGCCGATGGGTAGTACTGTTCCTTGATTAGCGGGTGGGCTTGTGTGGGTGGATTGAGGAGTGCTTGGGGGCTTACCTGGTGAGAGATGTTGTTGAAGATGTAGAGAGGGATGAGACCGAGGAGATGGAGGCTGACCACCAGGGTGAGCGGAAGAGCAAGATGACGCTCTCTGATGCTGTTCGTGTCTGGCTTGATGGCTGGTTGCGCGGTGCTCGCATCGGACTTGGTCGTCTCAACATACGCTTCCTTCTTCTCGTCTGCACTTGCAGACGGGGTGACAATGCTTTGCTTTGAACCAGCATAGTATCCAGTGCGCAGCCATAGCGCGATTGCCATGATGGTAAAGTTCACGGCAATCAGCATAGCACTAGGCAGATACGTGCCAATGCTGACGAAGCGGTTAGTTTGCATAAGCAGGTAGAAGAAGAAGCTCTGATGGAGATGCTCCAGGAGATTGTTCAAGCTGCGACAGAGACCCTCGATCGTGCGGCCCAACGCCATCTCATCCTGCCACCCTTCACCCTTGGGCTGCAGCGTAATGGCATCGATATGGTACGGCATGAAACTGCTATGCGCACCTGTCGCGTAGCCGAAGCCCTGCTTGACCATTCCTCTCAGAATCGTTTGCAGCCGCCTCTCATAGCTGTCATCGTGATCCCACATCTCCTGCAAGTTGGACCCAATACCCATCTGTCCACCAGCGATCGACACAGCCGTGTTGAACAGATCCAAGTTAGGCAGCTGACCATTAACGCCATCGTAGAGAATATGCAACGACTCGAACCGATGATCAAAGGGATACTCAATGACCAGCCCTCCCTGCAACGCGCCGCTCTTCAGCGGCAGCGGCTGCACAAAGGCCGGCTGCATATCATGGTATGCATCAATCCACGCCTGAGTACCCGATTTGCTATCCGGAGGGAACAAGAAGATGATATCCTTTGACCATAACGACCATCCTATATGCCTCAACATTGATTAGCAAGAAGAGCTGCACCATCTCCGCACCGACCGAAGCCAGGAAATCCACCACCCACGTTTGAAATATCCCGCCAGCGTCAGCGCAAGGCTCACGCCATTAAGATTTAGTTCATCATCCACCGTCTTCCATGCCGCAACAAGCACAATGGCCTCCGTAGCGTCTCCCCGAGGGGCTTGGATAATCGCGTAGACATTCTGCCCCTGATGTGTGATCCCGGAAGATGTGTACTCGTACTTCTGCGTCGCGACCTTCAACCCGGCAGCCCGCAAGATAGACTGAATCTTATCGGAAACCCTAGCACAAGTGCAAAAAGAAATACCCGGTCAGTACGTCAAAAAAGTGCCATACCTCGCCGGAGCGAGCGTAATCGCGCCATCGCGGAAATGTAGAACATACACCGGCGTGTACTCATCGCTTCTGCTTTCCTGGCCCTCCGGGGTCTGACTCGTCAGGATCGCCTCGAGCTCCTTCTTGTAACCGCGGAAGATATGCTGTTCGCTGCCGGAGAAGTATGCGTGGACCTGGCCGGGGAGGAGCGCGTTTTCGGAGATGTACGTCTGCCGGGAGTAGTCGTTGAGGGGAAGGAGGAGCAGCCAGACGACGCCGGCGACAATGCAAATGAAGGAGAGGATATGCGGCAGGTGCACGAAGAGGAAATGAGGATTGCTCCGCAACTTGCGGATTGAGGCTGCCATTGTTTCTTCTGTCAGCTTTCACTTGTGGGTGTTTGTTGGCCCGCAGAGGGCAATCCGGGGTAGATAAGTGTGGCAGTCGGGGATAAGCAGGGTCGCTGGCGGAAAGGCGGCATTGCGCTTGGGGTCTCAATTGCGCACATGGAATGAATAGACTCACATTGTAAAGCCATGAAAGTCGCGACATTCAAGGGCTTGGGCCCATAAGGTGATGCTACAACTGAACAGGCGCGGAATAATGGCGGCGTTCTGGCCGAAGGAGCCCGGAAATTTACGTCAGCCGCTAAAGACCATCTGTACACTGTCGACGCAGAAATAGTATTATTTGCTTCCCCAACACCTTCTACATATTACAGCAATGGCCGCGTATAATAAAAATGATAATATATGAACAAGAATGATAGGCATTTGAGCAAGCTTGCGTAAAAGTCCTCAAGCACCCAGACGCTGAGAGGAGCCCAGATAACTCATAGGAGTTGCCCTCTCACCACCAGCATTCGTAGTCGGGAGAACACCATACCGACCATATGTCTTTTGGTCGACCGACACATAGTGTGGCAGTCTCCCCAGAAGGTTCAACTTTCCTTCAACCCACCTCAAACCCCACTCAGGGGGGACCAACACTTTCAAATACCCGAGACCGACTAATACAACGTGTTAGAAAGCGCAAGACAAACGAAATTCGAAGAAGAAGATCACTTACGCAGGTAGCCCACGAAGATGGCGCACAGGTGACCTAGGAGGCTTGTGTTGGGGACAAGGATTGAGACCAGACCACACGCAAACAGGGGAGAAGTCCACGTAGGGATCTTATATGGCCCGAGGCTGACAAGTTGTCAATTCCGGCGCCAATGCATTTGACTGGAAACTTAACCTACCTAAAATAAGGGTTGGACTTGAAGGTCCTAATGGCTTCGGAGCCCAGGAGTAGAAACACCCAAACACTAGAACATCTGTTAGACACCCCTCAAGGCCAAACAATACCAGGCCAAAGCCACCCACCTGGCACCAGTCACTGCAGTATTTCTGTGCAAGGCAAATTTCTCAAACAGAATATATAGACCGGCCGGGAATGTAGAGAGAGCTAGATCCAGACATCATAATTAGCACATCTATAATGCCGACATTCAATTCAGGTCATGTTGACTTACGCCCAAAGAACAAAGCCACGGCAGTCAATGTGCCATGTTCAGCCTCAAATCTTTCCAACAATGGAGTGACCGCCAGGAGATTGAGGAAGGCGTGGAAGAACCCGACATGAATGAAGGGGTATGTGTTGAGTCGGTACACTATGTTCTCATGTCAGATACACGCGTCCCTTGTGTCCTCCTGGGGACTACCCGAGATTGAACATACTGGTGCCAATCCCGATCTCCTCCGGTATCAGGGAGCCCCATTGCACAACGCTCCACACCGTTTGTAATTCGAACAACCAGAACAAAATGATGGCTAAGAGCACAAGCCGAGTGAAGAGCGGTAGACGAAGAACATAAGATCGTACCCTTGACGGGTTGAACGGCAATGGCGGTAAAGCGGCTGGAGTAGCCATGATGGTGGTGTTAGAGTCGTTGATTACTGTATATTATGGAATGATATCAGATGAAAGCTGAACCTCGTAGCTTGAGGGTCTGCAATGTAAAGTTGGCTCTATGTAATTAAGGCAGACCGAGAGGGTTGAAGGCGTCGAGCGCACGGTCGTTCGAGGGGGGCGCAGTGGATCGACTTCGGAAGAGTGTGGACTATGCTTCTCAAGGATAAACAATTATTTCGAGCCCAGGCTATAAACGACGCTGCAAGGACTTATAACAATAGACAAAGACTGTGAAGACGGCTGCGTTCGTCAGTGCGACTAGCCACGGGGATGGAATGAACGATAAACACGCGACAGGGTCGCAAGAAGCCAGCAATCAAAGCCACGAAAAGCGAAGGCAACATACACTCGACGAAATTAGCGCATTGCCCCGCAAGTCAAGGGAAAGAAGAATAGCACTACTCCGTAGATCCGTACTTTCTCAAGTTTGCTTGTTGGCTCTTCTTGTTCGGGGATAATACACGCTGAGCTGTTCTCCCCGTCGGCCTTTTTCCCAGCGCCGATCCCCATGGTCACGTGAGTGATAGCCGTCTTATCAACAGCCTTCAACTTTGCTCGACTCACACAACTTCCTGCAGACTTCTACGGAGATCTGAAGAATAATTGAAGCATGTCGTTACTCATCTCTGTTCATTGACTTATGGAAAATCCTAGGCAGAGCGTCCAGGCCCGAACTATATACAGCACATCTAAGCATCTACAAGTACTGGCGGAACCAAGCAATAGCCTGGCAGAAAGCCTGCTCCTTAGCCCACTTGGAGTGCTTGTTGCTAAGATCAGCACGAGTAGCGAAGCCGTGGGAGACGCCGCTGAACAGGTTGATCTGCCAGGGCTGACCAGTCTTGATGAGGGTGCCCTCGGACTCGTGACGGAGCTCGGTGGTGAAGATGGTGTCGATTTCTGTTTTGGAAACGGCGCAATTAGCAACGGGTGGCGACGACAGATGCTGAAAAGGTGCGCATTATCTTACCGGCAGCAGCGATGGAGAGGGGGCCGGTGATGGCGCCAAGCTCCTCGTGGGTAACGAAAGAGGGATGGGCGTTGAAACCAACGTCGATCTTGCCATCCTTCATGAAGCGGCAGACGTACTAATAAGAATTGCCGTTAGAGTGGGTGTCCAGAAGATAGTGGGTCCGAATCATATCTAAAACAGAAGCTCACCTTGGCACCGAAGCAGTAGCCGACAGCAGCAAGCCTCTTGACACCCAAGTCGCCCTTGATGTACTTAACTGCGGCCTCGACGATGGGGTCGACGTTGGCGGGCTGGTGGTTGGGGAACCATGCGCCAATGTCGAACTTGCCAGACTCCATCTCGGCGAACGGGATAGCATCGCCATCGAAAAGATCGGGGATGACGCAGAGGTAACCATTGGCAGCGTACTCATCAGCAAGCAGCTTGGCGTTGTTGAAGAGACCGAAGATGTCACTTATGAAAAGGACAGCCTTCTCGGGAGACTTGTTGTCCTTGGGGTATGAGACGTAGTAGTCAACTGCAAGAAAAAGCTTGTCAATGATATTCCTTGAAGGTTACAGCTTCCATGAGGACGACCTACCGCCATTGACCTTCTTGACTTCACCAACGGGGGTGCCTTCGTGCTTGAAGCCCTGGGCACAGCAAGCTCCGGGAGGGTTGGATGCCATTGTGAGATGTGGGTATTGAAAAAGGAGGGATAAATACAACGATTGAAGGAGTGAGATATGTGGAATGAACAAAATCTTAGAAGGTCAAGAGGCGAGATTGCACTGGATATATAGCCTACATTGGCCGGGAATTGGAGCGATTTACCAGGACATTGTCGCCCACCCCCACTTCTTGCCCCTCCAAGGCTTCCACGGTTAGTTATTTAATTGCGTCGCTCTTACTAATCCTCTTCAATGTTCGAGTACCTGACATCACGAGCCGACTCTCCGTTTTTCTGCGCAAAGAAGCGCATCGAATCAGACTTAGGCGGTCTATCTTGTTTATACCGAGTTGGCTGCCATAGAGCAGATCGCAGTATCATTGATATTTCTCTGCCAAAAGGATTTCATAAGTGGAAGAGATCAGAGTAAAATAGCCGGTAACCTGCCATACTGCCGAGGCGGAAAGATCCTCGTGCCGACGTCGGGCCAACCGTGGCCATCTCTATTTTTTCATGGGCTAAGCTTTGGTGAACTCCGGATTTAACGGCTTAAGCCCGAGCATGCCGATCAGCATTCGTCTATCGAGATGAAACATTGCCCGGAGATAAGGGGGAATTGAAAAGCCTCAAGAGTATCTACAGACTCTTAGCTTGATGGAGTCTGATCTGATCAAGGAAACGAGATCAACAATATGCATAATATCGAATGTTCCCATATTAAGTTTCGATTCGATTGACAACTAGTAAACTTGCTAACGAAATCCCTCATCTCCTCCTCATTATTGCCCGACCATCTTGGGCAGATCTTTCATTCATAAAAAAACCACATTAACACAAGAGTTCATCGTGAAAGGCCGTGGTAGGTAGTCATGTTCATTGTCATTGCCCGAGTCCCGAGCTCCGACACCTGGCCGAAGAACAACCGATGTCCGTTTGGGGGTATAATGCTGTAGAAAGCAAATCTTCATTTTGGGTTTCTTTCTTGCTCGTTCTGATCCTTCAGAGTACTGCTGCTGCAACAAGAACAACTTCACAATTGTCGTTGGTAAGCCAGTCTGCTGATCAGCAAACAAAACGTGCATGATCTATTATGTTCAATCAGGCGGGAAACTGATAGGGTGGCAGCTGGGGGCGGGATTCCCGCTTCACCGCCCAGGCTTTTATCGCGATAGCGAGGATTTCGTAGGCCATGATGAAGGCGGTCAAGCCCATGGTGACGGTAAACACAAACATCGCATCGAGGTCGTAATATTCCATGACCTGAATCACGCTCCGTGTCTGCATTGAAAGTTAGCAGATTGCTTCTTTGTTTCTTTTCGTGTTTGCCAGCAGCACACTTACGCTTAGCATGAAAACCAGGCCACCCGAGATCAGACAGAATGAAGCCACGATCTCCGTAGGCGGACGAGATGGAAGGTAGGAGGTCGGTGGCTTCAGATACATCATCACATAGGTAACGCCTCGGGCAAGCGCGAATCCAACGAGAAGGTTGCCCCACTGCTTGTGGACCATGGTTGACACCATGCTGTCTTGGTGGTGAGAACCCATCATCATGCCCAGAAGAAGGATGACCAGAGCAGGCATGGGGTTCAGGGAAACGCCTTGGGTGTCAGGCAGCTGCCAGGCGGTATCGGCGGGAGCATGAGCGTTCATGTGGGAGGGATATTGCAGGACAGTGCTGTTCAACCAACCCTTGACGCGCTTCGACTCGAAGAGCATGCCGCACAGTCCACCACCGAAGAACATGATAGAGATAGAGACATGCTCAAAGTCGGTCGCAGTCCACTTGCCGCCCCAACCTGTGAGATGCTCTAGGAACATGTTACTCGCACCATATACGAAAATCACGAATGACTCGGTGAATTCTCCAGTGGGGACTCTGGCCTTCCATTTACCAACAATAGCGCTGGAAGGTTTCACGTTCCAGGCCCAGCCGAAATCAGCGCAGCAGCCAAGCATTCGGCCGAGTGTCAGAAAGCCGTACCACACAAAGATTCCGCCTTTGATGAAGTGCGCAAGACCGTTGAAAACTTCCTTGCCGCGCTGTGTGACATATTAGCCAAAGTCGCTCGTGCATTTACCGACGGGCGTGTCATACCATGATACCACCATAGGTCACGAAACCAGTGACGAGGGCGATGAAGCCAAACGGCAAGATGATTCTGTCAATGATCACATACACAATCGAAAGCGCGCGGAGCACACGGTTGGACACCAGGCCGGGCACGCGGCTGGCGAGGAAACGGTCGATGATGGGGATGCGCATTGGCCTGTGTGACTGAGGAGGGTCCTCGGGAACAGGATCCTCAGGTTTTTCAAAGCCGTCATACTCGTCCGACGGGGACGCGCATGATGGCGACTCTGGACAATGGATGGAGGACGAGTTTCTTTCAGTTCCCTGCCCGCTGTCTCTTGACCAGCGATATGAGTGACGAATACCAGTAGGAAAGGTGTGGTGGCTATCGGCCAATTCTTCAGTCGATACGGGAAGAAAGGCGGCGCGTTCATATGAGCTGGTTTCGGTCTCTCCTCTTCCGGCGTAGGCGAAAATCAACGACATGATGACTTGAGCGCTGATGACCCAGGTCACGATCCACCCGATCTTGTGGTGGGCGTTGTTCTCATATAGATCGGGGGTTTGGCTGTTGTAGATGATTCCGACGAGCATCCCAACCGCATTGAGGACCAAGAAGAGGAATTGCGACGGCAAGGCAAAGCGGGATCGTCCAACACTGAACATGACGGCTGTGATTATTTCCGTTAGCCCGCGTGCGTCTGGCTGGGTTTCAAATTGAGTTCGAAGCAGAAGAAGACCTTACCTATCGGAAGAATGAAGCACCAGGAAACGACCATTAGAGCGATGTGCGCCATGATGGCACCGCTGTGCTTGCCATAGGCGAAGTAGCTCATCGGCGAACCGTCATCGGTGTCTGTGTTTTCCTTGGGTTGCGAATCGTGACTGGACATGTCCATGCCACTGTCCATGTGCAATCCATCGTCATCTCCGTGCGGAATAGCATTCGCGATTGAGGCTAGGAGGAAGGAGGCCGCGAGCGCGGCACGAGAAGCTCGCTGCCACATGAGCGCAAGCTAAGAATTTGGTTTGCGACAAGAGAAGAATTGCGACGAAAGGAAATGTATGATGCGCGAGAGCTACGAGCTTGCTTAGACACTCGATAGCTGCTCCCTGGGCTGTAGATACGACAGCTATGAATCGGGAAGAAGCTGTCACCCGCGGATGCAGCAAGTTGACTTAGGTGGTAGGGCTGATGTATGGAATGGACGGTCGAGCGCCGTGGGAGAGCGGACTCTGAAGTATAAGAACCCAAGAGCTCGAGGGAACCCAATCGGTGGCTTACGTGTGAACCAAGAATTGAAGGGGAAGAAAATAAAGGAACGGAGAGCAGGAGGGTTGCGCCAGTCTTTTTAATCAGGTCATTACACATCATTACCGACGTCCGCGCTGTGTTGCTGGTTGGGTCTTCGCTCGTCTTCCTTCGGAGCTGGCGGGGATAGCCATGCAACAAGGCCGAGAGGCCGTGGAAACAACAGCCTCTGAGCTCCCGTGTGCCGATAAAAGTGGAGCGTGGATTACTGCTAGTTGCGCGGGAGCTCTGGCTCACTGCACACCCTTTGCGCTAGGCTAGTAGGGATCAGTTGGTGCTTTTTTTTTATGAACTAATTAACCCATCATCCATCCATTCTCAGCAAGTATCTCTTTCATTCTATAGATGCATCCAGAAGGGGTTACCAACACGCCAGATGTTTCTTCATTATTCTCATTACTTGTTATATCCAGTCTCTTCAGCTCGTCATCATGAGGTGCCGCTCTCGGTAGGGTAGGATTAGTGAGCAATCACTAGAAAGATCGCTGGAACGATCATTTAGACTAGTCCCAATTCTAGAACCTTAATTTTCTTTTTCTTTTTTTTTTTCTGTCGGGATTTCCCATCTCGAACTATCTATACGCTTGCCAGCCAAGGCCGCCCTCTATCTTCGACTGCCTGGAAATTCCACCGCCCAGCACATAATTCTGACTCATAATGAGTATCAGTGAGTAAGCTAAGACCTTTGCTAGTCTGATCGATTGCACCGACCTTTCGCGAGCTCAGGTCTGTGTATTTCGAGTTTGAAGAGCTCTCTCGAATGCACTGCGAAGAAAATCAAACGGGAAAAGCATTAGGGATTTGCTTCGGTTCTCGGAAGGCCGGAGCAGCCGGAGGGAGGAGTAGAGCCAGTAGTCCAGTACTGGGCATTGAAGTCATGTCGGGCTGACGGTGCCGTGGAAGATGACCTCATTCCAAGGTACCGGGCTCTTAGCGCCGGGTCTAGAGCTGACTCTCTGCCTCAGGCTCAGGCTTTGCTCGGCCTTTAACCCATTCCGGTCGATTTCATTGTTGTCACGGGTTGTTCGCGATCGCTTAATCTGCTGCTGATAGGTAAGTGGTTTAAACGCTTCAATAGGATTATGTATCGTTATCCTACTGAGTAGATAACCCTTTCTTGAAGACAGACCTTGTTGATACAGTCGTCTTGGCAAGCAAGTATAGGGAAGATCTGCAACTTACCTAGTACTCGTCACAAACCTTCATTGTTCTCTGGGGACAGGATGAGGTAGCTTCAATGTTTCTGTCTTTATACTGTATACAAGCTTACTGTGGTTAGTAAGTGTGACCGTTTTGATCTGAGAGTGGGAGAGAAACATGAACATTATGTCCACGATTTGCTTGCATACTTGAGGGATGGTCTTCCCCGCATATAGATGTGTAAGCGGCACTACCGAGTTGAGCCGGAAGACCCCGGCTTCACCCAACGACATGGTGTGAATTGATCGTGATGGTTTCTAGTCATATAGATGGGAAGGGTGAGACAATCCAAAATCTAAGTCCGAGTGAGCCCATGTCCTCATAGACGACTCAGTCAGCGCTATGGAACAAGTTCCTATCGCGATGGCTAGTTAATTGAGCGGGGACAACGATGCGACTCGGACTGTTAGCAACTTAGCATGAATGATACGCACTAACACCATAGCTCGTACAAGCCGGCCTCGAATCAATTGGTCCTTAAGGTCAGAGCAGGCCGAGGTCATCCAACGCTCCCCTTGCACGATCCTGGGGCTGAGTGGAGTCATGGGAGCCAAAGATCGTATAGCAGGGCTTACCCATACCCATACTTCTTTCATAAGCGAAAAGTCACAGTCGGCTTTGATAGCTGACTTGCTAAAGTATGCGACTAATCATTTTCCGAGAGGTGTATGGGAAGAGCCTCTTGCTATGGTAATTTCTGATCTAATTGACAACTGATAACGTCCTATTTTCTCAGGTTTTGAAACCTTTAACTTTAAGAACAACGTCAAACGGGCCCTATGTGTGCCTCTCAGGTTGACGATTGTCTCAGATTGGCTAAGGTGAAGTATATCTGATTGTTTATAGGGTATGGCCCTTAATTGCCATTTGTAGACATGGCCTGATCGTCGACAATCTGGGTGCTGTACATGATGGTGTAGCGTGACATCCTCATGCAGCTTGTCACACTAAAAGATCGCGCCTTGGGGTGCTGGAGAGGGAGAGGTACTGTACATGCCGTGGACAATCACACAGCACAGGCATGTGCTGGCACGAAAAGCTGCGTAAAATGCCAGCGAAGATCTTGAAATACGCATGCGTACGAGCAAGTTGACTGTCTAAAGATCAGGAGCTTACTGCTGACTCTGAGCCTAAATCTGAGTCGCGGCAGGCCCCAATGGTACAAGTCAGGCTCTAGAACGTACACGACCTCGTGTACTTAAGGGATGTGGCTTTTTGTTGTACAGTACATAAACTGACTGATTGGCGATATCGTTAATAATGAGGTGCTTGTGCTGGACTCACCAGCCGTGGCTGCCTTGCGATACCGGCTCGACCACCAACAAGCGTCGATCTCTTTAGGTAGTGTCATCCTCCATTTTCCATCCTTCGGAAACAGACCCCACCCACCACCGTGCGGGCCCTCGCACGTTGGGTGCCCAGCCCTGTTCGCGCCCGTGTGCCGTCTAGCTGTCTGGTCTTTTAGACTAGACTGAATGGCCGATGCTGATTTTTACCCCTTCACATTCTCTCCGTTGCTGTCGTCTCACAACCCAACCGGCGATCTTGGCTTGGCGTCACTACTGGAGGAAGCACCTGCATCCGCGCTCTTCCGTACGAACGCCGTCTTGCGAGTAGACCAGATATACTCTAGAAGAGCTGACCTGACCGCCTTGTGATCTACGGAGCATTTCCAGACAGCGCTGCTATCGATACATAATGAGCTCATTGCAATTTTCCAAGGTGAATAGGGCTGTGGGAAGCAGCATAGTGGAGCGAACTTGAACAGCACTTCAAGGTCCAGCTGGCCAAGCAACTTACAATTTACCTTAAAACAACACGCAGGGCTGGCAAAACGTGAAAATGATGTTATCCAAAGGTCGGGCGAACCAAGCTGCCAAAAACCAGACTAACCAAGCTGTGGGAATTCGACACGGACCAGTCCCTCAAGCGCAGCACACTACCAAATGACACGCACCGGTGTCTCTTGGAGACACGCCCAACGCTCCGCAAGACAGCACTCGCATGACCATATGGAATCTCCTTGTCTTCTTGTTTCTTTAGACTTCTCATTGTTCCGGACCTTTTCCCACTGAATGCCGAGTGGCCGAGATTCCTTTTGCGCTTACAGAGCTGCATCGTATGACTCATTGGAGAGCGCCTGAAATCGGTTATCATATGCGGTGTTGGAAAGATGCCTTGACGTCATCGGACCGCGGCCATAGCAGCATCATATGAGCTGATTCCTCGCACACTGACTTGCTTGTCTGCTTATTTGACCTGTTTACTGCTATCTGTATACTTGACCGCTGTGTTCTCGAGCTCGAGAGCCCTCCCCGCAAAATGCCGGGCATCAGAGCAGCAAATCATTACCATCTTGGACATCCGTGCCGCCAGCCTCATGAGGACCCGCCCGCCACACCCATTCCTGATAAGATCTCCTCCCATTTTAGTGCACTGCACAAAACTGTGTGCACTGTGCACAGATCTCATGCTAAAGTCCACATCGAGGACAGCTGTCAGCCGAGAAAGTCCTTTTGGATAATGGTGTCAGCACAGATGAGCCCGGGTCTTATGCATGCTCATGATTGCCCATCACGGCTCACCACTGTCAACTACCTACACTAGTAGTGTGCTGTGCAGAGTCCTGTACAGTAGGTGCACCATAGGTCCCTAGTCCAGGAGTCAGTCAATTGCAAGTGGGACCAACCTTCCGATGCACCGTCCAATCACTACAGCTATAGATCCTTTTGGGGGCTCTCTCGCGACGGGATCTTTTCCTTCATGTGGCATGGGACGTATTAATAATGCGACTCGACTTTGATTGGGAAGAACAAACAAGAAATCCCTGAATTTTGATATTATGGAGTAAGCAAAATACAAAACGGAGCCATTCCGAACGCATGCCGTTGGAGAGCCAACATGGATGTTCTGGCGGAAGGAAAATTTTCTTTGCTTGATGGGGCTGACCCAAGCCTTGTTGGCTCATTCCCACCGTATACGGCAACATAGATGATCTGAACTTCTAAAGTCGTTGCACTTCAATCCCAGCGCTTCACAAAGAAGCGCAGGCAGGCACAACTTGGTCAAAACACACTGATCCCCTACCACTATATATGCTGGATGTACAGAGTGAAAACAAAGCATAGTAGGGCTTTGCTGCTCTCGTCCGACTTACCTTGATCAAGAAAGCCTTGGAATCTACCCGCACTTCCCGAAGCTTCACCCAAAAAGGGTAGAACGCAACGAGGGGAGTGGGAAGTGGGAACACAAAACAGAGGCCGGCAATTCGGCACCGATCCATTGAAATCACGACTCGAAAGGTTGGACCAAATACTTAGACATGAAAAAAGGCCGGGGCTAGGCGGGCAAATCTCCGAAGCCGTTCTACCGCTGTAGACAAACCCCCGATGACCCCAATCAGATCCCGTGGGCAGAATGGCAACAGGTATGCACCCTGGGATGACGGGAAGCGCGGCTGCAGAATGCTAGAAAGGCTCGAATATCGGACATGGGCCAGCGCCATTTGTCACTTGCGATTAACGGCACTTGACCACGCAGAAACTGACACTCGCTTCCAAGGAGGACCATAAGCTAAGCGGGTAATCCCGTCCGCGAGTGGTACTAAGCGAAGCGAGGAATTCTCAACATGTCGGGTTTATCTCGCATTGTGGATGTTTACAGGTTTTCTCATCTCTGGTCATACCAGACTACCTGAGTTCCTGGAAGCGGATTTATGGGATTAACCCGGATGATGGACATGGCAGCTGAACGCTTTGTCGGTCATGGGGGTTAAGGACCAAACTATGGAGGATCACTTAGCCTGATGATCCTTTCTCCTCCCAGTATCCTGCAACATGCCATGTACGGTCTTTGCTCAATCATCTCTCTATTTTGTTTGTAGGTTAACAGTCAGATGACCATCCACTAGTCGCACCTAGATTCCTTGAAGGATGGAAACAAACGCGAGGTACAGTACTGCATATCCAGAAATTGTGAAGATTCTCCCTGTGCATGACCTAGCGGGCGGGCAATCAATAACCTTTCTTTGAATGGCACGGGACTACAGAAGAGGCTTAGAAATCCAGAGTCTGAACCACAAAAACACTAATTACTACCTTACCCACTAGCTCGGGGGCTATTTAGTGTTCAGATTAGTGTCCTAACAAACAATCTTCAACCATTGGGGGTTGAGTTGGATACAACTCGCAAATGCGGGCTGAGCTTCGAACTCAACAAAAGAATGCTACGAGCTGGTGTTAGCAATAGCAAGTTGGTGCTGTGAATTGGTGCAACTGAGGAAATACTCCTTATCCATCGGATGCGCGCGTTCCTATTACACCTCCTGCCTAGGGCATTGCGATTGACGTAGCGAGCACTGTCAATATTGCCCCTCTCCCCCAGACTTTCTATTTCATGAGCATCTTTATACCAGCTCGTTGGGTCACCCCTTCTCGTCAACGTCAAGTCAGCAAAAGCTCGAGGAATTGAGATCAAGAGATATAGAAACAGAGAAGAATGCCTCTTCAATTTGGTAGTTCCTGAACTATTATCAGCACATCACCTTCGCATGAAATCGACAAATTCAATTCCCACCACTATACTACGAGAAAGAAAGCCAGTGATAAGATGGATGATGATAAGCGGTGTCCTTCACCGCCCGTCCCCATGCGCCGTCGACCTGGAGAAACTTGAACCCAGACGATGGTCATGTGACTATACGCATCCCGAAGCGGCTTAGCGGCCCGCAAGCGAGATGGTCCGAGCCCGCCGCCCGGGCAAGCGCAGGAAAGCACACAACGGAATTTCAACCCTAGCCTTTTTGTCTGAATCCCCTCAACGCCCAGCCGACGACAAATCCGCCTGCCAAACACCCGACCTCATCCCCCAGGTTTTCTCTCGCCTCAGAAAATTCAAGATGACTCACGAGTCTGTTTGGTACAGCCGTCCCCGCCAGTAAGTGCTCCCCTCGGAATAAAAGAACGGTATATGGGATGAGACTAACGGAGGATTCGTTGTATAGGTTCGGCAAGGGCTCCCGTGGATGGTGTGTTCAACCCCCCCTGAATAAAAAAAGCAAGAAGGAAACAGAACGATCGAATGAGGAGGAAATACTGCGCGAAAAATAATACGACAATTGGGAAAGAAAAGGGTCAATCAATAATTGAACGGAATGACTGATTTATGCTCGATTAAATTACAGCCGTGTCTGCTCCCACCGCGCCGGTCTCATCCGCAAGTACGGGGTATGGATCATCCGATAATCTTTGTTTGCAGTTGGCGATTCGTGCGATGGCTTGGAATTGGTGAACTGATTGGGGATTTTTGCTACAGATGAACATCTGCCGTCAGTGCTTCCGTGAGAAGGCTTCGGACATCGGATTCTTCAAGGTTGGTTTTCACCTCCACCTATGCACCTTACTCTATCACACCACATGCGCCCGGGACTGGAGGATACGAATGAATGCAACCACGATGAGAGACTCGACGATATCAATAAAGGAGAAACAAGGAAAAAGAACGATCAATGCGAAAGACGATTATTCGAAAGGGCAACAACAGCATGCACATTCATACACATACACACACCAACCCAACCGAACACTCGAAACTAACATATACTTTTCACCCCTTCCAGTTCCGTTAAATTCCTTCCTTCTTCCGAATTCAATTTTCCTATGTTCACGACGGATCTCTTTCACGTGCTCGGGCGCTCGGTACCAAAATGAAGTGATGAATTGGGGAGAGAGAGGAAACTTAGTGTTGTCTCTTTTCGAACAATCCCCCAGAGAATCGCCGCGAATCCTCGAACTTCTCAAAAACCCCATTCCGCTCGGACAATCTTCTTTCATCTTGCTTCTGAAAACAAAGCAACCTTTGTGGAATGGTGGGACAAAACGGTACTCGGGGAGGATTTTGAATTTCTTAGAGAGCGGAGAAATGAGAGAAAAACATGAAATGAAATTTTAAAAAATCGAGGGATGCTTCAATATCTTTTGCCGGTTTTCTTATACTTGCTGTTGGTTTCGTCCTTGAAAAAAAGGGGTCAGTTGTCTCTTTCCATTACACTTTTCTTTCCCATTCATTTCCTCTGGTTCCGTGTGATAGAGGATCGAATTTACGGGGCTGTTTCGGGTTTATACTCAGCACTGGACCCTAGAAGAGGAGGCATCCACTGCCAGGTGTTCTGGTCTTTTCCCTGAATCCGGGACAGACCCGGCAGCGCGAGTCAACAACATGCGGTGGGTGGAAAGCACGGAGCGGCCTCCGTCTTCATCGTAGATTCCTTGTTGCTCGGAGCTGGACATGCGGGATTGTCCTGCTTGTCTGTTTTACGTGGTGCCTCTCCGACATTCTTCTTGCCTTGCCACTCCAATGCGAGTACCCTGTCCTCTCCCTCGTAGTACTCGGAAGACACGTATACTGCCGAAATACTCGTCCCATTTCCCATGTCCAGTACACCTATATCTGTATAATCTGAACATCCATATATCGATTGCGCTTCCCGGATAACAGTACCACTCAAATCAAACATTCTGTACATATAGCTGGGTGGAGTACACCTTCCTTCCCCTCCGATCTGGAATCCATGCTATTTTCGTCCTGGAGGAAACTACGGGCTACCGACCTACGTCCTTATCTATGAACAGTAAAGGATTGGCAAGTGTTGATATGAGTATGCGATGCTGATTCAATTCTCTTCATCCACCTTCTTACCCACACCTCCTTACTATGTATGCGAAGCCAACGGATGATAGACAATTGGAACGGAACAAAGAGCCCTAACAATGATAACGATGAACATCAACGATCGAACTCCGTGCCTTTGGTACTCCGGTGATCTCCTGCTGCTTCTGCTACAGGGATTTCTTAGGAAATGGACGCGATGAATGATAAACGGGACGACAAATCAAGGCTGGATTAACAGAGTCGTGTATGGTGATGATATGTACGGAGGAGATGACGGTGTACGGGAGAGTTGTAGGTAACGATTTAGAGGAAGCCTGGCTCAAGGCGCTATTACTGCGGGGCAGAAGCTAATGAGCGGAGGTTGTAAAATAGGAGGTAGGCGTCTGCGTTGAGGACATCGGCTTCGGTGACTGGCGTTACTTGGTCGTCGTTGAAAAGCATCCACTGTTTTGTAGGGTTAGTATCTGTGTGTTTTCGGGTGGAGGATCGTTGGAAAGGGAAAATCTCACCTCGTCGCCTTGGCGGCAGTAGACGTAGTAGTGGCCTGAGTCCAGCTTGCCCTTGTGCACGACGGCAGATGAGAGATCGTACATGAAGCGTGCTTTGTCGACCTTTGAGTATGGGTTCGTTGTGTAGGGGAGCATGTTGATCGATAGAGGGAATTCGATTCGGCCTTCGAGTTTTTCGGAAACAGAGGAGCTGTGTTCGAAGCGCTGGGGTTGGAGGTTTAGTCTAGGCTGGCAAGGTTTGTGAAGAGGCTTGTAGAAGCGTACCTTGAGCTGCATGCATAGGATGGCCGGCAATTTCTTAATGCGCAATTGTTTGGTTGCCTTCTGGGAGCTCCCGTTGCACTGGCTGCAGTTGTACACTCCCGCCATGAGCTTCTCGGGGGAGGTGAAACTCTCGAGGCACCCATTCAGCGTTGGTGTGGACGAACCGACTCCGCCGCCCATGGCGCGTTTCTTCACTTGGACGTCGAGACTGAGATCCACCATCGGATCCTCCGTTTTGGTGACATTCCCACACCTGTCGCATGTCACACTACTACGCAGCTTGCCATAGAATGTCTTGTGGAAGAAACAAGGACAACCCTTCTGGTGGTTCTCGTGATGACCCTCGGTGCTTGCATGTAGTTTATCCACGAGGAATTGATAGTACTCATGAGCATCCTGTTGCTGATAACCGGACAGTGTCTGCAGTGCATGTCAGCGGCGTTAGTTTGTCACAATATCGTGGAACACGTACGGAACTTGAGCGCCAGGTTGCCAAGAGCAGACTCAAAGCAGTAAACCCTTCGGCCTTGTCGCTGCTGTTGAAGTCGGCAAACGCTTCAGCAACTGCGCAACCTATGCAGTCGGGAACAGTACAGTCGTGGGGCTGATGTCCGTTGCCGAGGAAATATGTGCTGAGGATTGGATCATGAAGGAGAGTCTGAAGGATGACGTTAAGATAGCAAGTTTGGCCCAGGTTGAACAAACCCCTGACGCCCTGTTTTGCACAGGGACGTTTGGTAGCATTGCTCCGAACGTATAACTCATCCGCTGAACTGTCGCTGAACCGACGTTTCTTGGCGACTATGCGCAATCTTAGTGCCTGTGTCTTGAGTCTGCCTGGTGCGAAGTACATGCTTACCTTGTAAGGCACTTTCTGCTGCAGAACATCGGAGCCGTTCCAGGCCATGGTCGAAGACAAAGTCGCCGCACCCCTGACAGAACAGGTTACGAGCGCGAGAATCCATGACTAGTAGGGGGTTAGTAAGTGATCATGAAGTCGACAAGAATAATTTACAGAAGGAATGGCCCGTCTTATCAGTGTGGGCTCCACGGTCGCCCATCAGGAAGCTCTCCGAACACGTCAAGCAGGTATACTTAGGTTTCAAGAACCCGGTTGTCTTCAAACGGGCGTTCTGCTTGATAAGTCCGTCCATAGGTTTCGGAAAGACCGCCAAGGAGTTATGCGCCTTAATAAAAGAGCTCTTGAACTGGTCTGCGGTGTTGGCATCTTGTCCTAGCTGAGTGGCCAGATGCTCTTTCGTAACAATGTCAGTGATTAATACCATATCGCAGACAATGATTAGGCTCAAGGATGTACATACCGCAGCCGAATTCGGCCTCTGAGAGCAACGAGACAGAGACAACACTGGCCGCTGCCGCCACTGCCGCCATGGTGGATCTAAAGAACGATACGTTTCGTTTTGAAAGGGAGCGCGAGAAGCTCAAGCTGGCACAGCCAAGGTAGAGACTCTCAGTATTTTAGGGAAGAGGGAGCGTTGATGTTCAGCAGGTCAACTGCAGATTAGACAGAATCCATGCATTGCAGCACTTAAAAAGATCTAGGTGTCATCCACCATCAGTTTTGTCTGTGAATCAGGGCAAAGACATAACACATGACAATACCTAGTGGGGTCCAATGACAGTGACAGCGGGGGATACTGAATAGATCAGCTCCTCAATAGCAGTAGCAGCACAAGCAGCAGCCCGTGAGTGACACACTGGAAGCGACTCCGCCAGCCACCGGGGAGTTCCGCTGTCGGGGATCGGAAGCGGGTTTATTCTGGAGCACCTCGTCGGGCTGGCTTCCTTAGGCAGACCTCCAAACTAGAGAGCAAAGAGCATGAGAAAGCAAGACTATCATATAACAATAACCAATAATCCCAGAGACAATTACAGATTGTCCTGGATCTCGTGGATGAGGAGGCGCAGGAAGCTGGTCAGATCTTTTTTTTCGCAAGGGTCGACCGCGGCTGCTCCGGCGGCGATAAGACCCCCGGGATTGCACTTGATCCGAGATCGCCTCCTCTTTCTTTCTCTTACACCTAAGCGCATTAATGCGCCTTCCACATTACACTCTCCTGCGTCGTCTACGTATTTGTCCTGTGCAATATATCGGTGTGGTGCATCGTCTCCAATGCGATTTGTGCATTCTAAGAGCTATCCCAAGACTAGTATATCCACATATGACCCCTAGCAACCAGTCTAAGGTCCAGGCGGAGTTGGCTGTCAGATGCGCTCGCTCTTCATCCGGCATTGCTCAACATGCTAAAATTGATGCGATCTGCTCCGCAGGCCCTGCGCTATCATTCCTTTCATGTAAGTTGACTGGTGAGTCTATCGCGTTCATGACCACGCGGACCCTTCAGAAGCGCAAACGGTTGCGAAAGTCTTTCGTGGACCAGCATTTCAGAGCGCAGGCCCTATATACCCAGATTCCTACAGCGTATACTTCGCCATATCTTACCCACAGACTCTATCCCTTGCGCTCACCGAATACCTCTTCCGCGGGGCAATGCGCTGGGCCGGGACCCTCGGCTAGAGCCTCGCGTTGTATACCGTCCAGTTGTTGAACCACGCGTTCCTCTAGTTGCCCCTCTGGTGGTCCCTCTTGTAGATCCTCTCGTAGATCCGCGCGGAGGAGCCGGAATTCTCGGGGTAGGCTTGGTGGAGACGATGCTGGGTGGGTTTTCGACAAACGAGGTATCCGTAGTCCTAACGTGTAAAGTGTTTAGTATAGGTGTGGCACTCAAAGGCAAGATACTTAAAGCAACTCACATGAAGGTCATTTCTGCCTCGTTAACCGCTTGCACGGCTTCCGCTTCAGCTGCTAGAGGATGTCAGCGTCTCATATGCCAGGGTGGAGCCACGAAGATGTACCACTTTGCGATTCTGCTTGTTTTGCCCTCCGGAATGATTCAGAAATCGGTGCCTGAGATTCGGTGAGTGTTTTGCCCACCGTGAGATACGAGTCCGAGAATCGGAGTCAAGGTGCTCCCATACCTCCGGAAAATCCACGCAGAAGGCATTCATGTTCATTCCGTACAGGAAACTGGCGAAGCTCTCGCTGAATCGCGTCAAGCTCTCATGCATCAACTGGAGATGCATGAAGTTGGCTTCTAAGTCCGCCATCGAGTCTGCGAGTTCCGCGAATTGTGGTTCCAGCGCATTGATGGCGGGTTGGGTATAGCCTGTATTACCAATACTGCTTCCATATCCATGAGCTTCGCGGAAAGATGAGCGTGAGCTGGGTCGCAAAGGAGTCGTGGGTCGAGAAGAGGGCCGAGGGCGCGATGATGAGCGAGCATAAGCATCCATGGCGATCTCGGTCGGGTGTATCTGAAACCGAGGGTCGTAGAAGAGATCGGATTCTAGCGACACTGCGCACAATTGAGGCGAGATATTGGGGACTGAAATATTGAGCTGTCTCGGAAGTATATTCCTCAGAGTTATGTATGAAGATGTATGAAGATGTATGAAGATCAAGTTGTAAGTTTGTTGACGATTGTTGCCCGGCGGGCAGCTGTTGTTGATCTCCGCTTTGGGAAGGTGCGGCGGTCATTGGACCGGAGAACCCCTCTTGATTGATGCCATATCTTCCAGGCATTCAATCCGATCTCTGCCTGGACCAGGTTAGCGTTCACTAATTAATGGGCCCGACTATAATTAGGATTCCGGAGGATCCCTGGCTAGGAGAGGACGAAGACTGAAGAGCAAGCCTGGATAATTCGACCACAACTCTCTTATTTCGCGCTACTACGCTGACCCCTTTGCACCCCCTCCTCCCCCCACTCTTAGTGCTCTGTGGTTCAAGACATCCCGATCGCAGTTCGGACCCTGACTGTCCCAAGCGTGACTAAAGCAGCCACTCCTCCTTCCTTTCGCCTCTTGCGCTCTTGCCTTCCTCTTTTCCCCGCATTCCCGCTCGAAATTGAGGGTCTGATCATCCTCTCACGTTTCATCTCGAGCGTTCGGCGCACCAGGTCGGAAATCTAGAGGAAGAAAGTCCAGAGATCGCCAACCCAGATCCGATCTCTTACCCAGACTCGTTCTCCTCTGTTGTCAGGAGTCGCCAAAGAGAAGCACATGCATGCTTGTTCTTCCTTGCGCCGCCGTCTGCTTCGTTCCTCGGCCAATCTAACCCCATCTGTGCCCGCAAGACTTCATAATCTAGGTCGTGCACAGATCCCCCAGTCATTGTATCGGAATCAAAGGCCTATAACTTGGTCTCACTCACCGAGGGCTTACTCCACTTCTCCTCCATCGCATCAGTACGAACCGAGGAAGGCTTCAACCTTCTGGACGATCACATTCACCTTACTCCTGGTTGGTGCAGGAACCTGGCTAAAGGATAAATACTGGACAGTCAACGACGAACCTCTACCTTCTCCCGATTTCTCGGAACATCATCAAGAAACAGAGTCACCTTTTCACGGTATAATCGACACGTTGAAGACCATGCCTATCGAAGCTCAGCCCGGAACCGTGGGGAACCTCACCCCTGATCAGGAAGCGAAGCTCCAGGAATTCTGGGTTTTGCTGCTCAAAGTCTGTGGCGTTGAAGGCCTCGAGCAGTTACAGCAACAGCAAACTAGCGAGGCGCCCTCTCCCAGCCCAGCTCAGGAGAAGAAGAAGCCTGCTAAGCGGCGATTTGGCCTCTTCGGTAGAGGCGGCGACGATGCTGAAGACGATTCCGCGAGTTCCCAGTCGGCAAGCGATATCTCGTCCAGTTTGGCTTCCATCAGCATCGCCGATGGCGACGACAAGTACGGACAATCGAAGGAGTTTCAGCAGGCACTGGTTGACATGAAGCCGGAAGAGATCCGAGCAAGCCTTTGGAACATGATCAAGCATGATAACCCCGACTCGTTGCTACTGCGTTTCCTGCGAGCTCGGAAGTGGGACGTCAAGAAGGCACTGATCATGCTGATCTCTACGCTCCGGTGGAGACTCCAGGAGGTTAAGCTGGACGAAGACATCATGAGGAATGGCGAGCATGGCGCATTGAAGCAGAGTCAGAGCTCTGATCCCGACGAGAAGAAGGCAGGCGAGGACTTCCTGCTGCAGTTCCGCATGGGCAAGAGCTTCCTGCATGGCGTTGACAAATCCGGCCGGCCGATTTGTGTTGTCAGAGTGCGCTTGCACAAAGCAGCGGATCAAGGAGTGGAAGCTCTGGATCGGTTCACTGTCTACACCATTGAGACAGCTCGCATGATGCTTGCGCCTCCTGTCGAAACAGCTGTGAGTAGCTGCATCGGTCTTTATGGTAGAAGCCACTAACTCCAAACTAGTGCGTCGTTTTCGATATGACCGACTTCTCGCTGGCTAATATGGTATGTTCTATCCAGCCCTTCATCATATCTCTTCTAATTTGCCGCAGGACTATCACCCAGTCAAATACATGATTAAGTGCTTCGAAGCAAACTATCCTGAGTGCTTGGGAGTGGTCCTCATTCACAAGGCTCCTTGGATCTTCTCAGGTTTGTCTCTTTCTCTGTCAAGGCTTACAATGTTCGATCTACTCACAAATGTATTTTTTGCTAGGAATCTGGAACATCATCAAGGGCTGGCTCGACCCCGTGGTCGCCTCGAAGATCCAGTTCACCAAGAACGTCCAAGACTTGGAGAAGTTTATTCCTAGGAACCAAATCTGGAAAGAGCTTGAGGGTGACGAGAACTGGGCCTACAAGTATGTTGAGGCTGAGCCCGATGAGAATAAGAACCAGGAAGACGCCGCCAAGCGGGACGCCATGATCGCTGAACGACAGCAAATCGCCAAGGAACTGCAGGAGTCCACCATTGCCTGGATTGCAGCCAGCCAGAAGAAAGATGGCTCAGCTATCAAGGCTGCGACTGAGAAGAGGAACGGTCTTATCGAGCGGTTGAGAGCCCAGTACTGGGAGCTCGACTCGTATGTGCGGGCTACATCCTTGTACGATAGACTGAATGTCATCCAGGGAGGCGGCAAGATTGACTTCTACTCGACTGAGAGCAAGACGAAGGGAAACGCGCTGTACGAGGGCTAAAGCCTCGATTGAGCGGAATAGCCTCCATTAACAAGGCCTTTGTATAAATACATTATTGTTAGATGTTACTTTCTTGTGATGTGATAGATGATTCTGCGGGTCCTAATGATGCCTTTGTCATGGTATAACGACCTGAAAGGAACATGTCTATATGTACAATTGAATTGGATTATTTTTCTGTCTTTCGAGACCCTCTTTTCTTGATACATGATAAGGGCGGTAGATGCAGCTTTTAGAACGCAAGTTAAAGCGTGGTACTACATACATCTGGTAGTAGTATTTTAGCATTTTACCCTATCCGGAAAGCCTCTCAATATCAGAGTCCCAAAATTGAGCTCTGGTCGATCATCGTTCAATACACCCGCACCGCCAAAGTACCAGTTGCTCTAAAACCATCCTTGGGTCTGGTTGATTGACAGCTGCACCTGGTGACGCTTGCTGTGCTTGTCTTGTTTCAGATGTTTGAGATGTTCAGCTGGGGCTTGTGAGATCTTGTATGCTATTTCCTTAAGAGGTATGTGCGCAGGAAAGCTGAGCTAAATCTGAAACCACCAAGTCGGGCAGTGAACGATGAACTCTAACGTTTGGCGATATCCAGACCATTCTGTTGGGGGTATAAGAAGTGACTCGTCCCCCACTATCGGTTTTGAGGAAGATTTACAAGCAAGCTGGCTCGTCGGGATGGGTGTGCAGTTACTAACGAGAGTCTCGCGGACTCCGGAAGACAACTATCATATAATAAGGGCTACTCGAAGCTAATCCACTTAGATCCTAGCCTTGAGCTCCTCGAAGAAAGCCTTGAGCTCGTCCATATTCGCGTCCTTAGCGGGCCATTGGATGCCGAGACCCTCTTTCTCATTGGGCTTGGGGATCTACGAGATATAGTGATTAGTATTGGGTTAGTCGGCGTAGACGAGCACAAGAAGCTTACCATGTGGAAGTGAACCTAAATACGCAGAAGAGTTAGCTTTATAATGTCCTTTCGAAGAATGCGGGCGGGGCTCATACATGGTCAACGACCTGGTGCGCTATACGGCCATTGTTCTGCAGGATGTTGAAGTCGGTGGCGCCCACGGCCTGGGCGATTTTCTTCGCGACAGGCTAGTTATTCGCATAGATTAGAGGCTCAACATCAACAAGGTTGTACGGGGACCTGCGGGCGCTGCCAGGGCTGTGGTACGGGTGGGGGAGGGGGGCTGCTGTGCGTCTCCAAGGTCCCCGTGGATCGTAGCCTTTTTAAGAGCTAGATCTTGCTTCGCACCACAGGTAGGCTTGCATCTTAGATTTCGATCTGACTTACCAGAAGTTCCTGGAGGTGGTCGTCCGGGATGTCGGTGAGCTTGGCTCCGTGGTACTTAGGGATGACGAGCTGTTGCATCGGTACCACAGATTAGCGTGCGGATACTCTTGTTTCACGGACAGATGTGGTTGAGTGAGTAGACTCGGGACATCATACTGGCAGGAACAAGCCAGATGGCTTGTTCCTGCCTTGTGTTGTTGGGTTGGTGATGGTGATAGTGTCGTGCGGGGTTGAGGCTATTGCCAGGGTGTCGTTGAACTTGTTAAACGAGAATAGCACTCACCGCGTGGCCTTTGCTAAGGGGCTGAATGTCAAGGAAAGCGAAGACCTTGTCGCTCTCAAAGAGCTTGAAGGAAGGGATATCACCTATTTGTTTATACCTTCGGTTAGCTAGCTGTTATGAACTGCAGGTCGTATAGGAGGGATAGTTATATTGAGATCTGATTTGTCGGAACGAGAGGCAGAGAAAATGTTTACCCTTGATAATCTTGCAGAAGATGCAGGCGGCGGACATTTTGCTGTATGCACGCGAAGCGATTATGCGTGAGAGAGGGTGGAAGTGCTGGCAAAGTCGTGATGACCGAATGCGGGGTTGAGGTAAGTCAGTCTAAGGCGGAACGCGACGGGGTCGGAAACGAGGAATTGGAGAGACAAAAAGAAAGTGGTGGGGGAAGAAGAGCGCGGTCTGCGGATCGAACGCTGGTAGGGGATGACAAAAGGTACTATAACAAGCACAATAAGTGCTAACCTCCGAGGAGTGGGACAAACTAGCTCAGAACCCATTTCTTGCCTTTTACCAGAGATGGCCGTGGTTTGCCCATAAGACTCCTCTTCTCAATCTTTGGACTCTTCATTCGACACAGCTGTCGATTTTATTGTTTTTCTTTTTCGTCACCATCTATCTTGCTTGTCAGGTTTATGTAGGATTCTGATTTTTTTCGATTTTTATACCATCAAGAAACTGGTTTTCTGGCATCTGTGGTGCGTGTCAATTGGCTTCGAGGTCGGTGGTCGTATTGTCACCTCCCTCCTATCCACTGCAGTATGAACACCTACCCACCTGCCGTATCCGATGCACCCCCAACATACAAACAGAAGACTCTCGCTAAAGACACAGCAGTCATTGGCAGTATTGTGTATTCAGAGTAGTCAGGACTGCTGACCTAACTTGTCAACCTTCAACTTATAGATTTTGGCCTGTTATTTCATTGACACCATGCATATACTAGCTTATCATTGAGACCGGCCATTCTAAACGATTCGAGATGATGTCTTCAAACTACTTCCAGTGACCCATCTAGACTCACAGGCTCGGTGGACCAACTATGATGGTTTCAGGTGGTTTTGACCTGTTGCAGACTCCAGTCGGCAGCAACTGCCTTAGCGGGTTTAAACTCTTTTGACAGGACTGGGTCCTTTACGTGAACTCCAACAGCCGCCCGAAAGGACATTTCTATACGAAACCCATTGCGGGGGTTACCCCTATCGTTGGACGCCCTTGCTAACGTTACATAGGGCAATTGCCGACAGGCATTAGCATGTCTTTCGCCAATTGAGTCAATTGAATGAAGATCATCGGAGTGATTCGCTTCGACGCCATGGAAACTGCAGGCATATGATTCGGCAGGAAGGCCGAATCGCCAACCCCGCAGTATGGCAGCTCGCTATCTTATCGGTTGTTCCTCTTATCAGAATGCTGTCTCCAACACCAAGGGACACCCAGCGCCGAGTACATAAATACCTTGATCTCCGCTTGGGACGAATAATATGATTTGTCTTCGGATTTATACATCGACGCCTGCTAGGGTCACCAGATTTGCAGCCCAACAGCCCGCCATACTCTCGTCGAGAATCCACTCAACGAATCAACGTCGACATTTCTCCGTATCTTGGACGCCAGCCATGTTGTCTACCGAGTTGACCGAGGCTCAGGTCTCGGCTCTTAGGGCCAACAAAGAGCGTCTTGCACAGGATCTTCATCACAGTTGTCAATGGGGTTCTGGGATTCGATGGGGCAGGTAAGTACTTAACCTGCTTGGCGATGTACATACACGGTGTCTGCAATCATGCATGGTGACGATGGAAACATCACCGTTCAATGTCACAAAGCAACAATTCTTGCTCGGTCTGCTATTCAGAGATAAGGTGAGCTAATCCCTTGGAACAGTGGTCCCACGAATACGGGAATGCAGCGCCTCGCCTTGTCCCAGGAGGATAAGCAAGTGCGGGATTGGTTCATTGAAACGACAAAAGCCCTCAAATGTCAAGTCACCATAGACGAGATGGGCAACATCTTTGCAGTTCGCCCTGGACGAAGGACGGATGTACCCCCTGTATTCATTGGTAGCCATCTGGACACACAGCCGACGGGCGGACGATACGACGGAATTCTGGGCGTTCTCTCCGGTATCGAAGCATTGAAGAGCATGGATGACATGGGTCTCGAGACAGAAGGTGGCGTGGGTGTGGTAAACTGGACGAAGTATGACATCCTATATTCCTCCCATCAAATGCTCCTGCTGAAGTCTCTTTAGCGAAGAAGGCGCGCGGTTCCCTATCAGCATGATCTCCTCTGGAGTATGGGCCGAATGCATTCCCCTCGCGCAAGCCCACAGGCTTAAGGAAGTTCCAACAGTCGCATCGCTCCCTACCGCGTCTTCGGCTCCCGAGTCCTTGAAATCGGCACTTGAGAAGATCAATTATCTTGGGAGTGTGCCATGTTCGTACAAGCATACTCCTATGGCTGCTCACTTCGAGTTGCATATCGAACAAGGACCTCACCTTGAGACGGCAGGCCAGCACGTCGGTGTAGTCACTGCCGTGCAAGCATACCGCTGGTTCCGTCTCACCGTTGTTGGGCGGGATACCCATACGGGTACTACTGCTTTCGAGCACCGCGCAGATGCCTTGTATGCTTTCGCTCAGATGATGGTGCGTGCACGCGAGGTCGCCTCTTCTCATGGATGTCTGGCCAGCGTAGGTATCGTGGAGGCAAAGCCGGGCAGCGTTAACACCGTTCCTGGTGTGGTCAGTTTTAGTCTCGACATCCGTGGCCCCGAGGATGAACTGGTCAATGTTGTGGAGAAGCAGTTGAGAAAGGACTTCGACGACATCGCAGCGGAAGAAGGCAAAATCATCGGAAAGCCTTGTCGCGTGGAATGGACTCTGGACTTTGACTCGCCAGTGGTGAAGTTCCACCCGGACTGCATCGACTGCGTCCAACAATCTGCAGAGGCCGTTGTTGCGGATTTCAACTCAACAGAGCCCAAGTCTCTCACAAGGACTATCATGAGCGGTGCAGGACACGACAGCGTCTTCACCTCTCAGAGAATCCCGACAAGTATGATTTTCGTGCCATGCAAAGATGGGTTAAGCCATCATCCGGAAGAGTTCTGCTCTGCAGAGGATTGTGCAACCGGCGCATCAGTTATTTTGCAGGCCGTTATCCGCTACGATCGTAAGAGATTCTCTAGTTAGGGTTCCGGTAACGCGATTATGTGGTATAGTGTCATCCAGTCGGGATTGGTCCCTTGTGTAAACAGCTAGGAGCGATTATACTACGAGTTCAAGATATGAAGTCATGAATCATGCCATTAATCCTATTTCATGGTATCGAGACAGTAAAGAAAGGCATAATCCCATTTTTGGTAGGGTTAAGGAAGTGCATAGTGCGGCAATTTCTGACTAGACGTCTACTCAAGCCACACTAGCAACATCCCGTGTAGCCCTTGGAAGACCTGCAGGCGACATTCTCTTAAGAAGAGGGAGCACCACGGCCACGGCCGAAGCCACCACGGAAGCTAGGGGCGAACTCGCCGGGGGCACCACCCTCCTTGTTCTCACCCTGCTCGCGGCGGCGGTAGCCACCCTCACGGGGAGCACGGGGACGGCGCTCGCGCTCCTCACCACCCATCATGCCACGGGGGGGAGCGTGGGAACGCTGCTGCTTGATGTGGGTAGCGGGGACAACCTCAGCGGGGAGGTGGAGCCACTCGCGGAGGTAGTCAAGACCCTAAGATACAGGTGATTAGATTCTATCTGAGATTTTTTGCGGGGTGATTATTCGAGCATGAACATACCTCGGGGGTGAGGGTGTAGTAGTAGTACTGCCACGAGAAGCGGGTCTTGACGTAACCGCGGGAGTCAAGGGACTGGAGGGCCTTGATCACGTAGAGGTTCTTGGTGTCAATGTCGCCATGCTTGGGAAGGTTGAAGTCCTTCTTGGCCACGAGCACACCCTCTGTTCGAGACCGTCAGTAAACCACATTCATCTCAAGTCCAAAACACTTCCAACACATCCACAGTCCTCGGTCACTATGAGATATAGGCAAGACAGATAGAAAGACATTGACTTCTCTCAACTATCCATCTCGCCACTAGTCGTGATGATCGAAGGCGTGAATGAAAGTGGAAGAGGGACGGTCACATACCGCGGAAGAGGTACTCGTGGATCTTCTTGCGGTCTTCCTTGGGGATAAGCCTGGAATGAGGGTCAGTCAGGGGGATCTTATCATCATTGGTATCTTGCAACCTAAAGGGGCTATACGCACATTGTTGCGAGTTCCTGGCGCTCTTCGGGGAATCGCTCTAACAACGCGCGAAGAGAGTGGTTTAAGAGTAGTTGATGTCGAGTGGAGCGGGCGGCCGTCGAGTGGAAAAAGTGCGGTGATTCCGAATCGGGAAGACCTGCTAGGGCTGTCACCCTAATCGACTCCGCTAGTCTGATAAGACTCACATCACGTGCGGAAGTCGTCTTGTGGCCTGAGGCAAGGAAAGGAATCATGAATTAGTCATTGATCCGCTGCTTATCGGGGAAACTCTCCGCATTGCGTCTCTTAAGACATTCTTCGCCTCAGCAAGCGCCTTCCATCCACGTCAGATCGAATCTTGATATCACCTTAGCAGCTGGCGCAACTGCTGTGACCTGACACATATTCTCTCCATTTTGAACTTCTCAACTAGCTTTACTTGGGATATCAGTCAACACAAACACCTCCAAAATGGCGTCGCAAACCATCAACGTGCTCCTTTCATCCTTCCCGGGACTTTCGCTTCCCTCCACCGTCACCTTCTCGCTGCCTTCATCCTCGAGTCTTGCCGATCTTGCAGACAAGATCTCATCATACCTTCCTCCATCTATCCCCCTGCACTCCTTGATCCTAACGACCACGAACAACAAACAACTCATCCCCTCCGCCGGACCCCTCCTCCCTTATCTCTCCAGCGCCAATGGCGACGCCACCACCCCGACAACCCTGCTCCCTCTGCGCCTAAGCGTGCCCCTATGCGGAGGCAAAGGAGGTTTCGGGTCGCAGCTGCGAGCCGCGGGAGGGCGGATGTCGAGCAAGCGCAAGCGCAACCAGGGCGACGACAACGGGTCCAGCCGCAACCTCGACGGGCGGCGACTGCGCACGGTCAACGAAGCCAAGGCGCTGGCCGAGTACCTGGCACTCAAGCCCGAGATGGACAAGAAGGAGAAAGAGGAGCGGCGCCGCCGGTGGCAGGCCGTGGTGGAGGCCGCGGAGAAGCGGCAGGAGGAGCTGAAGAACGGCGGCGGCAAGCAGAAGATCGACGGCCAGTGGATGGAGGACAAGGAGGAGATGAACGAGAAGGCGAGGGAGGCCGTCCTCATGGCCATGAAGGACGGCCTGTGGACCGATAACCTGCGCGATACGATCCTGGGCGGCTCGAGCACCAGTGCCAGTCCCAGTGAGGACAGTGGTCGGGAGACCCCGTCCACCAGCGACGACGAGGAGGAGGAGAGCGATGAGGAGGCTGAAGTGGAGATGGTTGATGCGCCGGGTCCGTCGAACCCGACTCGCAGTGCGCCGAGACGGTATATTGGATTTGATGAGGATGATGAGTTTATGAGTGACTCCGAGGACGAGGAGGAGGCTGAGGGGCCTGCTGGTGATGTTAAGGGCAAGGGAAAGGCGAAAGTTTGATGGATATAATGCATGGGTCTCATGGTTTCTTATGGCGTACGGTCTGAATAAGGGAAATGCGGTTCTATTCCACTTTGATTGCGGCTTATGCTCTTTTTGCATGGTTATTCTAGTATAGCTTTCACTTAGCAATTATTTTTTGTACCAACTGAACATTATGGAGAAGTTATCTGTAAACATTCTATAGAAGTGCATTGATAATAAGTTATGTTCACAAGTGATCCAATCACTTATCAGTATTCGCCACTCCAACTTTTTACGGACTGCCAAGCGGACCAGCAATGCTGGCTGCTATCAACCAACATTATCCAGTCAAGTTTCTTACTGTCTCGTCTTCGCCGCATTCCTTGGCCCGTACAAGTTCAAAATGCCGGCCTATATCGGGCGTATGGTCCCAAGAGCGACTGGGGTGCATCGACTCTCATCGCGACTCCGATCTCAAGCCGTACGACGTCCATTGCATCTGTTGACGCGGCCGGAAATCCTTGCCCTCCGCACGCCCGCAAGCCCGAGTATCAGCAAACAGCTACGCAGCTACTCCACGGCGGAGGCGGAGCCAACACCCTCTATCTCGCCATCAATTTCGACAGACTTGCTTCCTATTTGTTGCCCGGGATGCGGTGCGTATGCGCAAACCGTCGAGCCCAGTGAGCCCGGATACTACAGCAGAACAAGGAAGCAGACACGGAAGCTCCATAAGAAGGCACAGCGACAACTCGAAGGACAGGAGGCCGATGGGGTGGAAGAGGGAGATGTTTCAAGACTGAAGGCTGAAGGGGATCAGGCGGTGGAAAGGATCCAGCAGTATATTACGACAGAGACTGCGCAGTGGGGGAAACCGCTGAGCAGACGTAAGTGATCAACCATGCTCGATCCAGCCACTATTGCATTGCTCGTTGCTGACCCGTTTGATTCGGTCATAGCTGGAAAGCTCCTCCAAGAAGCCGCAGATACTGCTGGCAAATACCTTGCCAAGACGCAGACGCCCATTCAAATCTGTGACCGATGCCACGACCTCATTCACCACAACGAGGCGGTTCCGGCCGTCTCTCCGACCATAGATTCCATCCGCGCGTACCTGGACGAGTCGCCACACAAGGAAAACCATGTCTACCTTCTAGTCGATGCAGCGGACTTCCCAATGTCTTTCATCGACAACATTCATGAAGCGCTGAATATCATGAGCCCGCGTTCGAAGAACCGCCGCTCCGCGACTCAAGAGTATCGGAGCTCGAAGAAGCTGCCGACCCTCAGCATTGTTATCACGAGGTCCGACCTCTTAGCCCCCACGAAGGAGCAGGTCGACTCGAAAATGCAGTACGTCCGAGACATGCTCCGTACCCGGCTCGGACTCTCCCAAGGTTTCCGCCTGGGTAACGTGCACATGATCAGTGCGCACCGCGGCTGGTGGACGAAGGACGTCAAGGAGGAGATCCGGAATCATGTGGGTGGAGTCTGGGTGGTTGGCAAGGCCAACGTCGGCAAAAGCAGCTTCATCGAGGCTTGTTTCCCCAAGGATACGAAAAATCTGGAGAAAATCGCGGATCTGGTGGAGCAGCGCGAAAAGGAGTCAAGGCTGTTGAACCATGTAGACCCTGCGCCTGTGGATACGGACGGTCTTCTGCCCCCTGCACCTCGCGAAGAAATGTTCCCCGTGCTACCGATTGTCTCCTCGCTGGCCGGCACGACCGTCTCCCCAATCCGCATCCCCTTCGGCCGCGGCCGCGGCGAGATGATCGACCTCCCTGGCCTAGAACGCGGCGATCTCTCGCAATACGTGCTCCCCGAGCACCGCCGCGGACTCATCATGACGAAGCGGAGCGCCTTCCAGCGCCTAACCGTCAAGCCGGGGCAATCGCTCCTGCTGGGCGGCGGCCTCGTGCGCATCACGCCCGTGAACCCGGAGGACGTGATCCTAGCGGCCTGCTTCGTGCCACTCGCAACGCACGTCACCCGCACTGAGAAGGCCATCGAGATGCAGCGCGGCGAGCGCGCGCTACCAGGCGACCCTTTCCTCCGCGAAGACGCGCTGCAAACGATCGCCTCAGCCGGCCGCATCAACCTGCAATGGGACGTGACGCAGTCGCACCTACCGCACTCGCTCGCCCGCGCGGTGGCCGAAAAGCGGATCAAGAACCCCAAAGTCCCCTACCGGGTGCTGGCCACCGACCTCCTGATCGAGGGCTGCGGCTGGATCGAGCTCACCATGCAGACCCGCACCAAGCAGCGCGACGCCCACGCCCTCAATCTCGACGAGTTCAACGAGGACCTCGACGACGACGACTTCGTCAGGGAGTCCCAGGAGGACGACGACGTCGACGCCGGCCTCTTCACCTCCCACCCCCAGGTCGAGGTCTTCTCGCCCCATGGCCGCCATATTGGCTCCCGCGCCCCGCTCGAGTGCTGGAAGTATATCGCTGAGAAGAAAGCCGCCGATAAGCGCGTGCACGGTGCCCGCGGCCGCCAGAATATAAGCCGTCAGCACCGCGTGAGTGCTAGTCGGGGTGAGTAGTGATTTGTCTACTTTTTAGTTCTTAGTGGGATGGGGTGCCCCGGAGGTGTGGTCTGTAAATTATCATGTATATTAGTCTCTATTGGTTGTTCGCATAGCGCTTGGCGCTTGGTGTTGTTGTTGTTGTTTATCTGTGTATATGCTGGTGTGGAATAAAAGCTCTCTCCTATCTGTACACTATATTTTGTATGTTCTGTAGGATATTCTTCCAATGATACGATGACCGTGATACCGGCATGCTGGTTTATTCTTCGAGTTTATGTTCCAGCGATGAGTAATAGGTGACATGTTTAGGATGTATCACATCAGATTGAACAAGGCTCAATTGATATATATCCGTGCATGTCGTATTTACAGTATCTACACAACACACCAACCCTAAAACAGGGAAATCAACAACTTAAGAAGACAAATGAACGTAAATCATCAAACTTTATATTTCTTCCTTGTAAAGTAAAGGATGCCATCTTCACGATATATCTTTCAGATCAAGCGAAACCCAAAACCGTCTGCGGTCTAGATCGCATGCAAACACAACTCTCAAAGAAACACCCCAGTAACTGCTATTGGTACTACTTTTTACTCAATATTGGCGAAGTGGAAAGTCGGCTGACCGGGGACGGCATTCTCAGCGAACAGGCCCTCCTTCTTTTCGCCGGTGCCGACGACCTCACCGGTCTTGCCGCCCTCGTCGACGGCGACGATCTCGAGCTCCTTGCAGCCCGTGACGCGGGTGATGGCGCCGACCATATCCTGCAGGACGGCGAGCTCGTCGAAGGGCAGCTTGCGGTCGAAGACGGTCTCGGGGGCCTCCTTGGCGACGACGAGGCGGCGCTTGAGGGTCTGCACGAAGGGCATGGCCTTCTTCATCTCGCCGAGCTTGCCGACCTTGGCGTTGAGCTCCTTGTCGTTGATGGCCAAGCCGTCGAACGCCTCGCGCACCAGGTCGATGTACTTCTCCTGCCACTGCGGGTACTTCTTGGCCGCGTAAATGGACAGCTTCTTGGGCTTGCGCGGGTCGAACGTCACCTGCTTGCCCTTGGAGAGCTTCTTGACGAAGGCGGCCTCCGCCGAGGTGATGTTCGACGAGGTGGCACGGGTGTAGGCCAGAGCCGCGGAGAGCTCGGGGGAGACGTCGGGGACGGTGGGGAACTGGGCCTTGTGGATGGTTTCGGTCTGAGGAGGAGGTATGGTGTTAGCACTTCCCATATTTCGGAGGCGATGTTTTCAATAAGTTTTGGGAAACGAACCTTCTTCAGGATCTCCAGCCAGACGTATTCTGCCCAGTGAGGAGCAATGATGGCGATCATCAGAGCCTGGAGCTCGATGTACCGGAGGACCATGTCGCGGTGCAGACCAACACCGGCCGTCGTTGTAGCCTCACGGTAGTAGTCACGGGCGCTGACAAAGTCATACAGACCGGACTTCAGGGCGAGCTTGAAGTTGGTGCTGTGGGCTGTTAGCTACTGTTACGTTGCATAAAGGTTTGGGGTGTGCTTACTCCTGGTAGTGCTTCTTGGTCTCACGAACCAGGCTGTTCAGCTCGTTGTCGAAAAGCTTGTCCCAGAAGGAATCAGCAGGACCGGTACGCAGGGTCTCGTCCTTGAGGGTCTCCTCCATCCAGTCCTTCAGGGTGTGGAGACGGAGAATGTTACTGTTAGCAACGGTCTCCTCGAAGTTGGCATCTTCAATACCATCACCAGCATCGGCGAAGGCGATACGAGTGGCATCAGCACCGAACTTCTCGACGGCATCCTTCAAGGTCAGGAAGTTACCCGTGCTCTTACTCATCTTCTCACCGTTCAGGAGCAAGTGACCGTTGGCACGGACACCCTTGGGCCAGTACTCGGGAGGGAAGAGAGCAACGTGGATGTAGAGGAAGAAGGTCAAGTGGTTGGGAATGAGATCCTTTCCGGAGACACGGACGTCCAAGGGGTACCAGTACTCGAACTCTCTGCGCAGCTGCTGCAGGGCCTCCTTGCTAATTCCGCTCTTGGAAATGAGCTCGTCGTTGAGCTCACGGCGGCAGAAGACGTAGTCCCAGACCTCGTCGATCATCTGCTCAGCCTTGATGTTGAGAGAGCCGAGAGTCTTACCATAACGGTCGCCGTGCAGAAGGTGAGCGATGGTGTAGTAGGCCATGTAGACCGTGGAGTCACTCAAACTCTCGACCAGGAACTGGGTGTCCCAGGGCAGCTTCGAACCAAGACCGTAAGTTCTGGCGCAAGCCCAGCGGTTGAGCCAAGAGAGGTTCTTCTCGAAGCCGTTCTTGGTCTCGTTGGAGTAAGTGTTCAAGGTGTTGACGACGTGGTCCAGGGTATCCTGCTGCCACTTGGCGTCGTTCTCACCATAGTTCAAGAACCACTGACCCAGGTAGGCGACGACACAGTCGTCTCCACTGCGGCTGACGACCTTGCCCATGGGGTCGGCGAAGGGGAAAGCATCTCCGCTGTCGTAGAGAGCCTTGCGAATCTTGTCCTTCACAGCACTGACGGGCTGACCCTTGAACTCACCAACAAGCATGGTGCCCTTGTAGAAGGCTTCACCATAAGCGAGTTCCTTGGCCTGTGCCAGCTGTGTGACATCCTTAGGAGAGTTGATCTTAAGCTGCTTGACCAGAGTAGGAGCGGTGAGGTTTCCGTAGGTGGGTGTGTCAATGAGAGGGTGGATCTCGAGCTCGGCCCACTCCTTCTTGATGCCGTAGTACTCGGGCTTCTTAGCGAGATCGAGCAGAGTGGCGTAGTCATCAGGGCTGTCAGAGGGGACAGAGGTGACGACACCAGTGCCTTTGGTAGCGGAGACACCCTCCATGGGAAGGATGCGCACACCTTCAGTGTGGAAAGAGAGGGGAGCGTTGACGAGGGTTCCGACGAAGGCAGATCCGGGGGCCTCGACGACGAGAGGCAGCTGATCCTGGGACTTGGGGAAGTTCTCGCTGTCGAAGAAAGTTCCCTGGAAGGCCATGTTCCAGGCAGCTCTCTTGGTAGCAACGAAGTACTCCTTGTCCTTCACCTTGTACAAACCGTAGGTGATCTTGGGGCCGAGGAAGCAGCAGGTTTGACCGTACATGGTCTCGGGGCGCAGAGTAGCAGGGACGAAGTAGACGCTCGCATCCTCCTCGATCTTACCCTTGACCAACTCAGCGATCTGAGGAGCCCACTCCTTGACCTTCAGCTTCATAGCGGTGTACTCCTGGGGTCCAATACCCTCACCCTCGGTTCGGTCGTGGTCCATGCAGGGCTGTCCATCCTTGGGGGAGTAGATGGTGTAACGGCTACCGTATTGAATCTTGCCGAGTTCGTGGAGGCGGTTCATCTGCCAGCGGACGAAGGCGTCATAGTAGGGGTTGGCGTCGGTGGTGACGAACTGTCTGCGCCAGTCAATTCCGGCACCAATGCTGTCGAGATCGCGGATAGCGAGAGGGGGGAAGTGCTGCAGCCAGTAAGCGGCATCGGCGAACTTGTGAATCTCCTCAAGAGGAATGCCAATGGCCAACATGATCTGGAACTGGTACTTCATCTTGACCGTCTTGGCGGCGGCCTTGCTCTTCTTGCCGGAGAACTTCTCCGCCTGCTCGGCCTTGACCTCCTGGGTCGGGGCAGCGACGATGGCCTGTTCCTGCTCGCTCTCTTCCTTGTAGTTCTCGAAGTTCTGGCCGAACTTCTGGACCTCATCGCGGAGCTTATCGGCGCAAGCCTTGATGGGCATACCGGTACAGTGGAAGCCCAGAGGGAAGAGAGCACGCTTGCCCTCCATACGGGCGACACCGGTCATGAACTCAACCTTACTGGCAGTGAAACTGTGACCAGCGTGCAGAGTACCGTTCATGTAGGGATAGGCCATGGTTCCGAAGAACTTGGGGTGCTTCTCACGGAGCTCCGCGGCGGAGATGCTGCCATAAGGCACTTCGGAGGCGGAGGGGGCATCGACCTCGAAAATCTTGTTCTTCTTCCATTGCTCCTGGTACTTCTTTTCAATAGCAATAAGGGTATCTCTCTTTTCGGTCTGTGAGTGTGGAAGCGAGGTTAGCATGGATTGGGAAACAAAGAGGGGCTCTCGCGGTAGGAAGAGGGGCAGGTGAGTCGAACGTTTTCCAGCTTCAGAGTGTTTTTGGTGCTGTTGCCCTGATCGAGCGCAGCTGCGGATGCAGCGGCGGCTGCCATGACTCCGACTGAATGATCTTCTTTTCGTGGAAATGAAGACAAGAGAGCCCTGGGGCAAGGATGGAAAGCGGAGTCGTATAGATCGTCTCGAGTTCACCGCGGGGTTCGAAAAGAATTCCTCCGTATGTGGGAAAAGGCGGTCCGTGAGTCACCGCCTGCCTTTTTGTACTTTGTTGGCTATCAATTGATAGTAAGTCTTTGAGATTGAGACTGCTTATCCTGACTCTTGAAGGTACTGGCTATAGATATAAGAGTCTCAGCTGCCCTGAAATGCCAACGGTAACAGCTGTGACTCATAGAATTTGATTTGGTGAGAGGGCTGTTGTTTGTCCCCCCACAAATTAAGTGGCTAAGTCGGGGAAATCTGACGGATCTATGCCTCCTATCAGAATGTTGGGTTACATGTAGCCTCCTTCATAATGAGATCCGATCCTAACCGGGTTCAAACCACTGTAGTTGCTCACTCAATATGGTACAACTCAACGGAATACAATATCTCTCGCATCACTCGTCAAACAGTTGTGCTGGTCATTCAAGAGCGGCAGTATCGTATGTCATCACGTGACTTGATATCGGCTGCTTTTCTTTCCGCCCAAAAATCAACGCGGAAGCTTCCAACCAGCAGCCAAACACCTTGAACCATCGCGGACACATTGCAACCAGTCGCTGCCGGATCTGCGCTGGGTAAACCTCTTGAAATCGTGCAGCGGAAAATACGAAGAGCTTTCGAGCCACTCCCGTCACAATGGTCAACCTTTTCAAGCGGATGCGGAAGCTGAAAACTGTATGTTAGCCATCGTCTCCATCCCCTTTGCCGAAACAACCTCGGAAGACTAACCTGGGCCTCGCTTATTCGTACAGAGGGTAATTATCCCCATATCTACATCCAGACGTTCTTATCGCTCCCTGTTATCACATTGAACCCCCCAAGCGACTATCGTCTCCATGCCGCCCGAACACGGAGTGGAAAGACATGCCCCCAACCAACCTAGGAAGAACGCATCCAGGCTAACAAGTAGCACCTATTGCCCGAATACCAATAGATCCTCAATGTCCGCGTCGGAGAGGGAGCGGCCATCCTGCCGGCCGCCGCATCGGCGACGAAGGAATTCCCGGCGATCACGCGGCTGCACCTGACCTACGCCCGCAAGATGTACAACGGCCACCAAGGGGCGCGGCATTTCTGGCGCAACTGCCTGCCGCGACTCAAGTACTACAACCCGGCGATTCCGATGACGGTCCGGCAGACGGACGACCAGGAGGGCCCGGCCGCCCTGACCGTCTACTTCGCCCAGCAGGCCAGCAAGACGGCGGGCCTGCTCGCCACCGCGGAGCTCAAGGACACGCACGCCCCCGCGCCCGCCGACAACGAGACCGCCGCCGCCCTCGACGTCCGAGGACTCGGCTACTCCGAGATCTGGACCAAGGTCAAGAAGCTGACCGGCGCCGAGGAGGTCCCCGCCACGGCCGAGGAATTGGCCGAACTCAAGGAGCTGGAGCGCTTGCGGGCCAAGGCGGTCGAGGACCGCGCTCGTATAGCTGCGCTCCGCCAGGCTAAGAAGGACCAGGAGCGCATGTTGCAGGAGGCTAGGGGTGAGCTTGAGAAGATGAGACAGAGCTAGATACAGTTTGTCTTTCTTTTTCTCCTTCTTGGGGAGTTTGCCTGGCTGTTTTGTGGTGTTGCGCCCATATATTGCGGTCTTCTCTCTCTTTTTTCTTCTTATTGTGTCGTTCGCCAACCCTCCCGTCTTTTTTTTTTTGTTGTGTCCTCGGAGGTGTGTCATATATCTCTGCTTTCCAGATGGGGTTACAGTTTAGGTTTGTGGGGTTCACGACTTGGTCATGGTCACTTGTAGCATAGCATTTCACCTGTTTTATAGTTTCCTATATACTCTTGTTCGATTATGTGGTTTTGAAAATGTTACATCTCCCTCAACAAAATTGGTATACCATTGTTATGATCGGTTGCGTTCTTCGTATTGTATGTAATTGACCCGGGTATCGCTGCATTAAAGAACGGGCTCGGTAAGATCCAGATTTCGAAGATATACAGTCTTTGAGCCAAAGATGAGACTCCCCTCAGTGTTACAACGCCTACCCGCTTGAAAAATTCTTGAATAATCATGAATTAAGGAAATGGGAAGAGAGCCAGGTTCAGTACGTGATTCAGGAAAGTGAAGTGCCAGCCCCCCGTTCAGTACTCCACGACACTATAGATATGTTGAGAAAGGATATTTCCAAGCGGACACACAAAGTAGCAAACACAGAACATGCTCCCAGCTCACACATCAAGCGTGGTCCGGGGTGTAGCTGGTTTCACCCAGCATCGCCTGTCCTGCTGCTACCGTGGGGGTGGGCGTCTGGCTGTGCGCCGCGGCGGCGGGCTGGTTCAGGGTCGACGGGGCCGCTCTCGCGGCGGCGGCCGCCTGGAGTCTCTGGTCCAAAGCCTTGAGGGCCAGGGCACGTCGTCGCTCGGCCTCCTCCCGCTTAGCCATGGCGCGACCGCCTCGCTGGGTCGACAGAAGGCTGGGAAGACCGGCTTCGCCGCGGGCCAGAACCTGTTGATTGCCGGATGCGATGTCCTCGTCCGAGAAGGGGGTGCAGATCTTCAGCGCGACCAAGAGCGCATAGACCTGGTCGGAGAAGAAGGCGATGGGCGGTTGAAGGAGGTCGGGGAACAGGCAGGCGAACGCGAAGGTCTCGCTGGCGTCGCCCTTGATGCCCAGTCCGTCGGTCGAAGTGCCGGTCAGGTCGGGCTGACGCTTGAAGAATCGCAGGTAGGTCCAGCTTGTCACCAGGCCGAGCCAGGCGAGGATCGCGGCGACGCGGGTGCCGAACGCGACGCCGCTGATCGTGTTCAGGAAGAGGAAGAGCGCGGGGAAGTGCTTCACCCGCATCTTCACCAGGCCTTTAAAGATGGTGACCGTGTGTTCGGGGACGAGCTGCTTGAACGCGACGAGGAAGGACGCCTGAATCGAGATACCGCCGCAGATCTGCGTGACGCTTGAGAAGGCCGGGGTGTCAGCAGGGAAAGCGCAGGAGGTTGTGCAGTCGCGATGGGTGGAGGGAGCGTACCCGTCGCTGGCACTGCCGCTCATCGCGGTAGCTAGGAGATAGATCGGTACAATGATCACATTGGGGAGCACTGCGATCGTGAGGATGAATTTGGCGAACTCGCGGGAGCCCCATGCGCGCTCCAAATACTTCCCGCCGTAGAAAAGGGTGGCGGCGTTCAGAAGGACGGTGAAGATGTTCTGCTCCACGAATGTCGCGGTCACGAGAGTCCACGGGTAGTAGATAATATACGACGGAACGAGTGTAAGGTAGGGTACGATGGGGGTGACGGTCGGCGTACCCCCGGTGGTGTCAATTTGGCGCCATCGGGCGATGTTGTACAGCAGGGAAAGGGTTAGGAGACTGACGAGGCAGATACGGGTTGCCGGAGGGAGGTTCACTCGGAGAGCCATGATGAATGGGAAGACTGAAGGAAGCTCTTGCGGTTTGCTAGACCGCAGGCTGTTTGCTCGAGCCCAGCTGGACTTTAGGGGTCGTGAGAAGGAAGGGAGAAAGTGGAAGGACAGAAATTCAGCCCGACTCAAACTGATGCTTCGGCGGTCACTTTGGGGGCTGAAGAGACGAGTCCTTTTTGGGATAAGCTGCAGGGATAGGATCGCCTCGATCTGATTGGCCATCTTGCATGGCCCTATCAGAACGGGGTCTCGTCCTTTAAAACTCCGGCCTACTACGCGGTGCTTGGACCTTTATCTGAACTATTATTCCTAACCACAATGTGGAGCATATCCAGGAAGAGTGTTTGTCGTTACTGACACTGCGGCGGAATAAGATAAAGAAGACAATGCGAAAATCGATGAAAACAAAGCAGGAAGTTGAAAACACTGCCAGCATCTATCTACTGGGAGCGACGACGGAGCCGTTCTCCTCAGCCTGGAGTATGAGATACCCCTATCGTCCTGGTCTTCTTCGATCGGGCTATCTGATTAAGCAGAAACGGGTAATAAATTAGTAAGTGCTCTAATGCCTCCCCGTAGCGTCCCTGTCGTCGATGCCTTCCGAGGGGTTTGTTCATAGCAAGTGTGGCGCAACCTCATCCCTCGTCGTGTCCCAGTACAATGGACTGAGAAAAAGAAGAGGAGGAGGAAGAGAATAAACCCAGCTGATCTAAGCGAGATTCATGCCTGTAATAAAACTACTAACTAACTAATAGGCAGGCAACACAGAGACAACCCTGGAGGCCTGTATTCTCACGGGCGGGGAACGGGGGTTTAGCCCAAAATGCATGCATGCACCAAAAAGATGATGTACAACGAACGGATCGACAGTTAGCCCAGCAAAAGGATGGACCGCACCAAGATCCAGATCGACCATCTAATAATCCCTGTGAAATAGATAACCATGGCAATGATAGCATCATTGATTGAGCCTGAGGGGTAAGGCTGACATCTACTAATGGACCTAGATGGAGATCGTATCACGGATGTCACGGCTTTTCTATCCTGGCTTGAAGGGGGGAAAGTTCCTTTCTTCTGTGTGTAGTTCCAACCATGTGTTCAAGAGGGGATGCTCCATGGATGCAGTGGAAAAGCAATTGACCTGATCAGAATAAGGTAACCAACCAGAAAAAAGAGCAGGCAGTTTCAACCCGCACCAGTCGGCCCCGTTTGCACTAATCCCAACCCGGCCAAGTGGCTAGGCCGATCCGTTGGCCGTCAATTTGATGGTCAGTGATGTTACCTAGTAGTTAGTCAACTGCACGCTAGCCGTGGCCTTAGGTAGCCTAGACGCCACAACGAGTCAAGCGCCCACTCTCCCCCCCGAAATTATCCCAGCTCAAGACCGTCCGTCAAATTGTCCACTCCCACTAAAACAATCATTTTCTCAGCTTGTTGGTGACTTTGAGGTCTCTGCTGAGGTTGATTGAGAAATCTGGACTAGACTCTTGATGAGTTGCATGAAGAAGAGACAGGTAGACTGAGTGACTGACACAAACCAAGTTCAAGGGGTGAGTGAATCTTTAAGATCATCGATCGAGTGTCCAGCCTACAATCCTACTTACATACCGTACCTGGTCTTGTGCTGCTGCTACTGCCCCGAAACTTAAGGTAGTTCCTCATCCGTCCCTCTGGCCTCCCTCTAACTTAACTTCTCCATCAGTCAACTCAACTCAAAACTCCCATAGAGATCGCCCGCTGACATCCCATCCCATCCCCCTCCCCCATTATCTTCGTATCTCTTTTTTTCTGTTCCTTCATTTTCTCCACTGACTGACCCTCTCTCCTCTGATTCTCTCTTTTTGCCCCCCCTCCCCCATTCCACTCTTACCCCCTCCTCCACCCTCACCACGCTTCCTCTTCCCAAACACCTGGTGTTGCTTCTCCGGTCTTTGCAGTTCGCTAGCGGGTCTGCCATCGTCAAGCCACACGTTGGTGTCGATTTCCTCCCGTCCCGATATTATTCGTTCTTAACCTTTCCCTTTCAACCTCTCCATTTCGTGCCTCCGCCAGAGAACTTCTCTTTCGTCAAAACTGTTTCCCCCAGGGAGCTTGTAGAATGCTCCGTGGTACATTGCACTCTTCTTGACTAATCTCACTGCCCTTCCTTCTTGGTTGACATTTCAGGCCTGCGTCTGGGTCCTGCATCTTTAACCTCCCCCTTCCGCATACTGTTCTTCTCCCTTGTCACAGCCTTGGCTGCGTCCTTACCCGTCTCATTCAATCTCCTCCCCTCTTCTCCAGCAAAGCTACCAAGTTCGAGAATTTCTTAGCACGAAGAATCTGCTCCACAGTGCTTATTCAGTCGGCTTGCGGGAACCTTCACACCTTTCGAAGCTTCATCTTTCCATCTCGCGCCGTTGCTCGTCTGTCTCGACGGAGAAGCTTTTCATTCCTGGCATGCTAGCGGACCCTTCATCTTACTAGCTGTCATACATGTAACAATGGCACACCCTGATCTCACATCACATCATGTCAATTACCTAATATGGAGGTATGTATCAGCCTTCCTCGTGAAGCCAACCTCATTACCTGGTCACACGCTCGTCCCCGTTTCACATCAGTGCACTCACTTTGTTGGTGGTTCCGTTGCATTATATGCTGACTCGATGGCAGGTACCTCCAAGAATCAGGTAGAATCCCTTCTTCTCGTGGTCAACGAAACATAACACTGTTTTTTTTTTTTCTTTTTCTGTCTTATTGACTGTCATTTACAGGACACGGTGAGGCCGCAATCACTCTGCAGCGCGCGTGGAATCATGATCCGCAGAGTTTGCCATTCGCCCCATACATCAAAACCCATGCTCTGGTCTCTTTAGTACAAAAGGGCTTACAGTATTACGAACTGGAGCATTCCATTGACCGGGTATGGACTCATTCTTCTCTATCTCATCCTCAAGTGCCTTTCCACCTTGCTATCTAATTCCCTGTTGCCACTTGCTTGCGTGAGTGCGTAAAAGCGAAGGGTGGTCCAAAGTCTAATTTGCTACATAGGATGGAAATGCCACCTCATTCTCACCGTCGAGTTATTTCTTCGGGCCAGCTCCATTAGAATCGGAGACATCAAAGGTTGAAAATGGCCTGGGGGAGACAGCAGTTGGCACTGACCAGGCGCCTGTCTCGCCCGCGAGCAAAGTTGCGCGCGAGAGCGGCGGAGGCGCCGGCGGCGGCGGCGGCGGCGTGATCAACGGTCATTTGACGGCCGAGGCTGCCGCCCCCCAGCCCGCCCCCAGTGTCAAGAAAGCCCGAAAGAGCGACCGCTCAGAAGCTAATGGAGACGAGGTGCCGATGGAAGTAGACTCCAATGGAGTCTCCCATCCAGAAATTGTACCCGCAGTGGCAGTTGAAGAATCGACGTCAGCAGCCGAGATGGTTGTGGATGGGGACGGTGATGTGAGCATGGGCATCCGACCGGAGTCGCAGGACCAGGAACCACCCGCACCGCCGCCGCCGCCGCCGCCAACCTTTACCCTGACAACCGGCCACAGCGTTGGCGTCCAGATCACCCCCGCCAAGGCGGCTGACCTGGGACCCGACACCGCCCTACTGGATGTGGCTGTTGATGAGCACGTGACACGAACCTTGTGGCGCCCCAACGACCCTACCGTTGTCGTCGCCGCCGGCGATACATTCTGTAGTCTATGGAGATTATCATCGAACGCTTCCCCTGTGCAAGAGAAACTGGTCGAGAACAATGGCGACCGCACCTGCGTCTCAGCGGTGTCTTGGGAGCCCAATGGGCACAAGTTGGCTGTGGCGACCTACAATGATATGAGAGGCTCGATCACGATGTATGATGTCTTTGGGCACGCCGTCGACTTGCTTCCAGAGGTACCACGGATGATCACCGGCCTGCACTGGGCGGAGAATGGCTCAAAATTGATTGTGGTTGCTTCCGATAGCCGAATCTCGGAACTCGCTCTTTGGGACGATTCTTTACGTCCGGACGAGTTCCCCTCTCCACAAGTCATCGATGGAACTGTACTCGATCTTTGCTGGCTCGGACCCAGCCAAGTCTATGCTTGTGGTCCTGGAATTGTCTATCAGTGTGATGTGGGCTCAAGCGTCCATATTTCCAAAACCTACTCCTCGAGTAATACAGAGAGGCTTTGGGCTTTCATCCGGTGTGCTACTGTTGGCTCCACACCCGTGGCCGTTGCTGCATCCTCCGCCAATGCTGCGCTGTGGGTACCGACCCACGATATACACCTCGAAAACGCCCATGAAGGCGATATCACCGCAATCGAAATCAAGCCCAACAGAGAACAGTCTTCGGTAATGCCAACACTATTCATGGCCTCATCATCAACCGATGATACGGTGAAGGTCTGGCAGATTAATCTAGAGTCAAAACGATTTGAATGCATACATCAACTCTCTCTCGGCCCGTCTTCGCCCGCTCTGGCTGCCAGCTTCTCGCCCGATGGCTACGCCCTTGCCGCTGCCAGCAAGGACAATCTAGTCATATGGAATGCACAACGGGGTGGGACTGCGATGGCTGCTTGGAAAGCCCCGGGACGTGAACAGCGGAAGGTGGAGGATGAATCAGGCGGGCCTGTCAATGGACATAATGGAACTGCAGAGCCAGTGCTAGATCGCTCTCTAGCGTGGGATACCGATGGCAAAAGACTTGCTTTCGGGTTTGGTAACCAGGTACGTCAATCTTAATTCTCAGTGGCTCATCATATTGACTGGCGAGAACAGCTGGCCATTGTCAATTTGCAACGCTGAGTGGCCCGCATTGCCGAACGAGGATCCCCACCACCCCAATCATTCCCAAATCTGCACTAGAAATCCCACGATATGATTCTCGATCAGTCGAAGCACATACTGCCACTATTATCAAATGGCGATGAAGGCAAATTGGGGGTTCCAGCCAGCTGCAGCACCATGCCTCGATATTTCGGTCAGACCTTGTCTTTTCGCTCCTGGTTCTCGGCAGGCCCCGATGTACTATGTTGTGAAAGCGTACCCTTGGAAAGCATCCATTTACGTCTACAAATTACACCGTTACAGCTATACTACCATAATTATAGTTCTTTCTTCGATAAATCTTTGGGTTAGATCACCTCTCAGCGGCGCATGTTGGGTCTCAGGCAGCAAAAGCGGCGGTTGGCGACTTTACGGGGTGATTTCGGTGGCTCTTTTGACTTCATTACGCTCTCCCTTCCCCTCGCACTGCACCATTTCTTCTTTGAGTCGGCTTGATCGGAGGCAAGTTTCGCCGTCCGACCTCAAATTCAGCGCGCTAGCACCTTTTCAGATATCTCTGGCATTTTGGCCTTGGGTTGCGTCACCGCTGCTTGGTGTCACAATCTATCTGTCCATTTCCTTTTAAAACAGCAAGCCCTAGTCTCAACAATTCAGACTTATTTGGGATGGTCCCTCTGTTTTTGTGTCTGCTCTTTTTGTCGTTGCTCCCTTCTCAATTTGCGATCCTTCTGTCGAATGTGGAAGCCCTCCTCAACGTCCTTCCAACCCCGCATCCATGCTGTGATGCCTTCAAAAAGTGCTTCTCCGTCGTCATCAATGGGCTCCTCTTTGGCACACTTTGTCCACCGCCGTTGATTCTTTCGCCGCCCTCTCATAGTGGGTCTTTCCGCCACAGATATAAGGTGCTGCTTATGCCAGTCATCTACCCATATCTCTAAGCCATTAATCGTTCCTTGCATCGCCTCACGTTCGGCCGAGTCTTCAAGAATATCATTTCGGCTGCCGGTGGGTTCAGTATCAATAGGACAGCAAGGCCAATTTTGGACATTGCAGGATCACTTACAGCTCGTGTATCTCCTCGTCTAGTTCCAATAGTCTCCGTGTCAACTCCTGACGCTCTTGGGTGAGCAAGCTGTGGATTTTGAGCGACTCCTTGCGGCGCTGGTCGAACTCCGCTCTCATAGTCGTGACCTCAGCAAGAAGACTCTTTACTTGCGAGTGCGATAATTCTGGGACAAGCACGACAGGATCGGTTGGGCCAACATGTGGACTCCGAGGGGAGTCTATTGGGCTGGGCGGTCGTGAATGGGCACGGGGCCGACAAAGGGCCACTTCCTGCGACAGTGCGGGACGCGGATCAAGCACGGTCTCCATCGTGTGAAGGCAGTGACGGATTGTGGTCGAGTCGGATTCAGAGATTGAGTGGCTTTCGGACAGAAGGTGCGCGAGTCGCATGAGACGTGCAGGCAAGGGAGTGGCATCGTGTAAATCGCTGTCGAGGATATGGGAAGCGTATTCCGGGTCTGAGAGAGCCTTATCCCAGATTCGGTCTGCTACCGAGGACGGCGGCGAGGGGTGCGAGTAAGGTGTTGGATGTTCCATGGGGGGCTGATCCAGGGTCTGTTGACTTGGTTATATTGTAGGTTTATTCGATCTGATGCTGTAATAATGTCACTTATTCCTTTATCTTGACAGTCCTTCAAAAAGGGTCAGATGCATGCAACGTAATTTGAGAGCAGTGCAAGGGGTGGACTGACGTGCTGCAAGCCCGTGCGCAGGCTGCAGGAAAGATGGAAATGGCGACGGGGGATGGAAAGTAGCGGGTCTCTTAGATATAAAGATTGGTACCCGAGATCAAGCTTGGGCAATGGTGTGAAGCAAACTGGAACAAGTCACGTCCTGTCTGCGATGACAGCGCGGACGACTTGCTGTAATGTCTCCAACAAGAACAACAGCTGATTAGCTGCAGGATTCCCACAGCAACCGGGGAGGAGCTTGAGCTTAACCAACGGGGACCCTTGATCAATGGAAGACAAGTTGTATAGTGATCATGGGCTGAGCGTGAATGATCAATTCGAAAGCAAGGTACTTCAGCAGATACTTAACCAAGCAATTGCCGGAAGAATAATGGGATTGTTGACCTGGGGGTTAATAGTTGACTACCTGATGATGAATAATGATCGGAATGAAAGCCGCCGCCATTTATTCAAGCCGGTAACGCTAGTCCCGCTTGGGATGCTTGTATGCCTCATACATGTAAATGGACTAGAATGGTACCTTGTCCAGCGTGCGTCATGAGCTGCTGCCTGCATTGACCAAGTTCTTTTTAAGGCACACATTTCACCATGCTTGGGAATCTGTTCTACGATATAAACCTGTTATTATATGTCTACCTCTTTCACTTTTTCGAGGCTTACTTGCGACTCGGACCGTTACCGTTGGCTTAGAATCTTTGACCTTGACAATGGGTGGCATGAATCGGGCAGCGTCCTTGGCAACGTTGGCGATTGTGTATATCTAGATTTCCTTTAATTTTTTTTAATGAGCATCTCTTTTCCTCTCCTACTCATTTTTTTTGTTCGATACGGCTGACTTGAATTGTCACCTTTTTAAAACAGATGCCTCGTCTTCTTTGTGGACATTGCGAACCTGGGCATGGCCAATATCGCCCTGCCCACAATCCAGAAGGATCTTGGTTATAATGACGGAACGCGGCAATGGGTTCTGACTGCCTACCAACTGACGGTATGGTCCTCACCTTTTCTGTTTTTGGGAGGTTTTGACGTTTTGGGCCATTGGCCTCTGGCATACAGTTTGGTGGCTTTCTTATGGCAGGCGGCCGGCTAGGCGATATCTTCGGCCACAAATATGTCCTCCTGGCGGGCATGACACTTTTCAACGCAGCGACTCTGGTCTGCGCCCTTGTCAATGACCAGATTGGGCTTATCATTGGCAGGGCCTTCCAAGGTGATTTTGTGCCGTTTCCGCGAGTATGACGTTTGATCTAATAGTTTTTTCTTTACATTCTGCAGGTATTGCAGCAGCGTTGACAATTCCTTCAGCGCAGTCACTAGTTGCCCTGTCATTTAGTGACCCTAAAGCGCGTGTCAAGGCTTTCAGCGCATGGGGCGCTTGTGGCTCGACTGGCTTTGTGTAGGTATTCCATTCTGGCTGTTTTGAAGGCTAAAGCTGCGTACAGAAGCTGATATCTTTGTTTTCTCAGGTTTGGTCCGATCTTTGGCGGCTTGTTTACTTCACTTGTCACATGGCAATGGGTATGCTTGGATAATTTAACCGCCTCCTATGCATTTGCTAATATAATTTCTTTTTATCCTGATCTTAGATCTTCTGGCTTTCTCTTATCGTTGAAGGAGCCCTCGAAATTGCAGCTCTTGCTCTCTTATTTACGAAAAACCTGCCTGATGAAAGCGCAGTAAGAGATAATGATAGTAGCAAATGGTCCAACTTACACATCCGGATCGATATTCTTGGGACCTCTATATCCGTGGCAGCATTGATCCTTCTTGTCTACGGCCTGACGACTGCTAATATCCATGGTTGGGACCAAGTAGACGTTATTACAACACTAGTTATTGCTGTCGTATTATTTTTTGTGTTTGTTCTCGTCGAGCTTAAGGTCTCCTCTCATCCCATCCTGCCTGATTATTTATGGGGTGACAGGATAAAGGTTCTGGGATGTGTGGTTGCAGCACTGACATATGCTGTCTGGCAAGGATCAAATTACTTGCTAACTCTTCAGCTGCAGAGTGCGTTTATCCCATTCACTTATTGCTACTTGATGTTAACAGGTAACAGACTTCGGCTTTTCTGCTCTATCAACAGCGCTTCGCTTCCTGCCCTTGGGAATAACTGCCTGCGTTGTTAATTTCGTCATCCCCATGCTCCTCGCACCTGTCGGCGCCCGCAAGCTACTCATTGCGAGCTGGCTTCTTGCCCTGGCTGGGTTAATTCTTCTGACCCGAATGGGCGCAGGCGAGGATTACTGGCGGCTTTGTCTCCCCGGTATGATCTTGTACATAGCCGGGATTGGAACGGTATATTTTGTGGGAAATGTGAGTGTTGTTGCAACGGCGAACAAAGAGCACCAGGGGACTGTGTCTGGTGTTTATAATGTAAGAGTTTATCCTTTACACTCTACTCGAAGAGTTTCAGGAACTGCTGTGTCAAAAACGTGGAAAGTGAGAATGCTGACAAGAGTGACCTGCCAGATGTTCCTCAACGTCGGCGGTGCAACCCTAGGTGTCGCGGTTTTGACAGTTATTTCTGATTCAGTTGCCACGAAGTACGGCGGAAAAAATGATACACAGGCTCTCTTGGAGGGCTATAGAGCTGGATACTATGGCGCCATTGCTATGATAGCAATTGGATTTGTGGTTTCCTTTTTCTTTGCAGCACCTGCCGAGAAAAACGAAGATGAAGGAGGTAACAATGCAACGCCCACCGAGATGAATAACAAAGCCGGAGAAGGCAACAAAACAAATGATGGAAAGGATGACAAGCAATCATCACCGATTTCTGATCCTAGCGCCGATGGAGAAGAGGATGGAAAGGCTGAAAAAACCGTTTCACCTGGAGTCATGGAAGGGACCTCTAAAGTTAGTGAACCAACCAACTAGAAGATGTCCAATGATTCAGCTATCGTAAGGATGGTTTTTACCTCTTATGGGAGCTGAAATGTGATCAATTGAGAAATTTGACCAGGAGAATGCGCATATGATTTCAGAATTCACACTCTATCCCATAGGAGTATCCGATTATACCTACAGTGAATTTAACTAAGCGCGGAGTCATGAAAGTAAAAGATATACACTAGCCTGTGAAACTTCGGTGAAGGAAATAGTCAAATTAGTGCTTTTACTCAAAACCATCTCTATTAATGGTAATTTTTATTATCATTTCGCCTTGTTTACGCTATGTTACTGTTGCCCTGGCGTTAGGACCGACCGCGAAACCTTCAATGCTTTCAAAGAGAGTACAGAGACAGTATGAATCTACACTATGCTAAACCAGCTCCGAATATCGATCGAGAGGAAGATGGTTTCTCCAGAATGATATTGCGTGAGCAGTCAATAGAGATGTTCTCTTCAGTGACAGAGGAATCTTTGACCAGCTCTGCCTGGGAAGCTCATTTTGTCACCTCCTATTCGATACTTGGATATTTGAGTGCAAACAAAACGTGAAATTCCTAATTATGCCCGGTGATGTAGTGCCCTGCAATGTGGACTGAGCTTGTGTGAGAAGAGGATGGCTTCTGCGTCCAATACGATAATCAGCGGACCAATTGAGTTTTGAAGAGTGGTCGTTGGACTGAGTGTCAGGAAGATATTTCCCGACAAAAGAGGGAGCTTGTAACCCAGCAATCGAAATTGATGTCTGCTACCAGGTTAATATCTGCTGGTTGCCAAAGTGCCTGCATAGATTTTGTTATTAGAGCATCCTGCTATTCGGGATCCGATTGCTCGACCACTGGCAAGCTAGCCACTGGTTAGGGTCTTTTATTGGTAGATGTCGTAACCGCCCAAGCATTGTGGGGTTTTCTGAGTAGTTATCCATTTCGGATTCATACATGTACTAATCTGGACGGACCTAAGTTTTGCTTTTGTGATTCTCATTAGGTCCAGTGGCTAATTCTCCATCCTCTCTGGTCTTTAAGTACCTTCTCTCTCTCTCTCTCTCGCTCTTTTACTGTACTGCCTCTCCACCTGCCCTCCTGCAAGCCCAATACTCGATCCCCGATTTCGGTTCTACTTCCGGAATTAGCCTCTTTTCGATTGTCTTCCTGTCAAACTTCCCCCCCCTCCTCTCCGCCTCTCTTCCTGCTGCCTACTTCTCCGCACATCACAACTCAGTTCCACCACGATGGCACCGCCTGTAAGTGCTTCGCTGAATCGTGCACTACTCTCTAATCTTGCATTGCGCCCGAGGAGGATCACCAAGTTGATTGAGATCAAAGTGGTTGGTTGCATGCTAATTTTCTTTTTGACTCACTCAGATCACAATTGTGCCGTCTCTCGAGACCGCGGGCGAGGTCATCGACTCCGTTCAAGACGCCAAGTTCGCTCCCAACCTCCTGCCGCTAGTGACCTCCATCCCAGCCGACCTCTTGACTCCTACGCTGGCATACCTAAAGATCGCAGAGAAGTGAGTCATTTTAGCCGCCCGCGATACCCTCCCGCCGCGGGAACCGATGCGCTGACCGGTCCAGATCGAAATTGTCGTTCCTCTACGAAAGTGCCGCTACGACAGAGACCATTGGAAGATATAGTTTCATTGGAGCCGGTATGCGCAAATTACACCCCCTTCGCCTACTAGCCAGAGAACCTTAGGTTTGGAGTTAAGAAAGACCCCGTGACTGATTTTCTCCGTTCGCTTTTCCGCACACTCAGATCCCCGCAAAGTTCTCAAGACGGGCGCCGGTCATGGACCCGAGTGTGATCCGCTCCCGATCCTGGAGGAGGAGCTGTCTGGTTTCCGTGTCGCGACAGTGCCCGGCTTGACGCTCCCGCCGCTGACCGGAGGTGCGATCGGCTACGTGGGTTATGACTGTGTGCGGTACTTCGAACCCAAGACGGCCCGCCCGATGAAGGATGTGTTGGGTATCCCCGAGTCGTTGTTCATGCTCTTCGACACGATCGTCGCTTTCGATCACTTCTTCCAGGTCGTCAAGGTCATCACATACATCCCTATTCCCAGCAGCAAGACCGAGCTGGAGGCAGAGTACCGCAAGGGCCAGGAAGTCCTACAGCGCATCATCGCAACTCTACTACGCCCCGACCACCCTCTTCCGCCTCAGGGCCCCATCCTCCAGAACCAGGAATACACCTCGAACATCGGACGCGAAGGCTACGAGCGTCATGTTACACGCCTCAAGGAGCACATCTCCAAGGGTGACATCTTCCAGACAGTACCGTCGCAGCGATTGTCCCGCCCGACCTCTCTCCACCCCTTCAACCTCTTCCGGCATCTACGCACGGTCAACCCGTCACCATACCTTTTCTACATCGACTGCGAAGACTTCCAGCTGGTGGGTGCCAGTCCGGAGCTGCTGGCTAAGGAGGAGAAGGGCCGCATCATCACGCACCCAATCGCGGGTACGGTGAAGCGCGGCCGGACGCCGGAGGAAGATGAGGCGTTGGCCAACGAGTTGCGGAGCAGTCTGAAGGACCGCGCGGAGCACGTGATGCTGGTGGACCTGGCGCGCAACGACGTGAACCGGGTTTGCGACCCCACGACGACACAGGTGGACCGGTTGATGGTGGTGGAGAGGTTTTCGCATGTGCAGCACCTAGTGTCACAAGTGTCGGGCGTTCTGCGACCGGACAAGACGCGGTTCGATGCGTTCCGGTCCATCTTCCCCGCGGGAACAGTGTCCGGGGCGCCCAAGGTGCGGGCGATGCAGCTGATTGCCGAGCTGGAGGGCGAGAAGCGCGGTGTGTACGCGGGCGCGGTGGGTTACTTTGGATATAACATCGCCAGCGCGAATGGTACGGCGGAGGTGCCGGGCGCGATGGACACCTGCATTGCGCTGCGGACGATGATGGTCAAGGACGGAGTGGCCTACCTGCAGGCGGGAGGAGGCATTGTGTTCGACTCGGACCCATACGATGAGTACGTGGAGACGTTGAACAAGCTGGGAGCGAACATCACCTGCATCAAGGGCGCTGAAGCCAAGTACCTGAGCTTGGAGGAAGAGCAGAAATCCTAGGGTAGCGCTTCTTCTTTGTCCTCTTGTTGTACCTATTCTTAGTTTCCAGCTTCTCATGATCTCTTCCTTTCAACGCTTCTAGAACTGGACGACACAATGTTTCGAAGTGAACAATGAAGATGGGGTATAGACTGCTCTTTGATAGTTGGCTGGGTAGGCGCTGTCAATGATTGATGCAGAAGTTTATTTGCACGGGACCCGAACGACAGAAGGGGTTTAGTCGGCAACAAACCGGAATGGATTCTGCTGCCTGTAACTGCTACTTCATCCCCTCCTCTCTCTCTCTTTTGCCCCGGAAAGAACTCGGTCGGGGGAGGTTGGACCCTTCAGATAGCATGGGGTAGGTAGGGTTGAACTCGGTCAGGATGAGGCCGAAGGTGGTTCGATCTGCAAGGCTAGCCTGGCGATGACGTCGATGCGAGGCCGGCTAGACGCTAAACACATTGCTGGAAAAGAATCGCACTTAGAGTTGGTCCTGTGTGAATGAGCAGGACGAGTCGGATGTCTAGGAAGCACGTTGATTCTCTTGCCTAGACCGCTCAGGCTGGGGAGGAAGTGCGTCGAATATATTGTGTGTAGTGTGTAGTGTGTATAGCGTTCCATGGGGGAGTCGGAGCCGAGGAATCGCGGAGGAAGCAGAGACTTGGATTCAATAACAGTGTGATCTTTAACAATAGTAGACAGCTTCCAGGAAAGGAGAGTGGAATGTCTGTATAGACTGAGGGAGAAATGACGAGAGGAAGCAAGTCAAGGGCGAGGCAAAGGAAGAGAAAGAAAAAGAGGAAGGAATGACACCATTCAAAGATCCATCATCGTCTCTTCGGCTTTCCTTCTCCTGATCATCTCAATATCAATCCACTCAATAGACCTAAACTCCTTTTCTCTGGCTCATCCTCTCCCACTTTTCTGTTCTCTGTGTGAATCTACCAGCAATTCATCACTCCATTGTATTACTGTAGCTCTTCTGTACTGTCCTAATTCCCTCTTGGTCCTTGTACATCGTTCTCGGTGCCCCCTATTCGACTCGCCGCTGCCCGAGGGAAGTGGAATGAAGGCCCGAGTGGCAGATCATACAACTTGACGCAACTGCACACTTGGAAGACTTTTTCTTGTCATTACACAAGCACATTGTATCCGAGAATAGCCAGACTAGACAGTTGTGCTATTCCAGTATATTTTGGAGGAGTGGTTTACTATCAGAAGTTGGCTGGGATTGAACGCACATCCGGTGGCACCCAATCTTTAGCCCGCCCGAACTCCTCCCGCTCCAGACTCCAACGCTTGCTTCCTCTTCCCTCTTCCTCTTCTCCTCCTCCTCCTCCTCCTCCACACTCTTCCTCTTTCCCTCCACCTCTTCCTTTCTCGACTCTATCCCTCCCTATTTCCCATCCTCTCCCTCTACGTACCGTCGCGGTCTTCTTTTCCTGAAATATTCCTGGATTGCATCAGTCGGCCCCGCCCTTACTGTGTGCCAGAGCGTTCCAAGTTCCCCGACTGTCTCACGGCCACCGAGTGACAATTCCGAACGCGGCTTACATACGCATCTTCCCCGTTTTAACCAACTAAGCGCGATAAGGAGAGTCGGACTGGTTCTACTCCCCGTCGCAGTCGCTCTATCCTCTTCTCCCATTCACACTTCCCTCTGCGCGATCGCCGTGTTCGCCTCGCTCACGCCCAACCTCCCTCGCACTCTCTCCCTCTTACGCAAGCTAAAGGCGGAAAGGGCCGCCTAGACTATCCTCACCTTGCCCCATACACACGCTCAATACCGCCACCATGTCCAAAGTCGTGCGCAGTGTGAAAAATGTCACCAAGGGTTACTCCTCCGTGCAGGTCAAGGTTCGAAATGGTATGTCGCACTGTTGTTGCCCGCTTATCGGGTCTCCGATCGGCTGCAGCCTATGATGCATCATCCTTATCGTCACAACTGCTGGTCTATTTATCGTCATTCCCATCCCAGCATGCTCTTCGATTGAACAACTTTGAAAGTCGAGTAAAAACTAACGACTCGCGCTTTTCTTCTTCACAGCTACAAGCAATGATCCTTGGGGGCCAACTGGTACTGAGATGGCCGAAATCGCCGCCTTGACCTTCAGCAGGTAGGCTACCCCGCCTCCTCCATGGCCTGCATGGTCCCGCGACTTCCACACTGACCCACCGTGCTACTATATAGCACCCCAAATGATTTTTACGAGATCATGGATATGTTGGATAAGCGTTTGAACGATAAGGGCAAGAATTGGCGCCACGTTCTCAAGTCATTGAAAGTCCTGGATTACTGCTTGCACGAGGGGTCCGAATTGGTGGTGACGTGGGCCCGCAAGAATGTCTACATCATCAAGACTTTGCGCGAATTCCAGTACGTGGACGAGGACGGGCGAGACGTTGGACAGAATGGTAAGCTAATATGGGCTGCATGTGGTTTTCTACGTCATTTGGGCTAATTCTCCTTGTCACAGTCCGTGTGGCCGCCAAAGAACTGACCTCGCTGGTCTTGGATGAAGATCGGTTGCGCAGCGAGCGCTCCGATCGCAAGCTCTGGAAATCCCGGGTGAGCGGTCTGGATGACCACCAAGGAGGCTACGCTTCAGAGCCCCGTCGAGAGCGCCGCGAGCGCCGCCGTACCACGAACGATGACGACGATGCGGAATACCGCTTGGCGATCGAGGCGAGCAAATATGAAGCCGAGGAGGAGCGCAAGCGGCGGGCGCGGGAAGCGGCGGGAGCCGAGGACGACGAGGATTTGGCGAAGGCAATCAAGCTGAGCAAGGAAGAAGAAGAGCTGCGCAAGCGCGAGTTGGAGGAAAACAACGCTCACTCGCTCTTTGATGATACTCCTACGCAAGTTGCGCAGCCGCAACCCACCGGGTACAATCAGGGATACCAGCAGCAGAGCGCGGTCGATTGGTTCGGCAACCCGATCAACCCTCAGCAGCCGCTGACGACCGGTTATCTGAACAACCAATATGCCCAACCTACTGGATTCCAGGGCCAGATGACCGGTATGCCCAATGGGTATGGCAACCAATTCCAGGCGCAGCCGACTGCATTCGACCAAAACCCGTACGGCCAGGCGCAGAACAACTATTTGCAACCTCAGGCCACCCTACAGCCACAACACACCGCATTCAATGTCAACAACCCCTGGGGAGGCGACGCATTCTCCCAACAGCAACACCAGCAACAGCAACACCAGCAACAGCAGCAGCATTTCCAACAATCCCAGGAGAATTTTCTGTCGGCAGGAACGAACAACCCTTGGGCTGGCACACAGCCTGCTGATACTTTGAAGCCTATGCCCACGGGGTCAAACAACCCATTCGCGCCACGGACGCAGCAGTTCCAGAGCCGACCCGCTGTTACCGGTCCCCCATCACTGAACACTCTGGCAGAAGAGCAGGCTACCAACCAATTCACGTCGCCCAACCCGATCGCAAACTACCAGGCACCGCCGCAGTCGCTTGCTCCGCCCCAACAGTCCTTTACGCCGCAGAAGACCGCCCCGACTCAGATGCTGGATCCGCACCGCATGCAGTTGAATGCACTCTTGGCTTCTGGGGATGGTCAGGACACATTCGGCAATGTGGGCGATCTGCGCATTCCCGCTCAGCACACGGCGCCGGGTACGTTCGTCAATTCGGCCGGACAGGGGCTGGACAAGCTCCGGGCCACACGGACGGGCAACAACCCGTTCTTCAACCAACAGCAGCAACAGTTTGTTCCACAGCAAACTGGGTTTGCGCAGCCGGCCAACAACCCCTGGGGAGGGCAGCAGATGTACCATCAACAGCCTCAACAGGGTGGCAGTTTGATAGATTTGTAGGTGGGAGAAGTGAGATGGTTTGTTGAGGTAGAGGTTGATTGTGAGTACGTGGTTGATCAAAGAGGACAGGCGGGGGGTGGTTGGGGGACTGGAATTAATTCTGATTCTGATATCTAAAGCCCGTTGTTGTCCCCCGGGCTTTTTTATGTTTGTTACTATCTTTGCCTTTCTCCTTGTTTCCTTACTTTGTCCCCTTGATAGTCGATTTTTTTTTTCTCTCTTTAAGAGTCATCGAATCCGGATACCAAGTTTTCTTGCCTTATGTTGTTCCTTGTCAATCTCGATCCCCAAGAAACGCTTTCTGTGCTCCAACTACCCACTTACGTACCTTCTGTGATTGACACGCCCCTCGATTCCTTCCCCTCGGTTTTTCCTCCCGCTCTCCTCTCATCCAACCCACCAATCTCTTTCTTTCCCAATTAAGTCATAGTCCCAGTCCCTCGAGATTACAGTATACCATATACCCTCCATTCTGGACTTCAACCTCGATGACAGCTCCATGAGTGCTACCTTCCTTCCTTTTGCCATCCTGTAGACAGATGGGCATCGGATCGTAGTATAGTCAGTTCCTCTCTCTCTCTCTTTTGCCTTGCCCTGCTCCTTACCCAGACCAATGATCACTACCGGGAAATGATTTATAAGCTCGCTCTCCCTACTTCTCCACCTACAACCTGGCCTTGTACCTTGTACCTACAGGAACAGGTTAAGCTGTGCTATGCTATGGAAACGGGTCCTTGATCTTACCTATAGACGACGGATTAAGTTAAAAGGGGAGGTGGAAGAGACATGTACTGTACAGATATTGCATCTCCAAAATCCACACACTCACGCATACGCATACGCACACACACACACACTCTCTCTCTCTGTGTGTGTGTGTGTGTGTTTAAAGGAAAGGGGGGAGAATCACAGGAAAAGGAAGAAGAGAAGGGCGAAAAAGAAATGCCATACATAGCCTTTTAGTCAATTCAATGCACCTAGAACCTGACCCTAGATAATCAACCACCATACCATATCATAGTCAACTTAGGAGGTATATAATCAACCCACGACCCATAAGCCTAGAATCAGGTACTGTACATATACCTACATATATCCTCATTCAGCCATCACCCATCGTCAAACTCCAGAGTAAGCAAGAAGAACCCAACAAGACACCGCATTCCCCGATTGAAGTCCACCCATCACACATCCATACACCCCAGAACAACAGCCGGAAGCCAAAAACGAAGTTGTTTTTTTTGGACGCCTGTGACGCCTGTGATTATTGAACAGAAGCCAGAAGTAAATACTTCTTACTCCTTTCAACCCCATCCAATCCCAACTATAATTCCATTCCTTGAACACGGGATGAAAAGAAAAAAGCACAATCTGCATGGACAGCATATGTTTTATTCATTCTTGGAATAAGCAACAGAGAGAGAGAGAGGACAGACAGGAAGGAAGGGAAAAGGATTATCCCCCCCTCTCACCGAACTGTCTCGCCCACTCCTCGTACTCCTGCAACCCTTCTTTACTGACACTTGGCCGAATGGAGAGCAGACTGGCCTCGAAATCCTGGAATCGGATCGGTCGGATCTGGTCCATCGGGGTGTGAAGTAAGGCTTCCCCTAAGTTGCGGAGCGGGCCCATGGCAGCGTCTTTGGCTAAGGCGGTCATGTCGGAGCCGGAAAAGCCTGGTAATAATTATCTGGTTAGCGGGAGGGGTATTTCGATGGTGTAAAGACCAAAGGGAAGGGAAAGCTCACCCTCTGTGACCTGGACCAGGACCTCGATGTCCTCATCCGTTAACTCGTGGATCTGGTGACTTAACAACTTGCGGAGCTGTTGTTCACGGACATGGTGCTCCGGGAGTGGGATGTATTGTCGGCGGACGAAGCGGCGGCGGGCCGCCTCGTCGATGTCCCAGGGCATGTTGGTGGCGGCGAGGACGAGGACACGGCTGGCGTCGCCGAGTTTCTTGTCCTTCTGCTCGCGGCCGGCGGCGGCGCGTTGCAGGTCGGACCATTGGATGAGGAACTCGGTTTTGGAGCGGCGGGAGGCTTCGTTTTCCGTGCCGGAGGAGCGGGCGGAGAGGAGGGAGTCGATCTCGTCGACGAAGATGATGGACGGCGCCAGCGCTTTGGCCAGGCCGAAGAGGGCGCGCACGAGTTTCTCGCTCTCGCCGTGCCATTTGGAGGTGAGCGTGGAAGCGGAGACGGAGAAGAAGGTCGATCGGGATTCTGTGGCCACCGCGCGAGCGAGCATGGTTTTGCCTGTGCCTGGCGGTCCGAACAGGAGCATGCCGCGGGCTGGTTCGCGGAGACCTGAGAAAAGGTCCGGGCGGAGGAACGGGTAGACCACGGCTTCTTTGAGGGCCTTTTTGGCCCCGTCCAGACCAGCGATGTCGTCCCAATGTACTTCGTCGCCGCGGACGACGATGTCGTTCAGAATCTGGCGTGCAGCGGTCACGTCGACGCCCTTGGGCAGCTTGTTCATGACATTCTCGATCGCATCTTCTTCGTCTTCGTCCTCCGGGTCCTCCTCGTCCGGGTCTGTGGACTTGGGGCCCAATGACTCCGGATCGCTGGAGGGTGGCGTCACGGTACGTTTCAATAGTCGCGGCGATTGAGCGGCTACGGGAGTGCTGGGTGAAAGTGTCAGCCGATCCAGCCCTGGACCCAGCCCGCCATCAGTAGACGAGGTGGGTGTGATCCGTGGCCGTGAGGCCGGATGGGTCCGCGGCTTGCCCAGACCATCCGGTGGGTGTGGAGAAACACCACTTGGGGAGGATGTGGGATGAGGTGACCGCAGGGATACTGGCTTCGGTTTGACAGAAGGTTTGGGGGGAGGTTGCGGCCGGATGACGCTCCTTGACTCCGGACCGACCGAAGTGGGGAGCGATTGATTCGAGGACTGATGTCGAACTTCACCGGTTGGTCTGCGGTGCGTCGATGTCGTCGGGGTGGTAGTTGAAGATGAAGTGGCCGTTCTCTTCGTCGGAGGCCGATGCGATACCGACTGGTCTGACGCACGGGGTTTCCGACCGATTCGACGTTCGTCCGGATCATTCGCGGGATGTGTTGCTCTTCTCGAAATACGTTCATCGCCTGAGAGTGGTCGTCGGGATTCGAATTCTTTTCGAATGCTGGAGTCGTTGGAGGCGCGCGTCGAGGCCAAAGCCGCATCACTGGCCGCCTTGTCTGGCGCCGTGAACGATGGATAGATACTACCCCAGGCTAGCCCCGCGGCCTGAGAGGCTGCGGCCGGCCGCAGCTCCCTCCGTCGGGGGCTGTCCTTCTTCTTGGTCTGTTTCTTAATCTCGGAACTGCGCAGGGTGAACGGCATGGTCAGCTTGCGCCGTTCGGGGCTCGAGGTGCGCGAATCGGGCTTGCTCGGGGAATGCGACTGGGTGCGCAGGGCGGGGGTTCCGGGCATGGGGGGAGAAGTGGCGGCGCTGGCGGACTCCCGTCTGATGGACTCGGAGCTGACGGTGGTGGTGGGAGTCGGACGACCAGGGATGGTGGGCGGTTTGGAGAGATCGGTGTATCCAACGGCGGGGACAGTGCCGTCGCCGATCCAGCCGGGGGTGGCTCGCGGAGGCGATTTGCCTGACGTATCCTTCCTACTCTCGCGGAGGGCTTGCAGGAGATCGACTCGCTCGCGGCATTGCAGCTCCAGTTGACGGATGGAGTCCTGCAGGGCCCGTTCGGTTTCGTTTTTGGGAGTATACTTGGCGGGGACACGATAAGCGTTGTGATAGTAGATCGTTTCCAGGGCGGAGCGCCAAGATCTTAAGGCTTCCTCTTCATTATTCTGGCAGGGTCGGATTAAATTAGCTGAGAATATGGAGGGAGGAGGGGATAGGCGCGGCAGCATGAACCAACCTGACCCTCGAAATAGACGGCAGTTGAGCACATCAGATAGCAATCATCGTAGGTCTTCTGTAGGGAAGACGCCGGCTTGGGGCGCATCATTCATTCGAGGTTTGGAGAAGAGAGGGAGGAAATGCAGCGGGAATGTTGCAGGACCCGCCCGCAATTAAGAGAACAACGGAAATCGACGGAAGGAAAAACGAGTGGAAAGAGAGTGCAGATCAATCAATTGAGTGGGTGGAGAAGTGTGGCAAGCGAGTCCGAGAGACACTGACTGGAGTTGGGGAGTTAAGTAAGTTGAAGAAGAGAAGTCCCAGAAAAGAAGAGTAGAATTGAAACTGAAACTGGAACTGGAACTGGAGGGGTTTGGCCGGCTTCGGTTTGGGGAGGTTCTTTTTCCCATTTTTGTCAGTGACGTCGTTCTCTTCCCTTCCCTTCAATCTTCATCTTCCCTCCCCTTCTATTATAAGTCGATCTAATTGACATAATAAAAATATCTCCATATTTCCAAATATAGCATACAATACATACAAAATTATATCCACAAGGAATCAATCGCAGCAGTGTATCCCGAACAGCCACAGAACCATGACCTACCACCAATGCAGTTGCGGTGCAGTGCAGAAAGGAAGGAGATTAAAAAATATCAAAAGGAAAAACGGAAAATCGTCCAGATATTTCCCCTGCGTCCCATCAACACCTATCAATTAAGCATACATCAGGCCCAGATTCCAAAGGCCTCGACCCAACGAAGCAGCAGCAGTTGTAGTCACAGCAGCAAAATAATCCCCATGGCCCTACTCTCTACCCCATCCAATCCAACTCATCTAGCCAGTCAAACAAGATTCCCCGCCCCGACCAAGGAAAAAAACAAAAGAAAAGGAGAAAGGAAAAAGGAAAAAGAAAAATGACAAGTCAGAAAAGTAATATAAGCATGGCCCTAGCTCGGGGGTCGGAGATAGACAATTCCTCGGACTGTCCCCAACTGGGCCTCGGACTTGCCGATATATGAGGTGAGGGTATCGCGGAAGATGGAGGGTGAAATCAACAAGAGGACCGGGGCTGGAGATAGAAGAACTTGGGGCGAGAGGAAGGTCATGAGAGGACAAAATCCCTAAATCAGCGCCCAGATAGTATCACCTGGTATCGCTCTCTTCCCATTCTCCCCTTTCCCTCCTCACATGTGATACATTGAGTGCAGCGTTCGTTCATCTTCTCTTCTCCACCATCACGAAACAATTTGAGTTATCTTCTGGGTCGTAATTTTATTATTTCTATCCTTAAATGTTTTTTAAAGAAAAAAAAAGAAGTATGGGGGGTGGGAGGGTAGGAGGGGGTGGTTGCGTGTTTCTCCCCGGCGGTGCGATCCAGAGGAAGGGAAGCGAAAAAGGGAGTTTTGGGAGCTGAAGTGTGTCGGATTCATGTGATCGAGCCGTTAAGGTAGGAAAACAATAATGTGATGTTGGAAGATTCGGCTTAGTTGTCCGGCCGGCCCTTGAAGTAGGCCTTGGCCATCTCATAGGAGGTCCTAGAATAATACAATCAGCGACACGATCCTCCATGTGTTGGGCACGAAGCGACTCACCAGCAAATAGCAGTACTGGGCATGGTGGAAATAATGCGGGGGCGAGCGCCACGCAGGAAACCCTTCCAGCCAAACTGCCGCTTGATGATGGCCGCCGCGTTGAACAAGCCCTTCGCCGAGCGGATTTCCTCGTTCTGCGCCAACCCTCGGGTCTGCAGCAGCGTCTTCACCACATCGAGCGGGGTGGTCAGACCGGCCGCAAACGCACCCGCCAGACCACCCGCCATACAGTGCGTGAAGGGGTCATAATCCTGCGACGGGTTCATGATCTTGGAAATAGACTCGTAGGCGACAAACTGAGTAGCGGTGAAGGGAACAGTCATGCAGAGGGTGGTGGGATAGGAGACGTAGAACGCCTGGAAACCTTCCGTGCGGTAAACGGACCGCGCACATTGAAGGAGACTCTTATGTACCGAGCCATGCACTTGCATACGTTGCTTGATCACTGCGCCCCATTAGACGTGGCTTCCAACCGTAGCGCTGTCGCACAGAACTCACCATCGAAAGGATTCATCAAGGCGTCACTAGCGATGGTCGCAGAGGCACCGCTCAGGGCTGGGAGTCATAGTCAGTCATCGCGCTCGCGTCGCCTCAAGTCCGCGGGCTTCGTAGCTCACCTGCCGCGACCGGGTGGTGGCCATCATCGACATTACCACCCGCCATCTCCTTCACCATCTCATATGTTCCAAAGTACACAGCGTGAGCGGGACCTGCCCAAAGGGAAATAACCAGTCAGCAAATCTGCCGGAAGTTCCGACTCGATAGGCAAAAAAACCACTCACCAGCGCCGACAATCACACTCGAGACCCCCTTCCACAGTGTCCGCCAGCCCTCAATCCGGTAAATCGTCGAAACCGCATTAGTCAAGCCTGTGTAGAGCCCTCCATTCGTAGGATGCAAGATTTGCATGCGAGTCTATCAGATCCGCCGCTGTCAGTCTCCCATTCAGATAAACATCTTGCGCATGGCTTGGGCGAGCTGCAGTCGTCGCAGCCGCCCGCCCGCCCGCTGGAATTCAACCGAGTCACTCACCTTCAGCAAGTCTACCGGATACATGACAGAGTGTTCCTAAATCCCTAGATCAGCATGACCCAGCCATCGCAAGACTGCTCTTCGTTGTTCTAGCACATACTGCGATTCCTGCGAAGGCGCCAGCCAGCATGTTGGCGCCTAAGCCGTAGTTGGAAGGGAGGGCTTCATAGCTATCATCATCAGGCTGCGGTTAGCTGGTGGTCAAATAAAACAGCGACGAAACTTCTTGGTCTTTGGCGAGGCATGGCAAGCAGCGCAAGTCACACTTATAGAGAAAGCCTGCGGTAGGAAACTCCATCCGCGAGGGTTCCCCAGCCAGCTGGTGTGGGGGAGCAATTGCCGACTAGAACAGGAAATGTGGATTGAAGGGCAGACGGAAGGCACATACTCATATTCTTGCCCGGGGATCTGTTCGGGGACCGCCATTGAGCTCTAAGGGGTTCTGACCGTAGCAACTGCTACAGAGAGGCGAGGATAGTTAAGAGGGGAGAGGCGACTGAGAAGTCCGAGGAGCGTGGACAGTTGTTCTCGAGCTGGAGGGCGAAAATGCCGACGCAGAAAAACGGACTTTGCGGAGCGGAGAGGGAGGGCCGATCCGGGCGGAGGGGAGAGAGTAGGAAGTGGGAAGACCGGGAGAGCGAGGGAGGGCGATCGAGAAAGGTAGGAAGAAATCGAAAGAAAAGGAGGAGATACCAACAGAACCAGCCTCAACCCGACCAAGGGACGCGGAAGAATTAATGCAGTAGAGGAAGAAGATGAGGGGAGAGAGATGTGCTGGAGAGGCAGGGAAAAAGAGAAATGCTGATAATTCTTGGGATGGTGAACAAAAAAGTCCGCCGGGACAGGTTCGATAGCAGGCCAGTTTCCCATACCGTCTGATTACCGTTTTGACGGTATGGTACCTTGACCTGCCAGGCTGGATCAAGGCCAACCGGGGAGCTCCTGGGCGGTATGGAAGCGGAAAGTCCGGTACGGGTATGGTCAGGATTGCTGATAGTGCAGTTTTTCTCTTGATTTGGAACTATTTTATTCATGGTTATTATTATGCTTCCTGCAGCTTGATTTTGGTTACTGATTGTCCGCCTCTGATAATCAGATAACTGTATAGACCTAGAAGAAGATTATGCTCTTCTCGCTTTCCGTACATGGTATAATTTTAAGTCCACCACTCCTCCACTCCTTTCTTCTATCTTAATGACCTTTCTGTCTTCCATCATCAACTCCCATGTTATCCCAGTGCAGAGGTCGCTGAATCAGCTTCCCCGACCTAGACCGGCTAGTCCGGCCAGCTTAGGCAATCCACAGCAAACCAAATTACACCGAGGCATCCACCATCCGATGACGGAGCTTTTCATATGAGTGAATAGGTAATGGGCTCAACCAGCCCACACCACCGAGAGCCAGCTCTTCTACAATTCCAGTCTTAAGACCGATTCCAATTAATCGCCTAGCCCCCAAATCAATAATCCCTCGCCATCACCCTCACACTTCCACCTAGATAAGCACGCCGTACGGTAGCCATGATAGTAATGATTCAAATGCCGAACGACGGAGGAATCAGCCATTGGCGCCTCAACCCGCGGCCCGGGAGGAGTCCAACCTTAGACTAGGTTAGTCGGGGTTAAGGGTCGCCGAAGATCCGTCACGCTGGACGGGAACCCGGACTCTTTTTCTGATGTGTTCTTATCTGATGGAGATTTTTAGATGAAGGCGGGTGGGTGCCGCTCACTCACTGTCTTCTTACTTAGAAGATCATTTGCCCCTTGGAGAAGTAGGGATTGTATACTATCAGCAATAGATATCTCAACCAGTCTAGAGTCTAAACACACAATACATCACTTAGGAGATCATACTTATAAATGTATCAACCATCTACCTTCCCATCCCCGACCATATACACAGTTCAAAACAAGGACCAACCCATCCAGAATCCCTTCATGAACCCGTTCCATGACAATCAATGTAAGATTCATCCATCAATCCAAAAGTGGAACCCTCAATTCCAGAAAGAAAATCGAAGACACCAACCCGAACTAATTACCTAAAACCAGTGGCACGGCGGCCCTTAGTCTAGTCTCCCAGTCCCAACCTAGTACCTAGTCTAACCCAACAACCTTGAAATCGAATCCAGAGTTCCGAACAGGACGTGACACGGCTCATGGATCCTACCACTTTTTCTTAGTCTATCGAGCTAACTCGCTCACTACTTCCTGGTTCTGTGGGTGGTTCAATGTTTACAGTACTCCCTGCACAGGATAAGTAGATACTGTACTAGATTGTGATCCAACGCTAAGGCAAGGAAAGCAAGGGAAGCAAGACAAGGAGGCTCGTACCGATGAGTAGATCTGCTAGACGAGCTCCCGTGAAACTAGACTAGACGCTTGATCTCCGAAGCGACTAAGTGCTAAGTTCCTCCTCCTTCCGGGCGACCAGTTGCTTCCTTCGCTTGGTGCATGCAGATCGAGTTACTAACTAGTCATGCCGACTCGGAGCTCTGAGTCAAACCTGTCCTGCCGCTCCTGCACCCGACTAGTTCCATCTAGTATGACTGGGCCTCTCTCCTAGCTAAGACCTTACACACTAGTAGCACTAATGAGTGCTTGTATACGAACCCATAGACGCCTGTTGATTTCATTTCTTGATCCAAGACAGTGTATATGTTCAGATTGCCCGCCCCCAGGAAACAGTTCACAAGTTGGAATTTAAATATAAATATAACTCCCTTCCCCGTGCGGCCCTATCTGCTATCGAAAACAAATGATATAGAATCAAAGAAAAGAAGGCCAGTATTGCATACATCAAGAGAGATTGTGGCACGGTCAAACAAACAAAATGGTTTCGCCCAGTAGTGGTCACGTGTATAGAGATACATACAGGAACAGCATCGGGGAACGCCGGTTGGGGAGATGAAAAGAGGTGAAAGTAGAAATATCGATGGGAATGATGATGAACTTGAAGACGGAAGGAGTTCATATGCGCTGGTGGTTTGTCATGCACGTCGTGAATCTTATGCTTTCTTCTAGTTGAAACAAGGAGGAAAGGAATTGGAAAGTGTGTTTCTCTACCAATCCACGTTGAATGACCATTCTCCTATTTGCGCCCAAAGTCAGTACGTTGATTGTTCGGTACGTCGAGAAAGAGGGGGAAGAGACATACCATTTTTCAAATTCTCCGCTGTATCACTCAGCAGGATCACCCGCCGCTTGTTGCAGTAGGCCGTCTTGTCCAAAATGTCAACCTTTAGCTTGGCGAGCTCCGGCACCGGTTTCTCGAACATCTCACTCAGACTCTCCACGGCCATTTCCAAGTCCTTCTGATTGTCCTCGAAGATCTCGGTCAGGTTGTTGCGCGCCAGGTAGTAGGCAAACGCATACGTCCACTTCAGAGTCTGCCGGCATTGCTGTAATGACTGTGAGGCGGTATCCAGAAACTGCACCTCAATCCACGAGAGACCGGATTGCGACTGCAGACTGGTCATCTTTTTCTCCGTTTTCAAGTATAGGTCCTTGTCCAACTTGGCCGACTGCTCGTGGTTGGCATATCGGTTGTAGTAGTGGAGATACCGCTCCAGCGATTCGCGAGATCGGGCCTGCGCTGTGCGGGCCTCGGATCCTGACTTCTCCTCGTATCGATTGCAGTTGTACCAGCTGGTGCCATGTTCCGACCACAAGCCCATGCACATCCAGCAGAACTCGTGCTTGCACTTCCGGCACGTCATGTGATTGCAACCACCATTCTTCTCAATCGTTGAGTGACATCTCGGGCACTCCTTCGTGTTGGCGGAGATCCAGTTTGCCGTCTCAGAATCATCCTCGCACTTCTTCAGCCACATCTTGACCAGCGTGCATGGTGCAGGCTGGTGGTCGTTGAGGGTGCATCCAAAGCAGAAGTAGTGTTTACAGTCGCACTGAACGGTGGGCACAATGCGCCGGAGGTCGCGCTGTTTGATAGGACAGTCCACTGCGTATTGGCATTCCGGGGCCGGGCACCACTTAAGATTGTCTTTGTCGTCGACATACGTGCGCATGAGGAGGGCTTTGTATCTGCAAAAAAGGAACAAAAAAATAACATCAGCAACATGGCGCAATCTGACCATAGACCCGGTATTATCTCACCTATCCCGTAGATCATCCGTCACAAGCAGCCCTAACGATTTCGAATCCACAATCATATGGCAGTCAGTGCCCGGGCATTCGATCCTCGCCGCTTCACCCTCCCCACGGATCTTCTGTGCAAGGTAGTGGCGATAGCAGTCAACGCAGAAGCGGTGCCCGCAGCGCATAGCATACGTTTCGAGCTCATCGCCATCCTCGCAGCAGATCTCACACATAAATCCCGGTACCACCTCCGTCGTCGGCGTCCCGTCGAAGTTGGTCCCCAGACCCGCCTCCTCCAGGGTCTGCTCCGGATGATCCATATACGACTCGATCAACTTCTCGCGCTTCCACCGTCCGTACCGCAACAGGATGGCCGACGACTCCGGGGGCAGTCCGAGGATCGATGAGACCTCGTTAATCTGCACATTCTGCTGCCGCTCAATATCTTCTGGGCTTAGGACTTTGAATTCGACCTCGTACGGTTTCCGTTTCGTCGCGATTATATCTTTGTCTTTGGAGAACCCGCCGTCAAAATCATCACCGAAGTCTATTATGCCGAGAACGAGATCAAACGCGTGTTAGTTGTATGCCACAATAACTCAACTTATAAAGTAGGAAAGACAGGTGCGCAGGGAGAGAGAAAAAAAAAGAACCAGAAGGGGTCATGACATACCATCTCCCAAGCTCTCAACATCACTTCCTTGAGTGTCCAGGAAATCATCGGGGCTCGAGCCGACGCTCATGAAGTCTTCATCGGACTCCATACTGGTGGACGCGGGGGTAACGAAGTCTGTCGGCTTTCTCCTCTCCACAAGTTCCGAAAGGTCGTTGGAGATCGCAGCAAGAGAATCTGTATCCGAGGCGGCAGGTTTCTGCTTCTTCCGGGAGGATTTGTCAGAAAAGGAGGAACCGGTGGCGGCGGGCGAGAGCGCGACGGTAGTGTTCGGGGTGGAGGAGGTGGAGGTGGCGGCGGCTGTTGCTGCTGCTTTGGTCGCGTCGTCTACAAGCGTCGCCTCGGCCGCCTTTCTCTTCCTCGTGAGGGGAGGCGTGGTGAAAAGTGTCGCAGGTTCCGTGGCAAGCCGGGGTAATGTGCTGACACGAAAAAAGGAGGTCTCGAGAGGGGATGTCGAGACCTGCTTTTTTCCGAGACAACACACGGTCACAGCCTACCAAGGAAGGAATTCGGGGTTGAGGTAATTTCTCCGGTCAGGGAGATTTTGATTTTTTGGAACTGGAAGGGGGTGGGGGGAGGTGTAGGTGTTCTGGGATGGTGGGGAATGGTAAGGTATAGCAGCACTAGCTTTCAGCTTCGCTGGATATTTAGCTTGTGATTATTCAAGCTGGAGAAGGGGTTTAATTTTGGGCGGACGAAAGAGGAAGAGGGGGAGAAGGAGGGGGGTGGAGGGAGATGCCGGTGGGTTGAGTGAGTGGGTGTCACTAAAGGAGCAGTGGATGGGATGGATGGATGGAAGGACGTCACGGGAAGGGGAGGAGAAGACTGAGAGGAGGAGAGGAGGAGGAATGAAATGATGGATGATGTGGGGGCAGATCACTTGGTCCGACCGCCTTGCTCCAAGTCCTGCTTCCTCAAACAACTACTACCATCCAGGATGATAATAGCCTCCTTTTCAGACTCAAATGCCGGATGAAGACAACACCTGGCATAGACGAACAATGGTCGGCCAGGGTGCAAAATCTGCCAGGCTCAAACCAGGTCAGGAGAAAGGAGAGAGAGCACAGCTGACATCCTTTTAAAGAAAAAGGGATTTTATATGTCACCTTGAGGCTCCGAAGTGGGGACGGATGCAGGCTGCAGAGCCACCACCATCACATTCAGCCTAGATACAGCACATACCACCGGGGCATGTTAGCGGTTGCAGGGTTGTGAAAGGACATAAACAAACACGGAAAGATACTTATGGTCTTTTCTTCCATTCTCCCAGAGCTGAGAGGTTGAAGCCCCAGTCGCTTACCATCCAGATCCGCGGTATGGCGAAACGCTGAAGTGCTGACTGACCCGGCGGGAAGTCGCAGGGGATGTATAGGTCTCATGTTGACTGACCTCGGCTACGTGTTTCTATTATTGAAATCAATCAAGCCTATTGTCTACACTGTAGCACAATGAGCACTATTGAATAGCCCCGTCTTTCAGGCGCCGAGGCACCGTTACGTCACATCTTCTTCCACTGTCAATCGATCATGAATCTTTATTTTGGAAGCAGTCTATATGCCACACTCTAAATCGTTCATTTACTCGTCATCTTCCTCGCTCTCTTCTTCTTCGCTGCTCTCCTCTTCCTCGGCATTGGCCAACCAGTCAACGAACTGCTGCGTTTGACTGCGCACTTGGCGCATCTCCTCGGTGCTGCTCGACCGCTCATCGTCCCACCACTGCTCGTAAGCCTCCTCATCGATGATCTCCAAGTCATACAGTTCTTTGGCGGTGAACAGAAGAACTGTATCGCCCCGGCTGCGGTGCACCAGGTCCTGCTGGATGAGGAGAAGCAGATCCACCTGGTCGGGCTTCGCCTCACGCTCCCGATCGAACAAGGATCGCTCCACTATCTCCCGGTATTTGCCGAAGATCTCGCGGACTGCGTCTCCAGCACCCTTTCCGCCTTCCATCAACTGTGCAACCCGCTTCATGAACGCGGACACCACCGCGCGTCGAACCTGGTGGTCCGAGGCATTGGCCGTCATACGTAGACTGACCAATTCCAGCTGAACCACGTCCGACGTGACGGCATCCCGCAAGCTGTCGTAGACGCTAGCCGCGGCATCATGTACGAAGTGATCCGACTCTTCGTCATCAGACATCGTAGTACTGAAGCTACCAGAGCGGGAACCGCCGAAGTCTGAGATCTCGGACGAGAGTGTGGAAATCGAGTCGGAGGATAGCGAAAGATGCGCCATGTTGTAAACTGTTGAACGAGACTTAGCCCAGCATGTTCGGGATTAAGCATAGTAAAGAAGAAGTACTTACCCAACCCCGACGAGGCGTTGCTTGCTGTGTCATCTTCATCCTCATCTTCGTAGGGAACATATTCATAGCCCGTACCACCCTCACCAACGACCTCGGGCTCGCTGGTGGGCACACCATCATCCTCCTCTCTGGGCGCTTTCGTGATGCGAAGTCCTTCACTAACATTGACTCCGTCGGCGATTTCTACACCAAAGGAGATCAGAGCACCGGCTTCAACGGTACAGTTCTTTCCAACCACCGCCCGGTCGGCAACAATGGCCTGCTTGACGGTCGTTCCGTCACCGATAACAGCGCCGTCCCAGATATAGGCACCTTCCAAGGTAACGTTCTTCCCAATCTTGCAGTCCCGGCCCAGAACTGTGTCCTTAACCGTTGTCTTGTCTCCAATACTCGTTCCCTGGCCAATGACCGTTCGACGGCCGATGACACAGGAGCGGGCCAGAGTCACGCCCTGCTCCTGGTACAAGCTTCCCTTGCGAAGCTCGTAGTTGTGACCAGGAAGCAGGTTAGTATCAGGGCAAAGAGGGTAGGTCCATCTGGAGATGATATCCTTGCTGACAGCATCGTACGCCTTCAAGTTCCTCACGCGGGCAGCATAGTGGTCCTTGATGATATGCGTGTGGATCGTCTTGCCGTTGAGCTCGTAGTCTTTCAACACACCGAACAAGAACTGCTTGCGCGGCGCCTGGTAATCGAAGCTGTCGGACCAGAGACTCAGCACATCGGGGGTGCAGATATCGATGTTGCAGTCGATCAGGTCCTGGCGCAGGTCGATTTCCTGATGTGAGGTGATGAGCTCGGCCTCGATGTTCAAGCGCGTGGAGTCGGGGTTGTGCTGGTCAATCTCCTCGTAGTGCAGGCAGCGGTCCTTGGTCGGGTCGATCACGAAGACAGGAGACACGGAGGAAGCCTTGGTGCGGTGGTTGCGGCCGGCTTCCCGCAGGATCATTGTCATGATCGCGTTCTTGTCGGCTTCGCGGCGAGCACGGTGCTTGGCCAGGGCGCCTTCGATCGGCAAGTTGCTGATGACATCGCCGCTGACCACGATGAAGTCTCCGGTGATGAGGTGCTTGCCGTCGAGGTCACGCATGACGTCTCCGACCGAGGTGGACGTCGACTTGAGGAAAGTCAATTGCTTGAAGGGCGACGAGGGCGCCCTCCACTTCGATGCACTATCCATGCCATCTCCGTCAGCATCGCAATCCTCATCCCACCATGCGCTGCACTCCGGCAGCACTCGAACATCTGAATCACGTACTTGATATATCTCTCCAACTGATCCGAGTGCGCACCGCCATAGAGGAAGACATCCTCAACACCCGCATTGGCAAGGAACTCCAGGGTATATTCGATGAGGGGCGTGTTCGCGAGCGGCAAGAGACACTAAGAATTCAACCCCCATTCGTTAGCCCACCGATACCCTCAGCCCTGTGTATCCCCGCCAGCGTGAACCCAAAAAAAAAACACATACCCGAGGTCTTTCCAAGGTGAACGGCTCGAATCTCGTCTCGAAGGTATCCGCAAGCACCTAATCCCAGCCAACACATGAATCAGTCAAATAAGCTCGATTCCGGCCGGGTTCCCACCGGCAAATAGATGTGAACCACATACCACCGCCTGCAGCGTCTCCTCTACCGTCTCCGTAGCATTTCCCCTCTGCTTCGGCGCGCCGCCTTTCTTCGGACCCATCTGCGCACAGACTAATCAGTATGAACCACTTGCGGCTGGAGGAGGGTGGAGGATAGAGGGAGGGGAAGGGTGAGGGGAAACTGGAACACAAAGAGAAGCACAGTACAACTCACATCGGGTAGATGATTAGGTAGAGACTGGAGAGGGTTCTTCTTTAAAACTGGACCCAGCCTCACACAAGCCAGTGACAACTTTTCCGACGACAAGAGAGCAAGTTGTAGGCCAAAGACAGAACAGACGGTGCAATGCCCACCCACGAGAGTCAGGACCGCGATTTGCAAGAGTCAGTCGCAAAATCTCCGCCAAGCCCTCGCCCGTCCCTCCGTCGGAGTCAGAACTTCATCCCACCTCGCGCGGCTGTTTGCCTTGTTTGCCTTGTTTGACGGGTGGTTGTCAGGACCGCCCCCCGTCTTGATCACATGACATTTCTCGAGTCCATGGGGTCATGTGACTCTTTCAGCCACTGAGCCACAGCTGCTAACCCCGGTCGGGGATTCTCGAGTCCAGAACGTCATCCACGGTCTGGGCCCTCCTGGACTCAATCAGGAATACCCCTTGTTCAGGAACCGCGGGTCTAGAACTCTAGCTGTCATAATTTAGCTGATGAACCCTCGATTGGGGGCCGCTGGATGCCTGCCAGTGGGTTGGGTTAAGGCGGGTGAAGATCAGATCTCCCTGTTTTGAACGCCGGACGGCGCCTCAAATCGGTGCACTTGTACTCTACACGTAACCAACTACTCCTTGTAGCTGATGAATCGGCCGCACCCCACGTAGAACGACTTACGCGGACTATTACCAGCTAAGTGTTACTTTTGGGAGGAAACCATGCGGTTGATGCGGAAATCTGATGATTGTAGTTATTTTAAATGACAACTCTTCCTGATTAAGTCAAAGAGTATGAGAATGATTACCCCACAATGAGATTACATGAATGCCGGCGCCTTAACGAACCACAAATCAATAGTACGTACAACAAGATGAGAGACAATGCTGCCAGTCCATGGCCTTTTGTGCCACGAAATCTGGATGCCAAACCCCGGGGATCCTCAAAACAAGCCCAGTCATCCAACAGAAACGACAATAGACCAGCTTGGCGGCAAGGAGACCCTCAAATCAAATGCAAGTGTAATGATGCGCCGCAACACCGTGATATATCATATAATTTCGAAACAACAGAAGAAAGCGATACAACGCCTGGATGTCATAGCAGGGTATGACTGAGTGACCATCATGGAAAGATGGGTAGAGTATAGATGCTCAAGGGATGGATGGGCTCGAAGAAGCTCGATGACGATAAAGTATTCAACGAGCTGGAAGGGAGGAGGGTGAGCAGTGATGAATGAGAAAGATGGTGGTCGCTTTAAGGAGGTGGAAGATGCGAAGGGAAATACAGTCGTGAGCAAGATGTCGACTAGGCAGTCCTTGCGGCCTGCATGGAACTGACAATAGGCTGGCTTGGATGTGCGTACATCCGCGGCCTCTTCGCCATGCCCGGGTTCTCAGCCGCGCTGGACATTTCTGAAAGCTGCCGTCGTACCTGTGGCCTAGCAGCAGGTGCTGCTGGGGCGAGGGCCACGGCGGGAGTGGCATATTGGACACCATTTTGATCAACAGCATATGCTGCGGGACCGGGGGTCGTGGGGACATATTGGCTCTGAACTGGCTGCATGTTATGGGGCAAAGCGGTCATGCCTTGGAATTGGCCTGGGGATTGCCAGTTGTTCACGGATGTTGCCGGCGACTGGCCCGGGGAGCTATCCTCTTTGATAGAATGTGCGGCAGAATTCTGTGCAGCCATCGTACCCGGGACAGCGGACTGAGAGGCTTCCATGTTCTGCGAAGCGACCTTCAGATGGGACAGGTGCTTCTCGAGCATATCAAGTAGACTCTTTCGCGTGAAAGGTTTGGGAAGCACATCATCCATACCTACTCTTGCGTCAGTGGGGGTCCATTTTCTCGTCAAATTTCAGGCCGACGGCATGACATACCATGTTGGAAGTAGAGCTGGATATCGTCGCTTCGGATATTGGAGGTCATGGCGATGATAGGAGTCCGATCGAATTGACGGATAAGATGCGTTGCGGATACACCATCCAAGTTGGGCATAATGATATCCATAAGAATTAAATCATATCCAGGGTTGGCCTGTGCTTTAGTCACGGCCTCCAATCCATCCAGCTAGAGACCATGTCAGCGATGCAGGCGAGGAAAATAGTTTCAAGGAAGCATACCGCAGTATCGATGATGCAAGAGAATGAGTATAGGAATTTTCCGCCAATCTGACGACACGTCTGGTCGTCCTCCACCAGCAAGATACGGGGGCTGCGAGCCCATCCAGGGTCCACATTTGCGCTCTTCTTCCGATTATCAGGGACTTGCTGCACCTGTTGGACTTGCTGCACTTGCTGCACCTGTTGGACCTGCTGGACCTGCTGCCTCCGAGAGTCGTCAACCTCTTGTTTCGGCATTGGGTAGGGAACATTCTTGACATGTTCGCCGTACATGGGATCAATGCCATTGGTCGCGCCAACAGGGTAAACGACAGGCTCAACATCGCCGTTCATCTTGGAGTACACCAACGCTGGGTTGGGCCCCGGAGGCGCGCGCACCACGCCATTTCGGGAGGCGCCATCCATGCCAGAACCAGATACGACCGCCCCTGCGGCCTTGGACGGATCACCCACGCCATCGAGTCCAACGAGATTGAACTGAATCTCAGCGTTCATATCGTTGAGAAGTTTCGTAGCCTGCTGCAAGGGAGATGAAGGCTCATCATCCATCGTGGCCACTTGGGAAGGGCTGAGGGTCGAGCCGGCTTGACCCTGGGCTTGAAAAGCCGCAGCCGCCTTGCTGTCGCGCCTTTGCCGGGCGTCGACCGAGAGTAGGTAAGCCATCACCTGGTGGATGACACTTTCGTGGTTGAGAACCGTCTTCTGGACTCGCATAACTTCCTGCAGCATCAATTGATGATCTACCGTCAATTGTGCATACCGGTCCGACAGATGCTGGATCTGCTGTTGCTGTGCCACAATTTGCTGATTCAACAGATCGATCTGTTGGGTGGGAACCGAGTCTTCGGTGTTCTGAGTCTGTTTGCGCGGAGCGGGAGCCTTCCGGCGGATATTGTCGAGCGACTCCTTGCTGTTGGCTCTAAATTCGGGGTGCTTGAATTCCCATGCCTGCAAGTCGGATTAGGCCGATCCTGGTTTCCGCTGTGCATTGCTGCACACTTACATTTTGGCCGTATGGCGATTGACCATTCTCTTCGTTGTTTTGCCTCACTTTGTGAAAGTCGTATTTGTTGAGTTGTCGCACGAAACTAGCGAAATTGCTGTGTTTGAAATGCTTTGGCAGGATGGTCTTCGTAAACTTCTCGCACTGGAGAGAAGCAACCAGTAAGTAAGAGAGTTCGTGATCGCAAGACAGGAAAAGAGGGGGCGGAAGCGCGGTACCTCCAAGACGACGAAACTGTCCCCTTCGTCACCCCATCGCACAATTTCCGCATATGACGGGTCCTCCAGCATCCTTTGAAATTTAGGTCAGTATTCATGTTGACAATATAATAACAGATCGACGGATCTGATATTGGCGCATCGAGACGTGGGACCAAGATCGAGGGAGGGTAGCGTTGAGGAGGGGAGGGGTTAAGGCGGAGGGGAGGTGGATAGGGTTGGGTTGAGTGAGAGGCAAAAAGCGACGATCAGGAACGGGAGAAGGGAAAGGAGGAGGAAGAGCGACGACTCACTTGTAGAGCTTCCGTACCTGAACATGGTTGTTAGCGACTGAAACACATTTGTTGTACAATACGAATAAATCAAAGGATGTTTTTCTTGAGCATGAGTTGCACCAAGATCACGATGAAGACTTACAAAATCGCTGGAGTTGCCGGCAGGGGCGGCGCTGGTCGAGGTCTGGCCACCGTCCATCATGGGCTAGATGGGTCGCGACCGATCGAACAAGCAACAGGCTCAACACACGTCGCAGGGCTTCGAGACCGGGAAGAAAGGGACCAGTCGGGCGCTCAATTTAATGGTCGGCAGAAGTAAGTAACAGGATTATCGGCGACAAACCGAGATTGTTGAAAATAATAAATAATAATAATAGTCAAAAAATGAAAGACAAGATCGAAGAAGGGTGAGGAAGAAGAAGAAGAGAAGGGGAAAAAAATAAAAAAAAGAGAATGGGAGTGGGTGGAGGAGAGAGGAAGAAGGGGAAGAAAGGCAGAGAGACCCTCCGGGTGGCCGAGTGGGCGGCGCAACAGATGAGTGGATGGTTCAAGTCAGGCTTGGTAGTGTGGTAGGAATGGGGGGATTAACTGGAATTATCATTAGTTAATCCGTTTGATTTTAGTTTAAGGTGGGACTGGGTGGTCGGTGATGTGGTGGTGGTTCAAGTTATGGTGGTGGTGGCAGTAATTTAGGTCCGTTGGTTTTGGGCGGGCGGGCGGGCAATGGGCGGCATCGGCTTGGTGTTTTCGGGTGCCTACTTCTATTGTATTGTAGGTTGTGCATTTTGATTTTTCTTGTTTGAAACTATTTGATTTGGTTCTGGTGATTGTTGGAACTGTTTGAAGCAGCTGATCCTGATCCTGATCATCATCGCTACTCCTCTCATCACTGTTTCATGTATGTGTTCTTTCACCTGGTTGGCAACACACAATAGGATAAATCAAGTAAACGGAGTGTATACTAGTAGTAGCAGTATGAAGTACTTCGTAGTAGCCTGGGAAGTGGGTGGATGCAAGAGTAACAGGCAGTAGTGCGTGGTCACTAGCCACAACATCCGACAGTTAGGTAGTAATACGACATATACCTAATCAATTAGTATGACCATACTATTAAATAAACAGCTCCGCCCCTCATTTGAATCTCTTGTGGTCGAGTATATCTACCTCCCGTTCATCATTTGAATTCATATTCCTTCCCCCCCCAAACAATATCATATTTGACATCCCTGCTATCTCTTATTGAAATTCCCATTCCCCCTCCAGTGCCATGGCCAGGCTTTGATAAGCACAAAATGGCTTGGATTCCTTTTCCCTCACGCAAGGAGATAGGAGGGGTAGATAGTCAAGAATTCTAACCCTCACTAAATTTTAGAGCCTCGGAGCTAAAGAAGGACAACTCAGGATGGGCCAACCCATCAACAACGTCACTGGACAGGAGAAAGAGAGAGAAAACCAGAATTTGGGGCAGATGATCGCGAGTCATTGGCAGAGAAATGGAAAAACAAATATCTGAGGACCGCGATCCCTCAAGCAATTCTGGCGGAAAAGCCGGCTGGAAGCTGTCAGTGCGCCTGAACGGTCGCAGACGAGCTGCATGGCCAGGCAGGGAAGGAGGAGAGAAGACAGAGAGATAGGTCTGCTGCCGGTGGGATGGGAGGGGCCGTTCATCCTGTGCGCCCACGATCACCTGGGCAGAAATCAACTGGCTTTCGCGGATCCGGCCTGAAACCAGAGAGGAGGGGAGGGAAGCAGACCGATTAATAGTTAGGCTCGAAACTAAATAAACACTGAGTAGGAGGAATGCCATCATTCAGTCACGGTCAGGCCCCTTCCCCTCCTTTCCCTCCCCCCTTATGATCATCAACAATGATGAACATCCGGGGTTCTGTTCGGTGAGGGGAGTTTCACGGGATTCGGCAACGACTGCCGATCCCTCGCCGCCGCTTTTGTGAGGGCAACACATGAGCGCTCTATGAGCACTCTTAGACACCCACTAATCACTCACTAAGCACGCATCTTGTGCTCCGATCGCTCCCGGCTTGCTCTGGTCAGCTTACTGAGTAATCCCAGAGCAGCTTCTGCTTGTTAAGACTCGATCTCCACATGACTAATACTGAGTCTTGGAACCCTGTATGCACTAACAACCTCTAGTCTATGGACTACCAATCTATAGCTTTAGTAAAGACATCACGAAGATGAGGACTGATACTCTCTACATTTCTATACTATACAACTGTCACAAGCCAGTGCCTGTTATCGGTCACATGAATCACGTGATTAGGTCCTACTAATGCGGGGACACGCGGGGGCGTCCTATAGTACATGAACTTCCTTTTCAAGGAGGCTGAATTCTCTTAGTAATGGGAGCTTTCAAAAAAGCGAAAATATCAAGTGTACGCGAAGCGGTGTGAGTTTTTAAAGTTCCGTGTTAGACTCTTGCCAAGTGTTTAAATAGAGTTAAATCTTGTCTTAATATATAAATTAATTTATATAAGTTAACTCTTCTAAAAGAGGATTCTTGAGAGGAATGGACTCAATACTTATAGATATCTAAAACTAAAATCTATACTAAGAATCTTGATTCTATGATAGAAGCCCCTCTACTATTTTTTTTGCTGCCCTTGTCAAGGTATCGCAACAAGTCCCCGATTCCGCAACACCAAGCTTGGACTTCTTTTATGTACCGCCGCATCACCATCAATCATTGTCTCATCTCCAAGTCCACCATGTCAACCCTTTGGCCCGTCAAGTCTCTTCTGATTGCCCTCGGAATTGTGGGTGTTCTGGGCACCTGGGGTCGTACTGCCCTTGACGGGTCGACCGAACTCCTGACCAAAGTGCTGGATGACCCCAACGGCCAGCTCCCGGGCACCCAGGTGCTTCTTCAGCGGACCTTCACTGGAATTCGCATCCCCATCGACCACATCATCTCCACCCTGGTGGTCTTCTAGTATGAGGTCGTGGACGGCTCCCACCCCTCCTCCACCGCGGTGGCCCTGTATTTCTTGGGACAGCTGCTCCCCTGCCTTGTGATCGCCTACACAAATGCCCAGCGTGCAGCAAACCCAGTCTTGTGCGGTAAGCCAGCCAGCCCTACAATTCTACAGTCAACCACGATGAGCCACCGAACAAGAATCTAATGCAACCCGCTGAAGACCCACCCTCTGGCTCACCCTTTTCCAAATCTGCTCCCTCGGAGGGACAGGCTGGATCTGGGCGTTCAGCTATATCACATCAGCGCTCACCGTCGCCAAGTCCAAAGTCTCCGTGGTGGGCTCGTTCAAGCCACTGCAGGGTGCTTCGACCGTCTCCTCGCCGGCGCTGGTCAAACAGCTGCTCCTGCCCGCCATCATCCTTGGCTATCTCGTCCCCGCAGCCCTGATGGGGATCTTCTCCTCCAGCCCCGCCAGCACCGCGCACAAATCCGCCATCGGCGCCTGGAACATGTACCCCATCCTCATCTTCCCCATCCTCATCTTCCCCATCCTCGGCATCCTCCGGTCAATCTTTCCTCCTGCGGTCGCGACGACAGGCCCTAAAGCGCACCTTCACGCCATCCGCGCCGCCAACATCCCCGCCCTCATCACCAGCGTCGCCCTCCACTTCTTCCTCTTAGGCGTCTCGCTCTCTACTATTCTGTTCCCCTCTATCTTCACCCCGGCCTATCTCGCAGAGCTGCATCCGTCCGCCGCCTTCGTGCCCCCGTTGGTCTTGCCCCCCGCTACCACCCCCGGCGGTGGGGTCAAAGGGTTCCTGATGTGGGATGAGTTGTTCGCCTATCTAGTGGTGCTGGTGGTGGTTGCCCTCGAGCTGCAGGGAGCCTGGTCTACCATCCAGCCGCGCGGTGGAGCGTTACAGTAGTCGTGATTCCTCCCCGCTGCGTTTGGGTCCTCTCTCCTGCTTGGACCGGGGACGACATGTTTGCTAATTAGTTGGTTGCGGGATGAGATTCTGTTTGGTGGGTGTGTTGACAGGAAAAAGGGGAAGAGGGCTGCGGAGTAGATCTGTCTTCTTCAGGTTTGCTGGTTCTCTAGTCGCTGATGGGGATTAGACTTGTAGAACGTTGGTCGATTAGCAGTTAAGGGTTATCGCACGAAGCTGACCCTGTTGTTGACCGTTGCGCGCGGCCAAGGGACAGAACTGACTTGGAACGGTCAACGCACGCGCGCGCGCGCGAGAGAGAAAGAGAGAGATGTAGGCTGAGGACTAGGTAACTAGGCTTGGTTTCCGCTATCCTGGCTTTCTGTTTTTGCTGCTGCCGTGGCGAAATTGGCCCTGAGAGTGATTGGGACCGCACACGTGAGGTACCCCCAGTCCCGGCCTGTGGGGTAATCCCGGAGTCAATCCTTGATCTGAAAGCATTTTAAAAAGAAGTGCAAAGCGCAGACGCTCATACGACTAATCTTTATGATGCAAGAAAACGCTTGTCCATTAGACTTGACTCAGCCAACAGTCAAAGGCCGGGGCATGTTGACGTGGATCTTGGGCCCGGGCCTACCGCAATGATACCCGCCGCACTGGGAATTTGGGGGCTCGTGCACCAAAGTGCACCAAATGACGGGCACGCTGGCGAGACTAATAATGTAGTCGTGTACTGGGTCACGTGACCAGCAAGTGTTAGCTCAGACGAGCGCTCAGGGTGACGGTCACTTTTTCTGGAGTTTGCTCCCGGAGCAGTCCGGGATCGCTCAGGGATTTGCTCAGGACACGCACTTTTGTGCTCATCCCACACTCCGGGCTGTTCAGTGAGCAAAAAGCAGTGTCAATTCGGGCCTAAAACGGAAGGGCAAGTGACTTAAATTCTGCAGAGATCCAGTTGAGTAGCCGACAGACAGAACCTGAATCAAGCTGGTGAACCATTGCGATCGCCTGCCTTATCTGTGCCAATTTATATGATAGACATCATTCTCTAGAAGTATCAATGAGAGTCAGCCAACCCTGTTACAGCATCGGTATGATACCAGACACATACATAAGAGTACATGAAGCTATGGCCTCATGCACGCACTAGTCAAGGGTGCAGAGTCTCAGACTATTCTTGTGGTCCAGGATTTAATATAAACAGTACCCGACTGCTTGGTCGCCCGCAGACTTGCCTTCTCTCGGACACAAAAGCCTTCATCTCGCCCATTCAGGCCGTAGTTATGGGTCTGGCCAGACTCCTCCCCGGAGTAAGCCACTTGAATGTTCGGCACCCTTGCAGTCCGATATACTGGAGACAATACAGGGTAATCGATGAAATTGGAATAGGAGCAATCATCCTCCCCCCTCCCCCCAGCCCCCCCTGAGATCCAGCCGGGCCCATGAAGTTCCAATGACTGCTTGAAGTCAGTTTAATCTAGCTCAGGCGAATTGTATGCAGCGTTCTTCCAACCCGAGAATTGAGCCATCCTCCTCTATATATGCCGCATAGGTCTAGACGACTTCCCGTCCGCCTGCAGACGAATCTTGCGTACAAGACCTTCGAAGCGAGGAATCTCAAATGAAACTGGTTAACATCGACCCTCAATCGCTGTGGTTATTCCGACAGCTCTTTTTTCCGTAAGTAAAAGGAAAGTTGGTGGTGCACGCACGTCCTGCCATTGAAGTGATTGACGTCCGGGCACTGGAGGCGGAAGCGACCATGACGAAATAATGTTCCGAGCTTGGGAGGAAGCTGGGCTGCCACCACTGACTGCACCAGTTAGCTCAGGAACAACCTTCCAACTTACCGTCAACTACCTCCCCAGCTCATCCATCCCCCTTTTCCCAAACAACAAACTCTGAATTGCAACTCTGTTCCAGGGACAGTGGCAAATTCGAAACCCTTTTAGTCTTCTCCCCGATACATCCTCGACTAACTCATCACCCAATTCGCCAATCACAATGTTCGCTGCTCGCCGTTTCACCGCTGGCGTTCCTCGCGTCCTGTCGCAAAAGGCGCTCTTCCACCGCACCGCACCGGCCTTCGTTCAGAAGGGCGACTCCATTCCGGACCTTGATGTTCTGGTCGAGAACTCTCCTGGAAACAAGGTCAACCTCGCCAAGGAGCTGAAGGGCAATGGAATCATCATTGGCGTTCCCGCTGCTTTCAGTATGTGCCATTCCCGGTTTTGCGCCCGAACCTTGACAGCCACGCATGGCTTCTTTTGGCTTCATCTTTCAGCCTTCGTACCAAATTGAGTTCGGAGCTAGTCTGCAAGATAGAGGACAGTACTGACCGTGCTGTTATAGGCCCCGCTTGCTCCAGCACCCACGTGCCCGGCTACATCAAGCACCCCAAGCTGAAGGAAGCTGGCCAGGTGTTTGTCGTTGCAGTCAATGATCCTTTCGTGTAAGCTGTTTGAGGCTCAGGCGGCAGGAGTTTCTGGGGTGCAATCTGGATTAATTCGCGCATAGGACCAAGGCCTGGGGCGAGTCCCTCGATGCCTCCGGCAAGAGCGGCGTAAGTTCCCACTATTGATCCCACACCCAAGATCTCGACAGACGCACTAACTCTGAGCGGCAGATCCGCTTCCTCGGTGACCCTACTGGCAAGTTCTCCGAAACGATGGATGTTACCTTCGACAGCGCCGCCATCTTCGGAAACAACCGCAGCAAGCGCTACGCGCTGGTCGTCGAGAACGGTAAGGTCAAGGAGGCTTTCGTGGAGCCCGACAACATCGGCGTCAACGGTATGTCTACACCAGACTTCCACTCGCGACTCAACCGTATCTAACGCGATTTGTACAGTCTCCGCTGCCGAGAAGGTGTTGGGTTAAGCGAATTGAATGGCTTGGCGTCGCAATGCTGTTTTAACTATAGAAATCTTGTCATACATGCAGAAAGCGTATGATATTTATTCATTCATATATTCTTTCTTCGCAACCATAGCATTACTTTAGACATGGACTGGCAGTGCAAAGCCTTGCACATGGAACAACCCTCTTGAACGCCTCGGATTATGCTGTTGGCTCTTGGACAAGCATACCCTTGTGACGAGCAAATCAATAACCCAGAATATATTTCCATTTTCGCCGATGATAGTCCGTAGTCGGCTTTCCCACGCATAGCACCCCATCAGGAACAAACCCCCTCAACCCTGGTGCAGCGCCTGCCACTGCTCGGGGGTGTAGCACTTGGGCGTCCAAGCATGAATGGCGGCGATCTCGGCCTTGAGGACCGAGTTCACCAGCCGGTGCCGAGCCAGCATGTTCTTCTTCTCGAACTGGGGCGATACAATCACGGCCTGGAAAGCCGATCCACAACCGCCTAATAAATAAAAAAAACCAGTCATTAGCAATCCGAGACCCAATTCTGAATGATCGATACAGTAGCCCGCGATGACAGCCAGTAAGGAGGAGAGGGGCCACGGATTAATCAGCCACGGATTTGAAGAACATACCCGACAAATCCTCAATCTCAACATGTTGCGCCTGGAGTTGGTCGAATAGCTTGCTCTTCAGCAGATCTGCGGTGACGCCGGAACTCATATCGGCCATGGCTGCGTTCACGGCCGTGAAGGAGCGAGCGGAGAAGGAAAAAGTCGAATTCGGAAGGCCGGAGGGCGTGCGGAGAAGGTAGCGGCAACTTCTGCTCAACAAGGGGAGGGTCGTGCGGGAGTACATCAAGCGTGGTGAGGGGGGACCTGGGGAGAGAGGTAGAGAGAAAGTTGTATTATTAGGTAGTGTCTATGAAGCCGGGTTGTTTTCCCAGAGGTGAGGATGGATGGGACGGATGAATAGATGGGCTCCAGTCTCGCGGGCGGTGATGATGCTTCTTCCGATGTAGGATGGATGACGGAATCTCTTACTTACTTTCTCTCTCGTTAGTTACTTACCGTAAGTTACCTACTGTCAATACATATTGGTCAGCGAACGGGGAGTTGGTGTGGCTGGTGGGATGAGCTAGTCTGTGTTAAGGCTAGTGCCAGTGCGGTTGTGGCGCCAGCTTCATCCTCGGCTTTGCTGTGTTCGAGACAAACTTCCTATGCTCAACTAGGTAGATAGCGTTATCAGATTGGAAAAGTCGCCAAGATCGCCATTTCGTGCTTTCGTCAAATTGCTATCTGCTCTAGCTACTACAGACATTGAAACCGAGTCTCACAGTGTCTATGACCCTCCTGTTGCGGCGATCAAATCGTCTCTATTCCACAATGGCTGCGTCTCTGAACCCCGCCTCGTCGCCGTTCACTCAGGCTGTGGTGAGCTCTATGAGGACGCTGTACGCAACCAAGTCCCAGCATCAATCGGCTCACTCTTCACTGACACAATTACTGTTTCTAGCTACCCTGAGTCACTGGCCGAGAAGAGCTGGGATAACACCGGCCGTGAGCTCTTCCCTCTTTCTCCACACGCCCTCACTCACTAACCGACTGCCCCAGTCCTCCTGGAAGCTCCCTTCAACGCATCGCGCCGCCAGAAGAATTCGGTACTTCTCGCAATTGACCTCACGAAAGCCGTCGCAGACGAGGCGATTGCGCGCCGAGACTCCATCGTCGTAGCCTACCGTACGCCGCCACCACCTCCTTAGATATCCGTGTATCTCACTAACCCTCACTAGACCCCATCATCTTCCGCGGCCTCAAGTCCCTCACATTCAACGACCCGCAACAGCAGACCCTCCTCCGGCTCGCGCAAGAAGGCATCAGCGTATACTCGCCGCACACGGCGATCGACGCCACGCCCGGCGGGATGGCCGACTGGCTCTGCGACATCGTGACGGGCGCCATTACCCCACTGACCACAACCAAACCCAGCACAGGCATCGAGCAATCCTCCTCCGCAAGCTACTCGCAACCCACGTACCCGGCACCGCAACCCTCCAAACCCAGCACCACCGACAGCGTCCCCAACCACACCCGCCAAACCATCATCCCGTCCCCGCCGCCGCTCCCCGATGGAATGGACACCGCCGGCATGGGCCGCCTCGTGACCTTCGCCGACGCCCAGCCGCTTACAGCGATTATCGACCGCATCGCCCAGGGCGTCGGCTTCCCCGGTGGAATCCCCATCGCCATCCCGCAGGGTGCCTCCGTGGACAGTCTCCACATCCGCACGGTGGGCGTGTGCCCCGGCTCCGGGTCTGGCGTGCTGATGAAGGGCGCCAAGCTCCCTGACCTGCTATTTACCGGTGAGCTGAGTCACCACGAGGCGCTGGCGGCTATCGAGCGCGGCTCCGTGGTCGTTGCGCTTGCGCACTCGAACACCGAGCGCGGGTATCTGCGGGCTGTGATGCGCGAGAAGTTGGCGAAGGAGGTCGAGGCGGTGTGGGCGGACCAGCGTCGTAGTTGTGCTGCTGCTGATGAAGTCGAAGGGTGGAAAGAGGTGCTGGGTGATGCCTCGTGTGAGGTGGCGGTTAGCGAGAAGGATCGCGATCCGTATGGGATTATGGTGAGACGGGTTTAGACCTTCGTCTTTATACTACTAGGAGGCGACCTGTGTGGATATACCCATACTTAAAAGGTACTTAGCCCGGTTGGGAAAAAAAGAAATATGCGCATGAGCAAGCTTAAAATACATCTACACTCTTAATGCATACTACGTTTATAAATACGTATACATTTTTATACAAAACCCACACTAGGACATCATGAAATCATGACAAGAGCCTAACTCAACAACACCCGAATCTCCCCCGTAGTCCGAGGGAACAACTTCCTCAACCCCCATTCTGTCTCGCCCTTTTCCTCGTCCGCCTCTCCATCCCTGTCACCACCATCACCATCATCATGGTGTTCCGATACAACCCCCCCATCACTACCCCGCCGAACGACGCTCCTCCGCGCCTCATCCGCCCCGATAATCATCCCCTCCACGAACTCAAAGTCCCGGCAGAACGCCTCGACCGCCTCCTCAGTGACACTTTTCACGAACGTGGCGCTCTGCACGCGCTTCAGATGGTCCGTTGCGTCCATCAGGGCCGAGGGGAGGAAGTCGTCGAGCTGTTGGCTTGTGCGAATGAGGGCCTCGGGCTGGAAGGCTGGGAGGGCGGTGATGTCTGCGATGTCGGATAACTGGGGTTTTTGTAGAGTAGGGTTGTCATTGTTGGAGGGGGATTTGGGGGGGGCGGACGGGGAGAACGGTCCTAGAGCTGTGAGGAGGGTTTGCAGGCCTGATTCGGTGAGGAGGTATTGGTGTTGGATGGATAGGAGGTCCATGCGGAGGGTGGAGAGGGCTGATGATAGTGCCGGCAGGTGGGTTGCGCTGGCGAAGGGGTAGGGGGTTAGGGCGGCGCGGGTTGCAAGGTGGATGTTCGTGAGGTAGATGGTTTGCGGGGTCGGAGGTAGGTCCTGGGCTGTGGATTTGGCGAGGTCCAGGAATGGGTCTAGTGCGCAGCGGAGGACCGGGGTGAATCTGTTAGGCTTCGGGTCTTGGGCGCCGTTGCTGTCGTTGTAGGGGGTGGGGGGTTGTTCCTCGGCGCCGAAGGAGATGTCGTGCGATTTCATGAGGAGGGTGAGCGATTCGAGGGCATCCTGCAAAAATTGCGGTGGGGAGAGATCGTTGGGCGGGGCGAGGGCCGAGTGGTCGCTTGAGAGGCTGTTGACTTCTTCTTGCATGAGGGTTTCGAAGTGGCGGAAGGTGAACTTCTCTAGCGTTTCGAGGAGCTCGGCCAGACTGGATTGGGATCCGAGGAGTTTAGCGAAGGTGGAGCGGTAGAATGACAACAGGTTGACCACCTTGTAGCATGTGACAGGGTCGTCGTGGCCTTGGACAACGAGCTCGACGCGCTGGCGGAGCGCCCGTGAGACGCCGACAAGGTCACGGTTGACGAGATCGCTGAGGGCCTTCTGTCCGTCGAAGGTGACTTCTTGGTCTTCGTCGATACGTGACCAGGGCTCGCTGCTCAGGCCGGCCTGGATGCCCTTGGCGAGCTCTTCGCCATCATCGACGAACAAAGACTCGAGGGCTTCCCGCTCCGAGACGGTCGTCGAGTGCACCCAGGCCAACATATCTCCAATGTATCGCAGAGGGTCATGAGCGGAGAACTCGATGGGTTTCACCTGGCGGTCGCCTCCACCTCCAGCAACCGCATCCGTAAGAGCATAATGGAAGGCATCGGAGAGAACATAATCGCGAGCTTCGGCGAAGAAATCCAAGCAGCTATGGAACAAGCTGGGTCGCTCCGCCAGCACGCGCAGGACGCGCCGGATAGAGCTGCTGATGCGAGAGTCTTCCAGGTTCAAAGACCGAAACTCTTTCTGAATCCAACGGTAGAGTTTCTGATAGGCGGAGTTCAGGCTCCTAGTGCTCTTCTCCATGAGCTCCAGACCCAGCCGCTCGTTCTCCCCGCCCAGCAGCACTTCACAGTCCCGGTGTACCTGCTTCACGCGGGCAAGGACTTCAAAAAAGTGGTCATCAATGGGCTCCTCGACAGCTGTCAGCACCAGCAATTCCTCTTCCGGGACAATAAAGTGTTGTGTGAACGCATTCAGCAGCTGTTGTTTGGTCTCCGCCTCGGTCCTTTGCCTCATCAACGCGGACGCTTCTTCGAGAACGGGCGTTGTGTCCTGCTTGGCGAGGACGATGTGTTTGCGCATCTCCTCGCATGTTTGATTAAGATTTGTGATGACCGTCCCGATCCGCTTCAGTTGCTGTGTGTTTTTGGGTGTCAGTATCTCTGCCATGCGAGCCCAGGCCCCTTCGGGGGCTATCTTACCTCCGCAACCTTCCCGAAGTCGCGCACAATCTCCGCATTACAATCGACGACCTCTTTTTGCACATCCAGACGAAGCTGCCGTCGAACTTCTGCGGTATTGTGGATGCCCCGGAGACTGAGAGTCTCTAGAGCATCGCGAATGTCCGAATCCGCGTACGATGCGGAAAGTACACTTGTCAATCGGTTGGACAAGGCATTGGATCGCTGCTGATTCGGCGGAGAGAGCGGGGACGAAGCTGGAGAAGACATCCTTGTTGACGATGCATGGCTTGCAAGATGTGCGTTAGGCGGGAAGTAGCTGGCCATTCTGACTCAATTGCTGTGCCTGAACAGGTGTGTAGGTATTGCTGCCCTGGGGTTGCGGAGTATCGCAATGGAAGCGGAGAAATGCCCGCGGGCGGAAAGGAGCGCGTGCTTACGTCAGGCGTATTCAGGAACCAGAATCCACCCCGCGCAAGAGCTACAAAGACATAGTCACAAGCGCATCAGTGCTTTGAGTAAAGGGGTACTAGATTCCAGTCATTCTTTGTCGACATCCTCAATCAATACACGGAGTCCTCTGGGACAACACCTATCACACTTTGTTGCGACCACCTCCATGGATAACGCTCTCCTCTCCCCTGCCAAGGCACGACAGGCTGCCATTCAAGCCAAGGATTGGGCCTACGTGAACTCCTGGCTAAGTCGGCAGTATGCGCCCAATCCAGTGCCCAGATTTGAACGGAACGACGACACTCTCCGGACCCTGCTTGCATTGGCTGCCGCCAACGACTCGGCAGATGAGGAGGCAACGCTACTCCATGATGCACGCGAGGAAGCGGTTCGGGCATTCAAAGCCTGGGAACAGGACCAGGACAAGCAGAAACTCGAGATCCTGGACGAGATAGAGCTCTCGCTCGATGGGAGTGGCAAGCAGAATCTTGATGATTTGGCGGAAACGACTGCAGTACTGGGAGCAGTGAGCACCGACGCAGTAGACCTCGGCCAGTCGATCATGGACCTCACGACGGAGGAGTTCGACGTGCAGCAGCAGATGTCTAAAGTAGAAGCGCTACAGAACTATCTCGAGAAGGAGCTTACTACTCTGCGGGCACAATTGGATGATCTCAAGACTAATGAAGCGTTTGAGATCCCCCCGGATCTTCCACCATTGACGGCCGAGTGGACGAGGAATACCAAGTTACTTAATGCAAAGGCTAGGGAGTATCAGGACAAGATCGCTTCTTTAAAGAGAAGCAGAAGCAAGGAACCACGGCTGGAAGATGTCATAGCCAAGGAGGCGGCTGTGATCAAGCTCATCAAAGCAGTCGAAAGCCTAGAGACCAAAGTCGCTATGTTCCAGGATCTGCCGAATGATGTATCAGGAGCTCGGGCAAAGTGCAAAGAATTAGAGCGAGAACTTAAGGAGCTCACTCCGTAACAATATGTTCTAGCCGATGAATGAAGAGATGATGGATACTGTCTAATTCTACGACAAATGCACATATTTCTGTTTAAGCAAGTAGATGAATTAAACCTAGTGAAAGTAATACAATCAAAGGCTTGGTTGGTATCGTCAACTCATGAAAATCATAAGAACAATCTGCCCAGAGTCGCCAGCTATCCTCCTTCGGACACCAGAAGTTATTCACATGATGGAAACCGAAAGTCCGCCGCTAACCCATGATACAGTTGTGTTCGGGATATGCGAGCCTGGCTTAGTTGTTGCCGAGGCCGACGGCGTTCTTGATCTTGTCACCACTGCACAACTGTTAGTATTTGTCGACCAAGTTCACCTCGGGATGAGGGATACTAACATGGACTCGGAAGAACCGCCGTGAACGGTGTTGTCGTGGGAGCGCTGAGTCTTGTCGAAAGCCTCCTGAGTGGTGGACTTGGAGTTGTCAGACTGAGTGCCGCGGGCAAGGCGATCAGTGGTGTCGGTGAAGGTCTCCTTGACCTTGTCCTGGGTGGACTTAGAGGAGTCAGGAGTCATCTCCTCCTTGGCCTCTGCAGGTACATGTGAGTTGTCAAGTTCGCAGCGAGGGGCAACGAGGGGCAGCGAGGGGCACAAGTGGGAATCACTTACTGGTAGAGAAATCCTTGCGACCGGTGTCAGACATGTTGATTGATTTGTGTTTGAACGAAGAGGTTGTTCTTGAAAAAGTTTGCTGTAGGTTGAAAGCTTTGTAGAGTGATTGAGTTTGTTGGATGATGGAGGAAAGATGGATGAAGAGGCTGATGAAGAGGGCTTTATATAACCTGTGAAACCCATTCATCCTCCTCGATGACGTCGTTTGCTTTATCGTTCATATTCACAATCACACGCCATCTGGACCATCTGTTTCGTATTCAGGGGCGTTTCCATGGAAGAGATACCAGCAAATGAACGTCATCATGAGGGGATTACCCCGGTCCCAATCATGGGGGCCAGATCGAGCTGATCGTCATAGTGGATGAGAATTTTGGGTCCATACCGAGGCAGTGAAGGCCGTGAGGGTCGCCGCAGTGGTGAAGGTCGTCAAGCCACGGCCGAGAATCAGGGAATCTTCCATTAGCAACGAGTCCAGATCCGATCTCTGGATCATGACGTCGTCATGACTGCACCCCAGATTTCCGAATGCGGCTTAGGCTCTGTGCTACCGCCAAGCCCATCGGATTATTGTTTTAGCGTGAGCCGTTTATCCGCTATACCTTCTCTGTACTAGCCTCTCTATGCTCTGAGAATAGTAAGCGGTATAAAGTGACAGAAAAGTGACAGTTGTTCACCGCCACCCGATGACTCCGCCTCCCGTTCGAGCCTGAGCCGCCCATGCCTGACCAACGCTCTCTCTCTCCCTCTGCATCCGACTCATCCTCATTCCTCCTTCTCTTTCTCTCTTCCTCCTTCTTGCTTTCCATGCTAACGTTCTCTATACGGGTCTTCTGACCAACATGTGGATTTTCTGCATCTGGATGCTTTCAACTTCTCTTGCAGACTCGTTCTCATAATCCTTTGATTCGTGTGGTTTCTTCAGTCAGTCTTTGTTATCATTTCTCATCGATATTGACAACCCCGCCCTTATCTGTCTCGGGCACCTATTGTTGAAGTGTCATTGCTCCACAACTCTATTGTTTTTCCATCGCCAAATCTTTCAATGCCATCTTCTGCCGAGTCAACTTCGAACTGGGATTTCACTCCGGTGATAAACCTTCTCCGCACGCCTACCTACGGCAGCGGCAGCTCATTTCTCCCTTATCGCCACCGTGATTCTCCCCCTGCTTCTCTGCCCTCTTCGGTAGTCAACCAGGATGATTTCACTCCAACAAGTATTGAACAAAGCCAACTGAGCCAGGGACGTCGTTCTCCCAGACTTGGCGACTTTGGCTCACTGTGGGAGCTCTTAGGGGGTACTGGCGACTTGTCTTCCAGTACCGACTTCGAGCCTCAAGATGCTCAGGAGAGTTCATCCTCGCCACCGACCACCAAAGTCGAAATACTTCAGCGTCCGGCTTCCAAGAACCTCTTGAACGATACCGATCAAGCACCTCCTCCGACATCACCCAAACCCATCCCTGGCTCTGGGAACCGAAGAGCCCGCAAGGTGCAGGCCGAGGTTGCAGCTGAAATAAGCAAGGCCAACTCCTACGATGCATCAACTAAAGTCACGCACGACCTCAGCTCATGTGAGAGCAACGTGGGTGCGGAATCCGACGGCTGTCTAAGTGTCTTTGATCCTCCTCTCACCACCAAGAAAGGCATCCTCTCTTTGGTTCCCCCACAAGTGGGTGCAGCGAGTGCTTTTGTCGATCCATACGACACCCCGCCATCTTCTTACGACGAGCCGGTGGAGCCTTTAGCTTCGAAAGTTGTCAGGTGCCCGCCTAACTCGGACCCTCTACGTGTCCAGCCTCTTACCTACAAGTCTACCACGGAACGACGACTTGGTCTCCTGACCAAGCTGTTGAAAAATTTCCCAGATTACGCAAACATCATCGCTCAAGCGAATCGGCCTGCGGCCACAAATAAGGACAAATTTCCAAGCCCTCCCATTCACGTCTTCGTGGATATGTCTAATGTAAGCATCTCGTTCCGTCACTGCACGAATTGCGTCGCTAACGCGCTTTAGATTATGGTCGGGTACCACGACACCATGAAGCTATCTCGAAATATTCCTGTGAAGACGCGGATTCGGCGCTTGCCATTGTCTTTTCAAAATTTCTCTTTGATTCTCGAACGTGGCCGGCCCACTGCCAAGCGAGTCCTGGTAGGGTCAGATCGGTTCGCAGCCATCCGTGAAGGCGAACAGCTTGGCTACGAAACGAACATTCTTGATCGTGTGCACAAGGTCAAACATATGACTTCCCGTCAACTGAAGTTTCGAAAGAATCTTCGGGCGGGCAACCACGACTCCGGTAGCGGTTCAGAAACGAACGAGGGACCGGGGGTGCGGTGGGTTGAGCAGGGTGTGGACGAAATTCTACATCTGAAGATCTTGGAAAGTCTGCTGGATACAGACGAACCCGCAACCATTGTCCTGGCCACGGGAGATGCGGCGGAAGCCGAGTTCTCGGGCGGGTTCATGAAGATGGTGGAGAGGGCACTGCGACGCGGGTGGACCGTGGAGCTGGTGAGCTTCACCCAGGTGACTAGCTACGCTTATCGCAGGAAGGACTTCCGTGCGAAATGGGGGGATCAGTTCCGGATAATAGCGTTAGATGACTACGTTGAGGAGCTCCTCGATATGTGATAATGCTTTTGGACCCTAGTCATGTATTCTTGCCATGCTGCAACCGTAGCTTGTAATTGAGATCAAGTGAGAGGATACTATCTGCAAATAAGCCTAAGCACCAGTACATGTTATCGCCAGGCCCAACCTCGTAGCAGATACGAACCCCTTTCCCATTGCGACAATCCCAACACATGCAAGCCAAACCTGACGATTCTCAGCACAACCACCTCCTCATCCCAAACAGCCAGCCCAGTCCGCGCATCGTCGTCTTCGCAGGCGCCGGCATCTCAGGTGTGAAGGGGGCGGTTCCGGTGAGGGAGACACGGCTTGAGATGGAGGGGTGCGTAGGAGAGTCTGCAGACGTTGGTTGAAAGAATGCGAGGTATACGATTCAGCAACTGATAGAAGTTTGCTTCAGGGAGTCATCAACGCATGTTGAAGAGTCACTGGAGAAGAAGTCGACGAATATCCTCGGAAGGAATCCGTCGTCTACTCAGGTCATTGCTATATCAATAGTGTGCAGCCATTGCACGCTCGAGGGCATTTATGATTCGCTTGCTGTTCCCAATAGTATATATAGTCCAGCCTGCACACCGAGACTCTTATAACATTCTGCAACGTGATATGTTTCAAACCGAGCATTTTGAGTCATGATATGAGTCCTGAGGTGGTCTAGATTATATACGGTAGTGAGTTATAGGCAGAATGAGTCATAAGGCTGAGCATAATTAGTCATTTATGCAGACCGAGAGACCCCGCAGCCCCGCTATCATGTGAAGTTCTTCCATCAGCTTGAGCAGCATTTTACTTATACAACATCTAACTACAGCGCAATCCATCTCAACAAGACATAAATACCCTCAAATCACCCACGAACCAGCTACTCACTCTCTCGCATACAAAAACTACCCAGTCCCCTTCCTCGCACGCCCAAACCAGACCACAACAAAACAAGACAGAAAAAAACAATGTCAACCTACACAACCCAACCCCTCTACGGCGGCGCCATAAAAGGCCTCATCCCAACAGGCTGGATAGACGCAAGGTATTTCCCCTCCCTCTTCCTTAATACCAGCCCTCACCTCAACCTCTGCTCCAAATTCCCCCCACCTTCAAAGTTAGCTAACAATAAAAAAAAAAGCACCCTCCGCGAAATCCCAGATCACCAAGAACTCTACCTCTCCCCAACAACCCTCTCCTCCCAAATCATCGAACTAAACCAATACGTCCCAAACCCCACCGCACAATCCACCCTCGCCGCCCACCCCTCCCTCCTCCCATCCGTGAGTGATGATTTAGACCAAGAATCCACCGACAAAGCCGCCACCCTCCACCACCTCCTCGACATCCGCGATCCCGCTGACTCGCTCACTATCGTTGCGCCGCCTGTTCGTGTCGCTATGCATGGGTTTTCTGCAAATGTGAGGGCGTATGCGGGGCAAGCTGCTTTTATTTCGGTGCTGGATGCGAGGGCTAGCTTGCGGGGTATCACTTCTGCTTCTGCTTCTGGGGTGGGGGGTGCAGCTGGTGCATCGGGCGTGGGCGGCGGGGTTGCTGTGCCCGGCTCGAGTGGCGAGGGCACGTTGACGACGACGACCAGTTGCTACTTTCTTTTGGTGCGGTTCGAGGAGCAGGGGACGGATCTTCTGGTTTTGGTTAACGTTCCTCAGAAGGAGTTTGAGGAGAGGGCCGATGCGGAGGGGTTGAGGGGGGAAAATGCTCTAGCGGGGGGGTTGATTGAGGGGTTGGTTCGGGAGTTGGAGGTGCTTGAGTGGGGTTTGTTTGAGGGTTAGTTTTGTTCTTTTCATCTATGGGGGATTGGGGATGGGTGTATAGCTGCGTGCTGCGGGAAGGAAGGGAGGACTTGGAGGATTTGGGATGGTTCTCGGGGGGGGGGGGGGGGGGGGGGGGGGGGTGGGGGGGGGGGGGGGGGGGAGGGGGGTGGAATGAAAGCGATGGTGATGGTCTTCATAGGTAGATAAGTTGTTACTGGCTCGGCCGCTTGTATAGATAGATAGATAGATAGATAGATACCTAGTTAGCAATGAATTACAATTAATCAATCGATTATATTACTTAGTGTCCGTCCTTATACCAAGAAGCAATCTTTGTACATACATGTATTGAGCTAGCTGAGCATGCCCAACACCAGGTCGTCGGCAGCTCCTCCCATTCCAAGCTAAGTACACCAAGAAAAAAACCCCCAAAGAATAAATACACCAAATGCTTTGTCGCTCAAAACTGAACAGAGGAAAAAGAAAGCCGTCAAGACTATTATGTTATACCAAAAGCCGCCGGTTCAGCCATCACTCACTTGCGAACTTGAATCACGCATCCAGCGTCGTGACCGCCGCAACCTCGTCCATCACCTTAACCACCTCCGCCAGCAAGCCCTGCGCATTCGGCAACAGCGACAGCGGCTGCTTCTTGCGCGGCGAAACGCTGCGCGGCTTGGGCTTGATCTGCTGCAGCAGGCCGTGGCACTTCCCGCAGCGCGAGCGCACGGGGTTAATGCTCTTGGAGTGGCGGCCGTAGGTCTGTCCGCAGTCGACGCAGCTCCACACGTACTTGTAGTCGATCTTGTAGTTGTGCTTGGTGGAGATCTCGACGCGGCCGCCGCCGTAGACCGGGTGGTCGCGCAGCGCCTCCATGCACCGCCGGCCCCACGCCTTGAAGCTCTCCCCGTGCGGGTTGTCGTGCACGTCCGAGATCATGTAGTTGGCCAGGTGGCAGTACTCGTGCGCCATCGTCTTGATGATGCGGTCCTCGCTGTCGATGATGCGCTCCGCCAGTTCGATCTTCACGTAGTGTTTGGCGGAGGGTGCGACGCTACTCTCTGTGGGGAGGGTGTGGTCGGACTCGCGCGGCCGCTGCTTGCCGGACGTCACTCGCTTCCAGGTGGCGCGGCCGGCGGTGGTTTGGAGCGTCTTGCTCCAGACGATCGAGACGCCGCCGGTCGACGCCGCCAGCTTCTGCACTTGGCCCTTGTTCACGGCATCGTCCAGCGTCGTGAAAAAGTTCTCTGCGAAGGCAGCCTTGGACTCGTCGAAGGCTTGCTTGCGCGCCTTCTCGGCTTTCTTTTTTTCGGTTTCCGCGCGTTTGAGCGCTGTCTTGCTGGGGGGTTTGCGGGTCGGGGTCGCTGGTTGGCTGCCGCGGTTGGCTCCCCGGGGCATGATGTCCACGTCGATGACTTCGGGGTCGGACTCCTCGTCGAACTCGCGGAGGAGGTCTTCGACCTTGCAGGGGGAGTGTTGGGTGACCCAGTCGCTGGTCGCTCCCTCGCTCCAGAAGGCGTCTACGCTCTCGCGGTACGGGGTCGGTGGGATTTGTACCCGGAGTCGGTCTTTGGTAGGGGATCGGAGGCGTCCCTTGGAGGGACTCGATGGCGGCGTCGAGGTTGTTGTGGTCGTCCCCGTTGCCAATGTAGAGCTTCTGTTGGCCGGCGATCTCTTGGTCGGAGAATCATCGTATTGGGCGGAACTGGGGTGGGTATATCAGCATAAGAATCGGGGGTTGTCGCCAAAGCGACAGGGAGTGAATGGGGATTTATGGTACTTACGTGAATAGATCCTGTTGGAGTTGCGCGGCTGATCCATTGTTCTCCAGGCGTAGATGGTTCAACTTCTCGGTGAGGTTGATCTCATCCTGAAAGAGACGTCTGGGTTTGGCCTCCAGCTTTGGAGCAGCCAGTGTCAACGTCGCTGGCAGCGTGGGTTCCAGGCTCAGGCTCACTTCATTGTCAGAACCCGGCGTGGATGCCTCTTCTTGCAGGTCTTTTTTTAATTCTCTTTCAGCTTGGGTTGGTCGTCGACCCCTGAACAATCTCTTTCTTGTTATTGTTCGAGGTGGAGAGGGCGTGGGCTGCGGTGGTTTGTTTACTTCGGCATCTGTTTCATTCTCAGATGAGTCGTGGAAACTGAGGTCTTCATTGTCGCTGACAATGAAATCATCCATTGAGTCGGCGTCATTGTCTCCCTCGCTTTCTTCGTCTGCAGACCCGGGTTCCGACCGGCGATAGCCCGGGAACACACGGCGGTTATTCGACATTACCCTCGCTGGAGTCGGCCGGGTATCAGTTTGCCTGCGCGTCGAAGATCGAGCCGACGATGCATCCGAAGGGTTCCTCGAAAGCGAGGGGCCGTTGCGATCCTCCGGCTCATGCTCGTGTTCGATGGGGTCATTCTCCTTGTCGTAGTTGTACGTCTCCGGCTTCCTTGTTGACCTGCTACGGCGAGGCGAAGGCGGCGGCGGCTGCGACAATGGGGCAGACAAAGAGTTAATCTGCGACAGTCTCAAAGGGTCCGTTGTCCGGGTTTCGCACAAAGACCGAGTCGAGGACCGAGCGCTGCTGCACTCGGTTTCACTGAACCCGCCATCGCTGTCCGAAAAGATGTCGAAGGCGCCGCTCGAGACGGTCTCGGTTCTTTGGAGTCGGACTCTCCGTTGTTGGGGTCTTTCAGTTGTGGATGTGGTCGTTGTCGCGCGGTCACTCTTTGTTGACCCGTTCCGTGCGGTGACAGTCCATTGTCGCTGCTGGTGATCATCCTCTGCCTCTGACGCGGACGAGGTCGTGTATTGGGACACCTCGCGGACGACCGTCCTGGTGATGGGCTTGGCCTGGGGCCGGAATAGAGCGGGCTTGATGGGGCTGTTAGGGTTGAGTCGGGCCATTGTGTGAAGCTATCGGATCTGTTAACTGTAGGTACCAGTTGCTTTGCAGTGCAGCAGCAGCCCCCACACTCCGCGTTGTTGATGGGCCCCGTGGCGATCTGAGGTGTCATACAGTACCTGCCGTGGCGTGGCAGTCGTCGGTCGGTCGGTCGGTGAGTTGTCGGTCTTCTTCGCACGCTTTATCTGCGAGAGGCTGGATCACTGGAGACGGCTATGGACCGGCGGTGGGAGTTTGGAGAGTGGTTGGCACAGCAACGCGGGTCGGGCAAGATCCCGGCGACAAAGAAACCAAGGCACTGGCCGGTAAGGTTCTTGGTGGTGGATTTTGGGGCTGGGGTTGGCCCATCCGATGCCCCATGGGCGTACACCGCTTGATGTCTCAGTGTCTATGATGGCATCATCGCTTGGAGGATCGGTCATAGCAAGAAAAAAAGAGACATCATCAGAATACAAAAAGATTAACGGCCCGAGCCGCGGATCGAACGCGGGACCTCTCGCAGATATGCTTGGGTTTGTATCCCTAAGCGAGAATCATACCACTAGACCACCCGGGCTTGTTATGCTTGGAGGCGCCGTATTTAAATATATCTCCCTTTTTTGATATTCTGGAGCAAATGCCCGTATTCACTGGTTGTCGTGGGGTTGGTATACTGACAGGTGTTCAGAACACTAACTAGCCATGTTGTTACTAACCTACCCTGACTGTACCGCTATGAATATATCAAGTCTCTGCTAACTAGCATTTGCCAACCGTACAATTGACGATGCGTAGATTGATGTTTCCCTACGACATAGATGGGTGTTTCTTGCCGGATATATACTTACACACCGCAGCTGGTGCTTCTGGGGAATACTTGGTTTCATCATGTATGGACAACGACCACGAAAAGTTCAAAGACCAGCACCCAATAATGCCGATTAGCGCTCTCAGGAGATACCAGTACAGAGACAAGCCCCCCTGCACCGCCATTGACACCCAAATACACGAGAGTTCCGACCCCAATGCTGACGGCACCGAAAACCCCGCACTATATATGAACGAGTGCGCCTCCGAGGTCTGACCTGTATCACGGATGACAGCATCGGGCACAGAGTATGATCACAGGCGAGAGGGAGAGCATGTTCAGATGTGCACGAACCCCCATTACAGCCGGTAAGCGCCCCAATCCTGCCGTGCCTGAGTCTTGGCCAGCGGCTACAAAATGGGCAGATAGCGAGGTGCAAGACATGGAAGTGGGCATGGGCGAGACTCGGGCGGGCAATACAAAAAGCTGACACCCGAGCGGCAGACCATATACGCATACCGAGAGCAACATGGAGTCACAGTAGCTGATGGATAGAACAGACGCGGCCAGCTCTGCGGCGTGGATGGATATATCGATGTATGGCAGCAGACCAGCGGGACCACCACCTCCTAAGATCTACGATATCAGGGAGGACCCGGCTACGGGGGAATCCAGTATAGGCCATGGGACCATAGCCGGCAACATATCAACCGAGACGGCTGAGATCGACCTAAGAAGCTCCACAAGGAGAGCAAGCCCAAAGCCGCCGTGCAATATGCAAGAACCACAAGGACCAGGGGCTCATACACAGCAACTTAACCGACATGAAGAGCCCGCAAAGGTAGCTCTTCCACAACGTCAGTGGCTACCAGCCATCAAAACGATCAGACGACCGCGGGACAGTCACGATGCAGCCACTGAGACATTCGTTCCCAACAAGGAATAACCGCAGATCCTGGAGGGAACCAGGAGTGGGAGAGCTAGAGAGCTTATTTTATCGTCCGCACTGGACTGGAGGCATAATTGTTCTCCAAGTTCGTGCTACAATGTCGGACGGGAAAGCATTGCCCATACCCAATCGGACACCCATACAGCTAGACCCCAGCGACGCCATCAAACGAACCCGCCTGAGTAGGTAGTAGGATCTCAGCTTTGTCCCACGAAATTTCATAACGGTCCCACGCGCGCGCCAATGACCACCAAACTGCGATACCGAGCGCGGAAAGGCCACCGCGAAAGGTGCGCAACATGAGAGGAGGTAAGAGATAGAACAGTCGCACATCGACGGAGATGGACTACGGTCAATCGCAGCAGTGGTCGCATTCGGATCGTCCTGGTACACAGGACTATATCGGCCCATGAAATCTATTTCAACCTGGTTGTCATACTTGTAGATGGTGGTCCCAGCTCAAAGGGATAGCATCCCCAGACAGCACCGCGCCGCAGTCGATGTGGCAAAGTCATCCATAATGACCGGTAGAAGATGCCGATGCGACATCCTCTAGGGTTGAATCACCATGCGACGATCCTTTCTTTTCCCGTCAGTGGAACTGTCCTAGCCGGCAGCGCACTCACCACCTTGAATGGAGTCTGGAGTATCGGAAATCTCAAACTAGTCGCGTCGCGAGCCGGTTCGCACAGATGATCATCGCACCTTAAACCAAAAGACCAACAGAGAATGGCTATTATACTTGAAAGATGCACGACTGATCCGAACAGAACCCCGTACCGCACTTTGTTGGCGGGTAACCTATCCATTGCATATGTGGCGTCGCGTTGTCGAAAACGGTCACCATGGGAGTTACAGGAGCACCTGGCACAGAGGTCTGTCTGCTTCGTAAGCGTGTCGCCGTGTGTACGAAACCAGGTGAACAGCTAACTAATCATTTTCCGAATCGTCGAGGATAGGTTTGTCAGCGTTGTACGTGGCGAGACCAGTGAACTAAATGAAATAACGAATCATTAGGGAATAGGGAAGTGATAGCGTGACGGGGCGGGGGAAGTCAATCAGGCGAGATGAAACCTGAAACATGGCCCCCCTTTTTTACTCCCATCCATCCTTCGACCGGGCCGGACCACACAATCAAGTTCTCAATCAACTTCGTCGCGGATATTGCCACCCGCTTTGTAGTCCCATCCGATTGGTGTTCGGCTACATCTCATGCTCCATTTGCCCACAGCCACTTCTGCATCTAGTGCCCTGTCGTGTCTGGACATTGGCCCATTCAATCGCTGTTGAAACCTGCTCCCTGCTAGGTAAGTGTCCTGAATACTATGAACACCCCACAACCGAATGAAGCAGGGCTTTAGGATGGGATTGGGATTACTGCTTGCGGTCGCATATCCCGCAAACTAGTACGGAGTCGTTGGAGGGGTGAAATTATTGGGGGAGGGGAAAGGGGCATTGACGAGGTGACCATGGTGGGTGAGATAGAGCCCCCCCTCCGCTCATCAGGGGTGGTTTTGGGGGAAAGGGTTCATCTGATGCCATTGAACTGATGTTGATCCTGCTAGGAGGGGACGTCTTATCATCTACTTATAGAGTCGCATGACAGACACTCAAGAACGACCCTGCAACTTGGGTTGCTGTCTTGCCCTGTCCTGTAGGTTCCTGATCTGCTGCAAGGGCAAGGAAGATATAAATGGAACGGGCAGACTTCCATCTATCTTGCATATCACCCCCCCCGGGCAGCTGCCAAACAGCTGGCGGACCATCCCACCCGGCTAGTATTGCGCTATAGTATTCTCTTGAGGTTCTAGGTCCAGTGAACCCTTTATTTTAATCTATGCGATGAAGATCACTATACTGCTAGAGGGCTAACTATCAAGAAGGGAGAACCGTAACCAGCAACTATTTTTTTTTTCGTGTGTTGAGGCTGGTCGGTTCCATGGCTACTGCCTGGTTGGCTCCCGGATCAAAAAATATTTGCATATTTTTGGAACCCTGATTCAGCCCATCCATCCATACAATCAACAATCATCCAACCCACGCAGGCGGAAGAACGTTTAGACCACCATAAATTTGCTTGGCTGCAGCCAACTGATAGCCTGATCTGGATTGGGGGGGAGAGAGATATCGAAGAGACCAGTTATCGTGGACGTTTCCCTCCCACCGATGCCGATGTCATCATGGATCTTACGTAGCTGGTGGGGCCGGCTACGCTTTTAGTTGAGCTTCTGACCTTCTCACAAATAACAGGACTGTCTTTGGGATACCGTGGCCGCGACGATTGAATTTCGGTACTTACTCATGGGCTGGCCATTGATATTGTTTTCCATTCCCTCAATGGGGTCTTTTTTTAGAGACGGGTTTCTCTTTCCTTAGGCGAGGAGCTGCAGCCAGAATATATTCACTTTTCTTCCCTTCTTTCCATACTATCGCCAATGGCCCGGACATAGGTTTCGACTTCGTCAATAGTGGGAGGTCGGGGAGTTGGTCCGTTCGTCCGTCCGTCCAGGGAAGATGGGTTGGTTAATAGTAATTAATACCTTAAGTTTGAATATGTCTCCACAATCTCATCTCCCTTTATCTACGAGTAAAAGGCTGGAAAGGCTGGAAGCCTGGAAGAGAGGGCCGGGAGGCTGGAACAACAAGCCAGAAGTACAAGTTACACCTGTCGATCATGCAGCTGATTAGTTGATTATGGAGCACAAACTACAAGTGCCTCCCTTCCCTTTTACCAATAGGAATTCAACGTTTCATTGGAGTTCAAAAAGGGCAGACACCAAACAGCAAGAAAAACAGCCACCGCAATCAAGGCTTAAAGTTGGGTCTTGTTTTCTTTTGGGGTGTGGGGGCATTTTCCATCCTTCTCCTACGCCGCCGCCGCCGCCGCCGCCCCTCTCCCCTGCCCGTCTGCGCAATCTGAGTGGCTTGCGCCTTTACATTTGGCGGATTGTTTTGTTTGTTTGCAAATATTACATGCCGCTACGAGTGGACGTACAGTAATTCTCCTCGTACGGTCGGAACCTACTCTGCAGGTATCCCGAAGGTAAGTTTCAAATCGCTTACAGTGGTTTGAAGACGTGTCTGGCTCTCTGTCTGTCTGCCTGTCGGTTATCGGTCTTATCTGGATCGCAACGGTTGACAAGTGTAGAGTTATCGATCGGACAGCTCGGGATGTAAGGATCCTGAAGAAGGAGACTGTTGTCTCACTATCTATCGCATTTCCTTATGCTAGCGAACTCCAGAGGAAGAGTTAGACTCGAGCGACAAGTCAATCACAGTGTGTTCATGGGCATCTTCCCCAGAAATAGCTTTCAATGATCTGAACCTATCCCCATCAACGATCGCAATCCAGTAGTGCATCCCTTGATCGTTGAGTAGATCTCTTCTGCAGGCAATCGCGGGTTCCCTCAGGGTCAGAAGAGTGGCTCTCTTGTCACTGCTGTCTTAGATGCACCCCCCATCTGCAATGCTTAAGAATAGATAAGTATGGAGCGCGGAGTCGATCTTTGGTCTTTCCAGTGCATTGGCGAACCCCCGCCCGCTCTCCCCCGACAGAGCTGAGCTGACCTGCTTCTTCTTGTTGCAGTAGGCGAGAATTCGGAATGTAATGTATCTGCCGCGAACCCTCGAACCGGTCACCAGGGAACCAATCCTCGAAACTCAATGCAAGTCTCCCGCAGGAATTGGCTTCACAGACCACGTTGTCCCCCTTTTTTTATTTTATGCTTAGGGTTGGTGTACAGTACGGATGTTCAGAAACTTTAGAAAATGGTATTGGTGGGTTGTCCAGACCACCTCCAGGCATCTCCCCCCCCATTCTTTGGATAGACTTGATGTGCAGCCGCTGTCACTGGATAAGTTTCGTGCCCACTGACTGGGGCCCGGGGCTATATTCGATCCAGCTGGTAATTCCGGAGCTTGGTTCTGGCAGCCACTTTGGCCTGTCAGAAACGGCCCTCCTTCCATAACGAAGGCCAATGTGTCCCTCTTCTGTGTAATGATAGGTGTGGCAAAGGAGACAGGAAGAAAAAAGATATAATTGGAAAGAAAAAGTCGGATTTCGCTGTCTGCCTTACTCAGCGGCATTGGGTCGAAGCAGCAAATTATGTAGGCTGTATGCTTCCTTATGCGTGTGGGCTCGTGGCGAAATAGTGAAGTACAACGCATAGAGCTTTTTTTCTTCTTTCCCTTTTTGTTGCTCGATGATTTCTTGTTTTTGCGTTGCATTGATCTGTATGGATTTGGCAGCGATAGGTACCCAAGCTCTATTCGTGGACGCAGGCGATAGTTATGATCGGTAGTTCATGCCATCAGGTTGATTGGAAATGCGACTGCGCGCCAGAAAAGTGTGTGCCTATTCTTGTCTTGCACTGATGGTCATGTTACTGTTACTCTACGGGCAATGGACAATTTGTGCTTGCTTCCTTCGAGCCGGAGTATATCTGCAGGAAGTGCCAACATTCATGTGCTTGCTTAGTCGAGGGGAGGATACCATGGCGAAGGAACTATGAGGAGGCGCGATTTAAGAAACGGAGCTCCATAGCATGAAGCTGTTGCAATAATCCTCCTCTGAGGGTCCCATCGAACCAAAGACCACAATAAACAACCAGCCAGCCCCGGCGACGCATTCGTGACCTTGCCACTATGATATTCTAAGGATATGGACTGGTGGTTGGCTGTTACGGGCGGGTTGAGGAATGGCGATGGTTCATGATTCATCCCTTCATGCCGAGGGGGAGAGCAATGTAGGTAAGTAGGTCGGTCCAAGACAGCAAGTATACACTTACAATACTACATATAATACACCAATACCACCACCTCTCTCACAGTTCGGTACGATCCGGGTAATTTTCCTATTCCCTGGCCTTGAGTGTGGGTCGGGGGCTTCAGGGGCCGTCGCTGATTTCCATGGATTCCGAACGAACCACACAGTACGTATCTCCGGACGACTCTTGTCCACTTGTTGCAGATTTCGATGCCGGTAAGCCTCCGTCGAACTTGTGTGTGTGTGTGTGTGTCCACTCCAGGCTTCAGAGGAGAATCATGGTTCGAAGTGGCTTCTAGCTACGTCAGTTGGATCGGATTGTCTCCATCCTGCCATGTACTGGACTGCTGCATTCGGTTATACCAAGGACAGGGCTCAGTTGGTTTTCTATGGACACCATGTGGTGGTTTCTTCGGGAAGGCGAATTGTCGGGGCTCTTCTACGCGTACTCACATTCGGCAGATGTGGCACCCGGGGAGGTTTCAACCACGGTCTCTGAGGGACCTTACTAGAGCACAGTAGACTGATAAGTTATTAGGAAGGATACATAGTAAGCAGTTAGGGACTGTCGGCCTGTTTTGAAGCCAATGGCCAAGAAGCTTTTCGCTGATCCAGCCTCTACTTAATGGTCGAAATAATGCTGAGAGGTGAGGTGGTGGTCAGTACTTGGTACCTGCTGGGATGGATAAGTGTAGGTGACTGGGAAAGTGGATAAGATGAATGGTGGTGGTGGTGGGTAATGTACCTAATACTAGGTAAGCTTGACTGACTGTTTTTACTTGTCTTAATACACTGGCTCTGTGTTTTGCATATATTCAACATACCGAAATGTGGTAAGAAATGGTAAATACCAGGTACACTGCAGTATCCTCCCATGGAACATTACGTGGGGAGTTCCTGGTTGGCTGCATATCCCCGCCCTGGTCTGGCTGACCGGACATATTTACCACTAGTCCAGGAGGAATCGTTTTTTTTTTTTTTTTTTTTTTTTTTTTTTTTTTTTTTTTTTTTTTTTTTTTTTTTTTTTTTTTTTTTTTTTTCACAACCCCCCCCCCCCCCCCCCCCCCCCCTTCCCAGTCTCTCTCTCTCTCTCTCCCACACACTCTGCCCCCTCCCCTTGTCCCTCTCCCCCCCCAAATCCTAGGGAAGGAGAAAAAAAAAGGCCTAGAGAAACCCGAGAAAAGGTCCTACTTGGGTTAAGAGGAGAAAAAGAAACAGTGAGAGACTGACTGGCCCAGTAAAAGTAGCGCCAGTGCTATCTTCCCTGCTTGTCGGTCAATCAATTCCCTTTTTCACCACTACCCGTCCAACTCAAGCCTCCTCTAACCGTCCTTCGCTCTGGGTCTTTTCCTTCTCTTCGTTCTCTCTTGCTTCTCTCTTCCCTAACCTCTTCCTTTTTTTCTTTTCGGTTCCCTGTCTTGTTCACTCTTTTGTTCTTATCATCCCCTCCCCCCCAAAACACACCCACCCACCCACACCACCATCCACCCCCCCAAGTCACCCAACCACTTTTCCTGCCAGGAAAACGCGACTTGGCTCCCTTCCTTCTTTCTGATTCTTTCGTTTGAGGAAAGAAGAGGGAGGTCTTGCTTGAACCGAGACGGACAGGTTCGACCTGCAACACGCCGGTCATTGACGCCTCCAGCTCTCGGTCGCCCTCCCCCTTTAGTTTCATTTCGACTACTTGGCTTGACCATTCCACTCGTTTGACAAACGGTCTTCAATTAACGATAACGCCGGCTTCGACCCCACACGAGTCGGCCTCACTACAAAACAATCAATCGTTTTCGGTTCGAGTTTGAATCACTTCTACACCGTTCAACTGTCGGGGACTGGTGCCTCCAGGGGACAAAAAGCGCTCTCGGTTTTGGTGTACTCGACGTGTTTCGACACCCTTTTCGATCTTTAAAGCGAACGGATCATAGCGGAAATTCGACTGCCTGTTATATGCTCCAGCCATCGGGATTACTTTCAGTTAATTTTTAATGGGTCATTGTTCATGTAAGTCTGACCACGACCGCCCGCTGACGGGTTGCTCCTTGCTCGCCATGAACACAGAAACTCACGACTCGCTATCTTGATAGAATCTTTTCGAAGACTCTGTGATTGTGGCACGTCAAAATGTCCGGTTATCCCGCAGGAGGCCACTACGAGGAGGGCTACGGCCACCACCAGGAACATGGTGACTCCTACTACCAAGACGAACATGGCCAGGCTTATTATGATCATGAAAATTATGGCGATAGTTACTATGATAGAGGGTATGTATCCCTAGTCTCTCCTTCTGCATAATTACCCCCCCTCAAGGATTCGAATTGACTTTTGGCCAGTAATAGCAACTATTATAATGCCGAGGGAGGTCAAGGATATCAACAGGAAGGCGGTTACTATGATGCTGGCCACCAAGACGACTACTACGGTGACCAGTACTATGACCAAGGAAATAATGGTGGCAGGGGAAGACGTCGTGGCGACTCCGAAGAAGACTCCGAAACGTTCAGCGACTTCACCATGAGATCCGAGACTGCCCGGGCCGCCGATATGGATTACTACGGCCGGGGGGATGAGCGTTATAACAGTTACGCCGACAGCCAGTACGGTGGTCGCGGCGGATATGGCGGTTATCGCCCCCCATCCTCCCAGGTCTCCTATGGTGCCAATCGATCCTCCGGAGCCTCCACCCCCGTGTACGGCATGGACTACGGCGGTGCTCTGCCTGCCGGCCAGCGCTCGCGGGAGCCCTTCCCGGCCTGGGCCTCGGATGGGCAGGTGCCCGTCTCCAAGGAGGAAATCGAGGATATCTTTATCGACCTGGTCAACAAGTTCGGTTTCCAGCGGGACAGCATGCGTAACATGTACGACCACTTGATGACACAGCTGGACTCCCGAGCTTCTCGTATGACCCCCAACCAGGCTCTTCTGTCGCTCCACGCCGACTACATTGGTGGTGACAATGCAAACTACCGTCGCTGGTACTTTGCCGCTCACTTGGATCTGGATGACGCCGTTGGATTTGCAAACATGAAGCTCGGAAAGGCGGATCGTAAGACGAGAAAAGCCCGTGCCGCGGCCAAGAAGGCTGCCCAGCAGAACCCCGAGAATGTCGAAGAGAACCTCGAGGCTCTGGAGGGAGATAACAGTCTCGAAGCTGCCGAATATCGGTGGAAGACGCGGATGAACCGCATGTCTCAGCACGACAGAGTGCGCCAAATCGCACTTTACCTGCTGTGCTGGGGTGAAGCCAACCAGGTCCGTTTCTTGCCGGAATGTATCTGCTTTATTTTCAAGTGCGCAGACGACTACTACAGCTCTCCCGAGTGCCAGAACCGGGTCGAGCCGGTAGAGGAGCTCACTTACCTCAATGAGATCATCACGCCGCTGTACCAATTCTGCCGTGATCAAGGTTACGAGATCTCCGATGGCAAGTACGTTCGTCGCGAGCGCGATCACGACAAGATCATTGGTTACGATGATATGAACCAGCTGTTCTGGTACCCCGAGGGTATCGAGCGTATCTCTTTCGAGGATAAGACTCGTCTGGTAGACGTTCCGCCCGCGGAGAGATGGACCAAGTTGAAGGACGTGGACTGGAAGAAGGCCTTCTTCAAGACCTACCGCGAGACTCGTTCGTGGTTCCACTTGATCACCAACTTCAACCGTATCTGGGTCATCCATCTTGGTGCTTTCTGGTTCTTCACTGCTTACAACTCCCCGACTCTTTACACCCACAACTACCAACAACAGCTGAACAACAAGCCACCAGGCTCTTTTCAATGGTCTTCTGTTGCTTTCGGTGGTGCCCTGGTCTCATTCATCCAAATCATGGCTACTATCTGTGAATGGCTGTATGTTCCTCGCCGTTGGGCTGGCGCGCAGCATCTCACCAAGCGTTTGTTCTTCCTCCTGGCTGTCTTCATCGTCAATCTCGCCCCCGGTGTTGTTGTCTTCGGATTCAAGAATACAATTGGGGAGACCATTGCTCTTGTCATTGGTATCGTCCATTTCTTCATCGCATTGGCAACCTTCTTTTTCTTCTCCGTCATGCCGCTTGGCGGTCTCTTCGGCAGTTACTTGAAGAAGCACGGACGTCAATACGTTGCCAGTCAGACTTTCACTGCCAGTTTCCCCCGGCTCAGCGGTAATGACATGTGGATGTCTTACGGTCTGTGGATTTGCGTTTTCGGTGCCAAGCTGGTCGAATCCTACTTCTTCCTGACCCTGTCACTGAAGGATCCTATTCGCATTCTGTCTCCCATGCGCATCCACCAATGTACTGGTGTCACTTACATTCCGAACGTCCTCTGTCACGTTCAGCCTCAGATTCTCCTCGGTCTAATGTTCTTCATGGACTTGACCCTCTTCTTCCTGGATAGTTACCTGTGGTATGTCATCTGTAACACGATCTTCTCTGTTGCCAGGTCTTTCTACCTTGGTGTCTCGATCTGGTCGCCCTGGAGAAACGTGTTCTCTCGTCTGCCCAAGCGTATCTACTCGAAGGTGCTTGCAACTACCGACATGGAAATCAAGTACAAGCCAAAGGTTCTCATTTCCCAGGTGTGGAACGCCATCATCATCTCCATGTACAGAGAGCATCTTCTGGCCATTGATCACGTCCAGAAGCTTCTCTACCACCAGGTCCCCTCCGAGGTTGAAGGCAAACGCACTCTTCGTGCCCCTACTTTCTTCGTCTCCCAGGAAGATCAGTCTTTCAAGACCGAATTCTTCCCTGCTGGTAGCGAGGCTGAACGCCGTATCTCCTTCTTCGCCCAGTCTCTGTCCACGCCCATGCCGGAGCCTCTCCCCGTTGACAACATGCCCACCTTCACTGTTCTCATTCCTCACTACGGTGAGAAGATTCTGTTGTCTCTCCGTGAAATTATCCGTGAAGATGAGCCTTACTCTCGTGTCACTCTGCTCGAGTACCTCAAGCAACTCCACCCCCACGAGTGGGATTGTTTCGTCAAGGATACCAAGATCCTGGCTGATGAGACTTCGCAATTCAACGGTGACCAAGAGAAGAGCGAGAAGGATGCTCAGAAGAGCAAGATCGATGATCTTCCCTTCTACTGCATTGGTTTCAAATCCGCCGCCCCCGAGTACACTCTCCGTACCCGTATCTGGTCCTCGCTCCGCTCTCAGACTCTGTACAGAACCATCTCTGGTTTCATGAACTTCAGCCGCGCCATCAAGCTCCTGTATCGTGTTGAAAACCCCGAAGTGGTCCAGATGTTCGGTGGTAACTCCGAGAAGCTTGAGCGTGAGCTCGAGCGGATGGCCCGCCGCAAGTTCAAGATCTGTGTCTCCATGCAGCGTTATGCCAAGTTCAACAAGGAAGAGCGCGAAAACACCGAGTTCCTTCTGCGTGCCTACCCTGATCTTCAGATTGCTTACCTCGACGAGGAGCCTCCCACCGAGGAGGGCGAAGAGCCTCGCCTGTATTCTGCCCTGATCGACGGACACTGTGAGCTTCTCGACAACGGAATGCGCAAGCCTAAGTTCAGGATTCAGCTCTCTGGTAACCCAATTCTCGGTGACGGAAAGTCCGACAACCAGAATCACTCCATCATCTTCTACCGCGGTGAATACATCCAGGTCATTGACGCTAACCAGGACAACTACCTGGAAGAGTGCTTGAAGATTCGCAGTGTCCTTGCTGAATTTGAGGAGCTGACCACCGACAACGTTTCCCCTTACACCCCTGGTGTTCCCTCTGCTAACACGACTCCGGTTGCCATCCTCGGTGCCCGTGAATACATTTTCTCCGAGAGCGTGGGTGTCCTCGGTGACGTCGCTGCCAGTAAGGAACAGACATTCGGTACTTTGTTCGCCCGTACTCTTGCCCAGATTGGCGGAAAGCTGCACTATGGTCACCCTGATTTCTTGAACGGTATTTTCATGACTACTCGTGGTGGTATCTCTAAGGCTCAGAAGGGTCTGCACCTGAACGAGGATATTTACGCTGGTATGACCGTCTTGCTCCGTGGTGGACGCATCAAGCACTGTGAATACTTCCAGTGTGGTAAGGGTCGTGATCTTGGTTTTGGCTCCATTCTGAACTTCACCACCAAGATCGGTACTGGTATGGGTGAGCAGATGCTGTCCAGAGAATACTACTATCTCGGAACCCAGCTGCCCCTCGATCGCTTTCTGTCTTTCTACTATGCTCACCCTGGTTTCCACATCAACAACATGTTCATCATGCTGTCTGTGCAGATGTTCATGATTGTCCTCGTCAACCTGGGTGCCCTGAGACATGAGACGATCACCTGCAGATACGACTCCAACTTGCCGATTACCGATCCTCTCCGCCCCACGTACTGTGCCGACCTGACGCCCATCGTGAACTGGGTCAACCGCTGCGTTATTTCCATCTTCATCGTCTTCTTCATCTCCTTCGTTCCTTTGGCTGTTCAAGAACTGACTGAGAGAGGTGTGTGGCGTATGGCGACCCGTCTGGCCAAGCACTTCGGTTCCTTCTCTTTCATGTTCGAGGTGTTCGTCTGTCAAATTTATGCCAACGCTGTCCACCAGAACCTTTCCTTCGGTGGTGCTCGTTATATCGGTACCGGCCGTGGTTTTGCAACGGCTCGTATCCCCTTCGGTGTGCTCTACTCGCGTTTCGCCGGTCCTTCCATCTACGCCGGTTCTCGTCAACTTCTGATGCTTCTTTTTGCCACCTCCACCGTTTGGACGGCGTCCCTGATCTGGTTCTGGGTTTCACTGTTGGCCTTGGTCATCTCGCCCTTCTTGTTCAACCCTCACCAGTTCGCCTGGCACGATTTCTTCATCGACTACCGTGACTACATCCGTTGGCTCTCTCGTGGTAACTCCCGCTCGCACGCTTCCTCCTGGATCGCCTTCTGCCGCTTGTCTCGTACGCGTATCACCGGTTACAAGCGCAAGCTGTTGGGTGTTCCCTCGGAGAAGGGTTCCGGTGACGTTCCCAGAGCTCGCATCTCGAACATTTTCTTCAGTGAAATCATCGCTCCCCTGGTCGTCGTTGGTGTTACCCTGGTTCCTTACCTGTACATCAACTCCAGGACCGGTATCTCCAACGACAACAAGCACGCCTCTAACGCCATTATCCGTATTGCCATCGTTGCCTTCGGTCCGGTTGGTATCAACGCCGGTGTTGCGGGTATGTTCTTTGGCATGGCTTGTTGTATGGGTCCGCTCTTGGGCATGTGCTGCAAGAAGTTCGGTGCTGTCTTGGCTGCTATTGCCCACGCTATCGCTGTCATTGTTCTTCTGGCCATTTTCGAGGTCATGTTCTTCCTCGAGGGTTGGTCTTGGCCCAGATGTGTCATGGGAATGATTGCCATGGCCGCCATCCAACGGTTCTTCTACAAGCTCGTCATCGCCCTTGCCCTCACAAGAGAATTCAAGAATGACCAGTCCAACATCGCCTGGTGGACCGGTAAGTGGTACAGCATGGGATGGCACACTCTGTCCCAGCCTGGTCGTGAATTCTTGTGTAAGATCACCGAATTGGGCTACTTCTCCGCCGATTTCGTCCTGGGCCACATCCTTTTGTTCGTCATGTTGCCTGCGCTCTGCATGCCTTACGTTGACAAGTTCCACTCGGTCATTCTCTTCTGGCTGCGCCCTAGTCGCCAGATTCGTCCTCCCATCTATTCCCTGAAGCAGTCCAAGCTTCGCAAGCGGAGAGTCGTTCGTTTTGCCATCTTGTATTTCACGATGCTGGTTATCTTCCTCATTCTCCTCATTGCCCCTCTTGTCGCTCGTAACCAGAACATCAACTTGGGTTCGGCACTTCCCATGAACCTCATGCAGCCCATCGACAAGGACAACAACGACACGATTGCCAGTTATACCGGACGGGGTCTTCCTGTTGGGTTCTCTGGCTGGACTCCCACCAACCCGGCGGCTACCAGCACTGGTTCGAGCTCGTGAGGTGTCTGATGCCACATCGATTCTCATTTTATTTTCTTCTCTACCTTCTCTCATTTTTGCGAAAATGGAACATGGAAACGAGCTGTATAAAGTATTCAGCGCCTTGAAGACGCTGCCGAGTCGCATACATTTGCTTTTGTTTTATTCTCTTTGCTTCTTGAATGACACTCTGCGTCCATGCTCCTTTCTGCCGTCAACATTAATGGATCCAATATCTGTCAATTGAATTCTGTATTCTCGAGGTGTTTCCCAGTCCTTCATGTATGTTCACTAGACTTGCAAGTTTCTTTCCTGTTGTCAGCATTCATTCAATTCCTTGTATTCTTGGAGATTTATTCTCGTTGGCAATTAATGGCCCGGTGGGATGCTAATTGCAAGCCTGCCAAGCCGTAGAAATTGGCATGTAGGAGCCGTTAGCGTTGACCTAGTGGCTCCCGGAGTCCTTCGTAGTAAACGGTGGGTGTTTTTGGTCCCTGACTTGCGGGCTGACTCGCCCAGCGGTCACGCCCCCTCGGCTTACGCTATGTACTACCACAATCACACCGCCATCTTGAATCGTGCTTTCTCCATCCTTGCTCTCCCAGTAGTTATGGTCTACTGCGGCAAGCCGTCGAAGGCTTGTGAGCCCTGTCGAACGCGACGTGTGAAGGTGCAACTCCGTTTGATTTTCTCCCTATCTGTGTCCATCTGATCGTCTCTGCTAGTGCGACCTGCGACGTCCAAGATGCAGCCAGTGCCGAAACAGCGGCCGTGTTTGCAGCGGGTATCGTTCCGACATCGAGGTCAACTTCCGCAATGAGACCAACACGGTGGTCCAGAAATACCAGTCGAAACCTGCAGCGCATGCCCTGCAGCCTTCTCGACCGCAACTGCTGGCTCTCAAGTCCTTCCAGACCGTAGGAACCACTCCCTCCATCGCCATCTCCTGCTTCCTGACTCAGAACGCCGACACCATTCGCGCTGAATACCTGCTTCCGCTAGTCAACCAACCGCACTCCTCCAATCTCCTCACGACAACTCTCGAAGCCGTCAGTCTAGCCTCTCTAGCCAACGAGCAAGGCCGCCCCGACCTCCTGATCCCCGCGCGAGAGAGATATGCCCTCGCGCTGCACCACCTTAGACGGAGCCTGCGCGGCCCCGGGCACCACCCTAGTGAGCTGCCCTGTACCTTCGCATCGGTGATGCTACTGGCCCAATTCGCAGCCCTATCGGCCCCATCCCCCGAAGACGAGAGCCCCCGCGGCGCCTGGTGGTCCCGTCACATCAATGGGGCCTTCTCGATGTTAGTGACGGCGACAGCTCAAGATGAGCGTTCTTGGTTCCCCTTGTCCAATCCGACCCACAGTAGCCTATTCCAGCACCTGGTGGCCTGTCTCTTGGTGGACTGCATTCAGCGCCGCACGACCTTTTCGCCCCAGCTACGGGCGAACCTGCATGCCTGCCGGATGGTTGTTCCGGAGTTTCAGCTGCGGTTCTGGGGGCTAGTCGATCGGATGTGCGTGCTTTCGGCTGCCGAATCCCGTTCGACCCGAGACGATGACACGGGCCGCGGGTCTTTGCGTGCAGCGGAGCAGAAAGGAAGCGCGTTGCCGCGAGGTTTATTGGCCTGGTTAGCGCTGGAACGTGAGGCAGATGTGTTGATGTGCAACATGCCGCGTTCGCAGGCGTATCAGTCCCTCGCGATGGCGGAAACAGCGGAGCTGGAGCTAGACCCTCACCTTCATGTTTACCCCAGCTACAGGGTCGCGCAGACGTGGAATACCCTGCGCATGGTGCGTCTGTTCGTTGGTGAGCGAATCATCGAGCATGCTGCTGCTGCCACGGAGGAAAATGATGATTCGTGGACGCTGATGATCGCTCAAGCTAGAGAAGTGATTGCGATGATGATTCACGATATCTGTGCTAGTGTACCTGAGCACTTGCGGCATTCAGTCATCGCAGAGTCTCAGCGCCGTGAGTTGCTTTCTCGTAGCGGTTGGGCGTATTCGCTTGCTTGGCCGTTGTCGCTGGCTGGTAATTCGCCCCATTGTCATGTGGGGCTGAAGGGCTTTATTGCGCGGCAGATGAAGATTCTACAATCTGTGATCGGGATGGATATCACGGCTACGGAGGCACCGCATGAATGGTAAGAGGAGCTCGAAATAGTGATAAGACTGCAATTACTGATCTACTCTATGATTCAGGCTCCATGTGTTCTTTCTTCTATGAGTAGGCTCTATAGCCCTCCATCTAACAGTTGGATGGCGATGACAGGCTGTCCCGCTCCAATACCACCCGGAAAGCAGAAAGCTCGATCTGCGTCACTGGGGACGTCTCGTTCTTCTTCCAGAATACTGCTTCGTTCAATGCCGTCCCCGCGTAGCTCAGCGGGTCTATGTTGGATACGCAATAGTCCGCCCAGATGGACGTGGCATTGCCCTGCGTTTCCGTGTCGCCGCCGTTCCCTTCCATAACGTTGATGAAACGCCATACCTCGCCTACGCGACCATCCGCATCGGCCCGGATCTCGAACGTCGGTATAAGCTCGAGGTCGAGGTTCTCTCCCGTGCCAGCTTGCGCAGCCACCAAGGGGATGAGGGCGCCCAGCACATCGGTAGAGTTAGACGTCCAGGAGGCCACGTACAGTGACTTCTGCATGGAGTGGCTGATCGTCACAGAAGATTTAAGCCCGGTGTGGACGGGTGCAAGGTACGTTCCCGCGTAGGTGGTGTTGAGGCTCATCTGAGCCACTTCCTCTGCGCCAACGATGACCGGGTCCACTACCACGTCGAGAAGCTCGTTCAACACGGTCAGGTCTCCTGCAGCCGCCATGAAGACCACAATATCGTACCCTGGAATCACGAAGCTATAGGTGTAGTAGCCGGCCAGGCCACCGCCTTTGGTGTTGATGGTGACAGTTCTGGTGCTATTGGGTAGTATGGCTGGCGAGCGGAAGATCTCCCAAGGGTACCCCAGATAAGAGTGGGCGCCTGAGGAGTAGGCTGCAGGCTGGAACCAGTTGAGAGCCGGAGTCAAAGTGTTGTGGTTCGCGAGTGCGAAGCGAAGGAAGGTGATCATGTCGGCTGGGGTGCTGTATAGTCCGCCGGATCTGCTCAGGTCTTAGCACCGCGACATTCGTGAAGAGGCAAGCGCGGTCCTTACGGATTCCCGACTCCGAGGTCTACGCCCCAGTAACTGTCGTCCACCAGGACACCGTTCGCTGCAGGCGGAGTGAATGATGTTCCTGTGAGGTTCAAAGGTCTAATGATCGTGGAATCGATGTATTGCTCGTAGGTGGTGTTGCTGATATTAGCCAGCACCTGACCCAAGAGATCAAATCCGACATTGCTGTATGAGGGTTCGACTTTCGCTGGAAAAACTGGCTGTGCATCTTGCAGATATTGCAGGAGGTCTGGTGACTATGTTAGCCTCTCCGAGATCTGTGACTCAGTGGATCTAGGATTTACCTTTCTTCGAGCATGGTTGCGTGTAGTTCGAGAAACCCTCGCACGCAGGCAGTGCCGCCTTGTCCGCAACGATAGGGGGTAGTCCCAGCACCGTCGGATCCGAAAGAGACAAGATCAAATCATCTTCAGCATCTGTCACACAGTAAAGGCTGCAATCAGTTTCGGGCCGTAACGCTTGCACACATACAAATAACAAGCCCATGCAAGTTGAGTTGGCTGGCACATACAATTGTCCGGAATTCCGCTCATATGCGACATCAGCGTCCGAAGCGTGATGTCTTCCCACGCGATCCGACTCGACGCATCCCCGCTCAAGCCGGAAATGAACTTAGTGATGCGGTCATCCAGACTCAGCTTCCCCGCCGCCTCTGCCTGGAGGATCCCTAACGCGGTGAACAATTTGGTATTGCTAGCGATGCGGTACGCCGAGGACCCGTTCACTGTCTCCGCGGTGGCCAACCCAGACCTGTGGAATGAGTACAGAGCTTGCTCCCTTGACGCAACCTCCACGGAGACAGCCGTGTTGTTGAACCGCCCGCTTGCTGCAAGGGCACTGATCGCTGCATCGATCTGGTCGACGGTGCGAGTCAGAGACTCCGCGGTGTATTGCGGCGGAGGGAAGGGGATCTCAGGCTCGCAGGCTGCGAAGGCTTGAGCTATCACCGAGGTGACTATGAGCAGAGGAGAGTGGAAGCGCATTTTCTGGGAGAGAGCTCAATGGTGTGTTGTAATTGGGAAAATGGCTGCTTGATGGGTTCTTGATATGGTGGTGTTCTGGCGGCTTTTATGCCTTTTTTTGGGGGCAGATGGTGTCCATGATGACTGAGCCCGTATGATTCTTTCTGCCTGGAGGATTCATGCTTGTCAGCGTTCGGCTTGCGACGAGAGTTATTACAGGCATGATTTGGTGTTTGATGGATTGCAGGCCAAACAATGGCGGACGAGCTGCACACCCCATTCGGGTTAGCGCTGACGGATCAGTGGGAAGCCAGGGCTAGTGTGGGGATTACTTTAATTAGAGTCGAGACTCAAGCGGTTCTATACAGCTAGAAAATGAATGCCTAGCAAGAAATAGGAGGCTGGCTGAAGGTGGTAGACTAAGCAGCTAATGCCTACTGCGCCTCTATCTGTCCAGGTTCTGACTTCTATCTTAAATTATTTACACTAGTCTGAGGGCAAACATTAGCATCGCTCAGATCACATGACCATATATTATATGGCTGCCGGCAAGGAGCAGCCCGAGATCACGTGTCTCTTCCCTCCGTGCCGGAAGTTGGGACTTTCCTCGTCGTTTCGACTTTCTGACGCCAGCTCCTTTACTGGTTTCACCTCCGGTTCCAATGCGAGAAATTCGACTGTAGATTGATTTGCTGTTGTTTCCTTTCCTTCGACCCTGCTTTCCACCCCTACCGACGGCGTCTTTCGTCCAGCGCCCCGAGCGCTTCGCCAAATCCGAGACCATGGATATCCAGGAGACTCAGCGTCTTCTTGCGGAGTACCTCCATGAGCTCGCGGCCCTGTTCCATCGCCTACCGGGCTCCGCCATTTTCCTACGTTACGTCAAGTCCAGCTACCAGAACGACCCGATCCGATCCGCCGTCGAGCTGTTCTTGTTCCTGTTCGCTGTTCGCTACCTTCTCGCCCCGAAGTATTCGACCAAGCCCGGCGTGGTCCAGCTCTCGGAAGATGAGATCGATGACCTCGTCGACGAGTGGACGCCGGAGCCACTTGTCGGCAAGCCTACTTCCTTGGAGGCTATGGAGGTGGACAAGCGAACGGTGATCGTTGGGTAAGCATCCTTATAAGCGCCTAAGCGATTGATCGCCATGCTGACGCGGGCGCGCGAACCAGCCCCGTAGGTCCGAAATCCAAGCTCGCGAACGGCCGGACGGTCATGAACCTAGGCTCGTACAACTTCTACAACTTCAACACCAACGAATCCCTCAAGGAGAAGGCGATCCAGACGCTCCGCAACTACGGGGTCGGACCCTGCGGGCCCCGCGGCTTCTACGGAACCCAGGACGTGCACATGAAGACCGAAGCCGACGTCGCCTCGTTCCTCGGCACCGCTTCCTGCATCATCTACGCGCAGGCGTTCTCCACCATCTCCAGTGTGATCCCTGCGTTTTCGAAGCGCGGCGACATCATCGTGGCCGATAAGGGCGTCAGCTTTGCTATCCGCAAGGGTATCCAGATCTCCCGCAGCATCGTCCGGTGGTATGAGCATAATGATATGGCGGATTTGGAACGCGTGCTGGCTAAGGTCACTAAGGAGCAGGCTCGGAAGCCGCTCACTCGCCGGTTTATTATCACTGAGGGGCTGTTCGAGTCTTATGGGGATATGGTTGATTTGCCTAAGATTGTATGTGTTTTCCCAGGGTTGTGGCTACGTGAGGGAGGGGGTGCTAACTGAAGCGTGTGTGAAGATTGAGCTGAAGCTCAAGTACAAATTCCGACTGATCCTTGATGAGACTTGGTCGTTTGGTGTTCTCGGCCGCACCGGTCGCGGAGTGACGGAGCATCAGAACGTCGATGCGGCTGAGGTGGACATGATTGTGGGCTCGCTGGCCGGCCCATTGATTGCTGGAGGAGGCTTTTGCGCGGGTTCGGAGGAGATCGTCCACCACCAACGGATCTCGGCTGCGGCGTACACGTTCTCCGCCGCTTTGCCGGCCATGCTGTCGACCACAGCGAGTGCCACGATCAACATGCTGCAGAATAGTCCGGAGACGGTGAGCCAGCTGCGCGAGTACACCAAGGCCATGTGGGCGCAGCTCGACCCTCGCAGTGACTGGGTGTACTGCACCAGTGCCCCGGAGAATCCGATGATGATCCTCGTCCTCAAGCCCGAAGTGGTCACGGCGAAGAAGCTCTCGGAGGATGATCAGCAGTTCTTGTTGCAAGATATTGTCGACGAGGTAAAAATCTCTGTTGTCTTACCCCGGTTAATGCCAGATTACTGACTTTGGTGCTTCCAGTGTCTCGCCAATGGGGTTCTGATCAGTCGCCTAAAGACTCTGCAGGACAACTTCGAGCCGAAGCAGGTGGTGGCGCCTGCTCTGAAGGTGTGCGTGACGATCGGTTTGACGCGAAAGGAGATCGAGAAGGCGGGCACCACCATCCGCCACGCGATCACGAAAGTCCTGAGCAAGAGGAAGTAATGTTGAGCCGTCATCCCTTTGCCTACTCCTTGATCTGTTGGGGATGGGCTATGACGTTTAATGCTTCCATGATATGCCCTCTGCCCTCTTGTCAACATGTTCTGCCCAGCCTCATTGTTCCACCCATTGTTGATAAAACCACTGTCGATGCACAGTTCTTGTACAGCATATTGCACCTAGATGAACAGGTGCCCCGGAGCTCCCGCTGGACGCTCCTGCACATGCCCAACCGGACGGGAGACTTGTCATTGTTACCACGGGGTGATGTTAGTCACCGATCCATGTTGCCCTACTTCTTTTGTTACCACGGGACCATGGACATTATTAGAGATCATATTATTTTAATACACCTTTCTTATTCTGTATCGGTTGCAATCTTAAGGGGATGCAGGGGTAAAGTAATTGCGGGGGGACAATCCAGGATCGCGCAGGAGGGAGGTTTTGTTCAAGGGGCATTCTCGCGATCGGCCAGTGTGTCCCGGCATGAGTCCAGCATTCCGGAGGCGAGTCTCATTCTTGTATAGTGACTCGCGGTCCTTGTTAATGCCCTGTTCCAGGGGGGATTTCATGGCCTAGTGTGCGTGCAGCTCGTAGTCTCAGTTGAGTCTTTTGGTGCTTGATCTTTCTTCTTGGCCTCTTCGACTGCACTGCCGTTCTGAACGAGGCAACTGGTGATATTGCACGAACTTGAGCGGCAACGCGGTGCAGATAGGTAGGGCTTGCAATGCCGTGTCTTTCGCAGCTGGTGGCCGCATGGCTGCTCAGCTGTGCTGTTTCTGCGCTTCCCACCGGTTTGTCTGTCTGTATACTCGGGGGTATGGTGCATTGCTAAGGGACATGTAGGACCAGCACCGCAAGAACAGCAACAACCACAACGCAACTGGTTTCCCTTCTCTCAAGCCAGCGCAGCGCTGGACTGGCTGGACCAGAGCGCGAACCAGCTGGGGAAGGGCGTGAACCAAGGCGTCAACGCAGCCGCGAGCGCGACAGACAAGGTGTGTGTTTCTTTCCTTTCTTCAGCTTGGACTGACTGTGAATACTATCCTAATAAATGACCAACAGCTCCCCAGTGCTCTCCTCCCCATCCCTGACAGTGTTAGAACCAACAAGCCCAACCCCCAATCCCAACCCCGACCCTCAACCTCTTCCACAACCGGAACAAAAGACGACAACTACCACTACGGAATAACCTACACACCCTACACAGCCAGCGGAACCTGCAAAACCTCCTCCCTGATCCACGCCGACATCGCCCAGCTCAAATCCTACGGTCTAATCCGCCTCTACGGCACCGACTGCAACCAAACCGCCGAAGTCCTATCCGCTCTCGCCTCTCCAAGGCCTAAAAACCCAGCCTCGACGCAACCAGAAACAAAAATAATCGCAGCCCTCCCCGACCTAAAAAACCAACAACAAAACCTCAACCTCATCATCACCGCCACCACGACAAACCCCACAGGCTGGACAAGAATCCACAGCATAGCAGTCGGCAACGAACTCCTCAACAGCGCCCAAGCCACGGCCCCGGAGATCGTATCCGCCGTGCAGACCGCACGAACTACCCTCCGCGCCGCGGGGTATGACGGCCCCGTCGTCGCGGTGGATACCGTCCCCTCCCACCTCCAGCATCCGGAGATTTGTCAGGTCTCGGATTATTGTGCTGTGAATTGTCATGCGTTTTTTGATGACAAGGTTACCCCCCAGGAGGCGGGGCGGTATGTTAGGACCCAGGTTGATGCTCTCAGGGAGGTTCACGACGCGAAAAAAGTGGTGGTGACGGAGAGTGGCTGGCCTCATGCTGGTATGGGGAATGGGGTTGCGGTGCCTTCGGCGGAGAATCAGAGGGTTGCTGTTCGGGCTTTGAGGGAGGAGTTTCGGTTTGGGGGTGAGGGTGAGGAAGGGGACGTGGGCTTGGTTTTGTTCTCTTCGTTTGATGATCTTTGGAAGGTTGATAATGCTTATACCTTTGGGGCGGAGAAGTTTTGGGGCATTCTTGGGCATTAGGTTTGCTTCTGCGTTTTTGGTTGAGGGGGTTGGATGGGGGACTGGGGCTTGATCATGCTGGTTGTGGTTGGGTCTTGGGTGGGTGTGGTTATGGTGGTGGTTATTGTGGTGGATATGGTTATGGTGTCGGAGGGCTATAGTATGGCGTTGGGGTCGATATCTGTTCCTGTATCACTGCAGTATTTATGTAACTATCTACACCTGTAAGTCTACGTTTCAATCTGGAAATCAAAGATATGTCCAACATTACCATACTGTTCATTTCATTCAACAAGCTTAAAACAACCCGCCCACGCGCCCCATCCCCCCCATAGCATGAGCACTCCGATCCGTCCTCAACTGCCCCTCAACTCCCACATATCCCGGCAACAACGCCGACCTCCCAGAGGTCGCCAACAACACCCTCAGCCCCAGCGGCGCATGACCAAGCAGCACATCCAAAAACGCCCTGCACCGCTCCTCCGCATCAGCCTCCATCTCCACCAGACCAGAAACAATACAGTACCCCAGCACCGGCGTGCCAGCCAACAGCATCCGAAACACCTCCAGCGCGGCCCGCCAGCCGGCACCATCCTCCCGGCATTCACTCATAGCAACAAGCATATCCAGCGGAAGCTGCACCGCATCCTCCTCCGGACGGAACTGCAGAAGCTGCAGAATCAGACTATACACCATAGCCAGCAGACCTGCCTCGCCCGGGGTTCCTGAAAACCCGGCGGCGATCTCGGACGGGTGCGGCCGGCGGCCGACGTGCGATATGAACGGACCCTTGGCCCGGATGGCCACCTGGATGACCTTGATGGCGGCCCAGTCGGCGCTCGTGCGCTCGCCCCGCTCGTGCGGACTGCTGATCCATAGTGTCTCGCAGGACGACTGCTCGGACGATTGCAGCCATGCGCCCAGTCGGCGGACCAGGACCGCGTCCAGGCGGATGAAGGGCGTGTCGGTCGCGAGATCGATCCCGTCGCTGGCGCCTACGGCGTGGATGAAGGTTTCTAAGTCGGTGCAGTATTGCGCTGCTTCGGCGCGGGAGACGGTTTGTGGGGTGCAGGGCGTGGGGTTGTTCTCTTCCGGGGTTGCGGCTGGGATGCTGGGTGGTTGGGGCGCGGGAGTAGGGGCTTGTGGGTGGTGAAGCTGCTCTAATTGTCGCACGTGGTCTGGTTGATGGGTCAGTGAGTATGTCCCGCCATGTAAGAGGAAGAGGTGACTGACTTTCTTGGGCGGCTGTGGTTTCCAACAGCGTGTACATGTATTGGCCCAGCTCCTTGCGGAACGTCTCGACCTCTTTGAACTCGGTGCGCCATTTCGTCATCGCCTCGCGGACGTAGGCGGCTGATCGGGATAGCTTCAGCACTCCGTCCGCGATGAGCGTCACTCCGTACTCCGTCATCAGATCCAGGGACCGTTCGATCGAGGAGACCGTCGCTTGATACTTGGGCGCGCAGTGGCTGTTGAACGAGTCCACGACCCGGGAGTACCAGGGCTTCAGATACCAAGCGGCTACTTCCGTGAAGAAGTCGAAGAACGCCCCGTAAATGCTGGACAGGCGTGCTTGCATGATCGGCTCATCGAAGGTGTCCACCCACCGCGTGCAGACCAGGATGCGGTCGGACAGCGTGTTGATATGCGAGGACAGCTGCTCCGCGATGGTCGAATAGTTGACCGATGCCTGGATGATCATCGAGACGGCGCTGCACAGCACCGACGTATAGACATTTTCGCTCGGGAAGCACTCGAAGATCGCCCGGTGGGCGTCGAGGTTGTTGCAGATGGTATTGAAGTTGCGCGAGATCTTTTTTTTTTTTCGTGGCATGTCAGTTCTGCGCTGCGCTGTACTGTACAGTCTTGTCCGCGCAGAAGGAGACTGACCTTCCCCGTACCGTCCATCCACTTGTCTCTCGTCTGTTGAGCCAGGGCTTTGACATGCTCGACCGTGTACAGCTCGGCGTCTTTGATCTCCACGCCAACCAACTGGCGTGACCCCGATTTGCGATGTCTTCGGAACCGCGACGGCGATGTCTTCGGCGCTCGGTCTTCTTGGGCGGCGAAGAATTCATCGCATTTGGCCTGTAGCGCTTTGCGGGCTATCTCGGCGCCATGGTATACTTCACTGGATTGGCATCAGTCCACCGTGCCCTGCACGTCTGGAAAGGAGTGATGGTGAGAGTCAGTACCCTTCTTCTGGAGCCAGGTCGTAGTAGATCCCATTCATGCGTCTCCGGTCGTTGGCGTCAGCCTCGTGAGTGAGACTCTCCGGATATGCTTTGGTCTGGATGTCGAGCTCGGAGGTCGGATTCAGTTGCCCTGCAAATGCACGGGCGGAAGCGGAGGAAATCCAGTCACTTTTGCTGATGGACATGATCAAGGTAGATACCTGGGAAGGAAAAGAGGTATAAGGGAGGTTTCTTCAACCTATTTGGAAGTCCCCTCAAGGACCTTTGTCACCGGTATATTTGGCTAACTAAAAAGACGAGCGAAAGCGAGCATACAGTGCAACTTATGGCAAGCTTCTTTACTCAGCCCCGCGTCACAGCGGCTCGGCAGAGGTTTGTATGATAGACAGAAGGCTGAAACCAGCCGGATTATATGCGCTTGCAGCCTTTAACCATCTGCTCAGCCTCGCGCTTCACACCTGACCATTCCATAGTAGGATAGTCCTTGGCCAGAAATTACTTCAAATAAGCTGACTTGCACCCGCACTGACAGACCCTTTGGATTGGCTCGCGTACGAGGCGGGGTGTTCGTGCGGCCGCTATCCCCCGCGCAGGATTTGACAATTTCCGTCCTTACTGTCTGTCATAAGACTGAAGAGGCTGGGAGATGCAGACTGCTTCTGCAGCTAGACGTACCAGTCTAGCATGGAGGACAGTGCTCTCTCCATGAGTGGTGCCCTGTCAGATTCAGTGGGGTGAGAATAGCCCACCGAGTGATGGTCAATCCCTATCACCGCTGCCACCGTAAGCATTCGCCTAATTCCCAGCGCTTGCAGCTTGTCATTCCCAAATTGGATCCCGTGTTCTGCGCTGACGGTGAGCTGAGATTGCTTTAAGAAGTAGTGTCGCCGAGTCTGGACGGACTCGTCATTTGTCGATTTCTCGAGAGTCCGTTCTTATATTTCTTCTTGTCTGTTGGCTTGCTCCCGTTTCTTTAGTGTGTTGCTCACCACTGTGTCGCTGACCACTCCGTAGGCTTTGAACTTGATCTACTTCTTGATCTTGAATTGAGCCTGGATACCATGTCCAGCGTGGAGGTTGAGGCTGCTGAGGCCGTCGGAGCCGTTGGAGCTGTCGGAGCCCCTGTTGAAGCCCCTGTTGATCGGAATGGGATTGCCCCAGTGAAGCCATGCATCACCTGTCTTGAGGAGAATGGTAAGCGAGGACATAATTAAGATCGCTAAGCATATCATCCAGCGCTGATGAGCACCGACAGGAGACCCCGCACCCCCTGCGACCAAGGAGACCCAGGGCGCGACAGCTCCGAAGGACATTGTCCAGACCACTGCAAACCCCGAAGACAGTCAAGATGCGACCGAAATACCGTCCAAGGGTGAGATCACGTTTGTTGATCCGGCGGGGACTCGCTGGAGGTTTCCTTACGCAATGTGCAAGACGTGGAAGGTCCGCGAATGCTCCAAGAATATATCCCACAACCCCAATTAACCTCATGCTGATCTGCTCTGCGTGAAAAGGAAGTCAAGGACTTGATCAAGAAAGTTTACGTCAAGGCTTACCTTCCTGACTGGTGCAGCGAGGAGCTGGACAAGGACAACGATCCCTCGGTCGAGTATGCGATCATCACCCTGAAACCGCACCGGTCGCATATTCTCGCTAGCCACTGGGAACACCTGGTGGCCCCCGACCTGGAATTCACCGTCCAATTCGACGCCAGCTACAACGTCCTTGACCAAATACGCGCCAGGAAGGCCGAGCAAAACGCCGAAGATGACGCCGACTCTTCCGGAAACGACGGCAACGCCACGCCGGTCGGGATCGAGGATAAGACGGCGGACATCGTCTACAACGTGGTTTTCCTGCAGCCCAACGAGTACCGGGATAATGTAGTCGTCGCCAGTAAGACCTCGGAGAACGAGCCGGTGATCGATGAGGAGGACGAGGACAAGAAGAAGAAGGAGACGGGCAAGCAATCGGTGCTGGAGGAGAAACGCGAGGTGGCGCGCAGCTCGACAGGGCTGGTCGGTGGCTCGCAATTCATTACCTTCACCAGAGAAGGGCCCCCGATTCTCTACATCCGGTCGGCGGTGCTTCTGGCTGCGCTGAAGACGGTCATGGATCTCTGCTCCACCCCAGAGGAGTATACCCCGCTGGAGTCGGGAATGGAGATGATCACCACCAACCTGGAGAATGGGGTGTTCATCTATCCCTTCACGGATCTGTGCCTTTACAAGGATCGGCTGCTTGCATACAAGAGCGATGCAGCCCATGAGACGCGGCTCCGTCATTCACCCGAGTACAATGCCCTGTGCGACAAGCATATCGATGTCCTGGTGAGGTATCTGTACGCCCAGCCCACCATCGGGCTGAAGGAGGCTGAGGATCTCTGGGCGCAGCCCATCCCCAAGACCACGTTCAAGGCGCTGTGGCTGCTGTTCAGGCCCGGGGCCGAGGTCTACGTCCATGAGCATGGCAAGCTCAACGCATATGTGGTCGAGTCCGTCGAGGGCGGGACGGAATGGAGCGACGTATACCGACGGCCGCAGCCCTACGAGGTGAAGGTCTGGAACTTGAACTACGATGGAAGGTATCTGACCCGGACCGTAAAGCTAATCAACATCTTGGTGTTTGATGGTGAGCGTGAGATTCGCAGCCTGCCTCTGTATCCCACGCGCTTCGCCGAGGACCCGGTCACCCTCCACCGCAACCTGGTTGCGCGGGGCGAGCGATTTGTGAGGATCATGAAGAAACCCACCCTCCAAGAGTTTACAGGACCAAGTACGCTTCAAGGAGCCCGAACGGTGAGTTTTGCGCCGAACTATATTGTTCGCCTGGTTGGTTGAAAGCAAAGTCTGACGGATGATGAAATCCCCAGTTTAGTCGCGCGCGGGTGGTGGTCGACCACACCTGCCAGCCATGGGAGCTTGATGAAACCAAAGCACAGGCTCAGGATAAACCTGGCAACCGGATAGTCATGAAGGACAACGAGTGGGGAGCCTCAGACCAAGTCGTGCAGCTTGGCTTGCGCACGCGACATGCTCGCTGTCCGTGCAAGGTGTGCGAGTCGCCCGAACCCCGCCAGACAACGTCGCTAAGGACCAAGTTCGATGATTACGACAACCTCGACCTGCAATCGAGCAAGGCGATTACCGAGCATCACTACTTTCTCTGTTACTCGCACGTCTATGCGTTTGTGCTTCGAGATCGGGCCTGGGGTACGTCCATCTCTTGCCGAATGCTTCGTATTCCATACTGACCTCCAATTTGTCCTGCAGATCTCCTCGATGTAGCTCTCATGGAAGATCCGATTCATAACAAAAACGTCATCGACACTTTGGTGATGAAGCCGGAGTCGAACAAGCAGATGATCCGGGCCATCTGCGAGGTCTTTGGTGGGACCTCTGTGCATTCGCCGTTTACGGCCGATTTCATCAAGGGCAAAGGCGAGGGGCAGATCATCCTACTGCACGGGCCTCCAGGGACCGGCAAGACGCTCACAGCAGGTACGGTTCCCGTTATTGCCATTTGACATTCAAACTAACCTGAGAACAGAATCCGTGGCGGAATACACGGCCAGACCATTGCTGAGCATCACAGCCGCGGATCTGGGCCATGAGCCCGAGATGCTGGAGCGGAAGCTGCTCAACTTCTTCCGGGATGGCAATCGATGGAACGCAATCGTCCTCCTCGATGAGGCCGATGTGTATCTAGAGCGACGATCGCAGTTCGATCTTCGGCGGAACAGTATCGTGTCGAGTGAGTTCGAGGCCATGCGCCCACTTCCTCTCACAAACATGACATAGACTTACGATCAACCTCCAGTCTTCCTCCGCGTCCTAGACTACTTCCAAGGCATCCTGTTCCTGACAACCAACCGGGTGGGCCACTTCGACGAAGCGTTCCGGTCGCGCATCCACGTGCAGATCGGCTACGATCCGCTGAACGACGCGGCGCGCGAGCGCATCTGGGAGAATCACTTCCGCAAGCTCGAAGACAACGCCAAGAACGGCGGACAGGAGATCATCTGCAGCTATTCGGCGCAGGAGTACATCCGCGAGTCTCGGCGGCTGCAGGAATTGCGGTGGAACGGGCGGGAGATCCGGAACGGTGAGTCCTCTTTGTCTACTGACGGCTTTGTATGTATGCTGATCCTTGGGTTCTGGCAGCTTTCCAAACGGCGGTGGCGCTCGCGTGCTTCGAGGCCAAGCAGCGCAACGAGCCGGTGCCGAAACTGAGCGATCGCCACCTCGTGCAGGTGGTGACGATGTCGCGCAACTTCAAGGCGTACATGCAGGCGACGGAGCGGCATGATGAGTCGCAGGTGGCGTTTTTGGAGGGATCGAGGGATGACCGACAGACGGCTAGCGGGGAGATGTCTTAGGGCTGTGGATGTAGATGTAGATGTATGCAATTTCTATAGAACAAACTATCTTACTATCACCTCAATCCAATCAATACTCCACCTCCCTACACCCAGTACACACCCAAGCCAAAAGATAAACCTACCCCACCCGCCCCCCCAAAAACAAAAACTAAGGTAAGGCGACCATCCCCTGAACCTGCACCGCCCCCTCAGCGGGAGCAACCCACCCCAACCGACTCCCCGTATAGATCTCCGCTTGAGGTTTATGACTCTCCAGAAACTCCTCATCATCAAGTATCCCCGCCCGCAGAATCACAGTCTCATGCGGAGTCCCATCCTCCTGCAACCTCCACCCATACAGCGGGGTCCCTATATGCCCAACAGTATCAGCAACTCAGCTCATCCCTCAGCCCCCCAATCCTGGATCTTTGGGGGGGGGGGGGGGGAAAAAGGGAAAAAAAAAAAAAAAAAAAAAAAAAAAAAAACCGCACCACACTCCCCGCAGAAATAATTCCGGATCTGGTTCCCGCTGTCGGCGGTTTTCCGGACTTCTTTGGGTTGACCGGAGAGGAGTTGGAGGTCCGCGCGTTGGATTACGAGGCTGTAGATCGACAGGCTGCCGGAGATTTTGCGGCAGTCTTTGCAGTGGCAGATTCCCTTGAATCATTGTCTATTAGTATTTGGTTTGGGGGTTGTTTGGGGGGTTTTTTTGGAGGGGGGGCGCGGGGATTCGCTGCTTGGAGCTGGGGGCTTGGGGTTGACGGACTGTGGTTATGGGCTGGCCGGTGTAGTTTATGCGGATGTGGCCGCAGAAACAGCTTCCTGTTGGCATTTTTGCTTTGGATTGGTTTTGGGGGTTGGAGGGGGGTGTGGGGTGTATCAATTATTGATTTGAAGAGTATGGAGGGTGTCTTTGAAGAATAGAAGAAAAAGAGGAGTGTATTGTGGAAAATAGAGGGTAATTGGGTTATGCTGGTGGACTGGGACTGGGGATTATTATATGCTGACTAGAATAGACTCGGATCAGCCTGGATGACTGTTTTGTTGGCGTCTCAACGGATATACTCTGTCAGAGTGTTGGGTTACGGGGCTCCTTACTATCTATAGAATGGATTCTGGCGGGGAAGGATCGCGGTAGGAGGTTTGGTTGAACGGCCCGTGCAGGCTTATGCTTCTAGATGCTTGGTTCGGCATTCTTTAGATTGGAAGGAAGTGTATCGTGATCGAAAGAAGAGTTCTGTTAGCATGTGAACCTAATTCTGTCAATATACTTGTGCTAATGCACGTGTTGTGTGGAGTGAGTATCATACGTATATCGAGTAGTACAGTACAACAATCGTGCTAGCCATGAACAGGATGCAGATCCTTGCAGCCTGGAGCAACCCCGCAGCTGTGGTCTAACAATATGCTGCTACATAAATAGGAGGTATGGTCTCTCACTCTCGCAGATAATCCATCCATCCACAAAAAAAACATACTATATACGATAAAATGACCCCCAAGAACACTAACTCGTACTTCCTCCTGGGCAATCCCTACTACCCACCCGACGAAGCCATCTGCTTAGGGCAAATCGTGACGGATCTCCGGGCCCCGTTCCGACCCCTCGCGCGGCCCCGCCTGCCACTGCCCCCCATCCACTCCCTCGTGCAAACCGACTACACCTGCTCGCAGTCCTCCCTCAACTCCCATTCAGGCGGCCTGACCGCGGCCTTCCTCGCGCAATTAGGCTCCCCCCTCAGTGCAGACGCCAGTCTCCAGTCCAGCCGGTCCGAAACCCAGGAATGGCACGTCGACCGGCTGGAGACGTATTCCATTGAGCCGGATGAGAGCTACGTCCGGGAGAGCGTGTTCGGCGGCGGTGCTGGTGCTGGTGTTGGCCCCGTTGGGCCAGATTCACAGTCTAAATCCCCCGTGCAGGACTATCTCATGCGCGGTCGGTTGCTCGGCAAGGCCGTGTATATGATTACCGGGGTGAAGGTCGGGAAGGGGCTGAAGTTCCAACGGGTCAGTGGGAGTGATTTCTCGGCTGATGCCTCTGTTAAGCTGGATGCTACCGCGTTGGCTGGGGTCCCCGTGCAGGCGGGCCCCAAGACTGGCCTCAAGAATCAGAAGGAAGTGCATGAGAGCTTCGAAGTGAGTGCCGCGTTTGTGTTCGCCTATCGGGTCCGCAAGATCTTCGTCGGTTGGCGCCCTTCTAAAGGGGTGCGGACGCGGGAGGTTTTTGGTGGGCAGCTGTTGGGGATGGATGATGATTCGGACTATGTGGATGAGATAGAGGATGATGATGATGATGATGATGAGGAAGATGAGGAGATTGGCGTGGTCAAACTAGAAAAGCGGGACTTGGGAGAGGACTATGCTCCAAGGGGATTTCAAAGGGTTATTCTGAAGGACGAAGGCACCGGGGAAGAGTGTCGCGTGCTGGTTTGACAAACATTCTCGCAGTCGGCTCTATGCACTCTCTAGGAGGGTGACCAGCATGATAGTTGACAAATGCTCCTCGTACGATCGAAAGCGACCCCGATCGCCTTTCCACGGCAATAACATCTTGTATCCGCCATCCGACCCCACGCTCATTCCGCTAAACACCCGATAGATGTAGTCGTAGTTCTCCAATGGCTCTCTCAAGGCCAACTCCGCCGCATTCATCCGGCAGTAAGTCAGAACACTGGCAGCCAAGGCTGCTGCGAGAGGGGTTGCCACTGACGTGCCCGACATGTATTTAGCCCTTCCAGCCAGCTCTTGACTATCAATCACCCCTTCTGACTCCTTAGACTTTTGAGACCAAATAGAGAGAATGTCGATTCCGAGAATGCCAAAATTCACACAATCACATTGAGGGCTAGGAGTGAAACGGGCAGGCTGACAGTCGATATCCGAAGCATGGATGCCAAACACAAAACGGCTCCTAGCAGGGTAGGGTATTAATTGTTGGTTTCCATCGTTGGAAGCTGCGCCGAAAAGAACAATTCCTTTTCCATCAGCAGCTCGGAGCTGTTCGTCAATCTCCCGGGTCCGTCCCTCGAGTCCAAAGGACATGGAGATGACGTCCACCTCCAATTTGTTGATGGCATATTTGAGAGCCTAACTGTTGATTAAGAGAAGGCTTACAGGAAGACCGAGCCAAACGGAAACTGACCTTCGCAACCCGACTGTGAATCTCTCGATCACGGCGAAGATCTTTGCGACGAGCGGCAATGCGGACAACATATAGATCAACATGGGGAGCAGATCTGAGGATGATACCAGCAACATGTGTTCCGTGACCATCCACGTCACTACCATGGGGATCGGTCCCTGCACCAGTAAAGTCTTGGTAGCCGCGGTCTTGCAATCCATCTCGGCGCCAATGGGCCTTGACGAATTCATGTTCAGCATCAATTCCGGTGTCAAGAACGGCGATCTTCGTTTTCACGTCCGCATGCCCATTTCTTTTGGCCAGAAATTGACAGAAGACTTTGAAGTTGCCGAACCATTCCTCGGTCGTCTGAGATCTATTGAGGACGAGACCGGTTAATCACACAGTAGAGAGACCAATGGGAAGAAGAATCAAGAAAAGACCTTTCGACTTACTGTTGTAACTTGTTGCTGTCAAAGGCCGAAGCCTTTTCTCCTAGAATGCCCATGATCAAGAATAAATCGTCCTTCTCCAAATCTCTCACCACCTTGGTAGGTTGAAGTAACACCTCATCTTCTGGCTCAATGCCCACAAGTTATAGATTCTGGTATCACAGTTTACCCCTCTTCCATCCTCCCTCCCAAGTAAGCACTAAGCGCTAGGTGCATGAAACCGCTGATCACGGCGCTTACGAAGAAGATCCCTTCCTCCCATAGCTAGACGATCAAGTCAAACCCCTGTAAGCGCCGGTGACAGAAATGCCAAATGAAGAGACATGCACGAGTGTGGCGGTTAGACTTCCTTACTGAAAATAGACCCTATCCATTCAATCCCTGCCAAGTTCGGTGCCTGGTCTCAATCGGCGCTACCAGTACAATACAGTATATTTTTGGATTGTGATGCCGATGACTTGGCCAATTAAGTGATAAGGTTCTATATGTCAATCTGATTCTCAAAGAATTCCTTATTATTCCTTTTCTTCTTGGCAATATGAAGTGATTCCAGTAGACTGCAGCAGCTAAAAATACTTGGCTTTTGTTAGCCGCCCGCTTCAGTGGATCTCAGAGACAATTGGGAACTCACGGCGACAGAGGGTTAAGCCGAACAAGCTGAGAACCAACGCCGCTTCTCTCATAGATGAGAAATGGTCGACATTCAGCTTGCCAAGCGCGGGGCTGTATCCTTTTGACCAACCCCCAAGGGGACATGGTCAAGGCCCGATGAAAGTGCATACTCGACCTGACTTGAGTCGCGGCCTGGGCGGCGCCTAGTGCGACTGACCGTGACCCAGAAATCACGCACGTTCTCAGAGAATGCCAATGATGCGCCTGGTCAATCTAGGAGACAGTCTAGTTTCAATAGGCAGCGCGACTAGTTCATTTGACGTGGTGGAGTGCCCTAGTATCTCATTATACGCCATATAGCTCCATCAGCTCTTGGGTCTCGAGGATTCCTATCGATCTTTCATCGATCCTCAACATCGAAAAGGAGTATGTACGTATGAAACAACCGCAGACCGACCCGTTTAATAGAACACGCATTGTTCGTCGTGAAAGCAGTAGCGTGTCGATTCGGCAGAACTGAGATTTTCTCAGGGCTCCAGTGTGATCACAGTCGTGTGCACTGGCCCAGCAGGAACAAAGGGCGCCCGGACAAAATGCATGGCGATTTGCTGCTTTGCTTCGTGGATGTCTGCAGACACCTTCCGAATACGACCAGATTCGGGCACGTACGTGGAGCCATCCTGGCGGCTCAGCATGCTCGCTTCCTCGATCTCAATAATCCGCCGCGCACACAGTCCCGAGTATCGATCGCGCCACGCCCCATGATAGAACGGCGATTCAAGCATGAGCTGGCATGCTCGTCGTCGGATATCGGGGTGACGACACCGGGATGCCACCAGGAACACTGGCGGCGTGATGTCCAAGTCGAAGCTAAACAGAAGGCTGTATCCCTTCGTGGAGTGTTGCCAGTCCGCGACGATGTGTTCGGCAGATTGACAATGATCTGAAAATAATTGGCGTGCTCGTCAAGTGAAGTCTCCAGTTCCGCATGATAGGCCCCGATTATGACGGTTGACGTATTGTAGTATAGGCCTAACAGGTGGCGGCTACAGGACTGGAGCGGAGTCGATTATAAGGATATCGAGCAATCGACTGCGGCTTTCCACTGGTGCAGGATCGCAACGGGGTCTTGCTTGATATGGTCATAATAGACAGCCTGGTTCGTTTCTAGGGCCGAGAATATGTAATTCATTGCGCGGTCAAAATCCCGGCGCGCGGCGTCGAAGGAGAAGTACGAGGAGGGGATAATCGGAGGCGGAAGACAGGGGCTGATGCCATATGCCTTCCAGCTATGGCGGGAGTCCATACACAGAGAGAATTGCACGCGGAGTCGTTGCAGGATCGGGATAATCTTCCCATTCATGAACTCCGATACGGGCCGCGAGTAATCCTTGAGATTGTTGTAGTTGCCCGTGCGTAAGCGGCACCAGTAGATGAGCTTGAGGCCAGCTGTCAGGTACACTACGCAGGCATCATCTTCGTTGCGAAGTTGCTCGAAGCAGACGAAAAGAATGCATAGAATCATGGTGACGTCGGGCGCGAGGACATACTGCTAGATCCAAGGAGAAGGGCCTGGATGACCTAGTTATAATGCTTTAAAGCCAGGATCTGGGCGGACGAATTGCGGTCTCGTTGCGATTGACGCAGCCAGGGGAGCCCAGTGGGCTCTCGTGTAAGGAGGCCAAGGCAGTGAGACCATGGCGGACGGCACTGTCAGCATGGCCGCGTTGAAGGAAGATAGTTATCCAGTCACTGGCATCCTGCTCGCCGAAAATTGAATGCACCGTGCGGCTGTGGAAGAAAGCAAAGGCTCGTCGGTCTTCATCCGCAAGGTGATTGGCCGTAGACAGAGCTTGGGAGACATTCGAATAGCCCTCGCAGATGCGCTGGGTAGTCAGACACTGCAAGCATGCTGGTTTCTGCTCGTCACATTTCACGCGCCTGGAGAAGGAGGTCTGTAGCTGTGAATTTGAGAGGGTTCAGGGTAGATGTGGGAGTGGAGAGCAGATGAGTACCTCTGCCTATATGTCCAGAAATTGAATTAGAACCGGCAATCTACCAGAGTAAGGAAGGTAGAATGGCTTACTTGCAAGTGAGGCAGCCCGTCCGAGCCTTGTACCTCTTGGTGACCGAGGCATTCGGCCTGAGACAATCTGTGGCCGTCGGAATAGCGGCCATTCCCAGTCGGACGTGGAGCTGTACGTAATACTGATCAATATAGTTGCGAGAATAGATGGGAATAGGAAGTCAGTGGGAAGAGGCCGGGGGGTGGATGGAAGAAGGACTGGGTTGAGTGCCGAGTGGGGATTTACGGTTCGGTGGCCGAAGGACCAACCCGCAGGTACTGTACAGTTACAACTACATGGATAATGCAACCAGAAACCTACTTAGCAATGAACGGGTTCTCCATCTTGATGAGTCTGCCAAGTGAGTGCAATGATCTCATCAAGGTGTCAATAAGAACCCATTCACAGACAATATGACAATAGAACCGGTGAATCCAGGTAGCTGTGGTGTATCTTAGTGAGTCATTTCCGCAATTGCAATTGAAGGTCTGCGCACCGCTCAGGAGTGAGCCATATAAAGCTTCAATTTTTTAGGTGTACATGATCTTGACCCCACTGGTTGACTTGTGAGAAGTTTCTCTATCTTACAGGACGGCTGCATGATAGGTTGCTCAAGCAGCAATGTCATAGATTCATTGCCCATGTGGTGCTGCAAACTTCGATGAACGAATCTGAATGGTGATTGGTCCGATCGCAAACCAACTTCTATAGCCAATAAGAGCTAATAGCTTTCGTGGATCACAATCTTCAGCTGGCCAATAGCGGTATGCTAAACGGCTCTAAAGGTCAAGCTTTATGGGACTAGACCGAATGTGATGCTAGTGCGATACGTCAGTAAGGTGCAGGATATAGTAGTATCGTTACAGTACCTAACATAATGTAATGATCCATTGCTTGCTTGCTGTTGACATGGACAAAGTACGCCACTCTAAGATTCTGGCATTTTACATCTCATCTCGTGCATATCCAGTCTTCCAATTTATCCAACTATTCCCTCTCGCAGTATGCATCAGCACATCCAACAAGAAGAGTCCGAGATGACGCTCGACCCCCGCGAACCCTCGCCCGAGGATCCGTCCAGCGGATTCGGCCAGGCCTTCCCCGAAGGCGGCTGTCAAGCATGGACATGTCTGCTAGGATCGTGCCTGTTGATGTTCCCATCCTTTGGCTTTCAGGCTGCTGGTGAGTTACCGTCATCATGAAGAGTCAACACAGTTTGAGGGAAAATCACAGCAGCCACCAACTGACACACTGTGTTCAAAGTGGGCGCCGTTCAAGACTGTATCAGCCTGCACCAACTGTCCGGGTATAGCGTGCGAGACGTGGGCTGGATCATCGCTATCTTGGTGTTTCTGACCCTGTCCCTGAGGGTCCAGGTCGGGCCTCTTTTCGATCGGTATGGGCCGCGGATCCTATTGATCAGCGGCTCAGCCGCCAGCTTTCACCTCGTACATCCTGCTCGCCGAATGCACCAAGTACTGGCACTTCATCCTCTGCCTATCGATCCTGGGAGGCGTCTCCGCAGCCGTCAACACAATGGTTGCAATCGCAGTGCTAAGCCAGTGGTTCCATCGCCGACGGGCATTAGCCTCTGGCCTGTGCATGGCAGGCTCGTCCGCCGGCGGAGCAGTGATCACTCTGATCCTCCAAACAATATTCCCCTGCTACGGTGACGACCTCCATCCGCACGATCGCCTTCATCGCGCTGGGATGCTACACACTAGGCGTGATCCTGGTGCGCGGCCGCCTCCCAGCAGGCAACCGCACCGCCAGCCGCGCAACAATCGACATGGGCGCGTTCCACTCCCCGCGGCTGTGTTTCCTGACCGCAGCGGTATTCGCCTTCGAGTTCATCATGTTCGGGTGCGCGGCGCTGCTGCCGACGTACGTGCGGTTTTCCGGGATCTCGACCAACGTGCAGCTCTACTCGCTCACAGCGCTGAACAGCATGAGTCTGCTGGGGCGCGTGCTGCCCGGGTTCGCGGCCGACCAGGTGGGTCTGTTCAACGTCTTGCTGTGTCTGGTGGTGGTCACATTGGTGGTGATGGCCGCCGTGTGGCTGCCGTTCGGGTCGCGTGACGTCGCTATCTTTGGCTTCGGGTCCGGTGGCTGGCTGTCGCTGGCACCGGTGTGTGCCGGCCAGCTCTGTCGCACTGAGGAGTACGGCCGGTTTTACGGAACGGTTTACTTTGTTGCTGCGTTTGGTGTACTTTTGACTGTGCCGGGTGGTGTTGAGTTGTTGCAGGCCACGACGCCGCAGGTGCTGGTGGGGTTTTATGCCGCTGTGTTGCTTGTGGGACTTGTTGCGTTGACGCTGTCGCGGTGGGCGGTGTTGGATTAGAAGTGGCGGTGGAAGGTTAAGGTCTAGGGTTAGAGTCTTCTAGTTATGAAGTCTGTCTTGGAGGAATTATAGGAGCTTTGGATGATGGCAGTAGTGATTCTTTATGTGCATTCTCGATTTACTATAAATCCGTCTTATGCAGGGCTTTCATCCTCCCATCCCACCCCTAACCACATCCTCATAACTAGGCAGTAGCCCTCCCTCATCCCCCTCACACAAACCAATAGGCCAGTCCTCACCTACGCAAGTCTCGGGAGGATTACCAAATCCCCGCTCGCACACCACCCGCACCGGAACCTCAAGCACAGTCCTCCGCGGCCACGCTATTGACCCATACGAGACATGCAGCTCCAGCACATGGCCCCGCAAGACGTCGCAGGACTGGAAGGACACTTCCGGAAAGTCCAAGACTGGAGTTCTGGGCTGGGCTGCTTTCCGGCGCGGGAGCACGAAAGAGACTGCGACGGTGGCCGTGTAATAGCAGCCGCGACCCGCCTCAGTATTGCTGGTGCTGAGTCGTGTCCATCGTATACGCTCTGTCCCGCTTAGTAGTTGTAGCATGGTAATCTGGACATGCGAGCCTAGATTCGGGCGTAACTGCGCGGCGGGGCCGGTGAGCGGGGGGACGGTTGTCGTCCGGGGGTTGGTGGTGTAGTCTGTTTGCGTGCGTAGCATGGGTCGGATCTTGTGGATGACTGGGGGCTGTTGCGCTGTGTGGTGATTTATTCGGGCTAGTAAGGGGATCGTGGCGATGGGGGAATAGGAAGGAGTCTGGGACGTGGCATCGGAGTTGAGAGGTGGGAGTGGAAGGCAGATCTCTAGAGGCGTCGAGATGGTGGTTATAATCATAGACTTTGGTTCTCGATAACGCGGGGGAGGCCGGTCGAGGGTCTCTGGCAGGGTCTGTGTTGCTGACTGAAGGCTTGGGAAAGTCCTCAGGGAGATGGTAGTGGTCGGAATGATCCTCAGCTCCCTGGTTTGCGAGGCGAGAGACTCGCTTGGGAGTCCGGCCATATGCTGCTGCACGATAGTGAAGCGCACGAGATAGAGAATCTCGCAACTGGATCGGGAGGTGTTGGTGAGGTGCAGAGTGGGTGGTAGCTGAATGTGCTGCTTCTCGGGCAGACTGGGATCGCTGGTCGGATGCGTGCAGGAGTTCGGCAACAGGTGGGTAGGAATGACATAGGTGTAGGGATAGGTGTAGACGTTTCCCGGCTGGAGTACTCCATTCCCCTGTACAGTAGGTTGATGTAGCTTGAGGAATGTTCGAGATGCTGCTGAATACTGTAAGACCGTGTCGGTTGGCCCGAGAATCACCTTGGTTGAGCCTACAGTCACGCCAACCAGTTAGCCACTGACGAGAGTAACGGTCTGGAGAGAAACCTTCGAATGTGAGATTCAGACTGCTATATGAGATGGGTCGGTCCACATTGACTGTAACACTCCCTTGGATTTGATCTCCGGAAGTGTAGTATGGCCGGGGGTCAGACAAGTGAATCGATATCCCAATGCCAGAGGAGCGCTTGGTTGAATTCAACCCCCTCCAGACGTTAGAAGGCAAAGTCATTCTGCAAGTCCAGTGAGGTCTCAGGCTACTAAGCACCTAGTATTCCCCTTGAAGCGCTTCGACACCCCTCCTTTAAGCGCTTGATGGGCCGGGATTGCTTATGGAGGCAGGGGTTTTTATGGATGATGTATCGGCATGTCATGATACAGTATCATACACCATATATGGTATGTACGCGGAGAACTCTCCGATTGGATTGATCGCATCTAGGACCGTAGCACCAATCGGATGGCAGGCTTTGACATGCGGTTCCCACCGGTAGGGCGTAGAGGTGGAGCAATCGAAGTAAGCCGGTACTGGGTATGAAGAATCTCATGCCGAGCAGACCTCAAGACGTGAATTGTGTTATTACAGAAATGAAGGCAGGATCTAACAATAAGGGTTCCAAGACATACTGGAAATCGTTCCATAGCTTTCCTGGCCTACCGTGATCCAGGTGCGGATACTGATATGGCTAGACTCGGTTCGCAGACTTGAAGCTCAGACGGGGCGCAGAAGGAAAATCGGGGAACTTCTTGGAGTAAGCAGCCAGATCTGTCTATGTCCAAGGCATGTCTATGTTGGATCCTTGCATGAGGCTGTGCTGACATCCACGGGGATATCAGTGACCTCAGCTTTGGGCCACGGCTGCTGCTTCCAGCTCGGGCGACACATACACAAATATAACTGACGTGAGCGGGCGCTCTTGTATCTTCCTGCACTTCCCTTGCTCACCTCGTCCACTATTACACCGACGAATCAAGCCACGGGTCCTCCAGCAGCTCTTTCGCCGTCTTCCTCTCTTCAGGCACCCACCGCAACATGGAACGTATGAATTGAAGAAACAAGCGCTGATTGATGTCGTCTCCACAAAGGGATTCCTCAGATGCTTCCAGCGAAGCCGTAGGGATGGTGACGCCCCCCGCACCCAGCCATTTGCCTAAGCATGATCCTTCTCATTAGCTTCAAAAAATTCTGGTAGAATAGGTGGGGAGGTGCAACTGAACCATCGTCGGTAAAAACATGGCGAGTATCTTGACTCCGTTTTACAAAAGACAGAAGGGGCAGTCCAAGACATGCCACCATCTCAGCTACATGGTGGGAAGGGGAGTAATCTCCGTCCTCGTCAAGCGCATGAAACAGATGTTTATCTTCAAAGACATCCCACACCTAGTGGAAGGATTAGCACTCCTCTAATATCTAGAAATATGCCGCATACCATGACCCCCAGGTTCCAGATATCAACACTCGGGCCCCATTCCATATCAAAGAGGACCTCCGGGGCCCTATAGGTATCCGGTTGGATGAGTCCGCGATGCGAGAGTCCGATCCGGGCGTGTCCCAGATCACAGAGAACAGGCTGGCCCCATAGCCCGTCCTTCGGGAAGCGGAGCTTCCGCGAGACGTAGGTCGTTCTATGCTGGTTGACAACCTTCCGCGGACTCGGGCTCTCGCACTCCGCTTTCTCAAAATCAGCTAGCATCGTATCATCATCGATACTGAGCATGATATTCGAAGCTTTGATATCTAAACACTATAAGCCATTTCCACTCACGCAGACAGCACACCCCTCAATCAAGATCTTCTGGAAAAGGGACACACCAGAATGAACAACTCCGGCCACCGAATGCAAGAAATCCAGCGCTTGGAGAACGCACCCCAAAGTCTGCTTCAGAATTCCATCGCTAAGCCCCCACGAAGAAGAAGACATCCGTCGCAGCTCATGCAACGACATGTGCATCGGCGGATGCACCAGACATCTATGGACACCGTCCGGACCGGATACATCGAACGTCTCGTACAAGCCCCGGATATATACGCCTCCGATATGTGTTGAACGGAGTTTGCTTAGATGGTCGTAGACTCGTAACTCTCCGGTTAGGGACTGCGCGGAGTGGGTGGTTGTTTGGATCTTGATGGCTGTGTATCTTTGTTCGCTGCAGCGAGTGAGAGTCAGTGGTTGTTGGTTGTTGGTTGTTGTTTATTGGAATACCCACCTCTGGTCGTGGCATAGCCATACCGTCGAATCGGACCCGTAGCCTAGTTTGCCCACTACCCGGTACTTTGAATGCAAGATTTCTCCGATGTGTACGGGGTAGAATTCCTCCGGCCGGTAGAAGGGTAGTCTTTCTTCTTCCCAGGGTTGGGTGGTCGGGATGTGAAGTGTTCGCGTGTGTGGTACGCGCTTACATTTTGGGATTGTTGCGAGGGGGATTATGGGGTTGAGGTTGGGGAGGGATAGAGTCCGTCTTGTTGCTGAGAGGTACATTAATTGGTGGGGGCGAGAGTGAGGGCTAGGCTTAGGATCTAGGCTTGGATGATGAGGACCTAGAGATTATATGGGAGATGAATAGTACGAGCTATAACTAGGGAGCGATGTGGCTGGGATAATGTGGCTTGGATGTTGGTGAATGCTGGCTTGCTCATGCGCACTCTAAGTATGCGGCCGGGGCGGATATCAACGTCCCCCCGGGCCAGCGCTCTCGACAGCATCAGTGAAGACGATGGCACGGTGTTTGAGCTACTTGTTACACACGGTGTCCAGTCTCCTTTGGGGCTACCGTCGGCTCGCGGAGCGTATACAAACTGCTAACACGCTGCCCTCAGACAAGGCCACCCGCATTGGCGGGACTAATAGCAAAACCCTCAGTAATGCATTATCCAGATAGATAAACCTCTCAATTAAAGACACACGCCGATATGCCAATGCAAAATTACCCTCCAAATGACAAATAAGTGAGAAAAAAAAAAGGCTATTCCTCTAGAGACATGTTCTGCACCGCTTCTTCAACACTGACAGGCCCTCCAGACTTCACCCCCAAGATCGAGGGCAGTCCTACAGCGTGGTCCTGCTGCTCGTCGCAAGGATCAACTCCACTCAGAGGAGTCGGCGCTTCGTGCTCGGCGGGTGACTCCGGTCGTTGTGAGGGATCCCCCGGGGTGTGTCTGCCCCGTCCCCAACGACGGGTCTTGGGAGGCTCCGGTTTTTGACCATGCTTGGAGTTGGAAACCATGTTAACCAAGCTGCTCCCGCTCCCTGAGGCGCTGACATTATGGTGATGGAGCTGGGGGACGACTCGCGATGGACTAGTGAGCGGCGTACAGTGGCTGGACACCGAGAGGGTGGCGGCGCCAGGCACAGCGGGATGGGTCGATCGTCGCGGTGGAGGAACCGCTGGCGGGGGATTGGAGGCGGACCGACGCGTGACCCGGGGAACAGGTACGTCTAAGCTTGATGTGCTGGTGGAATTCCGCCGATCACCCGCTCCACCCGTAGGAGGCGGGGGTAGCGGACTGGTGATTTGGATCTCTCGATCCTCCGGGATCCTATCCGCGTGGTCGTCATCCTCAGCCCTGGGACGGCCCCTCCAGCGACGGGTCTTTGGGGGAAGCGGTTTGACTTTCACTCTGCTCTTCAATGGACTGAGAGGACGGTCCGAGTAAGTGTTGTTGCGGCTCGGTGTGATCACACCCGGCTTTTCATGTTGCGATGCCACCTCCTGCACGCTAAGCGAAGATGATGAGGCCGGCTCCAAGTGCATGCCCAGTCTTTGCGCCTGACTAAGCTTACGGTGCGCGTATGGCTTACTATAGCCCGTTCCAGCCTCATCATCGACACGGGTAGGAGACAGATTCTCCGAAGAACTGTCCGCAGTGCTCGTCGGGGAGAGCGTCTGGGACAACTCCAGCGACACATCAAACTCACCTTCAGGCGGCTCGTCATCATTGACGTCGGCGGTTTTGATTGGTGTCAGGGCGTCCTTCCGAGCCTCCTTCGACTCCGCCTCCCGAATCCAGTCCACGGCTGCGCACCGGAGAACCAGCCTCCGCGTGGTTTCATCTGCATCGTCAAAGTGCATGATCTTCTCTTGGTCCGCCTCACTGTCGAAGAGCTGACCGTTAACCAGGATACTGAGCATCCGCTTGATATCATCACGTTTGTAGTAGGGCGGCAGTCGCAACTGCGTATGGGCGAGCAGCGGATAGAGAACTCGGAGGTAGGTGTGTCGAAGGGCGGACGACTCTTCCGGCAGATCCAGCAAGTTTCGAATCAAAATGTCAACCAGGACATGCAAATCGTTTGTGTAAAAGTATTCGTAGGTACTCGGAGTAGTGAAGATGAGGTATAGAAGCTTGAGCGTCAGAAGCTGGAGTGACGTTTCGCCTATACCATATTAGTCATTTGTCCAGACACGAAACCAAAGCGCAAGCTACCTTCTCGGTTGATGAGAAGAATTATGTTCTCGCCAAAGGTCTTGTACATATTCCCATGCATCGACAAGACCTTGATGACTTTATTGGTCAGGACATTCATGGGCGACTGCTCGTCAACGGGGTCGTGCGCCGAGATCATGAATTGCTCGTTCAGGACCAGCTACCACCGACATTAGCGACCTCGCCTCATCATTCCAAGCGCAAGACTCACCAGAACACGGATGACGGGGTAGTGATAAGGATCATTGACGTCGTAGGAGAGATCCTCGATAATGTCAAACAGGCCGCGAACAAAGTCGTCGTCCACCAGAACTACCACGCACAGGGTCAACAGAGTCCAAACCAGGACATGTCGGGGCAAGAAAGACCGGCGCAAACCCACCCAAATCCTCAATTTTCACCCGTTGTATCCGCGACATCTCGTACATCAAGTCCATGAGAAGCCGATGCAGGCCCGCCGGCATGCTCTCATCCTCCTCCGACCGATTGCGTATCTGCAGCAATTCCAGCAACCGTGGGAATGAACCCTCTTCATTCATCATCCGAAAAGCCACCTCATGCTGTCGACCATCGAAGAGCAAGAACGAGGCGATGAGATGAAGCGTAGCCGGGTCGTCGTCCTGGATAATTCGCCAATGTTAGGCCTTATGACAGCTTCGAGTTTGTAGAACGCCCGGGCGATCTGATTTCTTCGGCGTACCTGCAACAAACAATAGATCATCTGCCGTCGGACATAGTCTGTATGCGATTCGAACACTTTGGACGCCAGGAGCTTGTACAGGCACCGCGTAACATCCAACTCGCCTTGGAGGTATTCATCTATGGGTTGCCGCCCTGCGTCAGCTGCTGCGGGTCTGTTTGTTCGTCCAGCGATGACCGGAGCCGACCTTTGTACTTTGTAGCCAAGCTCAGATACGATCGGAGTGCATTGTCGATATGGTCTTCCGAGGAGCAAGGGGCGGAAACGATCTCTTGGATTTCTGCGGGTCGAGGAACCATTAGTACCTGATGGATCGGGTTGCGATAGATGGGGCCAGTAGAGGAACAAAAAAAAGAAATTCTGTGAGGTTCGGCGAAAGACTCAGAGCCTAGATGGCAGCACTCACCGTCCCAGAATTGCTGCTCGTTCTCCAGGATGACCTCAAACTCCATTTCCCACAGCTCGGTCGTCCTCGTCGGGCGTGGCGTGTCCCTGCACTCATCCCGTCTTGCGCCCGTAGCGAGTGGGTTGGATAGAGTGCTGCTCCAGCCAGGGAAGGGGAGCACGAGCGAGCGGGGGAGGAGTGACTAGTGGAGAGGAAGATAAGATTAGGTTTGAACAGAAGACGAGAAGAGGAAAAGGAAGAGGTGGAGGTGGAGGCGGAGAGAGAGGAGAGGAAGTGAAGCGGAGAGGGAGTGCTGTCAATAATAATCAATGAAGAAGGCGGGCGGGCCGGACGTCATTCCCGCCCTCCTTCGACTTTCGCTTGTCTTGTCCCCGCGGATTGCCCCATTATTCTCTGGTAGTCAACCAATCCACCTGGCATGATGAGCTCATTACTGACCGGAGACAACAATATTCTCAGTTGCACTAGACTCGTTCCTTTGCAGTGTTGATCTGACGCATGGCTACCACTCTATCCATTATTTACTACTAAAGTTCCGTACAATAGTACGCCTATACAATACAACATCATCCACAGCCACAGCCACCACCACCACCACCACAGCCATCACCACAACAGCAGCAATAGCATCAAAACTGACACCATATATAAACCTCTTATTTCCAAAGCCAGCTAAAGAAATAACGGAGCGAGCCCCACCAAGAACGACGCAAACAAGATAACAATAGGGGGATAATGCATCAATCAACAACTCATGTACTGGACCGTGGTATCTGTACTTTTACAAGCAAAAGCAGCAATCAAGGGAAGAAAGAGAGAGAAAAAAAAAAGCAAGGCGAACGTGAAATGCACATGCATACAAAACCATTATTAGTTCGGGCGCCTCAGAGGATGCGCTTCGGTGTTCCTGTACAGTGCCAGTTAGCCAGGGCACTTTATCGGGCCACAACAGAAGGAAAGACTTACAGTACATAGTCGTCGAGACTGACGACCGTGGGATCACTGAAGAGAAGGTAAAAGTACTTCAGCGTCTCGGCGAGCCAGAACGACTGCATCTCGTCTGTCATTTGGGGAGTAGCGACGGTGACGTCGTCAATCGCCGAATTAGCGAACTCGGTCCGAGTGTACTTCGAGACTGCCTGGAACATCTCCCAACCCTTCTTTCGCCAGGACTCGTCGCCGGTGAGGCGGTACATGATGAAGACAGACTCGATGGCCTCGGGCCGCAGTAGGTACTTGCGGTTGATGAGCCTCGTCACCCCCGGAGGCAGGCGTTCGTTACTGATACGTGTCGCCACGAACTCCTCGTGCGAGGGCACCTTCTCCTCTTCCTCCTGAGGAGGTTGCTCTGGCTCCGGCTCTTTCGATGCCGTCTCGTCTTCCAATCCAATGACATGCCAGTTGCCTCGCTCACGCTTGCCAAGCAGGGTCTTTTTCTTCTTCAAGTCAGCCACTTCAGTCTCGGCCTGCATTGCTGCCGCTGCCTCTTCCTTTTCCTTCTGCTCTTTCCGCTCCTGCGCCCTGGCGAAGCGCTCCAGCATGTCTGGATCCAAAGCGGTGTGGTAGACCGACTCGTCCCATTCGCAGGGCTGGCCCTTTTTGCATGGAACGAGGGAAAATTCCTCGGGCATGATACCAGTCTTAGTAGACTGGTACGCCCACACACAGCCATCGGTTAGTTGCTTAGCCAGATCCATATCATTATTCAACCCGAAGAGCTTGGCTCCAATGCCGACCATTCCACCGAGAAAGCACGACAGATGATCCCCTTGGTATTCCATGACCGTAGGACCTGGCTTGTTCTTAGGGATAATCGCTGTACTCAGGAACCGAACGTCCCAGCCACCCTTGATCATAGGCTGGAAGACGAGATGCTGCCGAATAGTGTTCATGGCCTTTTCGTACATCGAGCGGTACTGGTCATTGAGACCACCCAAGAGCATATACTCCTTGGGCAGGTACTCATAAGTAGAGTCAGCAAGAGCTCCCAGGCTGTACTTCTCCTTATCTATGGTGGCCGTATCCAGTCCCTCCGTGCACTGCGCTTCGGGTGGAGCCACGTTCGAGTTACCGGATCCTTGCGCCACAGCGCCAGGATACTCCGCGGGCTGCGCATCTTCGTGTAGAGACCGCGTATCATGGATTTTGAAGAAATCCTGATAGCTCTGCGCGTCCGTCGGGGCCGGTTTCGTCGGATGCGGCTTGGAGGAGTAAGTCCTCGTAGTCACAGGAAGCCGGTCGCGGGCATATTCCTGCTCAAGGCGAGCCTTGGTGTTCTCCTTGGTGTTGCCATTGGTCCCTTTTTGGCATCCCGAGGCGTCTAGCTTCAAGGGCCACAGTCCTGGATACTGGGTCTGGTCCTGAAGCTTCTCCAGCTCGTTGGTGATGCGCGCAATAGCATCGTAATATTTGTTCTCTTTCGTCAATTGCGCCAGGCGCGTGAATTCCACAGAGAGCGAGCCGATTTCAGCTAAGATGGCCTTCTTATCGGCATGATGGGGTCTAGTCAAGTGAGACCTGTGTTATAAAACTGTAAGCACCAATCAGAACACAGATTCGTAGTTAGAATCGACTTACGCAGAATACTTGTACATAAGCGAAGGCATACGATTGGGTGTGTCAAATGCACCCATCAGAACCTCGGCCAGTTCCACAGCCTTCTCCAGCAGGACATTATACTTATGTCCCGAGACATCATAAGCACTGATCAACCCACCCAGGTAGCGAATGACAGTTTCGAAGAGAGGGATATCGGCTCTCTTGGAAGTATTGAAGTCAATTGTCTTCACGTAGTCGACTGCGATCGAGAACTCCTCTTTCAAGTCCATGAGCCAGAGTGTATCCAACGAGTCCACCAGCGTCGCTCCCCAGCCGTTAAACGGGTCCCGGAATCCACCGCGCAGGGGCTTAATCTCATCGTGTCCCATGGCGGACGTCTTATATCCAGTCCAGGCGCGCTCGAAGACGGCCTTGATCTCCGACAAGCGTTCGAGACGTGTCATCTTATCGGCCGAGGTTTCGTCTTTGAAATCCGCCTGCAGTTTGGGGAGCGGCTTGGACTGACCCGAAGGCAACCGGATCAAGTCCTCGCTCCGAATGGGGAAGAGCTCGGGCAGCTTCTGCCAGTGCGGGCGCGTCCATGTTGCCTCGGGGGCTTCGCCACCTAATTTACCTTGTCCCTTGAGTGGTGCTCCAAGTCCTGCGGTTTTCCGGTTCTCCCCATCCTTCTCGGTGGTGGGTTTCTCGGATGGTTGAGAAGGTTCGGCCGAGGTCGACGGGGGCGCCTCTACGGCGACATCCGGTGCAGAGTTCTTGGACTCTTCAGTGGTGAACTGCTCGGGTTTGTATTCATGGGTGGACGGAGGAGAGACCGGGGAGAGAGGGGCGGCTTGCTCAGGAGTGGCGGGCGGGTTGGGTATTGAGGCGCCGGGTCGCTGATCGGCGGGCGGCGGCGAGGCACGCCAACTGGCAGAGGATTGTTCTCGTGAACCGGCAAAATGAACCAGGGCCAAAACAAAGATAGCTGCGAACACCAGGAGAACCCGGTATCGCCGGGCTCGGAACATCATCGATGAGGATGTGATCCGGAGGATTTCAGGAACGAGGTAACACAAAGAGGCCCCGGAACGAGGGAGGGAGACCTCGAAGTAAGAAAAGACAAGGTAAACGAGTAAGGGGAAACGAAGGGAAAGAGAAGAAGAGGACGAAGAAGTAAGAATCCCCAAATGAGAAGGTGGGAGAAAGACTCACAACCGGAAGGGAGACTAAAGAAGGAAGAAAGAGGGGAAAATACGAGCAAAGAAGATCACGCGGTGCCGGGGGGAGGGTGTGTGGAAAAATGTCTTGAACCTGCAGGAAGTAGTGGTAAGAAGTCGCGTGAGAAAATAGAATAGTGAAGCCAACGGTGCTTCAGGACAGGATGAAAGAGACTGATCTGATATGAGGAGTATGGCGGTAATCGCTAGCGACAGACAGGAGTTAACATGAAGACTCCCCAGAGGCAGAGGAAAGAAGGAATGACTGGTGACGATAGAATGAATATTGGACTCAATCGATCAATCAATCAATCTAGTCAGAGAAACGACTGACGAGAAACAGGAGGGAAAACAGAAAAATGGAGGACACTGAAGCCTCGATCAGGTCATGATTATTGACTTGGAGGAGTGGAAGAAGAAGAAAGATGATAGTGGAGGTGAAATTACCGTAGGTACAAAACTGCGGTAGTAAGTAGTCACTAATCAGTGACGGACTTCGACTGGTAGACTAGTAAGTAGTCATCACACTGCCCGACTCGGGAGAGGAAACGGACAATTCGATAAGCGTCAAACCCAAAGACTGGAAAAAGGACCGCAGCGAGTCTGGGCCAGACCATAACTGGGATTTGCCTTAAGAGCTCAGAGGTGGTCTATTCGCTGGAATGACTGACTGGGCCAATGCATTTTCTCTTACGGAGTAGCTAGTCTGAAATCCTCAACAGTGTGGAGAAAGAACCCGCTTGGGTGTCGCAACCCCGTGGATTCTTGTTTAATTAATTAAATTACTCAGTCTTTATGATTCTGTGGTCTGTACAGCACTCTGCAGGGCATTCATGAGAGGTGGACAGCTTTAATCCTCAATTTTCTTCAATTCGCGTAATGCCAACCCGGATCAGTCCGGGACTTCTTACAGTCGCAGGAAATTAATTTGCACCCCCCCCTCTCCCCCAATGTTTGGTTCTAGAGATACCGCCTGCTTGAAGCGCTCACACACCGCCTAAAATATATGGGAAGAAGCTGGCAGAATAGCCATAGGCTAGACTTGATTAGGGAAAGTGCTGAACTCTTTCTGAGGGGGGGGTGCATATTAATTTCCTCCCACTGTAGGGCAGAGGTAATCTAGTAAGTAAGTAGACTACTGGGCAAGGAAATCCTCCGACCAGATGCAGTCAAACTGGGAATTGATCTATCGATAGTTCATGCATCCATCATCATGGAACCAAAGTTAAAAATCGAACCAGTTGAGGAAAGAGAAAGAAAGACGGAAGGAAGGGCGACAAAAGAAAAAGAAAGAAAAGAAAAAATAAAAATAAAAAGGAAACCCCGGATTCGCGAGACCTGTAAGGAGATCAGCGGGCATCAGCCAGTCTGATGGAATGCGCCATCGATGGAACCAGCCCAGACTTGCCGATGGAGTCAGTCTACTTAGTTTAGTCTAGCCTAGTCCAGAGCATTCATCTCGGCTCCTTCCCTCCTCCTCACCCCATCCATGGTTATCCGACCGCACTGTTCATTCTGTTTATTCTTCCACTTCAGTTTACCTACTTCGGTGTATTTTCTCTATCCCGATATTGCCTGAATTTCACACAACGGACGACCTTCCCGTGGCCAAAGAAAAAAAGAAAAGAATGAACAAGTTTAGAAAGTGCCATCATCTGACTGCAGGGTGCGTGATCCAGGGGGGCAGGGAAGATACCAAGGAAGGTTTAGGGAGAGGGGCCCGTCCCGGAGGTTACTATTAATAACTGGGTATAGGATTTTCCCCCTGCTCCGGAGAGCGCCAAAGTGTCTCCTCCTCCCCTCCCCCGTAATTAAGTATTTCCGTCCCCCGACACTGGATGGACCGGATGGATGAATGGATGGATGGATGGATGGATGGATGGATGGATGTCTTTACTCCCTAATTTCCCTTGGCCGTTTCTTGGTTTTTGTTCTTCCCTGTCTCGAGCGGCCGCAGGAAGAACCAACAATGCCATTCCTATTCGGGGAGTTGCATAGAGAATTGAACCTAATGGAACAATGAAAAGCGGGATGGACAGGAGCCACCGTGATCGAGAATCATGACAAGGTGTCTGTCAAGTCATGTCTGGAGCAATGTACATAATTAGTACCTCCGAGAGTAAGCAGGGTATCATCGTGACCGCCACTTCTCCTGCAAGACACCGGCGGACAGACCCTTCAGGCCAAATCCACTAAGAGCCCATCGTGATGAAGCATAAGACCCTGACGGAGACCAATTCTGCTTTTCGAAACAAAAGTCCCCTAAGGTGAAACACCCGGGGGAGAATATTTCGCCCAGAGCGGCTGGTTGAGACAGAAGTGGGAATAGCTTCCACCCATCTTGCTCCTTCTAATGGCGGGCGATTACCGAAGGTCGCGCCGGGTGTTCGTGTAAGAAGTATCGCGTTCTTGCGTTTCTATTTTGAGCCTGCATGGGACATCTTGCCAAGCAGAGTGGCTAGTATACGCTTGCACCCAGACCTCATCTCTATCATTATACTCATGGCCATCTAGCTAGATGTTGATCCGGGGCGCTCACAGAGCCGGAACCCGGAATCCACCCCTATTCACATCCTGGTGAACTCAAAATGTCTGCAAGAAGACGGACTTCAGAGCCCAACAGTCGTACGCCCCCGATTGTCCTTGCTTACTTGTTGAAACCGTTGGATCAGTCCCAAGACCCCCGCGCCCCCGGCAAGCGCGTCGACGTTCTCTCCGCCTTCGTCTTCATCATCATCTTCGTCCTTCTCCTCCACCAAGTTCATCCGCCACGACTCCCCCAGATTGCTGTCGCTCGTGCCTAGGCCCGCCCCGCTCGATCCTGAAGCAACATGCGGTGAAGCTTTGACTCCAAGACCGCGAGTCGGCATGGACGGCCCGTCTTCATCCGCAATCGGGTCGGAGATCGTACGTGATGGTCGAGAGGGACGGTAACGAGAGTAGGCTGATGCACGATGGGTGGAGCGGAATCCTGACGCAGACGGCTGGTGATGCGGATCGAGGAGGATCGACGGCGCGGGAGACGCATGATCGCCCAGGCCCGGGGGGCCGAATCGGGGAGCGCCAAAGGTAGACTGTTGGCCCATCATTCCGCCAGCCGGGCCAGGCTGTGCCAGTGTGGCATCCAGTCGCTCGCCATAGTTGCCCATCTCGACGGTCGAGGGTGAACCGAGAGTTGGGAATGTGGGTGGAGGATGGAACTGTCGCTTGTTTGATGGACGGGGATTGGCCCCGTAATTATCCAAGAACCCATAGTAGGAAGCCAACATCTTACCATCCTTGGTTGAGAAGTAGTCGGCCCGCAGGTCCTGCCGTGCGGGATCCCGTCGCCCGGGGTCCGCCTGGGAGATGACGTTGGTGCCCTTCTTGAAATCAAACACAGCAAAGGAACACAGGTAGCCCATACCATCAACATGGACGGTAAACTCCCGAAAGAAATCGATGAGGCGGTCGCTGCATTTGGGCAGGCTGAACCACAGGATGAAAGGCGTGAAGATCATACTCATAATCTCCTCCAGGAAGATCACGATCTTCATCTGATATAGAGTGGCAAAGTCCTTCCGGACCTCGTCACTATGCAATCGCCCTTTCCAGTGGCCCGGGAAGTAATGAGTGAAATTAATCACCTCCAAGAGCGCATACTCGGGATCGAAAACATTTGTCTCCTCCGGCACCATGCCCTGGGCGACCGCCCAGACAGATCCAAAAACACCCAGGTAGAATAGCACGGTGCGGTCCGGGGAGATTTCGAACCCCAGAAACAATTCCGGGTCCACAACGGATGCTAGAGCCAGCACAGATGCCAGTGCTCCGGAGACGAAGGCAACGAACCCCGCAACCTGCACGGTCTTATCCTTGGGAAACTGGTCAACGTAGCGGCTAGCGAATGGATAGGACATGTTGATTCGACGCTCAAAGAGGTGCCAGAGCTCGTTGAACTCCCGAAATTTCCACTCCGCCAAGGGGGTGTATTGGCGCGAGCCAATCTGGGACGGATTCTTCTTGTATTCGTTGAAGTAGCGGAAGAAATAGTGTGTCATGAAATAGACGACAATGAAAGGAGCTGCAAAGATGTTCATGATTCCGGCAAAGATGAATCTGCGGCGCAGGCCGTCGCTCAATGCCCGTCGGTGAGTGTCCTTCAGGAACAGCGTTCGAACTTGGCCCTGCTCGTTGAACACATAGTCCATAACGCACAAATTGATGTTCCATTCTAGCGTCCGAGAAAATAATTGTCTGTTCCGCAAGAACGGAATCGGAAGCGTGAGATCAAGTATGTCCTTATTGACCAGAGCTATTAAGTAGTTTTCTTTGCGCATCAGCCGGTTAGCGATATCATGAGCATCCATGCGCTGTTTGGACTGGCTGCCCATGAACTTGCGATTTTTGGCAGAAACAGCGCCGGCGGTCGCTGGATTAGAATCTCGCAAGGTCATCAAGCGGCTGACCACTTCCTGCCAAGATATTGTTTGGATCTCTGCATCGGAGATCCCTAGTAGATAATGGTAGAAGTCATGCATGTGCTTGAGACGCCGAATATCGAGAACATACTGGAATGTCTTGCCAATCCAGAACAACGATAGCAACCAAAGTAGGAAGCTCGAAGAGAACGACATCTTTTTGGTACACTGCTGAATGTAAATGTCGTCTAACCTTTTACTTCCGCGTACACTGCGATAGTCGATGCAATTCGTCAGGAAGGTACTGAAACCTACGACAAACGCAAAAGTTCTATGGTCAGTCAGCGGATGTCAGCATTTTATCTCAATGGACCGCGAAGTAGTGAGAGCGTACAAAAGGCTTAAAGCTCGGTTCAGCAGGATCGACCAGATCCCGTTACCGAGGTAGTACGTATAAACTTCCTTCAAGAAGTTGTCTAAATCCTCCACGTTCGCCCACATCCACATTGCTTTCACTTTGGGATCTACTGTGGCCAGATCTGGGTATCCGGCTGACCATAAAGCCCCATGGTGACGCTTTCCAGGAGCACTGTGTACCGGTAATTGTCCCCGTGCCGTCTCCCAGGGCGTTTGTTCCCTGTGCGAGGGAGGCCCGGCGTGAGAATCATGGTCGCGAAGGTTATGAGAAAGTGGGGGTGGAGGGAGTTTCGCTTTGAGGTCCTCCTCGTCCTCTTGGTCGCCTTCCACGAGGAGGGAGGCCGGAACCTCGTCATCACTTTCCTCGGGTTTATGTTGCGGCGAAAGTGCTTGCGTTCGCCGCGAGCGACTGAGATTGCGATTCTGCGAGAGGCTCTTCATGGGAGCTTTCCCAGCTGCTCTTGTGCTCGGCGGCGCTTCGAGGGTCAAGAAGGGATCGCTGGGGCTTGGGGATTCATCCCTCTCCGCATCTGCCAGGGCTTCCTCCAGTTCTCGATCACTAAACCGGTTTAGGTGATCATCTTCTGGGGCAAGTCCTGCAAGCTCTTCAATATCCGACGAGTCTGAATGGGAGTCGTGCTGCCGGATGGTCTCATACACTGAAGGCGAACCGTGTGGAGGAAGGAAACGAGACAAGATATTTGAGCTCATCATCTTGGGCCAAATATCTCAAGTGAGTCATGAGCAATAGACGCATCAGTAGCTGGTATCAGCCATCAGCCGGGCTTTAGATCACTTCAGGGTCTTGTAGCATGTGGAACAGCTCCGGGAAATTCCAAGGACGCGAGGGTGCTTCGGAGTCAAATGGCGGAGCGGAACCGGAGACTTGAAGGCAATCAGTCTTCCGAACCGATAAGACAAAATCGACTTGGCAAGGCTTGATGCTTGATCTGCTTCAAGATGCAAAAGACGAGAAGTAATCAAGAAGCATCGGGGAAGGATGAAGATATGGATTTCGAGAATGAAGCAGGTCGGTTGACGCGGTCAAGGTCAGGAGTACCACCAGAAGCTGGTGACCGGCAGCCCTCGTGATAAGCCGCGATGATGCAGGCGGTCACTGAACGGGGCAAGAGCATGCTGCCTGAGGAAAGAGGCAGTCTATCAAGTCATGTGATGTACATACGCGGGGAAGATTGAATTCAGCCTGGAGATTGCGCAGTGGGCGGAGTCTAGCCTCGCAGCCGCGTCTATAGCTCACGTGATATTCAGGCTGACAAAGCGGGCTAGTGTTGACGAGTCAGTCCCGTCCCTAGTGGACTGGTCACGGGAGGTCATGGGATGAACCGCCAACGAGGACCACTGATTGGCTTCAGCGCCTGCGATCCCTGCCACTTGCATGGCCGCTTGGACTGGCTCGTGCGGGGGTGGACGACCAAGACTGAGTCGATTGCGGTGGTACCTTTGGCCTTCTGCTTTCTCGAAGGCACTAAAAGAATATCATGACGTTCAGCTGCCAGTGGTCTGGGCCGGGGTCCTGAGAGAATCTACCGGTTTCCATACGCGGCGAAGAGGAACGTTGCGACAGGTCTTTTTTCCATCCGATTCCTCAGCCCTTCGCTAAGACCGGAGTCGGAAGAGATGACCGGACATTAGTACTATTCCTGTTCCTGCTTATTGCCCTACTTCTCTCAGTTCTCTGTCCATCAAGACGGGAAAACCCTGGTGATCAACTGGTTCCCCGAGAGCGCCACATCCAGTATCCAGTGTGAAATGACTTTACGGTCTTTCTCGGGTCAAGGCTGAACAAAGTACGGACTACAGTATGTGGACGGACTATGGACGCATGGACGTGGTCTGCCATCTTAATCGGCCCCAGTTCCTTACCCCTAAGACGAACGACAATCCTCCTCTTTCTCTGCGCCTCTCTTTGGGATGTCCCCTGTCGTCAGTAGCTGAGAAGTCGACTAGGGACTGGTGAAAACCAATCGAAGGGTAAGGAGGCGGTCCATTGTTAGCAGCCACATCGCGCCCGAGTGATCGACTGGACCACTCAGGCCACAGTGCCTACAGTAGTGCCAACGCCTCCACCACGGAGGAGCTCATTCTACGACTTCTAGACGTAACGCAATCATTAGTATGGCCCGCAGGGTGCAGGACACTTGGCACTTAAACGGTCAACGATCAGGTCTTGCAGTGCACACCGTTGACGGGTGAAAGACGTCGGCAAGCAGCCATTGGACCACGCCAACACCGAATATATTACTTACTTCAAGGGAGGCGGGAAGAATCCCAGTGGCGATTATCGTTAGGTTCTCGGATCTGACCGCCGCACCCTGTTGGTCTGATTCTGGAATTAGGCCGCAGACCATTCCCTCCTTCCACTCTACTACAGACATTCTGTACGGGGTACCATATTCCGGAACCATCAAAGTGGACATCCGCTTCGTGCGGATAATCGGACCGGTGAAATTGGCTGGAGGACGACCGAAGCGGCGGAGAAAGGCGCAGAAGAAGACGAAGAGTGAAGAGAGAGGAGAAATTGACAGGCCGCGACCACGATGATGCAAATTAGGAGCCGTGAGGTTCGCTACAAATTTTCGTGGATCTACTGGAAAATCATGACTCGGCGATGCTTGGAAGAAACGATTCGTCAGGGGTGTGGGTGGAAACACACCGCAGCAGGAATAAAATAAAAAGGCCCCATCCATATCAGCGGTGGTCTATAGCCGGGACGAGGATTATCGTTCATTTCTCCTGAACTTAAAAATCCATTGGCAGTAGTCCCTGCGCGGTGAATAACAGTTTGTTGTCGATAGACCAACCATTGCCCGGTGGTCTCCATTAGTCAAATTGATAGAAAGACGACTGCAATACTCAGATACTGTAGGCCGCCCACCGACACTCGCGGAGTCCATCACCGCGTTGATAGTGGATCTCAGCCTCAGTTCTGGGGCCTAACAATTTTCCTTTGCTCCATTCACCCGCCTTCCCATTCTAGATAGCTGCACAATAGCAGGACAGCAGGTGTGAATTTGGATTGATCAGACCATGATGCTGGACAATGCAGGTGCGTCTATGACAGGTCGAGTGTCGTCTATTCTCTCTCTCTGTGACTGTGGGTGCGCCAGTTGCCCCTCATGAATCCTCCACTTGAGGAACCGACTCTGCACCTTCGCAGCGAGAGATACGACAAATTTGTCGGTACCTACATGGGAGGCACTTGGGGAGAGTAATATTATATGATTGTCAAGCATTGGTAGAGAAATGATCCTGACGAAGAAATTGGAAACTCGAGTACTCCGTAGTGCGGCAGCCAATGAATGGCAGATCTTCTTTTCCTTCCAACGCCTAAGGTAACTAACTAAGATTCCCCCTGCATCTTGGCTGATTTGCATATCTCCTACCTTTTCTCTTCCCTCACCACCATTCATCACTACCGCTTTATTGCCATCCTGACGGACGGACTGTTACCCAGTCGTAGTCTTCTTGCCTTCCGGCTCAGTGATCTACCCAGGGTGAAACGTAACTGCGGTAAGTACCGGTACTTTGTTTTCTGTTGGGTCTCCTCTTCTTCTCGAATTTTTCCTTTTGTTTTTTTCTCTGAATGCGACACCGGGAATACTTGGGGAGGAGTTATTTGGTTTGCTTGCTGCACTGTACGCCCAGGGTCACAGCTTTATCAGCTCTGAGCTATCTACACTTTTCCCTCCAAGCACTATTGATGGGGGATGATCAATTGTTCTTCTTCCGCTCTTGACCTCATCTTTCCCCACGATTATTCCGATTGAGTTTTTGTTTTTGATTGCCGTTTGCCGTTCTCTTGTGTCAATTCATCGTGTTGCTTCTTTCAGCTTGCTGTCTGCCTTTTCTCTGCCTCTTGTCTCTCTCTGCCCACGGCTTCAACACCGCCTCCCGCTTTCTCTCTCTCTCTCTCTCTCTCTTCTCTCTTTTACACAGGCACACGCATTCTCTCTTACTCTCCCTCTCCAGCCAAGCCAACTCCATCCTCTCTTCCGATCCTCTTCCTCCCACACTCTCCATATACTCTCTTTACTTCGCCTCGCTTACCCACAAGCCTCGACGGCTTTCCCTTGCTTGTTCCTCTTCCCACACCCTCCCCCCACCATCACCACCACCATCACCACCGCCACCACCAGACCAGCCCAACCCAGTCCAAATAACGAATTGTCGTACGAAGATGCATCCACGTTGATGCAGGATCTGCAGCTTTCACCACGCACGTTGCCAGGGTCATTGATTTCCCACGTCCATCAATTTTCTATCAATTCTCCTCTCCGCCCGCAAAATCACTGTCGCGTCTCCCCCTCTGATTGACAAGACCATTGAGCAGAGGATCAAGAAGACACCACTCCCTCCTCTCAGCGGATGCAGGTGCGTTAATCATCCTACCATTATGTTCTCCTCTCCCTGCCCTCCAGATGTCCCTCTCCAAGCTTCTCCATCGACTCCAATGATATCACGCTTCCCGGTGGTTCGAACCAAACCTTTGTGCCGACCGATTCCTTAGTACAAGGAGGAGTACCTTAGAAGCTACTGTCATGACCTAATCTCACTCAATCGTCTTTCTCCCTGCCTACCCTAAACTTATCAATGGTCATTATCTTGCAGCGATCCTGTGGTGTATCACTCGACGTTTCGAGGATAGGACTCGGAGCGCACTGATTAGCGATTTTCAGCCCTCGACATTCTGTTACGCCTCCTCCCGCCCACCCACTCAACGACTGCCACCGCACCAACGCCAGCGCCAGCACCATCTCCACCACCTCCTTTGACTGACCCCCCTCGAGCATCGTCACTGGTCCTTCTTCCTCCATTCTATTCAGAAACAGTTGATCTGTAACATCCTCATCGCTTGTACTCCCAACGCGCCGGCCTCGACCGAATGTGCGACTCCACGTCCTTTCCTCACCCCGGACTCCATGCGTTCAGCTAGCGACCCATTGGACGACAAAGGCCCTCAATTGTTCGAGGACGGTTGCGCAGCGTACGTTGGGTGCCAGCGTCCTGCAACGTAACAACCCCGCATCATCTCATCGCCTCATCGGTTTCTGTGTCTCGGCTCGCCTGTCTGCGTCTTCTGTAGCGACCTCGTTTGAGCGCCGCTGCTGCCGGTTCCGTCGTGCGTGGTTGGAAAAAAGATGGAGCCGGAAAGTTCTAACGGGTTCAAACGGAACTCCATCCACGGAATATACAGTCGTCCAGTGGAACGGCGCCCGAGCAAGAAGTCTTCCTCTAAAGATCGGCATGGGATGGTCTATCCGGAAAGTTTTCGAGATACAGGCATTCGCACAGTGACCCCCGACCCTGAGGCTAGGAATCATTCCCCTGCGTCAGAAGCAGAGCATCTGGCATCAAGTGCGGCCCCCTCTCCTCGTGCTGCCGCCCGGGCACGAGCCTCCGATCGCGAAGCTCGTCGCGAATTCTACTCGCGTCATTCGGCCGGTGACGAAGACGAGCCGCCGGTGGAAGTCAAGGCCCAACGGGCGCGGTCACGAACCACCACCCTGGATGGTCAGCGCAGCGAATTATCCCCCAATACATTTTTCAGATCCCGAAATCGTTTGGGTTCCATCAACACCACAAATCCTCAGTCTAGAACACCCGACGAGCAAACGACATCGATCGGGTTTCCGTCCATACAATCCCCCACTTACCTTAGCCATACCCTTGGCCGGCAGCGATCAAGCAAGCCTCCGGGTAGCTCGAACTTGGTAACGAGCGTGTCGGCCAATCAAACGACATCCCCGCTGTCGAGCACTGATGCGTCAAAGATCCTGCAACTCATGAAAACAACTTGTGGAAGGATGCACGGCATCCTTTCGTTTCGGACTGCATCTACAACCGCCTGGTCGTCGGGTTATTGCGCCATCAATGTTGCCACCGGAAGCTTGATATACCAAGCTAAAGGAGAGCCCGCATTGGCCAAGACGCTGATTCCCGATCTTCGTGGCTGTCAGGTTCGCACCCTGGTCGATCCTGAGACCCGCACCAATTATCTCAGCGTCTCAACGTTCACCTCTGGTTTAGGGGTGGAGCTGAAACCGCATGTGAGCGAAACATTTGACTCCTGGTTGGCTGCGCTCCTATGCTGGCAGCCCATCCGACCGAAAGGGGTTCAAAATAAGATGACGAAACCACAATCAGTCGTCATTGGAGACCGGCGCTTAGTTGATCGTAGGCGAAACTCAGAGAGCACTGTTCAGAAAGAGGCCGCAATTATCAAGGTGGGCAAGATGCTCCTCTGGGATCGACCGAGTGCCTCTGGTGTCCGACCATCGTCGGGGCGTCGGGTGTCCACTTACAGACAACAAAGGGCGCTTTCCGCGTCTTGGTTACGAGTAAGCTGCACGCTGCAGGAAAACGGCGCTTTCAAGCTATACACGGAGTCGGACATCACTCTGGTCGCTTGCGTTCAGTTATCGCAACTCTCCCGTTGTGCAGTACAACAGCTGCACGCATCCGTCTTGGAGGATGAATTCTGCATTGCAATTTACCCGCAGTATGCAGTACACTCTGCCTCGGGCCTGACGCGCCCAGTATATCTAGCTCTCGAAAGTCGCGTTCTGTTCGAGGTGTGGTTCGTCCTTCTACGTGCCTTCACAATTCCAGAGCTTTACGGACCTGAAACGCCGGTAGAGGAGGACTCACCGAAGACCCCTGGATCAAGCGATACTAGTGTGGCCTCTGTCGCCGACATGTTTCGAATCGAGAGAGTGCTTGATGTAAGAGTAACGGAAGCTAAGCTATATCGCTGCAGAACCGCGGACAAGGCCCCCCGCAGTCGGAAACAGTCTCGGTCCCATAGCAACTCCGCCCCAGCCTCTGCAGTGAGCGACTACTATACCGAAGTTCTCCTAGACGGTGAGATTCGGGCGAAGTCTGCCATCAAATACCGCACAGCGAACCCTTTCTGGCGGGAAGACTTTACCTTCAGTGACCTTCCGCCTGTCCTGTCTCAGGTCTCGATTCTTGTGAAAACGATCAACTCAACCCAGAAAGACTGGTCGCTTATTTCACATGGCTCTCATGCCTTGGGCCATGATTCGAACCCTCTGCGCGCGTTGGATGACGTAGAACTCGCTTCGCATGATGCCACCTTCGGCCGAGTTGATCTGAAACTAGATGATTTGCAACCAGGCATGGAAATCGAGAAATGGTGGCCGATCCTTGACGACAAAGACCAACCTGTGGGTGAAATGCTTATGAGGGCTCGGATGGAAGAAACTGTCGTGCTCATGTCTCAAGAATACACACCAATGTCCGAGCTTCTGCATTCCTTCACCAACGGCCTCACGATCAACATGGCCCAGGTTATGTCGTCCGAACTCAACCAATTGTCGGAAGCGCTCTTGAACATCTACCAGGTGTCAGGGACGACTGTCGAATGGATCTCTGCCCTGGTAGAGGACGAAATCGACGGCGTGCACAAAGAATCGACAGTAAGCCGACTACGATACACGTCAAGAATCCACTCGAATGACGCCCGGGAGTCAGCTCAGGATCGAGAAGTCCTCGTCAGAGACCTGGGTCGAACTGCTACTGTTGAGGCGAATCTTCTCTTCCGCGGTAATTCGCTTCTGACCAAGGCACTCGATTATCACATGCGTCGACTTGGAAAGGAATATCTGGAGGAGACGATTGGGGAGCGGCTTCGTGAGATCGATGAGACAGATCCGGACTGCGAGGTCGACCCGTCTCGGGTACATCGTTCTGATGACCTCGACCGTAACTGGAGAAACCTGATCGCTCTCAGCAATGGAGTTTGGAAGTCGATTGCGGCCTCTCCGTCCAGATGTCCGGCCGAACTGAGGCTCATTTTCCGCCATATCCGGGCTTGTGCGGAGGATCGGTACGGTGACTTCCTTCGAACCGTCACTTACAGCAGTGTTTCTGGCTTCCTGTTCTTGCGATTCTTTTGTCCGGCAATCCTGAACCCGAAGCTCTTCGGGTTGCTGAAAGGTAAGCAGCGACCGTCGTCTCTGAACATTCTGTGAGCGCTAATGCCGAGTAGATCACCCACGCCCTCGTGCTCAACGTACTCTGACTCTAATCGCGAAGGCATTGCAGGGTTTGGCCAATATGACTACTTTCGGGAGTAAAGAGCCTTGGATGGAGCCCATGAACAAGTTCCTGAACACAAATCGGTCCGATTTCAAACAGTTCGTGGATTCGATTTGCGCCATACCCGCTGATCGCCCGGCCCCAATTGTAACCCCTTCTTACGCCACGCCCATCCAGATTCTGGGCCGCTTACCCCCGACGTCACGCGAAGGATTCCCTAGTCTCCCTTTCCTGATCGATCATGCGCGAAGCTTTGCCAACCTGATCAGCATTTGGCTGGAATCAGCACCGGAGCGCCTGAACGAATTGGAGGATGTCGACTCCGCAGTGGGCAAGTTCCATGAATTGGCCCTCCGGCTCCATCAGCGGACGAAGGATTGCATGAGCCGAGCCGAGCAGGCAGAACGACCAACTGGAAGCCTGGAGGTCAAATGGGAGGAATTGATTGATTCTATGGAGCGATCAGCGACCTTTTACGACGACAGCTCTAAACCGGCAAGTCCGGCGACGGAGGCGGCGGTGGCAGGATCTGCCTCGGTGACGGGCAGTCATCGCAACTCGATCGGTTATTTTACTACACGGCCCTCCCTTCCACGTCGATCGACCGATCATCCGCCGGAGGGTGAGGAGGACACGCCACCTAGTTCCTCGTCCGCAACGTGGGACCAGAGCCGGGTGCCTTTTACGATCCCTCGGTGGGCTGACCCTCGGGATAGTACCGGTAGCTCAAAGAATTCATCGACATATTCTCTCGAATATCAGGAGCCCTCCAGATCTCGTCGCTCCAGCATTACGAGGGAAACAACAAGCAAGTATCGGTTCTTTGACTTTGTCCCTGCCGCGTCTCGGCGCAAAGCTAAAGATCGAGATCAAGCTCAACAGCAATCCCGTGAAGAGCAACGAAGTGAGACATGAGTATAACGCATTCGGTAGGCTGACCCTCAACTTCTCGAGGTTCACGACATATATGACGACCAGGCGTGGTCCGATTGAATGAGCGTCGCGACAGTAGCCTCGCGTCGTTTCCATGTCTCTACAGGAGCCGAGCCCCTGTTGCGGAGAAAATCGATTCATGAAGTATAAGCCGCATTCGGTGCGAACGTCGATCGAACGACCCAAAACCTATCGCAGGCGGCAAATCCACTGTTGTTATTCTTCTTCGTTTCTGTATAACACGAGATCGATTCATTTATCGAAAGACCAGCGTCTTCCGGTGTAAATTCTTTTTATATCTCCTTCGTCTTTCTCCCCATTGCCTTCCTCTATCTCCATTTTCTCTTGCTCTAAACAGCATGTGTCCATGATTTAACGTACTTTCTCCTGTGTGGTTGTTTCTGGAAAGCATTTGTCATGGTGTGTTGATACCCTGCTCCAACGGGGGCTGTTGTGCGTCCACTAATCGCAGGGACGTGTGAACAGCCCACTGGATATATTGATCTTTCGAGGATCGGGCGTGGCTCAGAGAGAGAGAAAGGTCTCGTCGCTGGCCACCCAATTCTTGCTTCCTTTTCTTAATCCCCGAAATTTTCTTCCTATGTAAATAGCATCTTTTCTTTTCCCCATTTCTCTGGGTATAGATGACACAAACTACTCCGTCAACTTGTTAGATCTCTCGCTAGTGGTTTCTTTGCTGTCTCGAGTAATCCATGTGACTATGTAGTATCTCCTTACTTCAGTCCTCCGGTCTTGCGAGATTACCTACCCACGACGCAATAGCGCATCACGCTATATCTACATATATACACCCACAGCCTTTAATGGATTCAAAACAAGGACATCAGGAACCACGCTATCAGACAGTCACACCACCTTCTCAAGAGTACCAGCCCGGACTCTCTTTTTACCTATCACATCACATCCACAAGCAGATCTTCCCACTAGCCGTTCCACCCGCCACCCAGTTCTTACTCCGATGGAAAACCGCGACAGCCGGCACGGCCGTGATGCCCTCGCCGCCGAGCTGCGCGAGTTGGTCGCCCGCAGCACTGTAGACGTCCACGAAGCGGTTCATGTTGCCGATGCAGAAGCGTTGAATTGGGGATTGTGGGAGTTGTTGCCATTGGGGGCGGAGACTGTTTACCCCCAGGGAATGTTAGCATCTGGTTTTGAATACTGCGGGGGGATTCTTTTGAGGAAGTTTGCATACATCGTCACCCATCGGCCCGTCTGACAATTATGCCGGACCACGGTATCAGGTTTCAGCTCGTCCTCGGCGAGAGTATGGCCCTTCGCCCACTTGTTGATGCCCTTCGGCCCGCTGAGGTCGTAGATCTTGATCGTGTCGTCGTACGAGGAGGTGGCGATTTGGCCTGCGCTGTTGAACGCCGCGTGCGACACCGACAGGCGGCTGTAGTGCTCGGCCACTGGGGTCCAGGTTTTGTCCTCTTCGTCTTCCTCCTCTTCCTTAATGGGGGCTTGTTGGCGTCGGGTAGATGATCTCCTGGTGCTGCTCGATTGCTTAGCGGCAGGGGCCTGCAGCATGCGCAGATCCCAGATACGCATGGACCGGTCCAGCGAGGCCGTGGCGAAGTAATGCGGCCGCGCCGGGTACAGCGAGAAGCCCCCGATTTTCTTCTCGGCCAGACGCCAGATCGTCACGGCCTGCGGCGCGCGCGTGTCGTGGCGCCCGAATTCGCCGTCCAGCGTCGTCCAGTACAGCACGTGCGGGTCGTCTGCTGCCATGTCCAACCCGGAGATCGGCACGTCGTCTGTCGTCGAGGCCGGCGCGTATTGCTCCACGCTGGTGCTTTTCTCGAGGTCCGTCGCTCGGATGCTGCTGTCGTAGCTGGCTGTGTACACCTTCGTCGGTGTCGATGGGTGTATGTAGATTGAGCTGATGGTGCGGGTGTGTGGTTTCAGGGTCGTGAGGTTCGGGTCTGCGTCCTCTTCATCCTCGTCCTCGTCCTCGTCGCCTGACTCCTCAGCTTTGATTGCTGTGTTCCGTTCTTGCGAGGCGTCTAGGATGCCCAGGTGGCCTAGTTTGTCGCCGGCGAAGAGGAGGGGTTTGCTCTCTGTGGGGTGGAAGGCCATTGTGTAGATCCGTTCGGGGGTGAGCTTGATGCCTGTTTTTAGTATTGTAGTTAGTATAGGGAATTCGGGAACGATAGGATGGGAGAACGAACGATTAGGCTCCCACGCCTCCCACAGCTTCAACCCACTCATCTCCTCCCTCAGCGCCTTCAGATCCTTATCCGTCGTCTTCTCGATATCTTCCTCGTCGAACGTGCGCTGGTAAGGCATCGCCACGCCCTTGGTGACCACGTCCACCCCAATCAGACTATCCCCCGACAACTTCTGCCCGTACACCACCATCTCATTGAACGAGAAAGCATCCGACTTGCGCACGCGCTTTGCCCGCTCCGCCGCCTGCAGCGCCGCGTCCTCCTCCTCCGCCTTCCGCTTGGCGACCTCGCTCTCCGCCGCGATGCCCCTCAGCCGCGACGACGTGCGCCGCGGCACCGGCGACGCCTCCTCCTGCTTGACGCGTTTCACGGGCGTCTTCTTCTTCTTCGCGCGGGCGGATTGATCTCGCGACGAGGGCGTCCTGGAGGGTTGCATCTTGGCCGGGAAGAGGCCTGAGGATTGCGCCTCCAAGGAGAGCTTCTTGAGGAGCGCATCGCGCTCGGCGATATTTGCCAGTCGCTGCTTTTCGAAGTCGGAGATCTCTTCGCCCATTTTGTCGCTTGCGCAGGCTAGTGCTGACTATGGGCAGGTATGCAAGGCCAGATCGGAGGCTAGAATATCAATTGAGACGAGACGAACGGCGAGGGAAAGAGAGAAGGTGATTTGCCATCCATCGTGCGAAGGAGACGCAGAGACGGAGAAAGGCGCGTCTGGGCCCGCCGCGTATGCACGTGACTTTAATGGACGGGCGGCGGGAAAAAAAGTGAAATAATTTCCAGTCCGCGGAAGTTTATTGATGGCAATCGGTGGTTCCGCAGATTTACGATTATCTTTTTTTTTTTACTTGTTCCTCCACCACCATCACCTTTTGTACCTGCGTATCATTGTAGGGTGTCGCATGATGAGTGCCCGCAGTTCTCGCGCCTGGCTGGTCCTGGCCCGGGCGACTCGCAATACTTATGCTCCGTTCCTCTATCAGACTCGCACGCTCGCCGCGGTGCCCGTTTTGCGATACCAGCATCGGCAGCTTGAGCGCCAACAGATTCGGTCCCTGACCACCGAGCCGCAACGACAACCACAAAAAGAAGAGGACGACGAGACGGACTTTTTGAAAGATGATGACTTCAACAAACAGACGAAAGATACATCATCGTCATCAGAAGCGCGGTCCGGCCGCCGCAGCTTCCTCAAACGCAGAGCCGCCTCCGTAACCGTCACGCCCGCGCTACCCTCCAACAGCAGCAAAACCACGACTCCTCTTCGGCCCTTGACGATGATGACTAGCAGCGAGAAACAAGCCTTCGGCGAGCTGCTCGAGGCTCTGGGCGCCGGAGTTGAAAAGAAGCCTGCTGCCTTACCCACATTGTCCGCCTGGCCGCCGCCACCCACATCGCCCGAAATCTCCATCCCCGACTCCGACCCTTCCCCCTCCTTCTCCTCATCCCTCGAATCCCTCGACCCCGACGAAGCTGAACTCGAATCCGGAGACGTCTCCTCCAAGGGTCCCACGCAAGCCGAGCTGGACGAGATGTCGCAGATCTCCGCCATCTTCGACACCGTGCTGCAGGACCTGCGGGCCCGCAAAGTCCGGCAGCAGCGGCAGGAGCAGCGCAAACAGGAGGAGAAGGGCAAGTCGTCCCTGGTGACCACGTACTCGACCTCCTACTATGCCGGCGGCGAGGACCAGGCCACGTCGCGGACTAATGCGTCGCTGACGGAGTTCATTGAGGCACGCATGAACACCGGCGATTTCCTGGACTCGCAGCTCACGGACTGGCTCGCGCGCCAGCTCGTTTCCACTGAGCGCGCTATCGAGGCGGTGATCACGCGCGAGAGTAATGTGATTCAGGCGGCGTTGCTGGATGCGGTCAAGAGGAGGAAAGGCGATATCAAGCTTTGGGACGTCTGTCGCACTAAGGTCTTCCCGCTTGTTGGCATTTTGGAGCGGTCCGTCGGCATGGAGACGGAGTATGCCGATGTCGCGAAGGCGAAGGCGGATGCCGAGGCCGCCGTTGCCGCTGCCGCGACTGAGTCTTGGGATATGGTCCCCGTCACTGAGGACTTGGCTGATGTGAACGTCGAGTTGAAGGACGCTGAGGATAGTGTGGAGGAGGAACAGGGAGTGGAGGAGCGGAAAATAGAGGAGAAGAAGGAGGGGGAGGAGAAGAAGAAGGAGGCAGTCGAAGAGGCGGCAGTCGAAGAGGCGGCAGTCGAAGAGGCGGCAGTGAAGAAGGAGGAGTGGCTGGATGATGCGCAGTACGAGGCGCCATACGAACTGTCTGTCCCCGAAGGCGTGCCCCTCACCTCGGTCGTGACCCGACTATACCCCCAGATGCTCCTCGTCGCATTCCGCCTGTTGAACCTGCATCACCCGGCGTCGCCGCTCATCGGCCAGTTCCGGGCCACGATCCGCTCGATGGGCCCTACGTCCACCCTGCTGGGCGGCTCGACCGAGCTCTACAACGAGCTGATGTATTTCTACTGGCGTGGATGTCAAGACGTCCCGGCCGTGGTCGCCCTCGTGCAAGAGATGGACATCATCGGCGTGGAGCCGGACCAGCGCACTCTGCGCCTCCTGTACTCGATCTCCGCGCAGCGCAGGCGCGACGTCGAGGCGCATTGGCACCGGAACATCCAATCGGTACCGAAACCGGAAGATCCGTCCAAGCGGGCGCGCGTGGGCCGCGAGACGTGGTGGGATCTGGCGCCGAACCGGAAGGCCTACTTCGCCTTGTTCGGCGAGGATGGATGGATTGATAAGATTAAGGTGCGCGTTGAAGAGCTGCGGCGCAACCAGCAAGTCGCTCTCACCAAGTCTCGTCGACAAAAGAAAGAAGCTGCATAGGTTATATAGATGCTAGAGAAACCCCAGCCAAGTGTAATATAGTGTATAGTACATAGAACAACTCTGAAGAACAAAACAACAATCCAGCAAAACTCTCTCTTTCTCAGTAGACAAGAAGACCAAATAATTAGTATAAGAGGGAGACAGTGGGAACAGAGATCGTCTCTAGATCTTCAACCCCCAACTCCGGCCCAACCCAACAGCCGTCGACCCCATGAAGCCCAAACACTCCCTCACGCCCGTAAGCTTGTCGCCCAGAGCCCGCGCATCCGCCCACCGACGCGCCACGAACTCCTCCGTATCCCGCAACCCAGCACTGGTGTCACGAGTCATCACGAAATCCGAAGCCGCATACACAGCCGCCACGGCCATGCGCTTCGAGTACCACGACGCATCAACAGACTGATCCCCCGCCAGATTCATGATATCGTCCGCCAAGGCGTGAAGTTCCGAGAGAGCCATCGGGATATTTTCACCGAGGGACATAACCGCCAATGCCTACATTCGAGATGCGTTAGCGTGATCATCCTACACTCTTCCTTCCATCCTTCCTTCCCTTTTTCATTTCTTCTACCTGCTTCAGATATTTGAGAAAAGGGAACATACATCCTGCCACTGCTCCCTAACCTCAACATTCAAGCGCAACCGCTCCATCAACAAAACCTGGATCTTCTCGTCCACAGAAAGCACGGAGCCGCTCCCCGCCAACAGCCCGTCGGACTCGACCTTCGAGCGGAGCAGACCCCGCCGGCTGGCCAGCCAGAACAGGATGAGGTCGAATTCGCCCCGCGGTAGCAGCTGCACCGACACATCCAGGAACCCGGCGTCCCGTGCGCCGAGCGTCAGGGCATTCCGGGTGAAGCCGTGCGTTGGGACGTGGTGCAGCGCGGCGGAGAGGATCGTTGTTTGAGAGTTTGTGTATTCGTGGGGTTGGCTTGGGTGGTGTTCTGAGTGGTAGGTTCGGGCATGCGATCTTGGGGTTTGTGGGGTGCTGCGTGGTTTGGTGGTCGTTTTGCTGGTGATGGCGGCGGTGGTGGTGTGGATTTGCGATTGGGGTTGGTGTTGGTGGAGGAGGGTACCGGTGCGGAGGATGCGCGGGGAGGGGGATGAGCGGGGGGTGAGGCTTCTCCGTGTTAGGGCTAGGAGGCTGGTTGGGCGGGTCATTTTGTTTCTTTTTTTCTTTGTTCAGTAGGAAGGGTTGGAGGTGAGTCAGGTGTAGAGGAATTGAGTTAATGGTGGTGGTGTTGGTTGGAAGAAAGTCGGATGGTCGGCGGGAGGAATTTGTTAAGCGGTGGCCTGAGCGGAGCCAAAGATTGGTTCGCCGCCGGGGGAACAATGGGAGATAAGTTCAAGGTTTGATCAACTGTCTGGGGATTGATATCGTCTGTTGGGGTTATGATATTTGGAGATATGGTGAACGTGGACCTAGGAACTATTGCTAGGTGTATATGGTCAATGCTGGGTTCGTTATATATTTTCTGCAGAAAATGGTTCACAGTTGATTTTGTACATACGTCCACCAACTACGAAAGGATACTGGAACTTCGGAAGTCCGGATAGTCTCAAAGAGCAAGCTTAAACACAAGAGTGTAAGTTAATTGACAGGAGATACTAATTATGGCATAATTGACTGGCCAATTGCTTCGCCGTACCTGAAGATCTTCCCTTTCTTATCATTTGGCAGTGATCCTGTTGTTGATGCGAGAATTGTGACAGCAGAGAATAGCCATTCAATGAGCACGATTGTTCTTTAATGCGAGTACAGAAGAAGTATCGAAGAAGAACGGGATCGATCGATCTTGTCTGATCTTCCTCAACTTGATCGATCTGGTTTACTCCGACACAGGGGGATGTGGGATTCCGATCTCTAGCTCTACTTTATACTGTAGTCATCAACCCTCACTACTAACAGGCAGGCTACTTCCGACTAATTTCCCCCCTTCATCTTATCTTGGACTGTCTGCCTCCACCCCCCACTCATCCTGTCATCATCCGCATCTGCATTCCATCCCCTCCCCTTCCAACCATCCACTCATCCGCCTCTCCTTTCACCCACACACCTTTTATCTTCTGGCCTCTTTCCTCGTTATTTCTCTCCTACTATTTGCTCCCGACTCTACGATTTGTCCCTGATCAGAAATCGTCATGGGTGGGTTTGTCTTTTCGATTCGTGTCTCGTCCCGTCTGTGTTTACTACCCCATATTCCTCCTCAGCCTAACATCCATTCCCGCCCTCTTCTCCAAATGAGACCAACCGAGGACTGCAGCTATCCTGCCTTGGGAGCGGCAGTCATGCCTGGTGTATCCTCATTCCCTGTAGACGTTCTCCAGTTGAGCCCTTGTCTGAGTAGGAGACATGTGAGGCAGACGATCGCACAATTGGAGCAGCAAGCATGTCTGTGCCGCCTATGTGACCATGATCCCTGTCTCTTGTCCGTCTCATTCATTGATTCATTCTTCCTGGTTGCATTCCATTGACCCCCACCGTGTCAGTCTGTCTCGGTTGCTGTCAGTCAGTCCGTCCGTCCTTCAGTCAGTCAGTGGGTGCGAGTGTTGGACTCAAGGCTGGCTGACTGACTGGGTGCAGTGACCAGAGTGAAAGCGGGCAGCGGGAAGCCGAGGCCAATCACATCCGGGGGAGCTGCAGGTAGAAGGAGAGACAGACACGGGCTGGAACAATCACTGATTGACTGATGGGTTGGTTGCTTGGTTTGTTGGTACTGCTGGTTGCTGGTTGCTACTGCTGCTGCTGCTGCTGCTACTGCTGCTACTGCTACTACTACTGCCAGTGTTCCTTCGTTCGTTCTTTTACTACCGCTACCACTGCTACCTTATGATTGATTACTACCACCACCACTACCACTGTTTCCGTCTTGTCTTCTGCCAACCAACGAGTGTTCCCTATTGCTCCCCCCCCCGCCATCACCCTCCTTTATCTCTCGTGCTCTCTCTCTCTCTCTCTCTCTCTCTCTACTCTTCATTCTCGCCTGTCTGCTTCGGCTGACTACTGACTCGTTTCCTCTCCGCCTCCTCCTCCTCCTCTTCCTCCTCCTCTTTCTTCACATTCCATCTCATCTTTCTTCCCCCCGTTCTTCCCCTTCCCCTCCTCTTTCACTTCACCTCACTTTCCTCCATTCCCATTGCTTCCCACTCCTCTTGCCCGTCTTCATTCTTCCTACTTCGGTAAATCTCTTGGTGGTTTCTTTGTCTTTCCCCGACCATTGGTTTGGTGGCTTACCATCTAGATTCGGGTGTTCAGCCGACGTGTATCGACCTCAGCAAGTAAGTGTGATTACTGTCTCTTTTCTTTCTATGTGCAACTGGAGGGGGGGGGAGAAAGGGTTGTGTAGCGGAGGGACGACCCTGGCCCCGAAGGTCCTTTTATTGTTGAGAAGTGGACAGGAATGGAGGCAAGAAGAGAGTATGCAGTGAGTGAGAGAGAGGCAGAGTGGGTGATGAGCCGGTCCCCACCGGGCGGGTTGTAGCCTTCCTCTCTTTTGCTTGGTTGCTGCTGCTGCTGCTCCTCTTCTCCGCCTGGGGCAACAAGCACCGACCACCACTACTGCTACTACTGCTACTACTCCTTCATCACTTCTTTTTGTTAACTCTCTTGTCGCAACACCGTGGATTGCGCTTATCTTCGTGTCTGTTTTGCTTGTGAACTGGTCCTTGGCCTCTGTTTCCTCCCTATTCATTTTATGCTCTCACTGTCCCACAAGGTCCCTCTTCCTCTCCTGCCTTGAACCTGCCTTCAACTGCCCGTCTGTCTGGCCCGCACCGGACCCGAAGGTCACCTGACTTAGAATCTCATCACTGGACTGCCCGGCAACTCGGGCCAATCCCTCCTCGTCTGTGACTGCTGCTCGAGTCCTCTCTTCCCCTTCCCAACTCACCATCTTTCATCCCTCCAATTCATCCACATCCCTCCCCAATCTCTTGTCCTTCATTCCTGTTTCAACCTTGAACAGGGACCTTGCGCGCACATTCTCCACTTCCCCTCCCCTTTTCCTTCTTTTCCTACACGTTTTCTTCACCCCCCCCTCCGTCTGTGCCCGGCTTTCCTGCGGCGCGCTCAATCCTCGCTCGTCGTCAATGTCTCCACCCGCCTTTGACGATACTGACCACGCCCAGCGCGAGAGGTCCCGTTCCCCCCGTCGCCGTTCCCGTAGCCCTCGACGCAGTCGTCGTTCCTACTCTCCCCGCAGTCGCTCACGCAGCCGTGACGACTACCGCCGCTCCGATCGTCGTTCCCGTTCGCCTATGAGCGCGGCCCAAGGCCCTTCTGGTGGTCATTCATCTTCTGGTTACGGTGGGCGCAGCAGCTACCCGCCTCCTGCTCGGTCATTCGAAGAACGCGCCGTCCACAAAGAACAAATGATGCAAGCCGTGCGCGAGTCGTCCCAGCAAGACCGTCGTGTCTATGTGGGCAACCTTTCCTACGATGTCAAGTGGCATCACCTCAAGGATTTCATGAGACAGGGTGAGCAGGGTCATATCGTCTTGAGCGCCTGGATCGCTTCTTTCGTCGCTACCGGATTTGAGGGCTGACTTTGGTGGGGGGTTCACCCGCGTCGTGTGTTTACAGCTGGAGAAGTTATCTTCGCCGATGTCTTGCTTCTTCCCAACGGAATGTCGAAGGTGGGCGCCAATGCGTAGTGTGGCTGGTTTTTTTTTTCTGCCCTTTTGTTATTCCTGGACTCTTTCCCCCTTCCCTTTCCCCCTTCTCGTTGGTTTGCTTGTTATGGACTGTTTGGGTTGACGGGCTGGGCCTGGCCGTCCGGGATATTGTAGGGATGCGGGTAAGCACACCCTTCTCATGATATGGTTCTGTATTCCAGAGCGCACGCTGACTTGTCCGGCAGGATTGTGGAATACGCGACCAGGGATCAAGCGCAGAATGCGGTCAACACCCTTAGCAACCAGAACCTGATGGGGCGCCTTGTCTACGTTCGTGAGGTAGGTTGCGGCTTTGCTCCGGCTGTTTACCATTGCCTACTGACGGGATGCCTATAGGATCGCGAACCCGAGCCGCGTTTCACCGGCGGACCTTCGCGCGGCGACTTTGGTGGTGCTGGTCGCGGTGGATTCGGTGGTGGTTTCGGCGGTGCTGGTGGTGGTGGTGGTGGTGGTGGTGGCCGCCAGCTCTTCGTGTCCAACGTGAGTGTTGCCAGTAGAACCACGCTGATTCGAGATGGATAATTGATGGTGAAATTTCTAGCTTCCGTTCAACGTGGGCTGGCAAGATCTGAAGGATCTGTTCCGTCAAGCCGGTAAGTCAACCTGGACGGGAGGCACCTGAGGCTCTCCGCCCGTTCTTTTGCGTCATCTCCACGCGACCAGATTGGATTCCAGCTGATTCTGTAGCTCAACAAGGTGCGGTTATTCGTGCGGATGTTCACACTGATGCTACCGGTCGGCCCAAGGGCTCCGGTATTGTCGCGTTCGAATCTCCCGAGGACGCTCGCAACGCTATTCAGCAGTTCAACGGCTACGACTGGCAAGGTCGGCCCTTGGAGGTCCGTGAAGATCGTTTCGCTGGTGCTGGTCCCGGCTTTGGTGGCCGCGGTGGCTTTGGTGGTGGTCGCGGCGGCTTCGGAGGCGGCTTTGGTGGCCGCGGTGGCTTTGGCGGTCGTGGTGGTTTCGGCGGCGGCTTCGGCGGTCGCGGCGGCTACGGCGGCGGTCCCGGCTATGGCGGTCCTGGCGGCCCCCCTGGCGGCCCCGGCTTTGAGGGTGTGGCTTCGGTTCCCCCTAACCCCTTCACCGACTTCGCCACCTCAGGCGGCGAGAAGAGCCCCGTTATCTACGTGCGCAACGTAAGATTCACCTTCCTGTCTTCCGGTGGCCTCATTCATGACTGACCTGGACAATATAGCTCCCCTGGTCCACCTGCCACGAGGATCTCGTCGACTTGTTCTCGACCATCGGCAAGGTTGACCGTGCCGAAATTCAGTATGAGCCCAATGGTCGCTCTCGCGGCACCGGTGTGGTTCAGTTCGATAATGCGGAAACTGCGGAAACTGCTATCGGTATGCGCATGCCCCTGGCGAGTCTGTCCTGAATTGCTCCATTAACCGTTCGTACAGCCAAATTCACAGGGTACCAGTACGGTGGTCGTCCTTTGGGCATCACTTTCGTCAAGTACATGAACGTGGGTGGCCCTCCCATGGACGCGATGGAGGGCCAGGAGCCCACCGCTCCCATTACTCAGGATCAGATCATGTAATTGTACCGGTTTGATGGAATATCTTGGCTTCCGGAGGATATGGTCGAAAAGTTTGCGATGTATGTCTCCGAGTGGTTCAAAGGATCACCTGTCGGCGCGGGCTCGCGTATGCTGATCACCTTGAAATATCGCCTCGCACCTCATTCCCCATTTTCGATATTGTTTGTGTTCTATTCAACTCACCTTTTATGATGTGTTATCGCTGGTTAGCTCTCATTATATGTTTTCTCATCTCCGGCGATCTGATTTGCGTGGGGATAAATCAGATGTGGTTTGACATGGTTCAAAAGAATGTGTTCTCCGGGCTGGGATGGGGAGTCTGCGTCGGATGCAGCCGCGGTTATCATTTTCTGCCTTCTCGACAAATTGTTGGTTCTGATGAACAGAGGGTGCGGTGCGATGATATCCTGGATCATCCCGTATTTGGTAGGCCTGGTAGTGTGGTAGGCTGTGTACAGTAGTGAGGGAGGTGTTTGACCTTTGTAGAATACCTGGCGGACTTAAAAAACCATCTTCGTTCCCTAGTCTTGTTGTCTTGGGCAACCATGGACAACATCGAGACATGATCGGTTATAAGCTTCTGTCTTATTCATATATGTCTTGAATCCTCGTGATGCATACACATCACATATCTTGATGCTTATCTGCAGAAGTAACAAAAGAATAGAGTGTTACTCGAATTACTAACTATAGGCTAGCTGACTGGCTACTAAGCTACACAGTAGCTTCTACTTATTCATCCTACATTCCCTCGGGGTCTACAGAGCAAGAAACAACATAGTCCAGTAAAAAAATTGGTCCAATTTTTCTGTGATGTGTCTGTCTGATAGACCCCATCCCATCTACACTAGCTACTTATCTAGGGAACCTGGTACCTATCCATCCATTCATCCATCCATCCATCCATCCATCCATCCATCCATCTCACCTTATTCCGGGCAACACAACAACCATATCCCAAAGGATGATATGGTAGGATATGATATGATACGACACGCAAATCGTCAAGAATAAAACGGAAGGAAGAAATCGACGAGTTCAGTAACACGCAAGACCAGCTGGAAAGTAAAAGAGATCAAACTAAATTCAACGAGAAGAGAAGAACTTCAAGCTCAAATCAACACCGACATCTGCCTGATGTGATGATAGCGCGATGGTAAATATGATACAGAGAAGTGAAGAGCGGATTTGTAAACTAAAGGGGCTTAGAGAGGAAAAAGGAAAAGAAAGGAAAGAAAAGAAATAACTTGAAGCCGATTTGGAAAGCTGAGAGCAGAACAATAGGTAGCAGTACTACTTGGCAATTGGTAGCAGCACACGCATAGTAGCGTAGTATTTCATATATGTTAATATCAATATTCGATTGCTGAACTATCCCAACATTCTCCCCAGTCAGCAGCTAATATAGTTCATGTAATTTTATTTCAGAAGGAAACTTGGGCGCGCATAATAAGCCGCCCTCTTTTTAGCCCCGCCTTCGGAAGCTCAATAGCCTTGAGAGGCTCGATATGCTCAGAATATTTTAGTTAAGACATACCGCCACAATTATACTAACAATAAGCTGTTTCATGCTCTCTAAGACCCATATACATCTTTTCAAGAGATTGATCTATCTCTCATTGGTGCCCTTATAGACACCAATTGATACTAGGATTTTCTCTGCCAATTCTTCAGTTAAAAACATTCGGGCTGTGCCATTTGGACCGAAAAACAGCGAGGATCACTCTTTATATTATAGAGTGTGCAAGTGATATAACATCTGCATAATCCATTGAAGATTTCGTTCTTTTCCCGTACCCCCTCAATAATACTCTATTAGGAATCCTCAATGCGGTACAGGCTTCTTGAATCCCAACGCTCCTTCATATCGTCGTACATGTTCCGCATCACAGAGCGATTGCTCAAATGGACTGAGGGAACGCCACTATAAGATTCGTCTCACTAGCACAGCAAGTGATGGTAATGACAACGGCGACAATTCAGTATATCGCGCTTTGGCAAGAACAAGTCTTAGTAAACGCGTGTTTCAGCCTCTAACTCTTGCTGAGATCCGTGAGTACGTTCCACGACAGACAAATGAGGACACCGAAGACCCGTATTATGGGGAGCTTATTCGAATAATTGAGTACGACGAGGACGGTGAGCCAGAACCACCAAACGTCGCTGTGCAGAACACATTTAGAAATGCCCCATTCCAGATTGGTACCGATGGTCTCGTGGGCTGTACAGTTGTGACCGTTGTGTCCAGGAGAGCAGTATACATGGTAAATGGTTCCATATCCATCCTAATTTCGGCTGGACTATAGTGTTAAATGTGTTAGATCCAACTAACATTCTTTCTTTGCGGTAGGGACACTACTGGGAAGGTCCGAACTGGAAAGACCCCAACGATTTCGTCACAATTATCCTCAACTTCATCAGCAACACGAATCCACGGGATGGCAGCGGCCCTGCCCTCAACCCAGCACTATTCAATCGGGCCACCGACGACACACGGATCTACATCATGCAAGCCGTGCAGAGAACAGGGAGGACGACTACAGCGCCCTATTATGCCCCAGAGCTTAGGCAATAGAAGACCCTTCTCAATCAGCAGTTGCTGCCTGGCGCACCCACGGCGACGTGGATGTACATTCCTATTAACTGGGAAGATGGCGAGCCCGATCCCCTCGCTGACCAGCCATGAAGACGCCATGCAGTCTTCCAATATAGTCCCCAAGCGCATAGCACCGGCAGGAGAAAGAAGGGATGGAGGCTCTTCTACGAGGGTCATTATTTCGATGATACCAACCCTCCTCCTTGCCCTGAGTCAGCTAATGGGATTCCGGATAGCCCGTGAGCGAATTTCCTATCGGTAGCTATTGAGGGCAGCCGTTTTATGTAATATTTGTGTGTTGGGATATTTATTTATGTTTATTTCTTTTTTCTTAATTATTGTCGAATTATCCTCGAATATAGCGCAGCCAGGGCACTCTTGCCGAGTCGCCAACGGCCAGAAGAAGGTATTCTTCCCTAGCACACGCTAGCAGTCGGGAACCATGAATAGGATGTCAGGAAGTGTTTGAAACAAGAAAAAGAGACAGTAAAGGTTGAGACAGCGGCTTATAATCCAGCTATTTCTTATTCCATCATATATGCACTCTGCTTGTTACATATACTATCTATTCTGCTCTTTTATCCCTCCCAGAATAGAAAGGTATATAAATAGCCTTCAAAGTCTTGATTATATCAAGAAATAACGAGCCGGCGCGGAGACCCTCACCGCTTCGAACCTCCACAATACGCAATATTCAACCTTGCTTAATTCAGTCAAAATTAAAGTTACTTAGATATATAGAGAGTCTTTCTCAAGATAAAAGGCTAGTACTTACCTGCGAGGCTTTTAATTACAGTCAATTTACCACTAAAAAGATATACGCTGCGGTATTTCATATCAAGAAAAGTATTAGAAATAAGATTCTTACATATATAAGTTTATTCAACATCAGAATTTTTCTGAGTCTAGCTGAGCTATTTTTCCGGCTCTGTTCTGAACCACTTGCAGCTGTATGCTCCCACGCACCGCAGTTGGGGTTCAGACCGGAGGAACCGTGGGCGGAACATCCTTTATGCGGAGGAGTGACAGGGAGGTGCCTCCTTAAGTTGTGCAACACAGACACAAACTACGAAAGAAACCGACAAGAGGGAAAACATCGGTTTTCCATAATGGAGGGTCTTGTCCCCCTTGCCTCCGCCCCCGCAAGGAACTTCCCCCTTGACGTGCACAATGACTACTCTGAGACCCCTGTCCGCTTCAACTGCCAAGCCTGTGTGCGCAAGAAGATCAAGTGCAACCGCGCGGTGCCCAAATGTGCCGGCTGCATCAAGTCCAAGCTCGACTGTGTTTATCTGCCACGGCCGCCACGGCGCAAGAGGAAGCGAAGCCGGGGCGAGGAAGATGCACAGGAACGATTGGCACGTTACGAGCGTATCTTGCACGACCACAATCTCCTTCCAACAGCCGCTCCCTCGATCACTAGCGGCAGAGACTCAGAGACCTCAGCAATCAGCATACAGACTCCGACTCCAGGGCCAGCGAATTCGCAGGCTGACGCCACAGCAGATAAACTGCGTCCCACTAATGGCAATTCTCGCTATATTGACAATGTTCTGCTCCTTGACGCTGGAGAGGGTGACCTATGTGAGCTATCTGAGTCTGAGCAAGAACACCATTACAAAGATGAGCCTGGACCCGACAAAGCCTCTCCAACCAGTCTTCTCGGTGCCCTCGCCGCGCATTCAATCTCGGACGCAATCCTCGGAGGCACGATAGGCCTCGCCGACCTTCACCCTAGCTACGAGCATGCGGCCAAGCTCTGGCATACCTACGTGGAGAACGTCGAGCCTCTTTGCAAGGTCCTTCATGTTCCGACTATTGCCAGAATGGTCGATACTGTCTCCAAGCACCCAGCGATCGCCTCTAAGAACGATGAATGCGTGCTGTTTATCATCTATTATTTCGCCGTATTCTCAATGTCGGACGACGAGTGTTCACGTGAACTCGATAATTCAAGGACCTACTTGATGTCTAGATACCGGACCGCACTTATCCAGGCATTAGTAAATGCGTCTTGGCTCAAAACAACCGCGATGCCGGTTTTACAGGCTTATACACTCTTCCTTATCGCGTTGCGTACCCAGATCGAAGCCCATACATTTTGGATTTTGACTGGGATTGCAATTCGCCTAGCCCAACGCATAGGACTACACCGGGATGGAGAAAGTCTCGGGTTACCCCCGTTTGAGGTTCAGATGCGCCGGCGGCTCTTTTGGCAACTACTACCCCTGGACAGCTACGCGGGTCAAACATCCGGCACGGGTATATCCCTCTCACCTGACAGCTGGGATACTAAACAACCGTTGAACATCAACGATGACCAGATCTTCCCTGGAATGACTGAGCCGCCTCGTGACCGACGAGGCGCATCGGAGATGATCTTTTGCTTGTCCCGGATGGAGATATCAAATTTCTACACTCGAACGGGGGTCAAGCTGAAAGAAAATATGGGTACAATCCAGTTCCGGGATCCCGAGGATATTGAGCGGCTAATCGACGAGGTGGAAGACCTCATTGAGACAAGGTTTTTACGGTACTGTGATATCATGAATCCTTTACACTTTCTGACCACCGGTATTATGCGATCAGCCATCAACGCAATCCGCTTACGCGCGCGAATGCCGCTGCTCAAGCAAGAAACTATTACTGACACCCAGCGGAGATACCTTTGTACTCTTGCCGAAAAGGTACTCGATACTAACAATGTCATTTATAACAATCCCGCAACGCAGAAGTTTCGATGGCATATGCAAGCGTTTTTCTTGTGGGACTCCCTCCTTTGCATTCTGAGAAGCATTGCGAAGGTTGGGTTTTATTCGCCATCAGAGCTTGATGCCGCCTGGAAAAGAGTTTCAGAGGTCTACATGAATCACGAAGCGCTGCTCCAGGGCCGAAGAACCCTGTACGTAACAATTGCTAAAGTAACTTTGAAGGCCTGGCTAGTAAATCCGCCTCGTAATCCATCTCCCGAGCCGGCTTTCATCACCGCGCTTCGCGCTCAACGGGAATCCAAAGCTATCGAGCAGCGGGATTGCAGCCTCTTTTCTGCCGATCAAGCTACGGATGGGGCCTTTTCTTTCGATGAGCTGTTCGACGAAATGAGCAGGACCGACCCAAGCAGGAGCAACGCCTTCAATCTCGACTCATCTTCCGATTGGCTATTCTGGGACCAGATGTATGGAGGAGCCAATCTGGGCTGAGAGGAACAAGTCCTTCACGGGTTTTGTTCTCAGCGTGTGACCCTCGGATTTTGCAGGGATTTTGGACGCTCAGCGGGATCTACAGAGCACGCGTCAACAGCGAGCGCAAGCTTTAAGATTACGCGTCGGAAAGTTATGGGGAAAACATATCATGATTTTGGGGCCCTCTTATCACCCAGCATCTCACGGGGCCGCTCACCTCCCCGCCCGATGCTATGCACAGGATGGACAATTCACGCCCTGTCCTCATCATCGGTGCGGGTCTGTCGGGCCTTGCCCTTGGGCGACTATTTACAAATTGTAATATTGCAAACATCGTCTTCGAGGCATTCTCGCCGGAACGCAGCCAGGGGTTTACCATTTCCATGCATGACTGGGGCAATCCACCGTTGCTCGAGGCCCTCGGCGGGCTGTCCCTGCAGAGTATGACGAAGGCTGTTGCACCAGATCGCTTCATCGGGGGCAGCGGATGGGTAGACCTTGCAATGCGCGAGAACATGCGGGCCAGATACTCGTCGAACCGGACGCTAATTCCCCGCCAGCGGTCGTGCGAGCGAATCGCAATGCATTGCGGGCTTGGATTGCCGACTGCGGGGACGACCAGCTGGATTTGCGTTATGGACATTGGCTGAAGAGTATATCGGGGCCAATGGGCAACGTTTAGGCAGTCTTCGAGAATGGAGTTATATATCGGGGCTCGGCGTTGGTTGCTGCTGACGGTGTCCACTCGACGGGTATGCAAGACTAAAACTGTTTACATCTTCGGCTGTATATCGGCTGACACGTATTTACTGACCCTCTACCCAATGCAGTGCGTTCGCAAGTCCTGCCACATATCGTTTCGGAAGTGGTGCCTGTAGTGATCTACCATGGCGAATTCGAGGTGTCGCGCGATGAGTACGACCGGTACCTGCGTCCTGTCATCGGCAATACTTTATTCTTGCTGGTGTGGGCGACGGGTTTAATCCTCCGATCACAGTCTGCAATATCACGAAGACGCGGGTGCACCTTGACTGGTCATATTCCCGACCAGCATACGGCGAAAATGACCGATTGTTTAATGCTAAGAAGCCGGAAGTCCAGACACGTGAGACACCCCAGGCGCTCCTGGATGAACTGTCATCGGGGCAGCTCGCGGAGCCGTGGGCACGATACATCAACTCGGTGACCATCCGACAGCACTGACCCATAGCAGAATGGCGGGTGATTGCGGAGAAGCGGCGGGCCAAGGTAGGTGCTCAAGCAGTAGATGGGGGTGAGATAGTGACTTCTAGAGGCTAGAGATAGCAAAAGTCTGAGATGATAATGGTGCCATGCTCATGAATTCCACAATCCTCTCTGATTTTCCCTCGGCACCTCACCATATATTGCCCGTCCTATTTCGGGGATCCTCATGCCGCCCCGTCTTCCGGGCTGCCTCATGGTCTCCGCTAGCACGGCGGTCACCTGCTGCACACGCGCCTCATTATGATGGATATAAAGTTACATCTTGGTGGGTAGGTCCTCGATGATTGCTCCGTGGCCTGGGTAGCCCCTTACTTAGCCGAGCGCTGCCATGCGCGCGAGACTTGCCATGTACTCAGTCAAATCCTGTACGACGGCGAAACCGTGGCCCAGCACATTGTCCCCCGTAAAAACCGCGTGCTCCTCTTCGATAAGGAAGCACATGTGGTCTATCGCGTGGCCAGGTGTGAATACTACGCGCACCGTCGCACCTGCTACTATGAACTGCTGCCCGTCTGCGATGAGCAATTGACCTCGGTCCGGGCGATACTTGTAGATGCGTGACTGCAGCGTCGGATCGTGTGCGATCAGGTCGGAAATTCCGCCCACATGATCGCCGTGCCAGTGCGTCATCAGCACGTACTCCAGCGTTAGGCGATGTTCTCGAAAATACGCTACCAGCATGGTGTGCCAGATCAACCGGCCTTCCCCGGTGTCGATCAGGCCCCCGTGCCGACCAGGTATGTGTCCGTGCCTTGCAATTGCACGACCCCTGGGTTGCCGGCCAGGAGCCGACTCACCCTGGGTGTGAGCTGCGTCAGCGCTGGGAGCGCTGGGAGGGACGCCTCTTGCCCCGACAGGTATTCTTCCCAGTAACTCTCGTCAAAAGGAATTCGTGTAACCATTTTTCAGTGTTTCGATCTGTGGGAGCAGTGCAGGGAAGGTAAGGCTCTAAGGAAGACAAGTATTGTGCAGGTTGGCGTCGATGATATTGCCTGCCATTGTGGTGTTCGTCGGGTTGAGTTACCTCGGGGCTTTGAACTCGGATTTTATACTACCACTTCTCCCTACTTAGCGTGAACTGCCAGATCGACAAGGTAAAGTCCGATTGACTATGTGTACGATGAAAATAAGGGCCTCCTCCGCTCCTGGCAGATATTGTCATCATATCACATCGCGGATACACATCGCCAACATGACATCCGGCAGCATTACTACAAAGACCACCGCGACCAATGACCTCCAGAGGACTCTTCCCAGCGAGGAAGTTATCTATAAGCCATGGGATCTGCTGATCCACGAGGTCTGGGTCCTGGGTATCGTCTCGACCTGGGCCTGGGGCTGCAGTACCTCCGAAGATCTTCTCCCACAATTCCGCGCCAGTATAGGCAAAAATCACCTCGATATCGGCAGTGGCACAGGATATTACCTTCGTCAGGGCGAGATCCCCGCCACGACGCTCCTGGCACTGCTAGACTTGGAGCACCCTGCGCGGAATCTGGGCTTGCAGCGCTGTGGCCGACCAGACGCGTGCGGCCTACAAGCTGATATCCTACAGCCCCTGCCGGTAACCGACACGTTCGATTCGGTCTCCATGTACTATCTGCTACACTGCATACCGGCTACTATGGCCGAGATATGTGCTATCTTCAAGCACATCAAGCGCAACATGACCCTCGACGGCATCATACACGGTGCCAGCGTTCTGGGCAAGGGTGTGCGCAAGGACAACTGCTTCGCTGCCCATGTGCGCCGCAGCGGACTGAACACCGGCATCTTTCACAATACCGATGATAATGCATATGACTTTGAACATGCTCTGCCCACGAACTTTGAGGAGGTCGAAACGCGAGTTGTAGGCTCAGTGTTCATGTTTCGTGCCTCGAAGCCTAAGCAAAAAAAAAGGGTGATTTGTTAAATAGTAGATTCTACAATTTTGCGAGCGGAGGGGAAGGATCTGCCTTGTGTGGTAACTGTCATGGATGGCTGGGTTGCAAACTTGAGATGATGCAGTTCGGATATAGATTGAAATGCTTCCTTAGATGCATTGCCATGAATACACATACAAACATCGAACATGGGAGAAGAAGTTGTTCATAGATACACTCATGGCTTCATTCTCTTTGCCCATGCTGGGAAAGCCTCACAGAACCTTCACCCAGTCATGCTGTCGGACTTTGATAGTTCTTGGCACAAAAGCCCCAACTCCGATCACAATAAACTTTGAACTCTGCATGCAGTAGACGCCTTCTTCTTTTAATATTTTCCCCAGTCATTCTTATAGTGACCACCATGTCTTAGGAGCCTCGATTTCCACCTTGGTCGCAGACACAGAATGCTCACTACCACCCTCTTGCAGAACTGGTAGGAGCGCCTCCAGGCGCTTCCTCCGCTTCCTTACGTCCTCGGCGCGCTTTTCTTCGCCTACCTCGCTTTCCACCTGCTGTTCAACCTCTTCCAACCTTCCACATAATTTGCCCCAAAGTCAGCTACTACCCCGATGCATTGTTTTTTCTGTCCAGAGATGTCATAATCTGGAGTACTTGATTGTAGTTTGTAAGTACTTACCGTTCAATTCACATAACACATAATTGGTATACTGGAGTGGGTATAACTAATGCTCTTCCATCTACAATAATGAAGCAAGCTCCCATCCCCCTAAGGACCCGCTTCGGGGCTTGCCTGCTCGTGGAAGATCCAGAGCATGATGAAATGCCCGGCATCGGATTACTTACCAGCTCTCGGGCCCGATCCAGGGCTGCCTCCTATTGGATAACGCATCGGTCCTTGGCCGGCAGTCCGGGCCCGAAGCAAGATCCGGCTTTTTGATTGGCTGGTATACATTTACGTACATCACTTGATGGGTAAGTAGGGCTGTTGAACAAGGACTATAATATGATATATAACGACACACAGGTTGCTCCAGACGAGCCGAAGAATCTACTTCTTCAGGCTTTACCCCCTTCCCCCTTCCCCCAAGTCATGAAGATTCGCCAACACAAAGATCAGTGATACGAGAAAAATGAGTGAAAAAGATGCAATGGCATCCAAGCAGGACCTTGAAGCAGGCCCCCAAGCGATCACCAACCCCGAGCTTCCCAACCAGGCCGAGAACGACAAAGATCCGAACCTCGTCACCTGGAATGGACCCGATGACCCAGAGTTTCCCAAGAATTGGTCAAGGGGCCTGAAGTGGAAGAACACCTGGTCGGTTTCCCTATTTGTCTTCATTTCACCCGTGTCCTCATCGATGATTGCCCCCGCCCTGGAGGGTCTCGCCCAGTCGTTGGGGATGCACTCGGAAATTGAGACATATCTGTCGTTGAGTATCTTCATTCTCGCGTATGCCATCGGCCCCGTTTTTTTCGGGCCGGCGTCTGAACTCTACGGTCGACTGCGTTTACTCCAAGTCAGTAATGTGTGGTATCTGGCCTGGAATCTGGGATGCGGGTTCGCGAAGACCAAAGGGCAGCTTTTTGCTTTTCGTTTCCTCGCAGGTATTGGTGGTAGTGCGCCGCTAGCTATTGGAGGAGGAGCCATCAGGTGAGTACTTCTAAAGATGAGATAAATATAACCCGCATTGTGCACTTCGCAGGAGAGCTGATCACATCGGGCAGCGATATGTGGTCCGCAGAAGAACGGGGTAAAGCCATGGGTGTCTATACTCTTGGGCCACTCCTAGGACCCGTAATCGGTCCGATCGCTGGTGGGTTTATTGCCGAGTATTCAACCTGGCGCTGGGTATTCTGGTCCACCTCCGCTGCGGCTGTCGCAGTGCAGGTAGTCGGGTTTTTCTGGCTGAAAGAATGCCACCCGGGCACGCTCCTAAGAAGGCGCCGTGACGTTCTTGCTAAAGAGACAGGGAATGAGAACCTTCGCACTGCAGAGAGAGTTGAGACGCTGGCTTACAAGCTTCTTCATGCACTTGAACGACCGGTGCGGATGTTTACGACACAGCCTATTGTCCTCTGTATGGGACTTTATATGGCCTACCTCTTCGGCGTCGCCTATCTGGTGTTTGCAACCTTCCCGGATATTTGGACCGAGGTCTACCACGAGAGACCCGGAATTGGAGGTCTCAATTATCTCTCCATCGCGATTGGATCTTTCATCGGGCTCTTCTTTAATCTCAAGCTCGTGGACCGTATCTACAGCATTCTCAAAGCCCGGAACAATAATGTGGGCAAGCCCGAGTTCCGAATGCCGTCCCTGGCTGTAGGATCGATCATCAGCACCATCGGGCTCTTCTGGTACGGCTGGAGCATTGGCAATACTCACTGGATCATGCCGAACATCGGTGCGCTGATCTACACGATGGGCACCATCTCCTGCCTACAGGGCATGCAAACATACATTGTCGACAGCTACCAAACCTACGCAGCCAGCGCTATGGCGGCCTGTGCTGTGCTTCGGAGTCTGTGCGGTTTTGGCTTCCCACTCTTCGCTCCCTATATGTACAACTCCCTGGGTTACGGTTGGGGCACGAGTGTGCTGGCCTTCATCGTCATGGTCTTCGGATGGGGTGGGCCATTTATTTTCTGGAAATTTGGGCCCCGGCTGCGGGCCATGTCTGAATATGCCTCTGGCTGAAGGAGGCAGAAATTTGGCACATGAGGAGGGCTGCGTGAGAGACCACAGCGATCGCGAGGCGCGAGTGACTTCTCGGCCTGGATCGGATTCGCCGGGTGATAGTTGTCACTGGGGCGGATGGAAGAATGCTTAAACGGGTCATATACTACGGGCGTTGTATTATTATTTACCGGTTGTCATATAGAGATAACTCCTATTGAATATAAGAAAGTTATGTACCATAAATGTCTCGCCTGCCGTGGTTCCAGATGGTTCAAAAATAATCCGACTGCAGAGAATGATGTGTCCGTTGTCAGCAGGATTTCGTCCCGCGCATGTACATCGTCCATTGGCATTATCTTAAAAAGTTATAAAAAAAGGTATTTTACCTGGGTATTTGATATCTAGATCTTCTATCATACTAAGGATTTTACTTTGAATGATAAGTAGATATTCAGATAATATGACTACTTTCAATATTAATATTATACTCAAAACTAGTACCTGACTTTTTCCATCTATAGATTAGATACTTTTTCTGCTGGCTACCTCTCAGCAAACAGAGATAGATACTTAAATAAAAATTATTAATCTTCAGACTTACATATTTGTATCAATTCTTGCTAATATATCTTTTAAAACTGATAGTCTGCTGCCTAGTGATCCCTCTGGTTATTAGTGCTGCAGGACAGCTTAGCCACATCCCTTGCCTACGCAGCTGTATAATAAGAAAACTCCAGGAATTAATTCTGCCGGCAGATTTGCAGTAAGTAAGAATTCTAAGCCCTTTGGCCGCAAAAGTCTGCCGTACCGCCGCCACCGAGATGTTTCCAACTCCGTAGTGTGGATCTGACCATCATCAACCAGCCCACACATCCATCACGACACATTTCAAACTATCGCGACTGTCGCCCAGAGAGACAGGCTCGATAATCGAAGGCTACACCGTCTCATCATGGTCTCGTCTCTCGCTGCGTCATGTTCGTCGCACTGCCGACAAACGCATTTATCGTTGTTTTTGATTATGACAATGTTATCTCATGACGGCCAATTCCCCCCTGATCGCGTGTGATATCTCAGCCGTCGCCTATCTTATGCGAGCGCCGATCACCGATGCAAAAAGCCCATCTCCTTCCAGGCCTGGACATACTTCCTCGCCACCGCCGCCGGGACGGGGCCCTGCGCGGCCAGGGTCGCCGAGTGCTCGCAGCTGTGCGCCGTATCCAGCAAAAGCCCGCCGCAAGACATGCGCCTGAAGTGATGGTCCAGAAAGTCGACCAAGCGTCCGGCCGGGTTGTCGGTCTCGACGGGCAGCGGGGAGCGCCGTACCCGCTGGATCCACTGGTCGAATGGGATCACATTCTCCAGAGGGATGTCCAGCGCTTCGGCCAGGACGGGGATCATCTCGCGCCAGGGCTGGCCGACCGGGTTGTCGACGTGGTAAACCGGATAGAGATCTTGGTCCTTGGGAAGCAGCAGCAGATCGACCAGGGTGCCGGCCACCTTATTCACGGGGACCCAGGAGAGGATGCCGTCGAGGGCGGGGAGGGCGCGCAGGGACTGAGCGGACTTGACCAAGAAGGCGAAGTGTTCGATCGGGTTCCAGTAGCCGCTGGTCTGCGAGCCGGCGATTTGGCCTAGCCGCACGGTCGTCGCGCGGAAATGCGTTGGGTGCTGCTGCAGGGTGGCCTCGAGTAGGCGCTCGCATACCCACTTCGCCTCGCTGTAGCCGTTGTCCAGCACCGACTGCACGGCCATTCGCTCCTCGGGCACTCGAGTCTGTCCGCTCCACAGCGGGTGGTGGCCGACAACGCCGATCGAGGAGACAAGTAGAAACCCCAGCTGGAATCCCGCAGGCCGCTGGGAGTGGGCGACCCCGTCGCGTGCGAGGAGGATGAGGTTGCGCAGGGCCTCGAACTGGGACTGGAAAGCCCGCACCGGACGCGAGCCGCTCATGGGCCAGGCGTTGTGAACAATCTGGGTGACGTGCTGCGCGAGCCAGTTATACTCCGCTAGGGGCACGCCGAGTTGCGATTTGGCCGTATCCGTCTCAAGTATCCGGAGCTTGGCCTGCTGCGCCGGGTCCAGTATGATGCCTCGCGAAGACAAGGCGTGTTGCTGCCGGGTCTTCACCGATACGCCCGTTGGCCGGTTCACACATACCACCTGCCACACGTCCTCGCGCCGAACCAGCTGCTCGATGAGGTGGGATCCCAGGCTCCCCGTCGCCCCGGTAAGGAGGATACAGTGGCCGGCAGGCTGTGGCTGGGAGGATGGAACCGCGGAGCGGGCAACCCTAATGGGAACCTCGAATCCTCGACTGTAATTTTCGACATACCGAGCGGCTTCATCCTCGCGTGCCTGGTCATTGCTGCCGTCTGCGATCGACGCTCGCTCGACCCCCGGCTTGGGCAGACGCTGCTGCGCGGGGCCACTGGCGAGGGCAATGATAACCTTCTGGATATCGTTCTCAGGCAGACGCCCGTCGGTCCAGTCTACGTGGCCGAAGCCAACGGACTGGAGGTCTCGCTCCCATCGTGACGGAGGCGCGATGGCGTGCTGTCGCCCATCCTCAAACAACCACCATCCCTCGAGCAGGCCGAAGATAATATCAATGAAGGGCACGATCTCCGTCATCTCCAACATCATGAGAAAGCCGTCAGGGCGGAGTGCCGCCCGGATGTTTTCGGCGGACCGCGTGAGGCTGTGGGTCGCATGAACCGCATTGCTCGCGATGACTATATGCTGGTTGCGCAGCTCATCGGCCGGGGGTTGCTCAATGTCGTGCACGCCGAACCTCATGAAGGGGTACGATTTGTACTTACGCCGGGCCAGCGCCACCATCGACGGTGCAAGGTCAGTGAAGGTGTATTCCACGGGGATATCGAGGCTGGCCAGAAACGGCACGAGGACCTGGGTGGTGCCCCCGGTGCCCGCGCCCATCTCCAGGATCTTCAGGGGCCCCTGTCCCGCTGGCAGGCGCGCAATCAGTCGGCTGATGAAGTCCTTCATCTGGTGGTAGGACATCCGATTGAACGAGTGGTCGCAGTAGAGCGCAGAAACCAGTTCCCGCCCTTCTGGGGTCCCGAAGATGACCCGGATGCCGTCGGTTTTGCCCTGGAGCACGGCCGCCAGGTGTTTCCCGGCGAAGGAGGTCAGCTTAAGGGCATACACCCACTCGGGAAACTGCCGCAGCAAATCCTCCAGTATCGTCTCGCTCGGCTTCTTTGGGGGTGCGATCGCGGTGCGCACGATTCGTTCCCCTCTGTCCTCGCGGTCGATCAGCCGGGCATCCTTTTCCAGGAGCTCATAGAGATACCCCACCAGTCGGTGATGTTGGGGCTCATAGGGGATTCGATCCAGGACCTGGCCGGCCGTGGCGGTGCGGAGCGGGCAGCCGAGTTCTTCGAAAGCTTCCACCACGAGGGCAACGCAGAGCTGGGTGGACTTGGCCATCACGGTGTCCGCGAAATTGTCGATCCGATAATCCCGGATGAAATTGTCTGTTAGGAGTTTTGACTCGGCAAAGGCTGCAAGCACCGCCCCTGCTGGGATATCCAGTGGATGCGGGAACGACGGCAATTGTACGACTGCTGCCTTGACGTCTCGGTCATCCGCGGTCTCCCCTGGTGGAGTGACCGTGAGCGTTGTGCGTGGAGTCTCGTGGCCGTTTGTCGACGTTTCCGACCCAGTCGAATCCTCCTCGTCTCCCTCCGGCGCCGTGACAGCACCTTCGTCGCCCTCGTCCAGATGCAGAGCGGCCGCGATACACTTAACGAACTTGCGAAAATCGGTGGCTTCCATGAGCTCGACTTGATCCAGCGTGCACTTAAACACGGTCTCGACCTCCCTTGCCAATTCCATGCCCATCAGCGAATCGATGCCAAAGTCAGCCAAATTGGAGTCATTCTTGATCTCACTGGCCTCCAGGCCGGAAACATTGGCGATGATCTCTCGAACTTGCTTGCTGAGGTCCGGCCTCGAGGACTGCGGCTTCTTGCTCCCCTGCCGTTTCGCCTGCGGGTCGACCGGCTGCGTCACGGCCCCGGCGGTGGTTACGGTCTCCCGCTCCAGAGGCAGCGCTGCTGGTGCACTCTTCGATATAGGGGCGGGCAAGGCCTCTGGGGCTGTGAGTCGAGTCAGAATCTTGCTCATAGACACCTTGGAGACTCGCATATAGTGAATGCCGAGCATCACTAAAACCAGGGCGCCGGTTGTCGCATCGAACACGAACACATCGGTGAGGAACATTTTCTCGGACTGGCGGTGATGCGCGGCGAAGACATCCCACGTCTCAGGGAAGGCATACCCTTGTTGTCGCACCTTCGGGGATCGCATCAGCAATTCGCACCCGCTGGCGATGTACAGGTCCGTCGCGGCGCGATCCGTCATGCAATTTACCCAAATGCCGGCGACCTGGCTGAAACAGTCGGCCAGCAGCGTGTCCAGCCAGGTCTCCCCTGTGTACGCCTTGCAAACACGACCGGCGCATTCGTCGCCTTTTCCGACCACCTTCTTCACGCCACGGTAGACCTCGCCATAATCCACGATTTCAGCAAATGTGCGATAGATGTTGCGGCCCTGGATGATGTCGTCGGCAGCCTCGCCACTCTCCAACACGCTTAAGCACCGCTTGTGGGCGACCATCCGCTCGTAGCGCGCAAACTCGGCCTGATACTGGGGGTCCTCAGACGAACAAAAGCGGATCTTGCCGGCGACATGGACGGTGTCGCTCTGCTGCGGCGCGTCCAGGCTCTGGTGGTTGCTGACAATCTGCCATGCCCACGTGTGGCCCTCGGGGTCGGCGACGGTGCAGTCCAACCATACCAACCGGGAGGGATCCACGCACACGGGGACCTGGTTTTGCATATCCAACAGCTGGGGCTGCATCTCCTGCGCCGCAAGCTCGGGACGCAAGCTGCGCAGGGCCTCGATGGCCATATCCACTTGCAGCGTGGCGGGGCAGATGGGTGCGGTCTGCGCGATCAGGTGCCCACTAACCAAGTCCTTGTATTGATCCGTCATCGTGTTGATGCGGAATCGCGCGGAGGTTTTCTCGGCATTGCAGTACTTCGTGAACGTCCAGAGCCCTACGGGGACTTCGTGCTGCGGGTTGACGTACGCATCGGTTGACAAGCCGGCGACTGCGGACTGGGGTACCTTGAGCTCTAGCCAGTGTCGGTGCTTCTCGAACTGGTACGGCGGCAAGATCAGAGGGGCGTAATCGGACGCCTGCAGCGCATGATGGCCCCAGAGAGAGACGCGAAGTCCTTCCTGCCACAAGCTTGCCGTAGCATCGGACAGCTTTTGCATTGCACCCTCACTACAGAGGTCCATGGCTTGAAAGTGCGACTCCCCTCCTCCTCCTCCACCAACTGCCCGTTTGGCCATCACCGTGATGGTGGAGTTGGACCCGGCTTCTAGCCAGACGCACGATGGATGCTCTTTTCTGAGCCGCTGGACCGCATGATCGAAGAAGACCGGCTGGCGCATGTGCTGGGCCACATAGCCGGTGGTCAAATGATCCGGTGATTGAAACGCTTCAGTCGACCGATGGAGTGGAATGAGCGGCCGTTTGAACGCCAGCTGCTCTCCGAGCGACTCCAGGCTCGGCACGAGCGGGTCAACCAGGACGGAATGAAAGGCGTTAGTGACGTTCAGCCTCTTGGTCCGGATGGAAGAATAGGTTGGCGCCTGCTGCGACACGGTCTCCAGCAGTACATCGATCGCCCTTGTGCTTCCCGCAAGGGTGAAGCTGCGCGGGCCGTTATAACAGGCAATGCTGGCCGGGCGATCGCCTGCATAGGCTCGGTTGGCCTCGACAATGAGCTGCTGGACAACATCCGGGTCGCCCTCCACGGCGACCATCGCCCCCGAATCATCACCCCACGCATCTCGGATCAATTTCGCCCGTCCAGCCACCAAGTTCAGCGTGTCGCGAAGGGACAACGCACCCGACACGCAGAGGGCCGTGAGCTCGCCGAAACTGTGGCCGACGACGGCAGCGACCACGATACCGCAATCCATCCAGCACTTAGCGCACGAATATTGCATGGCAAACAGCATGGTCTGAAGTTGAACCGGATCGTTGACAGGCGTCCGTTGAAAGATCGCGGGCAGGATGCTGGGGAGACCCAGGGATCGGATCATCGCGTCACAACGGTCCAGGAAACTGCGGAAGATCTTCACCTGCTCGTAGACGGCCTTGTCAAGGCCCACGAACGTGGAAACCTGCCCGCCAAAGCACAGGATGACGGGTCTCGCGGGCTTAATCAACGTCGCGGAGTCCGAGGATTCCTGTCGACCATTCGCATATGATTGGAGCTTGTCCTCCAAGTTGGCTAAGGAGCTGCAGCTGAAGATCAAACCCCGTGGCAGGGATCGGTTGGACTGGCGCGAGACACTGAACGCGATGTTGGCGAGCGTGGCCGTCTTTTTGTTACTATTCCTTGAAGTGATGATAAATTCCAAGAGCTTCCGACAATACGCCGAAATAGCTTGGTCATCGAACCCCGGAATCCAGAACGGATATCTCATGTCGGAAGCGTCGGTGCCCTCCGTCGTTGACCCCTCATCTTCACCGTGAGTGAACTGAGTAATGACCATCGAAGCATTCGAGCCAGATGCGCCGTAGTTGTTAATCAGTGCTGCCTTGAAGGGCTCGTCCCACCGCCGAAGGGTGGTCGGAATCTCGATCATCTCGGATGCAGCGATATGGTGGCTTAGTTTGGAATGACTGGCCTGCGGTGGGATGAAGCCCTCTTGCAGCATAAGGACCGCCTTGATCAGGGAAATGACTCCAGAGGTGCCTTCTGTATGGCCCACGAGCCCTTTCACCGACCCCAGCTGCAAGGGCCTAGTGGTTCGCTTCGCCCCTGCTGCCAGCGCCAGGCGAATACTTTCATACTCAGCTGGGTCCCCAACGGGCGTTCCGGTGCCATGAGCTTCCACAAAGGAGATATCCTCTGGTTCCAGCCTTGCCTTGCGAACTACCTCTCGGAAGAGATGAGACAGCGAGGGGGAGTTTGGCACGAAGAGCGGGGTGCAGTTCTCATTCTGCAGGACGGCGGTGCTCGCAATACAGCCGAAGATCTGGTTTCCGTCCGCGATAGCCCGGGACATCTTCTTCAGAAAGACGCAAGCGATACCTTCGCCGCGGCAGTAGCCATCTGCCTTCTCATCGAACGGCTTGCATTGGCCCGTGGGGCTCAGGAATGTAGCGCCCGCCAGGTTCTGAAACCATATGGGATTGCTCATCGTCGCTACGCCGCCGGCCAACGCGCCCCCTGTACACTCACCACTCAGGATCGCGCGGCACGCCGTATGGATGGCGACCGCCGAGGCAGAGCACGCCGTATCGATGGTCATTCCGGGGCCCGTCCAGCCGAAATAGTGCGCGACCTTTCCCGGGATGAAGCTTTTGAGATTGCCCGTGGCCGTGAACGCGTTGGGCGGGTAGCATGCCACGTTATGTTCGTAATCGGCGGCGCAGGCGCCTATGTAACATCCTATATGGTTGTCTGGGTTGGGCTGCGCAAAATATCCGGATTGCTCGACGGCCTGATACGCAGCCTGCAGCATGAGCCGTTGCTGTGGATCCATCGTGGCTGCTTCCCGCGGACTTCGCTTGAAGAACTTGTGATCAAAGGCGTCAACGTCGCGAATGAAGTTACCATACCACTTCCGCTCGTCCACCTCGCGCCACTGCGTCTGGAACCCAAAGCGGCTGGTTGGCACCTCCGTATGCTGGGATTCGCCGCGACGGTTCAAATCCCAAAACTCGGCCACGTCGTCCGCCCCGGCGACACGAATCGACATGCCGACGATGGCAATATCATCGTCCTCCGCGTTGCGGATGCTGGTGGCGCTCCGGTCAATTTTGGGATCCAATACACTGGCCGAGAACTGGGGTGCCTCCGGACGTTCCTCTATCATCGGCGCCTGGACCAAACGCGCTCCTAGCTGTCGCACTAAGGACGGAGGGACAGATCGACTGGGCCCAAAGGAAACCGCCACGTCACTGTCGGACTGCAGCACAGACGACTGCACGGCTGTGAAGGTCTTGTACCAGTTGCACTGCTCGACTAGGACCGCCCGCAGAGCCAAGTGATGCAGCCTCCCGGTCACCAGGGGCTGTCCGTCCGTATTGGTATAGCTTGGAAGCGCCAACTGCGACGCATCGGGGAACTGGAACCTTGGCTCTGAATCACAGAAACGCAAGACGGTCTCCAGATCCTTTTCATACTGTCTGCAGTGGAAGCGGCCCTGAAGTCCCACCTCCGACGCCACCATGCCGGCCGCATGGAGCTGCTGCACGAGCAGAGACGCTGTGTGCTGCGATATGGTCACGGTGGCCCGCTGGGTGTCATAAAGAACCGAGATGTATGCCTACAAGAAAAGAAGGAGCCATGTGAGTCAGCAGTTTCAACGGGAAATGTCTTGTGGGAGAGGTAAACAGTTGCAGGTTCGATGGCCTCCAGCTGACCGATCCTCACGCACCTCGGGAAACTGATCTATGATGCGATCTAAGATAGTACCCTGCTCGGTCGACGTCCATGCTATGGCAAAAGACTTGGCTGGGCCGTACACCGTGTCGGATGCCTCCTGCGCGTCGACCAGAGCACCGATCAACATGGCGAGGCGCACGGCCACCGCAGCGTAGTGCGGCAAGTCTTGCAAGCTCTTCGAACTGGACACTGCGAAAGCACTCAAGATTCCGGTACAGAAACCCAGGGTGGCACAACCACTCAGCGGCATGTCGTTACCAAGGTTCCTGACGCTGAAATATTGCCAACACTGTCCCAGCTGGGAAAGAACCACGAGGGGGGTGAGAAGAATGTTGGGCAGGTCATAGTTTGTCTCGGGGAATGAGCTCGTCATAAACCATCCCTCGAGCTCGGCGAGCAGCTTCTCGCCTCGTACCCACTGCAGTGTGGAAATCTGCTTCGCGAGCGTGGGCCAGTGAGCCCGCAATTCGGCGACCAGGTCCAAAACCCAGCGACGATCTAAAGGGCTATCCGAAAGAGACCTCAACAGGCTTTGGAACGATTGCTTGGTGAAACCAAGCGCCTGGGGGCCGAACAGAAGAAGTCGACTCCTGGCCGCGGAGTGTGTATTGGATGCTGAGCCCAGAGCCATGGCAACGGTGGTTGCTTGTCCCGGCGAAGAAGGCAGAAGATGTTTAAATAGATCTATTGTTGAAGGGGGACATGTAGTGACCAAGCTAGACCGTGAAACGAGGTTTGTTGAAAGGTAGGCACGGCTGTCGACTGACTGGTTGAGGGTCCGTACAGACTCTATAGGCAGCCTCCATGATTTTTAATAAGCCATCCTCTCCACCTGATCGCAGATTACCGGGGCTTATTCGGGTTCGCGCCAAGTGAATCGGCCGGCGTATCGCAATTGAGAAACACCCTCATTGCTGCTGCAATGAGACGATAGCCCAAGGGTTAGTCGGAAGCAGCCGAACCGACGCGGCCTGGGGAAATTGTTCCGAGTGGCGCATGAATGTTCCGACGGAATTATCCTCTTGAGACAATATGGCCCGGAGGCATCTGAAAGGAGCCAAAGCTCACGGTTGAGGATACACGTACAGTCGTCCCTCGTCCACGGCGAATTCACACGCACACACACACACACACACACACACATCTACATCTGTGTACACGAGAGCCACCTCTTCATACAATTCAATCATGGTTTGGAACAGGACCAACGGGGTCTGGCACGATGATCTGGACGGGGCGGAGAAGGTTTTCTACGACATGTCCCAGGCTTTTCAACCGGTAGGCAAAGAGCATGGGTCGGTCTACACGGTGTGCAAGATCCGCATGCTCGAGGATCAGCGTCCCCAGCACCCTCTCGAAGTTCGACTCCGGGACGCCTGGATCTCGCTACGGATCGAATTTCCCTCGTTAAGTGTCGTGGTATCAGACGCCCAGCGGAAAGAGTACATGTCGGCGAATCCTCAGCGTCTCCAGCATTGGGCGAGTGAGACCTTCTGGGTAGACGACTCGGGTAACTCAGCCATCCAGGTCGTGTCCTCGCTGCACCTGAGAAAGTTTCCCTGCCTGATCTTCCTGCCGCGAACCTCCGAGCTCGTCTTCCATTCGTCCCACTGGCGCATCGACGCTTTGGGGGCCTGTATGTTGTTGGACCGATTGTTCGAAAAGCTCTCCCGCGACACCGACACGATTTCCGTCAACGAGGACGATAATATGTCCCCGAACCTCTCTCCTAGCCTGGAGGATGCGTTTGGCTCCCCAGCAGCACCGACTCCCCAGATGGAAGCTGTGGCGAAATGCGTTCAACGGAGAAATTTCCAGACCTCGTACCCGACCGCCGGACTGCCCGTGGCGATGGGGGCGCGAGCCTCACCACCTGCCAGGTCCAGCCCGCAGGCCCTCGCGTTGACGCGTGAAGCAACGGAGGCCCTGCTTGCGGCCTGCAAGCGGCATGCCATCAGCGTCACCGCGGCGGTTCATGCTGCGTGTGCGCAGGCCGTCTTCGATCGCTGTCGCGATCCCGAGGTCGACTATAGCACCGTAGTATCAGTCAACCTGCGAGACTACCTCCCCGCGCCGTACAACGCCCGGGCCGGCGCCTGTGCGACCTACGTGACGGGCATCACCCACACCGTGCGGGTAGGGGATTCCTTTACTACTCGCGCCGGCCAGCTCACCAAGGCCTATCGGGGCGGTGATTGGGATGTGTCGGAGTACATGGCGGCGCTTCGGCCGATCTACAGGGTCCACGGGGAGACTCTCCGAGCCCTGGCCACACCCCACACACGGGCGCCTGCCACCAACATCACCGTCAGCAGCTTGGGAGTCATTGACAAATACTTAACCAGAAAACACGGTGCAGGGGTCCTCGTGGAACAGTTTCATCTCGGGAGTGCAATCATGAACCGACAGATGACTTTGTATATCTGGACATTCGACGGACAGTTAACCTTGTCGTTAGACTCCAACGAGGCGTATTACCCACCCGAGATTGTCCGTGGTATACTAGGGAGCATTTGCGCCTGCTTAGAGAAAGAGCTGAATCTGAATACGGTCCTGATGAGGGCGTGAAGGCGAAGACATAGTTCGATATCATCGTTGGATCTCATGTCGGCGTTTGGAAGGCCGCTTTGGTCAGCCAGTCACGTGCTACAGGAAACCCGCGATGCATTGAATCTCCTCACCACCACCATAGCAGATAACAATCATGTACGTAGTCAGAATACACACATTTTGACAACCATCGGGGCAGCAGGTTGACTGCCGAGAATTTACAATATTCTGGGAGAAACTAGTGCACAATTCAGACCTTTCATGCAACTTGAAACCATGCTCGCATTTCCTCATCACGGCTCAATAACTCCTGTTCCGCCTCGGGGAGAATAACAAACAGTTCGTAAACCCGCTCACTGCCCCGTTGACGCCGACCACTGTCGGGGAATATTATGGCGCAGCCTGGCATAGGCAGCATCCAGGTTCGGACACTGCGAGGGGGGCCGATGCCAAAGTCCCAAGTCGTGGGATTAGCCCCGCCCCAGCTGGTGACCAGAAAATTCTCCTGCAGAAGCCCCGGCGGACGGTATTGCAGCTTCTCCGTGGGCCCCATGGTGGCGCCCAGCGCCGTGACGGCGGCGTTAGAGGCTCGACTAGTGCTCTCCACTGATTGTCGGATTTGGGAGGCAGCCACCGAGAGGCCTCGCGGCCCGATCAGCTCTCTCACGGGCACCGGCCCTGCGCTGGCCACGGAAACTGCGTTTCCGAAGTAGTTCTTGGGAATTCCCGACCCGGGCCTGCTGCGCAGGTCCACCGGGTGCAGGAATCGCGAGGAAAAGTCCTGCAGACTCGGGTTGCGCGCGGTGCGTATGCGCATTACGCTTCTCCATAGCAGGCCGACAAGGCAGTCGTAGGTCGAGACATAGGCCACGCCATCCAAAGGGGTGCAGGAAATCTTCAATCTCTGAGCTGTGGACCCCTCGATTCGATAGACGACGCCTTGAAGGACAGTACCGCCGCTCTCGAGGACCTTGGTACTGTTGTTGCTGTTGCTGCTGCCTTTGGTGGTGGCCGCACCGGCATCGAGCACGGTGTAGTCGGGCACCTCGGTCAACAGGGCCTGCCGGGAAAGAGATACCAGCCGCTGTGATGCCGCAAAGGGACGCCGGTCATAGTCGAATGGGATAGGGGCTGTCGTCTCAGCGTTCTCCACCGACGCTTTGGTGCACCGGCAGATCAGCGAGATGGCAAGATCCATCGATGCCATGTCCAGGGGAACATGGTTAAACCCTATCGCCATGATGACTCCCCCGGGAATGACGTTCAACTGTGGAATGCACAGCGGCTTTTCCTCTGTATCCTGGTCCGCGCTCTCGGGCAGCAGCAGCCGGCGATCAAACTCGCCCGGGAAAAAGGAACGGTCGGCGAGCTCCTGGTACGATTTGTGTTGACCAGTCTCAAACACACGCACGGCAAGAGTCAAATTCCGGCCTGTCATTCGCTGCAATGGCTTCTTGCCGCGGTCGAAGGAGATGGTCGCTGCGAGGGATGGAAGGTGCTGGACGGCTTCGTTCAATCCGTTCTGGAATGCCGACACGAGCAGCCGCACATCGCAATGCGATGGCAATTCGTAGATCAACAACGGTGTCACCAGCGTGTCGGGCATAGTCAAGTCCAGATCAGACAGGATGAAAGGATCATTGCTAGGTTGCAAGCCGTGCTGGTGGGCGTTGCAGGGAACAGCGCCCCCGTCGCCCATGGACGAGCCCGCATCGTTGCCTAGACGGTTGACCATTGTCGTCCTTGGTGGGAATGGTTGGCCTTCACCCCGAATGAAGTTGGTCTTATCTTCTCAGCCGGACTGCTGTGTCAGGACACCAAACGAGGTGATTTCAGTGTCGAGCTGACAGAGGAAACCAGGCCACGCCTTTGTCGCCGAACCAATCGGAGGGTTCTCTTCGGAGTTTGCGCGGCGTCTTCGGTTCAGACTCGGAGGAAAGCAGTTAAGCCTCGGGCTGACAGGGCTAATCTCCAGGATCAAAGTGTTGGAGCCCGTGAGACTGGCATGTTAGTGGCCACGAGACACAAAACCCCTGTTTGTCCTCTGGCACCGACGCTTTTTGCCTGCAAGGAATAGGCATTGGCCGAGATCTATCAACACATGATGCATTCTGTCTCTCTTTTTTCCCTCTGGGTGGCTCCAGCCCTAGCCCTGGCACCGGCCGCCACTCCCCTGAGCGCTTCAATCACCGGGCGAGCGGACCCGCTGATACAATGCTTGTCTTCCTCGCTGTCCCCCAACGGGTCGATCATCTTTCCAGACCAGCCGTTGTTCACGGTGGACACTGCGCGCTACTCGGAGCTCTATGCGCCGACTTTCCGCCTCATTTCCAAGGTTGAAAACGAGCATGATGTCCGTGTCTCTGTAAGGTTTACCTACTATCTGCCGTCTTTAAACCCTAGTGCATCTCTGACCACCTGGGAACCAAGATTCAATGTGCAAAAAGCACCAACACCACATTTCTCCTCACGGGTCCACGACACGGCTTCTACCAGGGGTTTCAAAAGATCCGGGCTGGTCTCGAGATCGACACATCGGCCTTCAACGAAGTGACAATCGACCCGGAAGCCAATACGCTGACGTGCGGAGGCGCAACGATCTTTCAGCAGGTGATCGATGTTGCTTACGCCGCGAAGAAAGATATGCGTGAGTATCCAGGGAGAGATTCTCCTCACCGTCCAACTCCTCAACCACAACCTGTCTAACTATGAGGGCGCAGCAACCGGAAGTGGATCCTGTGTCGGGGTCCTGGGGGCTGGCGTTGGGGCGGGCATCGGGCGACTGGAGGGGTTGTATGGCCTCATCATTGACAGCCTGCTGTCGGTACGAATCATGTTGCCCAACACCACCGTGGTCGAGGCTTCGACGGAGCAGAATCCCGACCTCTTCTGGGGCATTCGTGGTGCGGGCTGGAACTTCGGCTTCATCCTCAACGCTACTTTCCGGGTTTATGACCAGGTCCCCAACGGCCTGCACCTGAACGCCGATCTCATCTACCCGTCCAACATCACCGAGTCGTTCTACGAGATCCTGCGTCAAGAGGCACCCCACATGCCGGCGCCATTGTCTCTCGCGTCTGGCCTGGCATGGAACCCGGCGTACAACGATGTGAGTGAAGCGGAGAAAATATCCCGTACAGGTGCCAGGCTGATGAATGGACCACAATCAACACGCAGACCACCTTGACCATCAATGCTGTCTATGCAGGGCCGGAACGCGAGGGTCGTGCCGCCATTCAATTCCTGCTCGACCAGGGGCCCATCCTGCGACAAAACATCACCATGGTGCCCTGGAACCAACTCATCCCCGCCACCTTTTTTGGGGCCGGCGCCGATCCAACCTGTAGCCTGGGTGGCGTGCGCAAGTCCGTCCTATCCTCCGCGTTCAACGTGATCGACCCCAAAGCACAGGTAGCCATCACTGAGATGTTCAAGGAGATGGTCATCCGCTATCCGCAGACGGGGGACAGTGGGCTGGCCTTGTACTTTCCCGCGACGCAGGCCGCGCGTGCCATTTCTAGTAACGAAACCGCGTACGCATGGCGTGATGTTTTGGGGCATATGTGAGTGCCTTCAATTCTGTGCTGTTGCTATTGCTGATCGATCGATCAGGAACTTTGAGATCGTCTACTCGGACAACACGACGACTGATGCCACCATCGACTACATTCCCGAGAAGATGCGCGATACCATCGCGGCCACGGCGGGCACCGATGGACTACAGGTCTACGTGGGCTTCTCCCACGGCGACGAGCCCCTCGAGTCGATCTTCGCCAAGGACAAATTGCCGCATCTGGCCGCGTTGAAGAAACAGTACGACCCCGAGGGATTGTTCAACGCATACCATCCTCTTCCCACTGTCTATCCCTGACCGTTGATGTGCGGGGTGGAAAGGAGGGGCGGGGCGGCGAAGGGATGGTGGTCTACTGATCGTGTTCCACGAGGGAAGGAAGGTTGAACCCTGTAAATAAGTGGCAGAGACCGTGTGGATGAACCCGATCTATGGTTCCTTGATCGAGACCATGGTGAAAAATGCTTTGTCTATCATATCCATCTAAGCTGGACTTCGGCTATCCGAGTGGTACTCATACACCTTTCAAGTCGGTATACATGGCCCCGCGGATTCCCGCGACTCGTAAAATTCCTCCGGTCACCGCATCGACATCAACAGTTCGAATCGGAACCCGATGTTCGCCATCCCATTCGATCAGGAGCGCACTGCCCGGGGCCGCGTACTCGCGCAGCAGGAGCCGATGGAAGGCGAGGCCGGGGTCTTGCAGTCCATGGACGTGCAGTGTCGGGGTAGTCGTCCAAATCTCATGTTCGTCCTCAGCAGCAGGAGCAGCTCGGTGCTGGTGGCTGAGGTTGTAAGGGGGTCCCCGACCCGCCAGCAGGACGCCGAACTCCCATTGCACGCCCAAGAAGAAACGGCCCTCTTTCCCTCGGCCCTTTTCTACCCGTTGGTCTTCCAGCAGGATACTGACCGCCAGACGCGCGCCTTGGCTGAACCCGAGCAACCCGACCCATCTCCCCGTGCCGGCGGAGTCGGCCTGCATCGCGTGCAGCAGGCTCGCTCGGATAGTTTCAATAGTCTCACCAGCCGGAAGGTCGGCATGCTGCGGCAACCAGCCAGCCCAGCGGTAGCAGGGACCCATCTGGCCGTAGACCGAAGTGAGGTCAGGGTGCATCTCGCTGGGGAACGGGCCATCGGCGAAGACCAAGCGGAAGTGCAGGGCCAGGGCCTCGATCAGCTGCCGCGCTTGCATTCGGAAGATTCTCGCCGACACGCCGCCTCCGTGTAGACACAGGATGCGTGGTTTGTGTAATGTTTCCGGGCCAGATGTATACATGATGTGAGGGCGTGACCTTATTCTGGGATGGGCAGCGAGGTGATTGAAAAAGGACCATGGACATGAATGGAATTCTGTAGAAATATAAAGAGGCGACGCGCGCTTACTCTTGCCTGAGGATGGTCAATAGCCAATCGGAGGATTATTTCTGATTTGTATCTAAGGAGAGGTTCATAACGAGCTACGCGCTTCGGAGCTAAGACCCCCCCCGTGAGTCCTTCAGCTGGCGGCAATAGCCGTCTTTGGCATCTTGCAGCATCTGCTCGATATCTAGATACCAGATGCGATGGGCGCGCCATTCGATCTCCTGCTTGCACCGATCCGGGTCCCCCCCGGCCTGCGCGTGCGCCCACTCATAGACCTCGCATACCTGCCGGGAGCTCTGGACCAGCCACTGGCTGCGTTCGAGGCGGGCGTGGCTGTACGCCTGGAGACTAACCGCAATGACCGCTGCCACCGAGTCGGGATCATTGCCCTCCATAGCAGTGATGGTAGCCACAGCCTCTTGCAGGAGCGTGCACAAGACGAGGGCGTCCTCGACGCCGAACCCGGCGCCAGCCCCGTGGTGCGGCGACGAGGCGTGGCGGCGTCTCCGGCCAGACACACGCGGCCCAGCGTATAGTAAGGGGCAGGATGGTCGTAGGTGTCGAAGATGGCCCACTTGGTCAGCATATCGGGCAGCAGGTCGATCATGGCGCGGACTGCAGGCCCCCAGTCGGCGAAGGCCGCCACCACCTCGTCGCGGCGGGCAGGCGCATCCATCTTGCCCTCCAGTGGCCAGTCGCCTGGATCGTGGACGAAGGCCACGACGTTCATCATCGTGTGCATGGCCACAGGGAAGTTGAGCACGTGGGCGCGGGGTCCCATATGCATGCACTGGTTGAAGGCGCGTTCTTTGCCTAGGGCAGCCACGGCGCTCTCCATGGGAATCAGACCCCGATAGGCGATCTTGTGGGTGTAGTGCGCTTGCGAGACCGGGTTAGCCTCGCCGAACATCTTCTGTCGCACCCGCGATTTGATGCCATCGCAGCCGACCACCAGATCGGCCTCGGCCGTCGTGCCGTCGCAGAACTGCAATTGCACTTTTCCCCCTTCAGTCCCATCATTCGCATACGAATCGAGCCGCTTGCGAAACTGCACCACGCCCGGCGGCAGCAGCTGGACCAACTCGGCCAGAAAGTGCGCGCGGTGGCAACCATCGAAGCCGACATCGCCGGCGTAGATCTGGAAGAGCAGCTCCTCCTCGCCCCCAGAGCGGTCGTGGTATCCGTCGACGTATTGGTAGTACTCGTTGGGATTCTTGTTGGCGACGCGCCTCATCCCGGCCAAGATGCGCGGGTCTAGCAGCTCCATGCACCGCTGCGCGTTGGCCGTGAAGGCGACCCCGGCCCCAATCTCGTGGAACTCATGCGCCTGCTCGTAGATCGTCACCCGGATGCCGTGTCGGAGCAGACCGAGAGCCAGGATGAGGCCCACGATGCCGCCCCCGATAATGGCCACGTTGAGGGTGGTGGCGGCGGCGGGCTTGCTCGTCGTCGTGGTGTCGTTGGGGACCGTCATTGCCGAATAGATCTCTCAGGGGGAAGTGAACAGGCTAACAGGGGAGGCGATACATGAACCGATTCCAGCGGTAGATATATTGTGTCATTAAACCCTAAACATCGGTGATCGTGAAATCAACTGCCATCGGAGCAATTTGAGTACCAGATTCTCGTCGTCCACCGTTCCCGCTACAGCTACCTGAAACAATGGCATGATTCTCATTCGTGCAATTCGCCAAACGTAGTGAAAAAATCCTCCGAGCCCCGAATTCGAGCTCGGCGCCGCGGCCAAATGCCGTTCTCTCGCTTGGCCGAAAGCCGCTTGATGTCCCTTTCAACTAATCCTTCCACTAGAAAATCCCTGTCTTCCGTCCCAAGTTATACTGGTTTTTACATCACTACTATGGCTGCAATCACCCGAAAGACCGTGCTGATCACGGGCTGCAGTGAGGGAGGGTTAGGAGCGGCCCTGGCGCGCAGCTTCGAACAAGCGGGCTTCCATGTCTTCGCGACGGTGCGCGACCCGAAGAAAGCCGCCTCGTTGCGAGACGAGCACATCGAGCTCCTGCCACTGGACGTGACCGCGCCGGACACCATCCACCGGTGCGCGGAGCAGGTGCGCTCTCGGACGGGTGGGACGCTGGACGTACTCGTGAACAACGCCGGGGCGATGCTGATGAGTCCTCTGTTGGATGCCTCGCTGGCAGAGAGCCGGCAAGTCTTCGAGGTGAACGTCTGGGGGATGCTGGCCACCACGCAAGTGTTTGCTCCCATGTTGATCCGGAGTCAGGGCGGGGTGATTTTGAACATCTGTTCCATTGCTGGGGCCGTCCGGATGGCCTGGCAGGGTACGTATCGACCCGGGACCGGCGGCCTGCCACAGATCCTGACTGACCTGACCGAGCCCCAGGGATCTACAATAGCTCAAAAGCGGCAGAGACATGGCTTTTGGAGACGCTGCGGATTGAGATGGAGCCCCTGGGCGTGCGGGTCATTGCGGCCATGGTCGGCGAGGTCGAAACGAACATCTACCAGAACGGACTGCGCACTCTCAAACTGCCGGCGGATTCCTACTATCGGAGTGTCGAGCACATTATCGCGGATCAGGCGGCCGGAAAGCTGCAGACGAAGAACGAACGCCCCGAGGTGACTGCCCGCAACCTGGTGCGCGACGTCCTCAGCGGCCGCTCGGGCTTCACCTGGCGTGGCGGCGTGGCGGGCACGGCCAGGCTGGCCTCGTGGCTGCTGCCCACGCGGTTCTTTGTAAGTGGTCTTATGATACCATGGGGTGGAAATCATGCTGATAAGCTCTAATGAACAGGAATGGATTCTCCATTCGCACAGGGGAGTCTACCAAGTGCGTCCGCCGAAGGCTGAGTTGAGTGATGGTTTCTGATAAGGGCCAGTAAGGGAGCGCAAAATCCCACGCACTTGCTAGCAGAAGAACTATACATCAGTACTACCAAATATAGTCTGCCATGTCCACTTCTAGCTAGACATCTTGATGTAATGCAAAACCCTATAAATTCATTCATGTGAAGTTTCAACTCCATGCACCTCAGCCAAACCGCTACATACACGTATCCAAAATGCCCTACGACACCATCACCATGGAGCCCTATCCAATGCAATCCGCATAGCGCCTCCACTCCGGATCGACGTCCAACCCAGCAAAATCCTCCTCAGTCATACAGAGCAACGCGTCAACATCTCCCTCCTCGGTGCGCGGCATGAAGTAGATATCGCTCTTCAGCGGCGCAAAATCAGGGCGTCGCACCAGAGCGGGTTTGCCGAGGAGTGGCCCGAACGCAACCCGGTAGAGCTGTACGTCGGCCCACGATGAGGACCCGATATCGGTTTGCGGGTCGAAATCGCCGCCGTACGAGATACGCGACCGATCCTGCTGCGTAGTAATCCGCGTCGCGAAGCTACGAATGTAGTGGCGTGTATCCCACGAAGCAGGGTGCCAAGGGGGACCACCGCCACGCAACTTGCAAGGGGGTAATCCCGCCGCGCGAGAGAAGGTAGCACTGGCGACGCTGGCGATGACCCGTGGAGAGGACGAGCAGCCTGTCTCCGGTGCAGTAAATTTGCATGCTGCTGCTCCTTTGGGGACTCATAGCACAGTCTGGTCACCAAGTCATGAAGACCTTGCATCCGTGCCAACAGCTACCAGCTGGTCAACTGCGCAAACCCCCTTGCTCGCATCCATTCCCCGCGTTTCGGATGCGACGCTGACGGGGTCCCCAGAAGAGCACGGGTCCAACTGGTTGCCGATACTTCACGCCAATGACCACATGGATGCGGTTGGCACGGGTCTGCCTGCCGCGTTCTGGGAATCCCTGATCCGCGGATCAGATCATGACTTTTCCTGGGACATGGACTGGCAACCCCTGAGTGCAAGACCCCAAGGGCACCCCGATGACCCCGGCAGCCGTCCACATCGTGCTAGTATGGGAGAAATGCCAGAGGCAAAAATAGGCCCCGTGCAGTCCGCGCAGCTTAGATCGCTTGACGACGGGCAGGTGAACAGGATACCCGCGCCAGACTTTCGCACGCAATCGCTACCGTCAGCGTTGCAATCAGAGCTGTCTTTCCCCACGTCTGCTCGTGCCAGGCCATCGTCAGAAAACCTAGGGAGCAGCAGTCGCGATAAGCCCGCCACAATTCCGCACTTTTGGATGCAACAGTTCTCCGAGTTGAACATGCGTCTGTATCAGTTGGCAGCGACCAGCAGCACCCCAGAACGGGATAACAACCGTCCGCGGCAGCCCGCGTCATTCCCTACCCAGTATGCTGGGAGGGTCATCGATGTGTCCTCGGCGTTTCTGGCACTGTTAAAGGCTATCGGGAGCCACACGCATGGTATTGATGACACCGACGTCAACAACCTGTCCTGGGACAGGGGAGAGAGGCGCCGAGATCAGCATATGAGCTTTCCGGAATACTCGTCTGAGTCCAGCGAAGACGAGTTTGGGGAAAGAGGAGGACGGTCACTGGAGAAAGATGGGCGCCGATCTTGGCGTGATGCAAAGAAATTGCGGAAGACAACACCCCCCTTGACAGATATCACAACCCTGCTGCAGCTGCTGGCCTGTTATCTCCGCCTCCGCCGACTACACAATATCCTCTACATTTACATAGAGCAGTATATGGCAACGACGGCGGCGACAGCGGCATTCCGACCGACATCCTCTCAAGAGACTTTTAACGCACTCGGAGGAGGCATGGGCACGGGCATACAGCCGCCATTGTTTAAGGATCTTCACATTGGAGGAGCCCCGCTGGGAGACTACCACCTCTTCCAGGTCAAATTCGTGCTACAGATCGTGGTACATATTCTGGGTGAAATCGAATTCTCCCTAGGATTACCGGCAGTCTACCGCATCAGTAAACGACCAGACGATGAAGGGTCAGGTATCCTTGGCTCAAGCATCTCCCCACAGGGTGCTCAGTACCGTGATGCAGGACCAAGCAGCCTCCGTTGGGCGCGATGGCAGAGAGACCAGCATGGTGTTAGCCATGCGCAAGCGGCTGGGCCAGATACGGAAGCTTCTGCGAGGCTCCATTAATCTGTAGACATCATTTCTCTCTGGCTAGACTATATATATAACATGGCAGGCAATATGAACCTGATGAAGGAGTACCAAATAAAAGACGTAGACGCTCCAGTAGGCAGTAGTTGGCTCTTAAGCCCAATGAGCAGGAGTCATTTGGACGCCCTCGTGGCCTTAGATCCGAAGCACAGGGCGGATATAGGTGATGGCCGGTCCACGATTGATAACTTCTTCTGCTCTGAAACTGGCATACCGATCCGGAATCGGCTTGAACTCGAAACTGAGAACGAGCATAATAATCATCATGCGCAGTTCCAAGCGAGCTAAACGTTTGTCCTGTAATCCCCTTGTCAGCGTTGAAACGAAGCCCTGCCAGGATTGCCTGGGGTTCCATACCAAAGCAGCCGCGAGGCCCGGCACCAAAGGGCAACATGGGTCCCGCATAGGCGTCGTAGTTCCCCTGGGCATCGATCCACCGTTCGGGCTGATACACTCCTTTGGTGGTGCGGTCCCATTTCCCGGTAGTTCTCGGTCTGGAAGAAGGGGAGCGCAACTGCGGGTCAATCTCAAAATCATCCATGTCCTCCAAGCTTTGCACACTGGGGGCTCCGAAGATGTCAATCCCCGGTGGGATTCGATAACCTAAGACCGTCACTTCCCGGGTGGTGCGGCGAGTCCATGACGGCGCGGTGAGCGCGATGCGGATTAGTTCTTGGATGCTCGCCTCCACGAACGGGTGTTCCGAATTCACCATCTCCTCGTGCGAGGGCAAATTATTTGCATTGGCCCCTGGGAACAGCTCCAGCAGAGCCTCCCGGAGCTTGTTCTGCTGGTCTTGATACGCCGTGAGATACTTCAAACTCCACTTCGTGGTATCCTGCGTAGTTTCGTGTCCTCCTACAATATAAGCAAATGTCTCGTCTATCATCTCGCGATGACTCGTCTGCCAGCCCTTGGCTTCTGCTCGCGCCTCCCGCTGGAAGATCTCGTCCATCGCGCAGCGGACTTCCCGCTGGGTGGTGTCGCGGCCGGATGATGCGAATTTACCGCGGGAATTCTCAATCAGCCGCATCATGGCGGACTCTTTGACCCGCCACGCCTCTTTCCAGGAAGGCAGGAATGAGATCCAGAGCTTGGTAGCAGACAACCAGACTGAGCCACGCATGTTCTTCAAATGTTCCACCAGGATATGACAAGCATGCACAATGTCTGGCAGGTCGTGGGATTCGGCGACGTATGCCGCCTGATCAATATCAGCAACATCCTAGGTCGACTTGGGAGTCTGTTCGGCGGCCTTGATCCGTCTCGTGGTCAGACCGAGATCGTCACCGGTTGCAGTTGTCCAGATCCTGTCATCGTTAGTCTCGAACCTCTAGACTTGTCCCCAGAATGCTACGTGGGAACAGTACATACTATGTCAAACCTCACACGTCAGTATCCCCTCTCATATTAGGACAGGCCTGATGTTCATACCATGTCAAAGGTCACTTGCTTGATGTCATCGGACACTTCCACCGGCCGTCCGTTGGCCAGGCGCACTTTGGTGGCCCACAGACGAACCAGATTGCCCGTGTGCCGGTGGATTGTACTCGCGGAGACCGTGTTCAGGAATTGACTGGCCATGGTGACCGCCCAGGTATTGCGCTGCTGCTTGAATTTGTCGTGGGAGGGCATGGAGATGGTCCCCTCGGGGAAGAGGATGCCCACCCACTCGGTCAGAAAGCCACCGCGGTCGAACTCCTTGGTCCGCCGCGACGAGATATCAATCAACTCCTGGATATCCGCCACCACCACAATCGGCTTCCGGAAGGGCCCCAGGAAAACCTGGAAGATCGGACTCCGGAGCTGGCGGCTTTTCGCGGCAAACCACCGGAACCCTTCTCCAGTCCGGCGAGTGAGTTCACAAAATCTACGGCGTCGCCAAACGGATTCCAGGGAGATTGCAACGTGTAGGGAATGCCGGGGAGAGGTTTTGGCACGGCCGCGTAGTAGATGGCCGTCATCAGGGTGGCGAGGGAGAGGACAGCGGTTGCGAGAGGGTGAGATAGAATCCCCTCTAGCACGCTCCGGGATCCAGAGGACACAGCGAGCGATAGTGTCTCGCTTGGTTCACGTATTGCCTCCATGGCGTTCCTGATAATGTGTGTTGGCAAGTAGGGGGTTGTATAAGGTTTGGTAAATATGTTCGATACCAAGGCAGTCTGGTACCAGCGGCAACGCCATATATATCCGAGCCTCATCGTAGCTGCGTCGGTGTCGGAGACGCTCTGAGCTCTGATAGTCTCGAGGCATTACATCTAAACTCTCCGATTCGTCGGTCAAAGCCTTCCAGTTCTACTAGCCCTCGGGCCGAGTCAAAATACCTAGGGCCATGGTTTACGGGAGAAGAAACATCGAATAACATACGGTGTCGTGGGTTTATTTCAAGCAGCGGTCTCATCTGATTGAGTCCTATCCGCAACTATCACGTAGTAGTCATATAGCCAAACGGAAATTAAACCAACAGCGGGTTCAGTTGGCCAACGTGACCAGCTTCTTCGCAGAGACACCCTTCTTCACTGAATCCAAAGCTTCCTGAATGCCCTCCAGGCCCTTGGTCGGCACGACCTCCGGCGGGGGCGCAACCTTGTAAGCCCCCTTCGCCAGCGCCTCGGGCAGATACCCAGCAAAGGTGGCGGGGTTTGTCTCATGGTAGATAACCGCACCGCCCGAAGCAAAGATCATCTTGGCCTCCACGCCCTCAGGGGCAGCGCCTTCAGGGACAGGGTTCGTGGCGACGACGCGCAGGTTTTGTTTCGATTGATGCGCCACCTGGCAGGATGGCGGCACGTCGCCAGCGGCTTGTAGAACCCCAACACATTCGCCCTTGTCCAAGTCGGCAACAATATTGCGAATCACGTCAGGGTCGTTGTAGTCGTAGACGTGATCGGCGCCCAGACCCTTGACGTACTCAAAGTTGCGGGCGGAGGCAGTGGTAAAGACCTCAAAGCCCGCTGCCTTGCACAGTTGGATCGCGTTGCCGCCAACTCCTGAACTGCCGCCCCAGATAAAGATGGATTTACCGGTGCTGTAGACAGGCGTGCTGGTCGTGGGGAAGGGCAAGCCAAGATAGTCCTTGGAGAAGAGACCATGGGCCGCCGTCGCAATACAGAGAGGAAAGACCGATGCCTCGGTGAAAGACAAGGAGTCGGGAAGCTTGCACGCCATGCTGTGGTCAAGGATCACATACTCCTGGAATGCGCCTTGCTCAGGCTTCGCGACGGCGGCCCCGAGAGCCAGGCCTAAAACACGATCGCCAGCCTGAAATCCGTCCACTGCTGAACCGATCTTCTCCACCGTACCGGCAACATCCTCGCCCAGGATCAGTGGGTATTTGATAAACGGCAAAGGCACATCCTGGACCATAGCATCAGCGGGATTCATTGCCCAGGCCTGCACCTTGACCAAGATTTCGTTATCAGCGATGTTCGAGGGTATCGGACTCTCGCGGATGACGCCGGGCTCACCGGCCTGGTCCTGCCAAAGAGAACGATTCATAGTCGGCAATGGTTCTATGCTGAGCGTGAATGTGTTGGAGATCTTTCATGAAGAGTGGAAAGGACTACAAGGCTCTAATCCGTAGAGTCTCTGTTCCACTCTTATGCTCCTGCCTTATCATGGACGGTGTACATGGCACCCTCAAACCGAGCAAGGATCTACTTGCTGTAAGTGGACACTTGCATCAATCGCAAGCTTTACAAGCATCATTAGTCCTGTCTTCGCGTCTCTTTAGCGTCGGAACCAGGGGTTCGGAGGATTGTTTGCGGATGTAAGCGGACGTAAGCGGATTTAAGTGTGCACAACTCGGGGAGACTCTTGTTGTTCGACTCGTCCGAGTCATAAGATTCTTCATATCCGCGCCCCTGTCTCCCCGACTAACATGTTGGTTGGGTAATGATCAATGCGCTGAGAATCTGTGTGTACAGGCTACGTAGTCATGTTGCAACGCTGGATTCTTATGCTCACACAGCCGGGTCCTGTCGAGCCCGAGATGCTCGCACACCACTACCCCGGCGCCGGAACGGCCGACGAGCCGTATCGCATCGACTTCCTGAAGCACGACCCCCACGATCCGATGCAGTTCCCTCCGTGGCTGCGATGGATGCTATGCTGCATTTGTGGGGGCGCCACCTTCTCTGTGGCGTTCATTTCCAGTTCATACGCCAGCGGAGTAACGCAAATAGCCAAAGATCTAGGAAGTAGTGAAGGGATTGCAACGTTAGGGCTGAGCCTCTTCCTCGTCGGCTTTATCGTTGGACCCTTATTTTGGGCCCCTGCTTCTGGTACGCTTGAACACCGCCACTCTTTTATCTCCTCTGACGTTAACCTTCGCAAACAGAATGGCTTGGGCGTCGGCCAATCTTTGTCCTCTCGCTCGGAGGCCATGTCGCCCTGAACGTGTGTCTCTGCTTCTGCCCAAACCTGGCCGCTGTACTCCCCCTGCGCCTTCTCTCCGGTGCCTTCGGTGCCTCCTCGTTGACGAATGCAGGGGCGGTCATAGCAGACACCTTCCCTCCTCAGGTACGGGGTCTGGCCATCACCGTCTATGCGCTAGTGCCTCTCTTCGCCCCGATCCTGGGTCCATTAGTTGGTAGCTTTGTAGCCGAAGCATGGGGTTGGCGGGCATTGATGGAACTGAATGCGCTTCTCTCTGCAAGTGCCTGGATTGCCCTGCTCATCGCGCTGCCAGAGACATACGCGCCTGTCTTGCTACGGCTGCGGGCTCAGCACATTGGTGAGCTAACGGGCAAAGTGTGCGTCTCATCCATGGCAGTCCAACCCAGCGACGAGCCTGGGGTCCGGTTGCGAGATGTCTTGTCGCGACCAATTCGGCTCGCCGTCCACCAGCCGATCCTCCTCCTCCTGGCCGGATACCAAGCAATCGTCTTCGGGACCCTCTATATGGCCTTTGCCGCCTTTCCGATTGTACACAGCGCGGGCCGGGGCTGGTCTCCCGGGATGAGCGGACTGTCAATTCTAGGTTTGGTCGGGTCCCGGTGCTCCGTACTCTTCCAGCTCTGGGATCACCATCGATATGCGCGGCTGATAGAGCGCTTGGCCCCCCAACACCCCTCGCCCGAGGCTCGACTGCCCGGATGCTGCCTGGGCAGCGTTTCTCTCACCATTGGGCTCTTCTGGTTGGCGGGGACGAGCAGCCCCCATTTCCATTGGCTGTGGAGCATCACTGCAGGCATCCCCTTTGGGTTCGGGGTGGTTTTGATCACCATCGGGTCGACCAGTTATCTGGTTGACGCCTACACGGTTTTCGCAGCTTCTGCGCTGACGGTCTGTATCTGTGCACGCGCAGCATGCGGCGCGTTCTCTCCTCTCTTGATTCGCCAAGCCTTTTCAATCTTGAGCGTCCGGTGGGCCCTCTCGATCCCGGCCACTCTGGCCCTGGTGTGCGCGCCGTTTCCCTTTGTGCTCTATCACTGCGGGCCACAGATGCGATCACAGTCCGGATTGGCACGTCCACTCAAGTCTATATCATTTCAAGATCGGGATCAGAACTCTTGGCCGGACTGGACTCCTTTGCTTCCGCAGGTATAGTGGGTTCTTGGCTTAATTGGGTTAGCATCTGGATTGTGGCAGACTAGAGAAGCCATGGAACAGATTTCCAGTGAGTCTAGAAGTCTTCTAGTACGAACTTTCTTTAGATCAGCACTTACCTTAATCTCACCCCCAGGGTCTGAAAGCCAAGCGCCACGGCGGTTCCTACGTCCCACGAAGCAGTAGCAATTCCACTTCGATTACCTCCAACCGCACGCAAAATACCAACACCAACATCGTCACCGCTCACGAACACACGCAGACCGTAGCAAGTGGTAGACAGGACGAAAGCCAAGGATCTCAGTCCAGTTTAGAAAGCATGGCGCAAACGATGAATGTCTACTTTCGCCCCCAGTCTCGTGGCGGTGGTTATATTCCCAAGCGAAGTGCTTAAGAACGCCGTCGAAAGCGAACATTGTATTTCCATAAATGGCAAAGAGGCAAGAATTCGGCGAAGGTTCTATGGCTTCGTTGAGAGGCGCAGGAAGCTTCTGCGATCATAGTTGAGAGGGGAGCTCAATGAGTACTAGTGTAACCATATGGCATCTAGTAGATTACCAGCGAAGCCCTCGTCTTATTACTCTATAATAGTACTGGACTACTTGGATTGTGTCCCTGCTTCCATTCATTGCAAAGTTCACTCATGGAATGTAACTACCCTTGCCTACCTTGGCCTATATTCAAGAGAAGAAGAAGCCTATGTGCGCTCTATGTACATGCCCACGTTCTGGACCTCATACATAATATTACCGTCACTGCTGAAGCAACTCTGATACGTTTGTCACTCGAGGGAAGCTGGCCCTCACGGGCACCCGGGGCTTGTGCTGGTCCTCGGGCAGAGAGACAAAAGAGCTCGCAGCTCAAAATCCCGGTTTTGAGGATGGGGGAAGAGTCCTAAGGTGCTATGTCTCGCGGGCAGGCTGTGGGGACCAGATAATGCCCTTGGCAGGAGCCGCTACAGGGGAGGTGCGCGAGAGAGACCCAGACATTATGACATTAGAAATAGACGGTCACATAAGACGGAGAATGCCAGGTATGCGGGCATCAAACCCCACAGTCACGCTAGCTTGTACTGCCGGAATATTTCAATGGGCATTATATGAGCCACGATGTCATCTCAACCATCGTACCCGGGTGAGAATTGAAAGCCCTTCAGAATAATCCCCGCCTCCTCCGCCTCCTCTTTGTCCACCCGGGAGGGTGATATCGGGGCGCAGCAAGCTTAGGTCAAGTAGAAAGGAGCAGCAGAAAAGAACGAAGTGTACAAAACAGCCAAGGATTGTCGAAGGCCCTGGAAAACATAAATGGAATGACTAAGAGATGAAGTAGCCAATGGTAGAGCAGGGAAGTTTCTACCTGGTACTAGAGGCACACAGATTACAAGGGAGGACATCGCCCTAGACAGCTTTCACACGATAGATTTCTTTTTTGGCTCTCCCGCTTTTGTCTATCTAGTTAGATATCTTGCCACATGAGGATGCCAGTCACTTTAGACCGAAAAGTTAGACTCAAACCCAAAGTTACGGTATAACACAATGAGGAGCCCAGCAAGTATGATTACGACCGTGAGTAGGCGATTGGACCTGGGGGAGTCCTGGCCATGCCTAGTTTATGTATATTGACATGCAAACCGGCGCATGTGCCCAACATGAGGCAGCTAGTAGTCTACAGCCTATGGTAAGTAGAACAGTCTTTTGCATACTTGCAAGTGATACTCTGGGTGGACTAGTTGCTTGGCTGATCATTCTGCCAGAAGAGGAATAATTTCTACAGAACTGTAAGATCTGCAAAAACGAACAGTGAGCATATGATCAAGGGATAAAGGGCTAGTGACGTGAGATCTTGTAGTAGAACTCGATCTCGCAGGTTTCTTACCGCCATCCTTCCCAAATATGCCTTCCCTCATGCGAGTATCGATTATCTACTTGGATGGTGCAGGTGCTTTAGACATCTGTTTATTGAGGCCCTCTATTTTTCGTTGATTAGTTGGCGCAATAACGTCTGAACCACTCGAACATATGAACGAGCCAACTTCGAATCCGAGCCCGTGTTATATCTGAATTGTGAACCCTGTACGAAAGTCTGAGCCTTCATGATACGAAGAGCTTGAGCCCAAACGGGAAAACTAGCCAGAATGGCTGAAAGACAAAGGCGCCAGGCGACTCCCGCCGGTGCAATATTTCGCTGGTGACCAGCCTTTTCCTGCAGTAGTTGTTTTTTATTTTTAAAAAAAAAGAAAAAGAAATCAATTAACTGGTTATTCGAATGAGGCTTTCTTATAAGCAGCAAACATAGCATTGGGGTGGAACATTCGAGAATAGATGACGACGAGGATCCCATGCCCCTCATATCCTCCACTCGATCAAGTGAGGCAAAATCATTACCCTCACCGTCACTCGTCAAATAGACCCTACCTTGCGGCTTAATGTCTGCCGAGGGAAGACAAGCCCGAAGCAAGAGGCCATTTTATCATGGTCACGTACACTGAGCACAGACATAGAGAGGATTACAATAAACGATCACCTACTCGCCTTGCTCAGACTGTGACTCCTGTTGGTTACTCTTGGTCTATAGCATACTTTCCTGAAGTTTAACAAAATGGACAGCTCTGTACCTATAGGCCTATCGCCAGGGTAGTGGGATGGCGACATCTAAGCTTGCTGCAATTTCCTGCACTTTGTTGTGAGTCACCTCCAGAATGATGAAGAAAGTTGCCAGTCTCAGCTGAGACTTTACATGTACTTGTGGTCAGGAGAACCTGTAGGTGTTTCCAACGGGTCTCCTTGTAATTGGTTGCCTTGTCAGACTTATGGCCAGGGTGCATGGCGGGGTAAGGCAAAAGGGAGGGGAGAGGAGAGCTTAAGCAGCACAAAACCTCAACCAGGCGAAAATTGCCAGCGGGGCCCGTGCCATGGCGGCAGATATAAGGTGGTGTTGCGCCCCTCGAATTTGGCAGATTAACAGCAAGATGTCGGAAGATGTTGGTCGAAGGGGTTTCCGTTGTCTGGAGTGCGGAGGAAGTAATGTTTTTCAGCGCCGAGTCCAGAAGCCAAATATTTTGCTGAATGGGGGGCGTCCATACCAGAAGTGCTACGGCTGTCGTGATCTCTTTTGGCTCGATGGCAAAGGCCTCTGGCCTACTAACCCGCCTTGCCCAGAATGTAAGATCCCTTGCCGTCTGCAACTTTGTAGAGGAGGATCTGGCTGTCAATCGTGCTGTGCTTATGGAACCTGTGGCTACTATGAGCCGAGAACTGTGGCAGAGGCAGAAGTGTGGATAGAGGAATTCCGACGTCAGGTGCAGATAGATCTTAGCCGTCTCGCTCTCGAAGAGGCATTTCTCAGGAGGTGTGGGCTGCGAGAGGAAGCTCTGGAGATGAGGCGTCTTTTTGAGCGGCGCCGAACCTTGAAGAGGGAAGAGGATGAGGCGCTTGAAATGAAGGGGTTCTTGCGGCGAAGACGGGGTTTGACTATGGGGGATGCGAACATCTGAAGCTTGGGGGCAGTGTGCAGTTCGAGTCAAATGTAAAGCCACAAAGGCTTTAGCGCGGGCTCATGATGTGTTATGGGGTATTTTCGCAAGTGCTAGGGAAAGAAAAGAGATGGGGACTTACCCTGTGGCTTTATTCCACAGGTGCGCCTAGGGAGAGCTGACGCCGCAAGGAGGGAAATTGATTGTTTTCTGATGGGATCTGGTGAATTTAATTTTTTAATTTATTTTGATTGCGTCGAATACTTCACTCGTAGCATAATTTGTTTTTCAGTACTACTTCCGCCCACGATCTGTTCGGCGGTTGTGCCTCCAGTCTGGCCCGGAAAGTTTGAAATTCTTCCCGCAGTTCCTCATTTTGAGCACGAAGGAGCTGCTGTCCTGCTTTTAGTTCCTGCACTTCAGATTTCACTGGCTCGGTTATCTGTCTGGTGCTTAAGTATATTATTGAAGCTGATTAAAACCGGTCAGATATCCTGGTTAATTACCCGTCTATTATTTTCTCTGTAAGTTGTGAAGTCCGGGTTTGTGATCAGTCCATTTTCTTCTATATCAGCGCCTCGTCTGCAATATATCCTTGTTGTCTGATCTTTAGGCTAAAGTTATATTAGCTGAAATATTTGGTATTCTCTGTAAATTTATAGAATAGGGTTTAGTAGCCCCTGCAGGCGGGATTATTATTAGACTGGAATTAGTTCCTACTCGGCATACAGCAACAGCTGTCATAATAAGACAATTCTCTGCAATTGTTTGATATTGAATCCTACCGACGAATCCAAATCCCAAGTCAAGGATCAATGTCCTCCTTTCTCGACCGTCCTTTTGTCACCTGTTCTTGACCGGCTACCACTCGATACAGTCGAATACTACAGTCAGGTGGTACAGTTAGAAAATAAACTAGATTCACTAAATAATATATAAGTATTATAGATATAATTACCTGGATTAAAGCTACTCAAACTATAAATAGGATTTTTAAATTATCCTAAACTACTTCAGAATGATTTTCTAAAGTTATAAGATAATAAAAAAATCTATTATAGTATCTAGTATAATTTATGGCTCTACTTTGAATTGCTCCATACAGCATGTAGTATTGTCAAACAGCATATTGACATTACAAAATGAGCAAAGGTGCGAACTTTGTTACATTGCAATTTAATCTTGGAAGAAAACAAAAGAAGTACCACTAGATCGGCAAGTAGCTACGTACACGAATTTCCATCTTACCCATTAAATTGTTTCCCATTGCTTAACGACTTCCAAGATAGTTTTGGTCAAGTCCTCCGGGGCGGACAATTGCGCACTGTGACCGGTGGCAAGTTCCCGGGTGATCCATTTGGCTCCAGTTGCCTGAACCATGGCCATCTGGGCCTCATAAGGCACCGCGCGATCATTGCGAGTATAGATGTAGGCAATCCTGTCGTTGAAGGCCTCAGTGTTCCAGCTGGCCTCGGGACAGGGGCTGGAGAAGGAGGTCAAGCCCTGACTAAGAGAGGTCTGGATAGCCGCGTCGGCAAGGGTGGGTTCAACGTCGTAGAAAACAGGCGGCTTGGGCTCGTCACATTTGACGAGATTTTGTTCTTTCTATTGATTCCTGATCGTTAACATCAAGTATGGAAGTGGGCCGGGTCAATTTTTGTTGGTGGTGGGGAGGGGAGGCGGCGGAGGAAGAGGAGGCACATACATCCATATACAAGTGAGGAGGCAAATGCCCACCAAAAGAGTCAATAATACTCAGACCATCACCTCCACGGGACAGGATTGCCGCGATAAAGATCTGGCCAAGCACGGAAGTGGATTTGCCCTGAGCGGCACGGTCGGCGGGACCCAGTCCGCGTGCGGCCGCGCTGGCAGGCATCCCACCGTAGGAGTGGCTGATCAGGATCACATCTTGGTTCCCAACATCCAGAAGAGGGAGTAGCAGCCGGTTTCGCACATAGTCGGCGTCGTCGGCTGCGGTGACAGCTCCTTGGGCGCCAATGCTGGGGAGGAGGCCAGTGAGGGCTCCGTAGCCAGCAGATAGGAGGAGGTGGAGGAGGTGGGCGTAGTGCGCGGGGTTCTGAGAGGCACCCGGCACAACAACCAACGCAGGCTTCTTCTTGTCGGGGGAAACAGTCATGATTGTATAAAGTTATTGTGGGAAGGGAGAAGCTAGTAATAGGATATGGTAAGGGGCAAAGAAGAAAACCAAAAATATCTTAGCCGTGGGAGAAATAAGTTCAGCTGCTGGAAGGGCAAACAAAGAGGGGTTTGGGACAAGTATTTATGTCTGTAAATGAGGGGGGGGGAGCCTTACATGACAGCAACGACTACCACATTCCCCTCCGAAGGCCGGCGCTTACCATATATTTGAGCGTCGTAAGATGATCTTTGTCTATCGCCATAGCGAGAGGAAACTACGTTTGCTGAAGCCAGCCAGGCTGAGTCTCGTCTTGCTCCAGAACAGGCAAGGGTAGTTGGGTGCCACAGTGAGTGAGGCAATGGAGGCAGTCGAGTAGCCGAAGTAATAAAGAACTACTGTTTTGGGGCTGAAAAGTTTTGTTGCTTCTTCGGCGATGTTCTGGACACTGTAGGCTGAGCCTTGGTGACCACACCTTAATTTATAAGGTAGATGTAGTAGCATACAATAATATGACGTAGTTTTAAGGATAATGACCAAAGAGACACAATTTCAACCACCCTCCATGGTCCAGCATTTACTTTTCAGACTGGCAAAAGTTCCACCTGGCTTGAGGAAGTTGGATGCAAAGTCTTCTCTGCCCCATGCTGGTGAGATTTTCCCGACTGGAAATGTGATAGCGGACAGTTGCGCGCCTCGTGGAACTTCGTTGATCCCTCCTTCTTGCTGCTGAGGAGCCGAATCCATTGTTTAGGCCCTCACCAATTGTGTAGCAGGGGTCCGTATATAAGTATAGAGCCCACAACAATAAAGATGAGTGGCTCGAGAAGTACCCATAGAATATTATAAATAAAGGGCGCTAGAAAATGAAATAAATATGTTATTAGTTAACATATACAACGAAAACTGAGACTGCAATATCAATTCCGGGAGAACATACCTTCAAATATACTACTGATGGTTGCAGTCTCCTTCGTCCACTGAACAGCATAGTAAAGTCTAACAAGTGATACCGCCATGCAGCTATTTCACCTCTCAATAATCAATTATCCGACGGAGTAACTGAAAGAAATATTAATATCACTTACGTGCTTCCCAAAACAAAGATCACAGACATAAACAGCTTCTTTGATTGATCTATTTGTAAGTTCTGTACAGCTGCAATTAGTAGAGCTAGTATCAGAAGATTAAAGAAGCTATTTCCAGCAACGTAACAGATTAGAATCGCTAACGTATTAATATCATAGGATACGGTGGGGTCCCATTAAAGGTATACCAGCTATTTTAAGAAGATAACAGCCAGTATAATAACCAAAGTAAAGCTGGAGATCAGTGTAATAAGCATATTACTCGCCACGACAAACGGACAGGAAATGCCAAAAGTTCGCCGGTAGAAAATAGTAAGGAGACTTTTATAACCCCCATAGTAGCAATCTAAGCATTTTCGCAAGCGAAATTTATCTTCAGTGCGAAAATAATAGCTTCCATGGTTGGCTGATAGTTCGGGTCTCCGCTGCCCGTAACTGCATCTATATAGTCAATAATTATACTAATACCACATAAGACGATCTGGTCACAAGTACTGAATATTAGCAACCTGAATAATTAGAGTAGATAATAAGCGAGCCCTACCAGGGCAAGGATAGTTATCCAGTCGTCGACACCTAGATAGAGCTTGGAATATATCCGCACGTAGACGCGAAGTATAACGGTAAGAATAGCTAAAACTCCTAAAATTGTGGTCACAGTAATGATAACCTTAGCCATATTAGTAAATACCATAATCTTTATAGTATAATATCTTGCTGATTTAGATTGTGGACAAGTAGTATAGGTAAAAGATAGAAATAAGTAATAATTATAGCAGAGGACTAACGGCTAAGATTTATCTTCTTATAATAGCTGGAGAAGAGCATAATACATGTTCTCCCTCAGCTATTCCGTAAGGGGGCTGGAAATAGACAGGTTAAATACTAGACTAGCTCAATATCTGTCTGCTAATGTCTGTCTGACTATAGCGACTGTATAGCCCCAATACACCAGGATTAGAGATATACTATGTCTGTAGCAAGGCTGTCTATATTAGTAGATAGACCAGAGCAACCGTGGGGGCCAAAGAAGTTTCCTGAAAATGGCAGACACGGGCCTGTGACAGAAACTGTATGAATCACAGTAGCTTTACTAGGCTGGGGGGAGAGGGAGGGAAGAGAGAGAGAGAACTGTGTTACAGAGATATAACTACTTCAAGGCAGCTATGCTAGTAGACTGCACTGCCCATGTAGCTCAGGGTACTCGGAGACTGAATAGAAAGGGGCATAGTGTCTCTAGGTCTCTGGAACAATGCCAAGGAAGCTATTAATTAAAAGTAATCTTTATAAAAACAGCAGGTATCAAAGGACTAGTTCGGGGTCCTATGACTCCGGGCCGCCCCGTGGATAGACTAGCCCTCTAGCTCCTCAACTCCTGTATATGCACTTCGGTGGAAAGGGTGGGTCGAGCGCAGCGGAGATTTTTACTTTTTAGACTGACTATACGCTAGTACACTCAGATTAAAGTATCGAAACTCTCAAGTTGATCTGCTATCTGACCTAGACTACCCGCATCTATTCGCTTTCCCTCAGACGCTAAGAAGATTCCACATAATCCCTCTGTTTGCTGCACACCGGTGGCTATGGCTTACAAGTTCGTGGGGTCCAAATGGTGAGGTTTACTCATCACCCCGATCAGGCACTGTTGCCGATGTCAGGACACTTGTTGATAACGCCAAGAAGGGGAATCCGAAATCCGAATGCATGAACTTACCTGTCCTCGTAAGTGATGAAGCGGGTGTTCAGTACAGCAGAGGCATCACGCTCCTCAATTTCGGATGGAGCTGTGACTGGGGCCGCCGTGGCAGTGCCGGCCAGGGTGAGAAGCGCCGCTAGTGCGCTGAATGCAGTACGCATAGTAAAGTGGTTTATGAAGTCAGTGGCTAAGCTCGGTGTCGACCTGAAGTTCAAGGAGCTTGGTAGTAAGAAACAGGAAGAGATGAGATAGAGAAGTTGGTGAGGTTGCCTCCGCCAGGATATCACGACATCACAGAGCGGCGACGAACCTTAAATAGTCCATACTCTTCGCCAATATCCTCAGTCTCTTGATATAAGCTACTTGCTGAGACGGTTCCCCTCCAACCTTCTCAAATTAGAAGTCCCTTGAGATGGTCTCGGGCTAAGGGAATTCTAAGCGGCTGCATCTTGTCCGCCCTCTCTCACATCAGTCCAGAGTAGACGTGTGCTGCGCATTAGGTCAGAAGTGGGGTTTACATAGTATCTGTTTGATCCTTCTTCGTACTGTGCGAAAAAAAAATAGAAAAAAAGCCTCTCAATCGACTAGTACAGGACCTTCCACGTCCTTCCTGATGTGGGATGAGCGGTGGGTCAGAGACGAGTAATTACACCAAACGACTAGTGGCTAATATCAATCATGCATTAATAACTCCAGGCTAGTCCTTTCGGCAACCTTCTAGGAGCAAAACGTAGGAATCCCGCACTAATTTTGCCCCCACCATCCATATTCGTGAGGGTCGATAATGATGTGCATCGGTCTGGGTGTATATGGCTGGGGCAGCTGAATATCCAGCTCGCTTAGAGGTGAGTCTCACAGCAGTGGCTAGGCTTTGGTAAACACTCCTCACTCCACATCTCCGCTCTTTCCTCTGTACTTCCTCCTACTGATTGCCTTTCCCCAATCGTGTTGTCTGTAATCTTTTCTGGTGCAGGTTTTTCCTTGGTGCCCTGTCTTCCCTCTATAATTCCTCTTCTCTGCCCTCTGCATTTTTCGTACTATCTTCTACCTCTTTAAAAAACTCTCATATACATTAACACTAGCTATTACCATAACTGCATCCAGGCTAGAAGATAAGCGGAGCGAAGAACACCTTATTTCAAGTTTTAATATGGAAAATTTCCTCAAAGACAATAAACATCCCGGGGCGAGAAGGCCACGATGGTGCCGGTATTATCCTAATAGGACTCTGACTCTATCCTCATAGATTTTGTTTCTGGTTATAGCTTCCGCCTACCTTTGGTCAACAATAGCTCGTCATCAGAAGACAGCTGCGGCTTGCTAATGCGCTGACTACTTACCAATCAACTCACCAGCATTGGAGGCCCTTGAGAACACAGGCTATATTGAGAAGTTCTACAGCAGCTTTGCGAAGCCCAATGCTTTCAAGGGGCCTCCAAGCCCTGCCATCAATGCTGCCTGGGATGATATTACTTATGCTTCTGGTAAATCGTCTTCAAATAGACCCAGTTCTATTAAACACGAGGCTTACCATCCAGCTGAAATAGGTGGTATCATCAATTTTGATGAGCAAACTTTGTAGCATATCAATGCGTCCGAATACTCAGTTGATTTGGCTGACGAGCTCGGTGGTGGTTACATGGGCTCAGTGGAAGTTTTGCATCAGCTACATTGTTTGAATATGCTCCGCCAAGCTAGTTACGAGGATTATTACAAGGATAAACCGGGCCCGTGGGAGGATAGCCCGCAGATTCTACGGCATCATCTTGGTAAGTTATGACTGGGGGATGAAAGTACTTATAGGAAATCAAATAACTTGTTGATACATCCATTAATATAGATCATTACATTGATATCCTCCGACAGAAGGTAAGCCAGGATGGTGTTTTGCATCAGTACTTGACGTTATTGTTTGAATGTTGCACTGGCTAATAGCTTTCACTTGCCAAATTGTTGATATATGATGCGGACGTTGGTATTCTGACATATATCTGGGTGAGGGGGTATAAAACCCCATTTCTAGACTTCAATATCTATAAAACGACCTCCTCCGTCCCTTTCCCACTCCAGCAATCATAATACATGTAGCATCCTTCAAGGGCTCAGATTTGCAGGTACAAGGCTAACTTTATATGACATTTACAGGCACTATAAATATCATGATCTTCACGTGGTAAAGCAATAGGTCAGGCAGCATTAACTCTACACGACACCCGAACATAGCATTGAGCACTTTTCTGGGGCGAAGGAGATACCTAGCCCACCGTAAATACTTAGATATTATACAGACGACTATCCGCCATAAATATACTTCAGGTTAAGAGATCTAACAAGTGTTCACCCAGCAAGCAGTAAGGGACAGAGTCACAGCGCATGACTTACCGAATAGACCCATTATCATCAATATAATTTACTACAAACTAAGTTTCGAATATATTTATCAGTAGAACAGTTCATAAAGGGGCTTTCAGTACAATAATATAATTCAGAAATTCAGATACCCTGGCATAACCCCAGGTCATCGCTTTTGCGCCACAAGATAAGGAAATATCTTACCTATTCTGACATATTTAGCCTCAACAATCTCACCAACAGAAGTCTTCAGTTTTCATAGTCGATTCAGGTCTGTTTCCCCTTAACTATCATTTTCAGCCGCTGTCCTGTTCGGGGATTATTATTATTCTATTCTCATAAGTACAGAGTACAGGAAGAGGTTAATAGACTCTGTGAGAAGATCGGAGAATTAAAGACAGATATCTGGATCGGCATCCTCCTGACAGAACCCTCCAGAGCGTAGGTTAAAATAAAGAATACTCAAAGCATCTTCTTCATTGTTACTTTTGAATAACAAAGTTCTTTGCAGTATGAAATACAGCAGACTGAAGAAAGCCCGAAGAAGAAAACAAGTTAGTTAATATGATTAACAGCAACTGAGAGAGAGCAGAAAATACGTAAATACTTACTAAGATACAAGATTACAAGCCCATCTTTCTAGATGAATAATATCCATTGCTTTTAGCATATCTTGTGTTTCCAGGAACACTTGAAAAAGTCAGGCTTCGCTTTCCGTCTGCTGGAGATAGCCCCCTGGCCCTGCAAAAATAGCTAAAGTTTAGCAACCAAGCGGAAAGAGTATATCAAGATGGTCGCTAGAAAGAAAGCAACAACTTACTCAGAAGTAGCAATACATATTCAAGCACTCGTGTGAACTTTTCCTCCGTGATTGCATAAGCAAGGCCACAGATATTAACCAGGCCGAACTGCCCATGAGAGCGAACATCGAAAGGTTGGGTGCAGTCGTGCTGCACAAGTTCGATTCCCTAGATGGGGCTGTCGGGAAATGCGGCTGTGTTCATATCAAAGCTGATAAGAGATGGGAGGGCTGTTGTAGTCAAGGATACAGAGGTCCCAGTTCCTTTTTCCAGGCTGGCTTGCGGAGTAAGGGATAGCTGGGATTAGGCAACTTCCTCCAGCCAAATACCCGTTCCGCAGCCAATGTTAGTAATTCCATCTCTTAGCGACGACAATGGGATGGAAGGGTAGATCAGCTGATTATTAAGAAAGGTCTGCTGAATAGTTAAGGTTATGCTGTTGATTCAGCCGCTTGCGTTCTTTAGTTTGCTTGGAACAGTAAGAGAGGATATATATCTAGTCTCCAGACTCTACAGACGCAGGTATAGTGAAGAAAGTAAAATATGGATTAAGATTAGTATATTTCTGCAGCCGAAGAAAGAAGAGGTTAAAGAAATACAAAGGCAAGATGGAACTAAGTAAGGGTTACTCTCTACTTTATATTAGTATTTATGCGCCGTAATATCCTAAGAATAATAAGAATTAGTCTTTGTATATACAATACCAGTACTTGACTTTACAGCTAGCTGACCTCTCCCCTTTACATATACTTCTTTATATTCCGGGCCGCTCAGTGAGCAAAAAGCAGTACTAAGTTTAAACCTAAAACAGAAAGAGAAAGTCGCTCGAGTTCTGCAGTAATCCAGTTCAATAGCAGTAAACAGATTCCATTCTTCTTGGTCCATAACCCCGTCCAACCGACCAACCGACCGCCTGTCCGTCCGTCCGTTCCATCCGAGTTCAAACGCCTGTAATAAGGAAAAGCAGAAAAGAAAAACAGAACAAGAAAATGTAGCTGTGGTCGGTGTGGGTAAATCCCCTTGACCTGTCAGCTAACAGCATGTACCTTGGCTTATCCCACGTTCAGTTCTCTGCTGAATCGGACTTGTCATATCTTGTGGATAACCGCCAAGAGGAATCTGTGTGCGAAGGTTTGCGTTGGGGAAAAATGTGTATATATATTGGAGGGGGCGGGGGAAGCGGAGGAAAGGTGAAGAATTGCAAAATCTTGCAACCTTCCATCTCTCCACAGCGTATGAGTTGAAATTGTTATGTTTAATATGTGTCGGCCATCTTTTCATCCAATTCGTCATTGAAGGATAAGAAGCGTACACATAACCGTATCACCACGTCATTGGCCGTCAATTCGTGAAAATGTACAAAGGAAATGGAAGAAACATAGGAAAGCTGTGACAAAAGAAAATGGCTTTCTTGGGTGGCATGATTTCTTGTTTCATGGTCACCCAAGTTGGCGGCATTTCAGATTGATGGCAACCACCATCACTCTGACGACGCCAAATCCCTGGATTGACTGCGCTTAGGGGCTCAGATTGTTTGCAAGGGGGTAATGGCCGGGAATTTGCAGTTCAAGGGTGGAGACACTGCTCTTGGTTTGTGCGGGGGGCCGTTTGACGCTGCCATTCTGTGTGACAGCCATGTCCGTTGCCGCAGTGCCAACGGCCGGGCCAGCATGCACAGGCCCAGCACCGATGGCAGCTGTCGTGGGTTGCTTGGCTGCACCGTCGAGCTCGACCCCGGCGATATCCACGTCTGGCTCGTCGTGCTCGTCGATGGACGTCGGTAGCGTGTTGTGCGTAAATTCTGTTCCATTGGTGGCCGTGGGCGCTGTTGAGGCGCTTTCGCCACGGTTGCGTTGACGGGTCAGAGACGGATCCCGCGAGCTCGTGGAGCCTAGTCCGGTCACGAAGACGGCATCGCCGGTTTCCCGGTCCTGGTACCCCCTGTCATAGCCTGGCTGAGCTGGCTGAGGCTGCTGGTTGTGATCTCCGGCTGCCATCCACGTACCGTAATAGCTGTCGTGCCGTTCTACTGGCCTGGGGTATTCGGGGTTCTCTTGGAAGTGAGTTCCGTTCACCTCGCCGTCCGTCATGGCGCTGCTGAATGGACGAGGGTCGGAAAAGGAGCCGGCCGCGGCCAAAAGGTCTCTATCCCCGGAGCTTTCACCGCTTGAGGGCGATAGAGGCGCCTCTAAGTGGCGGTCGATTTGGACGTCGCTGGGAAAGCGACCGCCCGGTTGACGGGGCTGGGAGGTGGGACGCTCTTGATGCAGGACGGCCGACTCGGCGGAGTAGGGGGTCCGGTCGGCTTCATCCTCATCCATTCCATCGCTACTGTTTCGAAAACTGGCACCACTGACGGTGCGAACATGGCGTCTCACGTACGCATTGCGGGCCTCACCGGTTTTGGTCATGAGGCTCTCAATATCTTCATACCAGGCCATCATTGTCTCATGTGACTCCGCGCGGAACACCCACGAGTGACCCCGATGCATGGTTCCGGTCTGTCTTCCCTTAAGCATGAACTTGTGGGAAGTCGAGTCGGGCTGCGAGTGCGACCCTAATTTCTGGTCCAAAAGGTTCAAGGACATCACCGGTTGTTGCCATGCAACGCGGTCGGCGGATTTGAACTCATGGAGATGAGTGGGCGAAAGAACATACCAGCCGGGGGTGTAGCTCTTCAGGTACTTGCTCTTTCGCTCCAGCATGCCCGACCGGACCTCTGCGGCGGCAGGGTGGTCCTTGCCTGGATAGGTGATGTTCTCAACGTCACGGAGAGGCACCCGCGGATCAACCAATTCGTCAGTATCCGCAATGAAGGCGTTCCACTCGTGATCGTGCGGCATCGAGATGGGGCCAGCGCGGAGTTTCTCAACAGTGTCGTAGGTTTCATCCGCCTCCCGTTTGAGAATGCTGGCATAGGCGTTGTACGCCTTCTGAATCTCACTGACCACAATAGATTCGAGCTCGCGACCGGAATTCTCCAAATTCAGGAAGGCCTTGTTGGTCATTAGTGTCCAGTATGTATAAGACAGCGGACTGGGGGACAGCTGCAACATACCCGGTGCAAATAGTTCTCTTCTTCGATCTGCTTCTCGATCTGCTTGTCCACGCTCAACCGAACAATGAAAGGGTCGCCTTTGCCGGAGGTCGCGGATGGGTCGGTGTCCACCAGACCCAGGGCTTCATGCAGATGCCGAATGGACTTGCGGGTGGCGTCAACTTCTTTGTCGACAGAGTTGCGGAAATCACCCGACAGGCTGCGGATCTCCTTGGTCTTCTTTTGCAGATCATTGCGGAGACCCATGAGCTGGGTGACAACCTCGCTCTCCACCTCGGCCGCCTTAGTCGCTTCCACATAACCCTGGCGGTGGAAATCGCGCAAGATCTCGGTCGCATCCGCCAGACCGCCCGACTTGAGGAATGTCGGTGGCAGCGATGTGTTGTTCATGATGTTCGATGCAGACATGAATAGTTTTGAGCGTGTTTCATACGACTTCTGGACCTCCTTGAAAAAAATAATGAGATCCTTCAGGATTTTGCGCCATGCTGCCGCCAATTAGCAAACGGCCTCGTGAATGGGTCTTCAGATATGGGAGGGTTCCTTACATTGGAAGCGGTTGGCTAACACCTCGGTCGGACTTCCGTCCGTTGGAACAGGAATATAAAATGCGCTATTCGGATCCTCGCCGTCGACGCCATATTTCTCCTTGTCTCCGAGGACAAGACTTCGTACACTACCCGCGCGCAAACTTCTCTTGCTACCGCTGCGACGCATGCTGCTTCTCTTACTCAGGGAGGCCTTCTTCCGCAGAGTGCCGGATCGGGTCGGAGTTGCCGAACGAGACTGTGACATTTGTGAAGCGGAGCGTTGCATGCCAGCGCCCGACGGACCGTCCATAAAAACGGAACCGCGCTGGCTGGCAGCGTCAAACTCCTCGTGGAAGCGACCGGTGTAAGGGAGAGGGGCGGGGTCGGTGGCGTTGGTGACGTTATAACCGGAGGTGCTGGCGATGAAAGAGTTGGGTCGGGAACTGGAGCGCGCGCCGTACGCTCCGCGATTTAGTAGTGAATCTGGATGTTGAGGGAGGGTGCCATAGGGGTCCTGCACCGGCGTTTGCGACCTGACGGCCATAGCCATGACTGGGCAGGAAAGGGAGGCGAGGAGACGAAAGGAGGGGGGGAGAGAGAGGTAGGGAGGGAGGGCGGAAGGGCGGACGAGCAGCGGTAGTCGTCGTGTTGCAAGTAATTGTAGTTAGTGTTGGTGACGGGCAATGCAAGTCAGCGCAATCGGGCGGTGCAAAGGGAGTCCAGGCCCGTGTGTCGATATCAATTCGGTCCGTCGTTGGAAAAAAAAAAAAGGTCCGTTGCCGGATGCGGGCCGTGATCAGAGTTATAAGGGCGTCCAGAGTAACAATATATCATGAAACGCGAGAACTTAGTCAAAGAAATAAATGAGGATAAGGAGGAGAGGAGCGGCAGAAGGAAGGAGGAAGAGAGAGAGAGATAGAGAGAGGGAAGAAAAAGGAGAATCAATCTAAAAAGAACCAGCCGAATATTCGGATTAGTAGAGTGGTAGAAGTAATAGTAGTAGTATGGCTGGCCGGGGGTGGCTGGTTTGGTTGGTAGTAGTAGTAGTAGTAGTAGTAGTAGTAGTAGTAG